AGCTTACGGTGAAGCACAACAGCGGCGAATTTCGCGTTGTGATGCGGTGATATAGAAAGATCAAGACTTATTGTTGTTGCACTTATTGGTGCCATAATACCCAGTACGTTCTTGCGGTCAACGGTCAACCCAATGAAGGTACAGGTACCTAGGTAGGTAATTTGTGGACCCGCTTTCCGGAATCGTGAGAACGGTCGTTGTAACTTTCGTGTGTCTAGAACTTCATATTTGGCTTAAGGGATTAATAGAATGTCCTCGGAGAAGTCGATAATTATTTCTTTCTAAATCATGCCCGGTTGTTCGAGGTTTGCGACTATCAGGCAATACTGTCTTGAGAGGTAGATAGGTACTTCGGCCTAAACCCAGCCCAACTTAGGGGTCCTTAATGTAGGTACATGCTGTACCTAAATGCCAATGCAAGCCACAATATGGCAATTGCATGAGATATGCTGGGGGATACTGTCAACGGCCCTACCCAAGTACCCAGAGGTAACATCACTGTCGACACTTTTGAAATTCGATATTCTAAACACGCCTTCCCAAATTTTGCTTCGGTAACCGTCAGAATTTCCAACTGAACGGTTCAAAGTTGCTGTTGACGTATCGGTCGCTAATCTGTCCAAACAAGCCAATCTGGATGCAAGATCTCCGAAAATTGCTTAGTAGTATGGGGGCGAAGGCAATCTAGCCGAGAACGAGTCCTGATCGATTAATTGCACGCTAACCGGAGTCGAACCATTTGCCCACATGGTTCTCCAAATCTGACCAAAATCCCGGGTTGAGATGACGGGATGGGCATCTTGGATTGGTCGATGCTAAAGACCAGAAAACACAGCTATCTCTGCTGCCTTATTGTATTGCACCGGATGACGTGAGCCTTTGCTCACAATAATATAAAAACGCCATATACTGGCAATTGATTGGCTTGAAGTGGAATTAATATTAGGAACATTGAGTCGAGCGAGTACTACTTTTCGGTAGATGTATGAAGAAAGAAGTAAGAAATTGGGGATGGATTTTTTCTGTCAACGAAACCCGGAGGTATGCATCTAGTACGTAAATTCCGGTTAAATCGAATTAAGTAACGCAGCTAGATACCTATTTGCAGCGAAGTTGCACTAACCATGCACTAAGTAGACTACGTGTATCTGTATATCGAATGTATTCTCCGATATGTCCAACCCTAACGGTTGCATATGCCCTTTCTTAAGGCGAAAACAAGAAGAAAGGCAACATTTGGCGGGCAAGGGGGTTGTGACTTCCGTAACATTGAACTCAACTTCCACACATTGCATCTTTACTTACAAGATACCTAGTATTATGTTCCCGACTAGGAAGGAAGTCGCAAACGAAAGGAAATAAGGAAATAAGGAATTTATCGAAACGTGTTGCGAATTTCGCTCGTTACGATCCGCCATCTAATCTGATCTGATCTCACTCATCTCATCCATCTCACTCGACACCATGAAACCATGAAACGCTATCGAGCATTTTATTATCACAACAATGGAAAGATGAACTTTCGGGTCTTCCGACTCATGACGTTTTCGCGGAAATCAAGATTTCGCTCGAAAAGTTTTAAGAGTTTAATAAATTTACCTCAAGGGGCATCGTATTAATAATTGGCTTCTAGGAGACTGGGAGATCGATTGATACCCAAACGCATAAAGAAAAACCCGCAAGGTAATTGACTTGCTAGATTACGAGATTATTCTTATATTCTAGGTGGGTTATAATTTTCAGTGGATAGTTTCCTAACTATTGCAATATTGCGACGTACTCTAGGTGAATAATTCTGAGGAAGATTGGATATAAGTCTTCTTTATTAATACCCACCCAAAAAAACGGATGCCATCCACCTTGAAATATTTACATTCATATTAATAGCCATACGGAAATCTCCTTCATTAAAGCTTCTAGAAGCCCATCGGAGTTAAGTCAAAATTAGCAATACATATTTTTACGAAGCATCAATATCCACATCCACATCTCTCACCCAGATCTAGTTTTTTGTCGGTCACAAGGCCACAGCAATTGACAGCGGTAATAGACTGGAAATAACCCGAACTGCAAATGTGATAGGTTGAGGTAAATGGACGTACATATATGTATGAGAATAAAGCCATAGGTAGAGAAGAAAACGTCAATAAACCTTGATGCGTTTAGGTCATAAAACGTCCAAAGTTAAGGTGTAGGAAAGTTCCCTAAGGATTGAACAACAAAGCAATTCCTACGCTGTACGCTGTACGCTGTAGAATATGCAGCATGCAGTATAATAGCTTTCGGCAACATGCAGCCTCTCAACCTGGTCCCCTGCCAGCCCGTTCCCCACCTGACTTAAAGTAGAGGTAAATGGTAGATTTCGACGGCATGCAGTGGACTGCTAAGGCATGCGAAGGAGCGGCCCCAAAGCCCCACAGGCTCTTTGAATGAGATCCATCTGGGTACTTGAGTACGAAGTCAAGGTACAAGTACCATATACATAAGATGCCAAGTCGATACGTATCTAGGTACATATAAACATGTACGCATGGATAAGTACATATTAAGTATCAAGTATTATACCTATTATGTGCTAATTAGGGCCTGGTAGTGCTAGTAGTGCTAGTAGTGCTGGTAGTGCTGGTAGTGTGGTATTAATAATAATAATAACTTTTTTTTTTTTCAGCCCATCTAGCACCTACCTTCCAGCACCCGTCCAGCACATGCTTGCCATGTTCCCTCGTAACCCACCCCGTTCTCCCAATCCATGCTCACACCCCCTGTCTCCGAAATCTCACATTTTCTCATCAAAAGAAGTAATGATATTCGTCTAGAGCTCCATTCGAGAGACCTTGTATCTATTCTGCCTCTTCGCTGGGTTAATAGGCTTAGGGTACCCGCAGCAGCAGCAGCGCAGTGCAGCGGTCTTGTCGTCGTCGTCCAAGAAACAGAGTTGTTCGACTCTGCTGCTCCAGTCGCATCTATGGCACTCATGATGTAGCCAAGTCGGCTGAACATGGAACCTCCATAACCCTCCAAACCCTCCATAACCTACCGCCGCCTACATCTAGATATGTACATGGTCTGTACTATGAAGGTTATAGGTAGCTCCGGCATCTGCGTCGCTGGCTGCGTGGACATTCTTCTTCGATTACGGATTGACACCGAGAGATCGTCATGAAAGGTCGGGTTCTTAAGCGTACCGAATCATACCCTTCCTCCCCAATCAGGAACACTCCTTGACGGAACAACCCTGGTCTGCCTACCGCCCATCTCATCTTCGATCTGAGCTGCCAAAGGGTTGGCAGAGATGCTAGTCGATGGGGCCTATCGCCACCAAGGGACCCTGTAACCCTCACCGTCTAACAGCCTTGGATTGCCAAAAAGTGGTGCCACCTTATTTCGCTGTGAGGATAATGGCGTGACCTGACAGGTTTCGGGACTCGTCATTCCTATACAAACCAGGTGCTATACTTGTGCTATACCTATACTGTACAAGTACCCAAGTTTTGGACCGTCGGGAGCGATCCGTTCGCGTTCAGATTCGCCCACAACTTTACAAGTCCCATGCAACTGGGGCTACCGTATGTTTGAGAAACAAGAGATCGTCATCTCACTATTCCCAGGCGATCATAGCCGACCGTGTCATTGCAGTTGCGAACCTTGCTCGCATCGAGCCAAGGTAGTTTATGTCGCTTCTTTGTAGAGATACGGATGCATCTTTTTTATTTTATTTCTATTATTATTATTATTCCCATTATTGCTATTATCGTTATTATTATTTCATCATGGGGTCGCCGTCTAGAGCTGCCAGATTGCAGCCACGTTTATTCTGCGGGCACGACAGCTTCGCAACCACCATCTCCTACCCGCTAGGTTTGCTCTGCGATACGATACCAAAGATCCCAAGTCTCAGGGCAGGCATCGTGTTCCTTTCCAAGGGTGTGGGGAGGGCGATGGTGCCCAGAATCGCGAGCAATCTTTCTTCCTCTTCAGACCCCCCCGGAATTGTGACAGAACCTAAGTCGCAGTACCAACTGACTGGCTGCAAGCCCTGACTTGTGAGATTCTTACCCTTGTCATGACTATTTCGTGCCCCGTTTCCCCCACTTCAAGCGACCCAGGTCAAAGTCTCCGTACTGTGGTTACTGCACATATAATAGTAAATTGGTAGACAGGGGTACGTTAAGTTATGTATGTATGTACACCACAGGCTGGTGTTCCTTATTACGCATATTTTGCCCATCTACGTATGGTACATCATACATTGGCAGCATACATCTCGCTCTAATCTGCTGTGCTTATTTCTCTGAACTCTCTTAATACCTACGACACATCACCCGTGTTTTCGTCATCTACTTTTGAACCTTTCTCTTCCCTTTCCCTCTTCCCATTCGACCGTCACGAGGCCAAAGTGACCTTGACGGTGTTAACGATTAGAGATCTTGGTTCATCTACCTGTCTATCCTATTAGACGTCATCATCTTTCTCAATACTTTACCCGTCTATTACTCTTAGAAGAATTATCTGGCACCTTAATCTTGTCCTTACGAAGTACGAGATCTCATATCTACTCGCACATCCCGATTGTTAAGAGACTACTACTGCCTCTTCAACTTCTGTCGACGCCTGAGCAACTCGAGAAGAAACATACTAGCAAGAAGTCCGGAGCGACTCACATACCCAGAAACCGAGAGCAAGATCTCATAGAATATTCGGGTCATATCTAGACCCACTTGGTGGCTACATAAAAAAAAAGGTAAGAGTTCAGGAAATGTCTTAAAAGAGAAAATCCCGTACCGCCACCACTCGTGGTAATTCGATTGTCTTGTATACGAGCCGTCTCTGTCCTCCACATGGTCTAGGAGGGAAAGCTAGGAGTACCGTTGCTCTAACCACACCCTTCCCGTCCTACTACCTGCATGCCATGATCTAAGGTGTTCTAACCAAACCGGGTTCAAAGATACACTTTCGCCATCCTGACGCCACTCCTACGTACACCGGCCGCTTTATGGTGCTTCTTTGGACTTCTTGTCGATTTAGATCGCCTTAGGTTGGATAACTCGTGTGACGGAAACTATCTCGACTCGAATTCTTTTCGCTCTCGAATCCTCTCATCCCTACAATAGCGCGCGAAACCCCAACTTCGGACTAAGCTTGTCGCATCGGCGACGATTAACCTCATAGTCACAAGCACACAGAAATAAATCAGATGCATGAGGTGTTCTAGGTGATCGGTTGGAGATTTTGGTATCGTCGTTGGTAGCAGTCCCGCTATGGAAGCGGGTGAATCTGGCACTAGGTCAAGGTCCGTTATTATTAGGAACTACCCGTTCTAGTGCGCTCGGCGCCATCCATCTCATCGAACTTAAGTTGATCAGTGTCTTTCTCTTAGTGGTTTTACCTCAAGCAGACTCGATACGTATAGCCAGCGTCTTCCAGAAATTTCAGAGCGGCATAATCGCGACGCGCCTACGATGGCTGCTACGGCTTTGATGAATCCTGCTCCGGCATATCATCCTCATAAACCACCATATCCAACTGCTTACCATCAGCCACCGCCATCGATGCCTAGCATGATTTCACCTGGTGAGAGTAGGAGGACGCCTAATGAGGAACCTTCCCAACGGCAGTCCCTTCCTTCTCTATCAGAGGTTTTCCCAGGGGCCAAACCAAGTCATTATTCACCGACTACTCCTACGTCGCTAGGTGGTTCTCATAGCTTACCTCCACCATTAAGATCCGAGCCGCCGCCCGAATCACGACCGCCACCACCTTCACATGAAGATAAATTCTTCCGCTATCCTCCGCGGTCAGAGGTTGGGCCACCCCCGGGTCCTCCTCTTCCTCCCGACTCGGGCTATCCGTACTCAAGCCAACGTGATCCTATCAAGCCTCCAGAGCCTGTTTCTAACGCTGGACACCAAAACCCGCCACCTCCGCCTCAAATACCATACCCTGCGGGCCAATACCCATTACCACCGGCACCTATATCACCGCACCACATGGGCCCGTCACTTCCACCTTACGAACAATCACGGCCGCCCCTTCATGCTGATGAGGAATACGCCATACACCGAAACCGATACGATAATACGTTAAACCGGCATTTTGAGTCTTGGGGATACCAGGACTGTTTAAATAAGGTCTGTTTCTCTGAATCTTGCGCCAGTACTATTGCTAACGGATACAGCAGTTGGTGTGGACATCAAGGACTGTTTGTAATTTTGCTGAAGCCTACAGCAAAATTGCTTCTGAACAACATGGTGGACAACCTATTCCAGAGAGATTACCTAGTGATCAAGAAGTATCGAGTATGCTCGGAAATGTAGAGTTTATGAAGCGTTCCCTCGAAAACCTACGGGAATTAGTGCAGCACAGTTTGGCTACAGAAAAAGCACGGGAAGGTCGGGGAAAAGGGCCATATGAAGGGGATGATGATATAAGCATGTACGGTGATGGCATGAAACAACCATACGGGCTTAGTGAGGTGAAGAAGCGGCGAGGCGTAAGTTGTTCTGTTATATATCGTTGACACTTTCAGACTAACATATAGTTATAGCGCGCAGCACCTCCCGGTCGATGTCACAGCTGCAACAGGATCGATACTCCCGAGTGGCGACGAGGACCAGATGGCGCGAGGACGTTGTGCAATGCATGTGGGCTTCATTATGCCAAGCTCGAAAGGAAGCGGCAAATGGAGCAACGGTCTATTCGACCGAAGACGGTGGAGGAGAGAGTATGAGCCCGATTATGGGTGATTATCAATGCCCAGTCACAGTATACCATCACGAACATCGGACATTATAGAAAGGAAGCCGAAAGCGGCATACGACCCTCATTCTCGAAATTATTCAATCACTCAAGATTCCCTAAATACCTACTAACTCACCTTCTCGATCATTCGATATTCACCATATTAAAGCCAGCGAATCTTATCCTATATCGTTCCGGAATATATAACGTGTGTTAATTATTATACCCGATTTGGAACTTGTGGTCTTTTTTTTTTTCTTCGCCAGTTTTGGTTCTTGACATACAGTCAGCTTTCGTTGTATATACCCTCATCTGGGCGAAAGGACTCCGGGAGGTTACGTCAGGGCATCATTCGGCGTCTGGCTGTTTCGCAAATTTGATTTCATGTGTGCCATTTTGACGTTCTGGGTCGGCTCATGAAATGCAGGCAAAGGGGACAGGCTGAGTGGGGTTGCATATGGGAGTTAAACAATTTTTATTTTACTTTGGCATCTAAATAGCGGAAGCACGACGAGCCGAGGGACGTATGGGTCAAGCCGAGAAAAAAAAGAGAACAAAACTCAACGCATTTCCTGCGGTGAATAGAGGGACGGACGAGATGATTCCTCATTATGTCTGGAGAGTACCTACGACGCAAGTCCTTTTTCTTTTTTCCAAGTCTGGTGAATGAGCTCCGACTTATTGACCTCTTTTTTGCCATGCTACAAAGAGCGGCGGGATGACTACAGTACTTGTACGGATTCAGTTCGTTGGTGACGCTCCTCAAGGAACGCGCCTATCTTGAATTTTTTTGGTAATAAATATAGGGAGGTTAATACAACTTTCTAAATCACGACTGTCCTATTCTACGCTGTATGCAACGTTGACATGTAAATCGTATGAAAGAGAAAAAACAAGGAACCCACATAAGCTCAGGTAATGGGTCTAGCTTCATTCGTTACCCAGTAATAGGCTATCTAGATCCTTCGAGAGATTGAATTTATTACAGATCTACAGTGGCTATCTAGCAGCCACCGTATGGGATCAGTATACGACGGGTACCTATCGGAAGAGAAAAATAAGATATGGTCTCACGGGTCCTTCCACAATCTTCCCTTTTCTCCTAACGCTGCTCCCCAATCTCCCGCTACTCGTAACACACGACGCGGGGGGGACTGTGTCACAGCTGGAGCTAGGCTACAAATCTACCGTAGCCGTCGGTTGTGGCGTGCCAGTGCTCACTAGTGCTCATATGAACGAATGCCTACGGCCGTCTTGGGAATTGCCTCCCTCTTCCAACAGACTCACTTACGCTTCAGCTGGTTGGCCGAAACAAATACCTACCTTGTTACCTACCTAGTAAGTACCTCGGCTCCTAGCTTAGTGGCACGGCTATTACGTAGGTGTCTATTTAAGTACCTTACCTAGTACCTAGGTAAGCGCCTAAGGTAAGAAGATCAAGGCGTTAGGAGTCTAAAACTCCCTTTTCATTATCCTGTCTAAAACGCACACACGCACGCATGTATCTTGGGATGAGGCGCTCCGGACGACGATGGCAGGATGCAAGCTCCCCTACCGCAAACGCACCCACGCGGCGGGAGGCGCGGGCCTCTCCACAGATGCCGCCGTGCGACGTGACCTGTCAGATTGATGACATGCGCCTCGAACTGCTTAGCCGATGTCGCTGCGACGCCCACGCAATATCCGTGGGGCTTGGCGAGGGATACAGGAGCAACGAGCGACACGCGACAGAATCCATCCGTCGCTCGGTGGCTCGCCAACCTCCCCCTAACCGCACCGTAGCGGTACCAAGATTGCGGTTTTCCTGTCTTTGTGAACTGTTCAATTGGGGAACTATGTAATATGTAGGTAAGGTGGGATCGTAAGGTAGACACTACATATAATAATAATAAAAAAAGGTTGGTTGTGAACCCGGACTACGCTAGGCAGGTTTGTGACACATGGATCTGAGACCTTCAGGGTCCTTTTTGTCAGTGCGTTGCGTGTGTGGCTGGCACGATACAGCTATGTAAAGACACTTGCAGACACGCCACCACCCGGGGCGTGTACAATACAATGGGTTAATATGTAGGTACGTTGACAAGGTAAGGGATGGAGAATTTCATATACCGGTGTGAGATCGATAATATCAAAGTAAAAGCCTACATGTTTCAACCAACGCCGCAACATTTCCTCTACTCTACTGTACCTACCTACTAAAAGTTGAATTTAATAAAGTGGCTTTAGAGGCTTTCGACAACCGCAGCGCCGCGAGCCTACCTACAGGATCGGGACGAAAATGCGGAGGACCCCATTCGTCCATCGAACGGTACACCTGTGATCCCGCGGCCGGCGTCACGGCAGGGAGGGAAGGGGAGGACTGGGAGCAGGAGTATTGGCGAGGAATAATTCTCGACTCGCAGCGGCTTCGACGCGATGATTTTTTTATTTCCTGCGCGAGATATCTAGGTTGTGGACCCTGAGGCTCAATATATATAATACCCACCGGACGCTTGACCCCTTGCCCTACACGGCCTGCCACGACTGACACTCGCAGCGCGTCACCCTCAACCCCGGCGCGATCTCTCTCTTTTTCCCTTTTCCTTTCCTTTTATTTCTCCTACTGGGGGGCCAAGCTACGTCGTAGACATTTCATGTATGCACGAAAGGGTGATTGCATTCCGTCCCGTCCTATGCTTAATACAAATGCGATGCGGGAAGACGGAATAGGGTGAAAATAAATCTACGCGGGGCCACCATGTGTGGGAGGGCAAATTAAAAATGAAAGAAAAAAGACTTAGGACGGGTATCAGAAGGACGGACGTGATAGATCAGATCAGATCATCGTCGCGCCGCCCCCTATCTATCTGGCTCCCGTCGCACGGTGTTGTCTGTCCCACGGGCGCACCAAGGAGGAGGAAAGAGAGGGGCTTGCATGAAATCAAGTTCGCCGCGATGCAGCCAGGCGGGATCTGCATCATTGCTCCAGGCTAGATCTCGTCCGTCCGACATCCGTCAACATTTTCCCCCGGGGGAAAAAAAGGAAAGGAAAGGGGGGGGTGGTGGCAGACGGGCGCCTCCTCGATGTCCGTTGCAGGACGGGTCGGGTACGGACTATCGAGCCTGGCCTTTCGCTACCTATACCACAACAACGCTGTACGCTTAAGTGGGAATCTGGCCGGCCGGCCGGCGGCAAGTCGCATGGATGTGCCACCACCGCCCGCGCGCCCAATGTTTTTTTCTCCCTCCTGGCTCCTGGTGCATTAAGCCGCACTTTTATGGTGACCCATGCTCGAAATAGCGCCTGATGCAACGTCGGGTTTTGGGTCTAGTCTAACCAGTCTCCTTCTACATAGTAGGTTTCCCTGTGCTAGTGGCTAATGAGAGAGCGTACGAAGAGGCACCGGCGCGGATTTTCTTGTGGTTGTGTTACCCCCAGGATGGAGTTGGGTGACTTAGGGTTGGTCATATCTCGAGATCGGTCACGAGGCCTGCAGCTAGTATGCGATCTCAGGTTCCCTTTCTCCATTTTCGGGTCACACGTGTACGAACGCGGGATTTTCGAACTTACTACTAGTTACTTGGTACTAGGTAGGTAAGTATTCGTGTTTGAGGAGATGGATGAATCAGCGTTACGCGGCTGTCGCTGCTTATAAAGAAATAGACTTCACCGAAGTTGTTCGTTGCACGTGCTTTACTCATCTTGATACTCATACTAGGTACCTGGTATGCACCTGCTGCTTCGGCGATGGATTACTTTACCCCGGCCGGATAGAGTTAGGGTTTTGACGGGACTCCGTCCGGCTCGAAACTCAACTTTACCACGACTCTTTCCTAGGCGCAACGTTCGTCCGATGTTTAGGTTTCGGCTCATGTTGTCAAAGTAACATGAACCTTGAACATTGAAACTTCCCTAGCTGCCTAGATGTTTAAGTTTACAGGTACCTAGTTCATGACTAACATTAGATTGCTAGATGCCAACGTCTATTCCAAGATTGGGTTTAGTGATTGATTCCTCAACCGTCAATCGTCAACCTTCCCCGTTCTCTTTTTATCCTTTATCCTATTCTGGAAAACCATCCATGTCCTCTCCTACGATAATCGCGTGGTGTCTCTCAACAACATAAGACATGTGTAAATTACCTTGTCTCTCTCGTGGATCCCCTTTCCCGCATGTCTACCACCTTCCACAGATCTAAGACATAGCTTGATCCTTGATTCACCTTCTTATCAATTGGCGACGATCTCTATCCCGTGCTCAACGTGATACAGCCATACGACCTTGATCTGATGGTTCTAGTTCCCAGGATGGCAATTGCATCCTTAGGATATCTAGATTCGTCGTCTACCAAGACAAAACTAACAGACTAAAACAAAATACCAAGCTAACATCATGCTAACCCACTAGGTACTTAGATAGGTACTTTGTTTATTAGAGATCTATAAGACCCTATAAGATCTACGCTTACGCAATCTCTTAAGAAATTAATAAGATTGATTTGATTTGCAGGCAGATGGAAACAAGAGGCAGTCTAAGTCTAAGACGGCTCGTCTCGAGCTGCCTCTGTTTCTCTGTTCCCTTTAATCCTATGCGAGATGGTTTCATGCTATCGCCCGAAATTTATGCTTACCTACCGTACGCTTTCTCTGTCTAAGATCGCGAGTCACAAGACAAGGCTCGAGTTACTAGGTACTAACTTTTTCTTAGGTACCTACTAAGTTGGTGCTCATTGGAACGATTGCACGGGTTAGCAAGTACCGACGCGTGCGTAAGGTAAGGTGTTATATCTACCGAGGAAACTAACTTAAAATAATCGAGTTGCGTAAGACGGCTTAGGCGGCTTAGTCAGTACTATAAGGATGTGGGATGGATGGGATGGAGTAGATGTGCGATGTGCGAGATGCGATGTACGTTACGATGTACCCGGATACTTCCACGACGACGATACGAACGTCTACTTCTTGTACAAGTACATTGCGACACGTGGTGTAGCAGTCTGCTTGTCATCCATTCTGCCAATCGAGATCCTTTCCAGATCCCAGATCGGCCCCCCCCACTCTACATCTCGCAGCTTCGGTGTGCTGTATCGGTACATCCATCTCACCCCCTTCCCCCCTAGTACCCCTAGTACCGCTCCCCCCCCCCCTTTACACACCCCCGTTCTTTTTTAGTCCCTTGGTTTTTTTGTTCTTTTTTTTCTTTTAATCTTTTTTTCCCTATTCCAATCCGACACGAACCCAAGATCCATTTCTTAGGTCGGCGTCTTATTTGCATACCATGCATACATCATTTCTGTATTGGGTTCCTGTGGCCTGATTTCGATCCTTCCCGCCAATTCACCCACAATTCTCCCACAATTCTCTATTTCGTGATCCCGCCAATCGACTCTTCGTGTCCATCTTCGGCGCGGCCGGCTTGGATCAGAGTTGAGAAATATTGCTATGTACATAGTATTGCGCTGCACGTGTACGTACATGCATTACCTACATGCTTACAGCAGTTCATGTCCACACTTGATACTTGATACAATGGATGCGATGGATGCGATGGATACAATGTGCTGTACAATACTACAAGTCCTATAGTGTCGGTATGTATCTATTAGGTATTAGCTATATGCCATGGTATCGATAGTTCCCTCTTTTTTATCCTATGATGGAATGTCTTCCGTCGTCAGCTTGTCTACGCCAGCGCCAGCCCAGCGGGAGATGTGTCGGAGTTTCCTCCGGTACGCTTTATTAGGGACCTGGAAGGGACTTTTAGGGAGGCAGGGAGGGTCTAATCTCAACTTCCAACGACGATGTACCGTAAACTTAATAGTTTCGAGTCACTTGTAGACTCCCCTTGTCCCGTCAAATATCAAACTTGTCTACTAGTGTAAATTTGCCTGCCAAGCGTAGCCCGGCACAGTTCCGTAGTAGCGGCTAGTGCCGTGTAAAGAGGTTCAAGACGTTACTTTGCTCATTTCTGCTTCGTTTGAGGAAGACTTAAGCAGCTAGGCAACTACCTAGGTCCCTAGGCAGCTAGGTCATCAAAGTGTTCTAGTCTCGATTTCCCCCTATTAGCGTCTGTTTTAGCATTCTTCCTAACCCGGCGCGATCATCGTCGTTTCGATGCGCTACGGCGGGAAAAATAGTCCATCGACTCGGTGCCCGACGCTTACATAGTACGCTTGAAGATTCTAGATCGTGGTCTGGAGTGTCGATCTAGCACGTGTAGACGATAGCTTCTCCGCGTATCAACCGGAGCCAAGGTACCCATGTTTCACTAACGCCTACCCTTTCAAACATCGTCATTTCGTAATCTACGAGTACACGCATCCCGTTGTTCCCCGTTGAACTACAACAAGCAGCTAGCCAAGCTGAAAAGAATCCGGGTGATCGCATCGGGGCTGAGATCTAGCTCAACGTCAGTACGTTGCATGGACGGCAACCCGACAAAAGGACGCCGCTTTCAGGGAGAGAAAAATCCACGCACTCGTGCGAAGCAATCTACATCCACCAAAAAAGATCATCGCCAGGGGACTCGACCGGTGAGCGAGGTACCCAATCAACTATCCTCTTTTTGGTGATCGCTAGATCGTCTCCGCTGTCATGGACCCTTGCTAGCCTCGCGAACCTCACGAGATTTCGACGTCATGTCTCAGTTACTACCATACCAGCTAGTTTTAGCGGTAACCGGTAATTCGGCTACTTAGGAATAGTACCCAGACCTCTTAATAATTCTTACCTCGACTCTGCTATAGGGACTGGGTTGGCTGGTCTTTTTTTTTTTTTTTTTTTTTTTTTTTTTTTTCCCACACCAGGATTAAACCTGTACCGTGACGCTAGCAGTATTATGTCGCTGCGGTATAATAAAGGGTCTTTATGAAAGTACCGAGATTCCAAGATCCATTCGTGGCATGATTTCAAAGTGGGCAAATTTCAACGATATGTAAATTATCGATATGCAGGCCTTTTCGTTGACGGTTAGAGCCAGCTATAGCATTGGATTTAAGTGCTTACACCATAGCGTTCTCCCCCATAATGATCTTCAACACTCATTTAGGGCAATAATGAAGTTTCCGCGGGGAGGCGGTATGAGTTTAATGAGTTGGCAGAAAACCACTCACCCTCATCATCCGTCCGCATCACGCATCACGCACTAGAGCGTCGCTAGTTGCTCTCTGAAACCATATGCCCGTCCCATTGACTTAACCCTGGAGGTTGGAGATTAGTCGCATCCATGTGTTGGCCTCTGTAGAATCGTATGAGCTTGTAATACATCATGGTATTATCAAAATTCGTTGTATGTCTCGCCGAAGCCGGTGGAGAAGCGTCCGGCTGGTAAGACGTCGGCGATAACGGCCCTTGCTAACCCTATGCCGGTGATAGACTTAGACATGCACTTCTTGCCACTCCGTGTTGCCCGAGTATCTAGATAGGATCATAAACTAGATATCATTTTCTGCCAGATCCCGAACAGAGATCTCTCCTGTCCTTGCCCGAAACACTCTGCTTACCTCAGACATGTGTTGTGTCGTCTCTGATCCCGGGACCGAGACCTAACGGCTTCACGAAGCGGGGAGGCGGGGTCAGGTATATCAAGTAAAGAAGTCGATTTGAGGAAAGAAACGTGTTTCTCTTTAATACATGCCATGTAGGTAGCTGTGTTGATTCCCCTCTCCGTAGTCTAGCCCGGCGGTACTACCAGCTGTCGTCCTACGTGATCCGAAACACAGATCAGTCAAGTTTTTAGTAAGGAGTGTAACCTTTGAGTCAAGGCTTAGTAACTAGAACTATTTCTTAAGGCCGAAGACTTGTTTATTATACAGACAAAGCTGTTGGATTATGGTTTGCGTGTACTACCTATGTGACATCTACCTGGAGTCCGATATCCGCCTCCTTTACGTCCTACGCTCTACCTAGCCCCTAGACTCGAAAGTGAACGTTCCTCCAATCCTTATACCCGACAATTTGGGTTTATCTTTTTTCATGCTCTTGAAGGAGCTTTGTGGTCTCATTTAATATGAAATTCACATCATGGATGGCGACAGGCAACAGCTCATGCCTCCCCTAGAAGGGGTAGCAGATACAATGACCAGCAATACCAAAGCATACAAGAGGTACCAATGACCACGGAACTATCCTATCTATAATGTAATTGACTAAGCATGAAATAGTGACTATCAAGTATATCCTACTATGTATCTAAGATTCAACCTGCAGTATCTTCAATGTGGTTGTTCACGCCAACGTATCTAGACAAGCATAAGGCCCACTCCCTTTCAACTGGCAATAATTTGCGAGGTTTTGTAGATCAAAGCAAAGCAACTCGTATGATATCGCGCCACCCAGCCACGGTGGGTAGTATTCGCTATTCCCAATATTGTATTGATTATTAGAAAACCGGTACCGGTCCTGGTGGAGCTGGCGCCTTATGTCAGTCCGTGAGATAGCGTCCACGTACACTCATTATAGTCGTACATACTTACTCAAAGATAGGTACGTTACCGGAGGCTCTCTAGGGTCGACGTTGTCTCCAGGCGCAGCCGTATTGTATGTGAGGAGGCGCGATGAATAGATTGTAGATTATGTTCATCTAGCACTCGTATGACGTTAGCCTTGGCAAATGGCTGGGGGTCTGTTTGCCTTGAGCGTTGCTTTCTAGAGTGATATGAGAATCATTTGGCTCTGATGGCGGAATAGGATGTGATAGCGTAGGACGAAGGGGTAGTTCATTGGGATTTAGAAGTATATGCCGCAAAATCTCTTAATAGGTAATATCTGACTTACAAGCTCAGGGGCTTTTGGATCCCTTTGTACGAGAGACTAAAGTTTCCTACACATACTACTACTAGTACTAGATGGTTTGTTCACAGTAAGGTATATTACAAGAGTATCAAGAGTTTCAACTCGGCTATGTAGATTAATTCAAGCCAGTGGCCGGATAGATAGATGGTGAAGAATAGATATACAGATTACCTACCTAGGTATTTACCTAGAGATGACGAAAACTTACCTAACAACACCGTATCCTCGCCCCAAGCATGACTTTTGAGGGATACCAAAAGCCCCTCATACGGAAGAGCTTCTAGATATAACGTTTGAATGCTGAATTTCCTGTGTCGCTGTTGTTTTTAACGACGATAACTGACTCTTAGCGATGACTTCGATACCTCCCAAGTGAACAATTCCAATTCCTTTACAGAACCAACCTCAACCCATCTTACACATTCTAAGATTATTCAGAACTGAACGATTTGGAGTTTCTAGAGGCTTAGGAGGTTGAATGATCTTAGTGTAAACTGATAGAATCGTGGATCCTGTTATTGAGAGGAGTAGTAACTCAGCCAATCGACACATACAAACCTAGAATTTACTTATCACTGCTCAATATAAATATGATGTTAGATGTTGATTAGCTTCTTTATGTGTCTGCAGTGTCATCGACGATTCGATGTCTGCGTTCCAATGAAAGCTTCTGCGGGCATTCTATCTGCGGGGCATGTAGACAATCCTCCGCATTCAATCCTTCAGCTGTCGGGTCTCCCATCTACAACCTCTAAATTTCATGGGGTTCTTTTCTCTTGCAATCGCTTCCGCTAGACGCAAGCTTAGAACAACTGACCGCAATCGGGCATGTTCTTATATACCAGCGTCAGGATCAAGGCAACTCGAGATGCCTGACGGGGCCGATAGCAGCCCGCTTCACGAGAAATTCAACGACCCGAAATCAGAAATACGACTTCTTGAGATCGAGGATGATACTACAGCCGATATCTGTTGGAAAATGAGAATTGTCCCTCTCAGGGACAACCCGCGATTCACAGCTCTTTCATATGTCTGGGGTGACCCAGCCATAACAGAGAATATAACCGTGAATGGCCAGCAGGTCCAGGTAACAGCAAACCTGGCGTCCGCATTACACCATGTCCGCCAACATTGGGAACGGGAGATCGGCCATGACTCGCAGGAAAATTTTTGCCTCTGGGCAGACGCCCTATGCATCAATCAAAACGACGTTTATGAGAAGAACTACCAAGTGCCACTAATGGGAACCATCTACTCTTCCGCCGAGCTTGTCATGTGTTGGCTCGGCCCAGCCGATTCAAAGATCCATCTAGCTTTCGAGACGATCGATCAACTTCATAATGAGTGGGCACACCTAAGTCCCGAAGAGCTCTTGAACTTCGACTGGATACGCCGTCACCCCTCGCTATGCACAACACCGAAAAACGAGCACCCCTTAAATCACCGATGGGAAGCCGTGAATTACCTCGCTCAACAGAACTACTGGAGGCGCACATGGATTCTCCAAGAGGTCGTTCTCGGTCAAAGGGCTATCGTAGCCTGTGGCCAACAGGCAATCGAATGGACCTTAATACGGAATGTCATGAGGACGGGCACTACGCTTAGTAGTGGGATAACGCATAACAACATTGTCTGGCCGACGTTTATATGCCCGGAAGTCTGGAAAGCCATTAAGAGCGTACCCGTAAACTGGGCCTCCATTCTATTCTTCTCCTACGCGAGTAAACCTCGAGCAGACCTGATAGACCCGGGACTCACCAAAGCGGATTGGCAACTCGCGATTGTGGCGGGGAGAACATTACAAGCGACTAATCCGAAAGACCATATATACGGACTTACAGGCATCTTCCCAATTCCCCTGGTCCCCGATTACAGCGAGTCTACGCCGGTTTCAATAGTATACCGAGACTACATTGATACTTGGCTGAGAAATTGGAAGGCCGGACTTTGCGGAGACTTAGAGGAACATTACTTCCTCTTGTATTCAGGCGCTTATCTAGACCGGCCAGAATTGAAACTCCCTTCATGGGCACCGGATTTCCCAGCGCTATCCAAGCACCGACAGGCAGTTTACGACGGGAGCCGTCAATTCGGCGAGCTTATTACCGATGGTCATGCGGACAATTCCGTGTTTCCCCTGGATACCGAAGGTTCCTCGATTGTGGACATGTCTCTGTTCGTGGACGGCATAGATCTGGGTCCGATTCTTAGTTCCGAAGACTACGGCGAGGATATGAGTCGAGTGTCTACCGCTACAACTAAGTACTTGGAACAGTTTATCTCAGAGGTACCGATATACCCTAACGGATTGCCCTCGCTTCAGATGATATTCCGATTATTCTGTCGAAAATCCTACGGGATGGGCAAGCCCCTTGATGCAGAGGGACTTGTCAAGGCTCTTGGGTTCGTGGAAACACTACTTGGACTCGATCCGGACGAGCCACCACTTAGCCAGGAACTCCGCAAGAAAAGCACAGAAAGTTTCGGGCTGGCGGCAGATGATGCGGTGGCGTTTGCCACTTCATTTATGAGCACATTTGCGCCTCACGACCCTTCAGTCGACCCCCTTGAAATCCTTGATATTCTACACCGGTGGCACAACTCTAGCGGCGGTATTAGCAGTCCGGAGATGGGATACGATGACGATCACTTAGCTATGCTCATCAGTTCTTGCTTGGATTATCTCCGAGAGGCAGAACGTGGCGCTTATCACGTTCTCTTCAGGACGGGACGGTACATCGGAATCTCACTGCGCGGAATACAAGTTGGAGACCGCATATTTGTCTTGAAGGGAAGCAACACACTATCGGTTCTAAGGAGAGCGCCAAATAATGAGAATCACTACATCCATGTAGCCCCTTGCTTCATCGTTGGTCTCATGAATGGAGAAGTTAAAGAATTTCTAAAAAGTGAAGACTACAAAGTTCAAAGGGTTGAGATTCGATGACGAGCTTGAGCTTCGGAGGTCGCTACAGTGCGGACTTCGGTTTGTCCCGAGAATTCAGCCATGGCGCCTATAGACCTTGACGCTAGCGCTAGGAAAAAGAAAACCCACACATGGATAAGCCACGTATAAAAAGGAAAAATGAGCAAAAATAAACGTACAACACTGGGGATTCGCTGGTCGTCACCGACCCAACTACTAATCCAGCGGTATCCAGCTTATCTATGGGAGAGCGGACGGGATCCCGAGCTTTCTAAATCCTATGGTCGTACGTGAAGATTAATGGTGTTGAATTGGTATATATTGTTTGCCTCCCCGCCTTAGTCTTGGGGTTGAACGGAGAACTCCCCCAATACCTGGGTGCCTACACATATCTCTTCAGAGCCTAATAAAATCTGGCAACGTCAGTCTGACAAAATACCTCGGTATGGAACATACGTAATGAGAAATCACTGACAATACTAGCGATGACTCCAACATTGTCTTAAAACCTCGCAAGTATAGCGCCAAGGGAGAACATAACACCGGCACACATGAACTCAACATCGCATTGCCGTGTTCTCATTAGAATCACGAGAAACAGAATCGAGTTACATCAACCGATTCGATGGCGAGCCAATCCCCGCGAATAGCGGCGTCCACTTGAATGGCAGGTTGGGGAAAAGATGCGGGGAAAAGCAAGGACGGGATTGCCTCCAGCAGGTAAGGTGAAGAGCTGTCGGTCAAATTCAGCCGGAAAGCTATACGGATTAGGCTAGCCAGGGGCGAGAGCCGGGGCCGATGATCGTCGCGATGTAATGCCAGGCATGTGGATGCGGAGCATTATGTCGGAAATGCAGCTTTAATTGCAGGAAATCGGGATCCCGTCGGCACGATGCTCGCCTATGAGGACTAGACCTTCACGCTACGGCGAGGGGATGAGGACGAGTATAAATATATTAGAGAGGTAGAAGCAGGCAATGACAATTCCCGTGAGGTAGTCTCTCTACCTAGGTGCGAAGGTATTCAAGATGTTCGGTCACAAGTTCCTCGGCCTGTTGGCGTTATGCGCTCTAAGAGCATCTGCCTCGGTCACGGTCCGGAAGACGAACAAGGGTCCAACCGGCTACGAGGTAGACTTCAAGTACACCAACACCACTGCCAAGCGTGTGATCATCGGCGACTTGCAGTTGTTCACTGATCAGCTGCATACCACGCTGGACAATCGTGCATGGTACAGTCCGAAAGATTATCAGCCTGGAGACTTCCCGGTCAATTATGGAACGCAGCCCGTCGATCTTGTGTACCCATATGAGATGACAAGCGAGGGCGATGGCTTGTGGACATTCACGACTCCTCTCCCCGCAGGCATCTACCAGTATCATTACCTCATCGACTGCGACTATGCGCCGAACTGCACCATCGTGACTGGTCAGCTAGTCACTGATCCGGATAATCCTCCTTTCCAGAATGTCATAGGAGATCAAGTCGCGTCTAACTTCCAAGTCCCGTACGACCCACAGTTCCAGGCCACGAACGACATAAGCGCGGACTACGATTATGCGCTGCCCGCGCCTGCGGAGTACCGAGGGACCATTAAGTCGGTGAATTATACCTCGCCGGGATCCATACACCCGGCGCCTGACGTGCACCACCTAGTCTTGTATCTCCCAGCCGAATACGGCAAGATAGAAGGGAAGAAATACCCACTTCTCTATCTCTCTCACGGCGCCGCCGGCAACGCCAACGACTGGGAAAACCAAGGCCGAGTATCCGCAATTCTGGACAACCTGATCGCAGGCGGGCACATCGAGCCGACAGTCGTCGTGATGCCGTCTTTCTATAACCTCGACGACAGCCTCCCCCGCTTCATCATGGGTGACGCGTCGACCATGTTCACAGCATTGCCATCTTCGATCCACATCCGCGAAAACTACCAGAAATACCTGTTCCCGTGGGTGGAGCAGAACCTCGAGGTCTGCTCGGACCCCTCTTGCCGCGCGTTCGCCGGGCTATCGTGGGGCGGGCGACTGACGTACGAAATGTACGTCAATGCGACGGACTACTTCTCCTGGTTCGGTATGTTTTCGGCCGCCACAAGCGCCCCGTACATCGACAACGCGACGTTGGCGGCGAACCCGGCTTTGGCGCAAAAGGGTGTGTTTGTCGCGTACGGGCTGTACGACTCGCAGTTCGAGCCGGGCCGGGAAATCCAAGCGGCGCTAGATAGCTTAAGCATCGGGCACCTATCGCGTGTCACGCCGGTCGGCGCCCACTGGTGGAACACATGGCAAGATGAGCTGTGGTGGTTCGGCGTCAAGGCCCTGTGGAAGCCGTATCCGTATAATACGCGGAGCGGGCGGTAGTATTGATCTAGTAGTCTAGTTCATATATTCGTATAATAAGGCAAATTCTCGTTCGATAGCGTACGTTCCAAGTAGGAGACCGCAGATATTCAAGTTCATAGCAGCTGGTCTCTGCAAACATCTGTCTTGGCTGCTTCGCTCTAATGCAAACTGCAGATACAGCCCTTTTAGGCAGTCCGTTGAGTATTCACCGCTTCCGCTAGAAGAATTACCGGTACACTGCACGTGTTGTCGTCAGGTATCCAGGTGATTATCACACCACGTTGAAGGCTAGATGAACTATGTACATATTAGTCTTAACCAACAAACATGAAAATTCTTGAATTGCGATGGCAGCGTAGCTTAGCATCGAGATTTCGAATTGGGAAGCATATGTACCTGCATGCTTATGCAGTTCGTCCTGCAACCTATTACCTGCATATGCATCCTGACATGCGAGTGGATGAGGGATTCAAGGAATTGAGTTGCGACGTGAGCCAGTAATAAGAGGAGGGGAATATTCTTTGAAGGTGAAAGGCTATTAAGCAAGAAGACTTCTTACCATGTTATCATGTTCCAAGTAATAAATCCTAAATCAAGTGAGAATCAACCAACACTCCATTGTTGATGATGGAAGTCAATAATGACTTATAAGAAACACCGACGACCTACCTAGGTACCGGTACTAACAATACTACACATATAGTTTGACCAGGTCAACCACTGTCGAGGGAGCATGGTATAGCTTAAATAAAGCGTTCAATATACCCGCTTAGATTGTATCATTGCCGTCTTCAACACACATATATGTATACTTGAACACCGCATATATCGACCAAACGGGAAGAGGGGATCTTACAATAGGACCCGAAGCATTACGATTGCCGTAAAAAAGGACATAAATATGACGGAATTAATAGGTTCCCTTTACAGGATGACTTAACAGCGTAGAAACGGATATAACGTAACGCGGAGGTTTGAACATTTGACATTTAGATGTTGGAATATGTAGTTTTAGTTTCATCGGAGAAATAGATGCGGCGTAGGATGCGGCTGACCTGATTCTAGTAGGGCTAGATCTCTACATAGTAGAACATCGTCGGCTTATGTCAGAGTAACTTTGGCGTCTCGACTTGGCAGATCATCACACGATATGACTGCAGCAAGGTCTAACTGAGAACATGTTAGCGATGATAGCTTCAGTTTAGCAGCGGATGGTGTGGGTCAGCCGGTATCCGATCGGGGCATCGTTTTGCCTGTGGGGCCATGTACAATACATGCAATGGTAATGATCCCACAACTACCGAATATGTATGAAGGAAGTTGATTGAAGTCAAAACTTGAATCTAAATTCCTCCAATCCCGCATTCCCATAAGATGCATTACATAACTCGCGTGACACGAATCTTATCTGTAAACGACCAAAGAAGGCAACTCCGTGACCAGGACCGACGACGGGAGGAAGCTGCGACCGTTATGCATCTTGTCAGTGTCCACTATCGACTATCGACTACCCACTGCCCAGCCCACTTGCGTAAGGGCGGCAAGGCGCAAGAACGTCCATGGATTAAACCTTGAAAGTTGCCTCAACTGTGGAACTGCGCCGCGCATCGTTGCGCTAAAGCCTGTCGAAAGAATACTTACATGTCTAGTATTGTTTCCGTAGTCCAATCTAATCGATACAGAAGACTCATAATTGTTTGCCCATTGTTGAATTGAATCACGCGATTCGAAGACTCTCGAGGGAAGATGTAAAATAAAGATTCACCGTCCAAAATTCGCAATAGAATTGGAAATTCCGGAAAGTGTGATTCCTGGTGGTGCGGTCGTACGATCCGGATCAGCTCATACAGAGTGTAAAAAGTCACGTAGAGTTCTTTTAGGGTGTCCCGGTTGGTGTGTAATGCTGATTAGGCAATTCGTGATTGGCCAATATACATTACGGTAGCCGCTTTAGGGAACGTGGGGTGACCTGATGGACCCTTATGGGGCGGGGACACCCGGTGAACACGACAGTCGCAACACTGAACCTCCACTAAAGTAAATCTAATCAGCGATTCTAAGCAGTGACTGGTGGCCTTCCCCTTTTTAACTAGACACTAACGGGAACCTTACCTACCTGGTCCCTATGTGTTACCCGATTCTTCAACCATTTCATCCACTTCATCCACTCAACCAACGATCCCATCATCCATCCCTACAATAACTCGCAATACTAACATACCGCAATGCGTCAGTTGAACCAGTTGAACCAGCTGAGCCTATTCAACGTGTCAGGGGTGCTCTGACACCACCTAGGCACCCTCGTAGATCAAGATAAATTCTATCTATTTATTCTATTTCGGGAAAACCGTCTAGGCAAATAAAACTCTCCCCTCTCCCACTGTCCGTTTACGTTTCCTCTCTTTCCTTTTCAGTACTCCTCATCAGTATATCTTACCTCCTATTCACCAACATCCAAGCTCTATTCCAAGCTACGTGTCTCTATTTATCTACCGCAGCGACAACGACAAAATCTGATATTTGTTGCCCTTCTCTATTCGACATCCACATACAAGCGTATTTCACGAGTAATCAAGCTGTGCTCTCGCAGCCTTGAACGAAGCCCTTCAGTGTCTACCTAGTAGCCTACCTACCTAGGTACCTAGCCACCAGTAATTCGCATTAAATCGAGGCCACGCGCCGCTCTATCACCTTCGTATCAACATGTCGCCCACATACACCATGTCAGCACACTTGTGCAAACAAATCTACAAGTCTTTCCAGACTCGCCAAACTTCTCCCGAACCGCTAAGCAGTCCTACGACTACCACCTACACTTCCACATACCTGCGCCGCTCGCCGTCGCCGACACCTGAAAAGCGCTCAATGGATAGCGACCGTGGTGACTCTACCGCTCATTCTACATCGCCGCCGTCGAGCTCGGGTTGGAAGTGGGGTGGCCGCTAGCTTGATCTCTACCTACCCTAGGTATTGAGGGAGTCTGGATTCTTGGAAGAATGTGGAGATTGGAGATTTTGGCGATGACGTACCAGCGAATGGCACGTAAATGGAAATGATACCCCTTTTGAAATTGAGAATTGGCGAATAGCTACCGACAGCCGCAAATGGCAAAACAACTCGACGAATCACGCAATTCAATTCACCAATCACGCAACGCAACGCAACACCGCGCAAAACATATAATCATCGATACGCGCATATGCAGCTATTACTGCATCGATGCTACATTTTATTACTATGAAGGAATATTCGTTATGGATTCAGTAAGCTACGAGGTAGCTTAGGGCTTATATTTGCCTAATCATGAAGCCCTCTGTAGGGCCGGAGTTATACGGATTTTTCCATTGGCAGGAAACACATCACGATACATAAGAATGAGGGCACTCCATGACAAGCAAGCAAGTTTAGGCCTAGCTGTTCAACTATTGAACTGGGGAAAAGTAGAGTACTTTTCACCGACAACATAAATTCTAACATCATGTCTATCATATTACATCTCCCACAGTGCATTCACATCAGCACATGTTCATCAATCCGGTGAATCATATGAGTTGCGCTCATAAATTTGGAAAGTTGAAACCCCTTGATAAAACATCGGTTTCCCTAACCTATATGAAATGAATATATCATAGTAAAAGTCACCTAGTAGGACAACATAAGAACAAATACGAGAGCTAGTCATGTAAGGTTAGCCATAATACCTACCATCGATCGATCAACCATACACATGTCTCTGAGTTTAGCAATTGGCGTAGTTATGCTGTTTTCTCGATGAGCAAAGGATAGCAAAAATGTACTCATAATTAATCTAGCCTACAAGCTTCGTTGGAGTCATGTAAGTTGAGTCAATAGTGGTTTCATACTATATGTAGCAAGCACTAGGGACACATTCTCTATATATTTGCTTAGCGACCCTGTAGCTTATATATAAATGTACAAGCCATCTAGATGTACCCAGTAGGTTAAGAGTACCTAGGTATCTAACGACCTATATATACGATGACTTAAACATCATGAATATCTCCTTTTATTTCATACTTATCTACTATCTAGGTGCACTACTAAGAACTGCACATTTCTTTGCTGGCAATTAGGATATCTAATTACTTAGTACCTGGGTACAGAATAAGCATTTTTGGCTGTTGGTGTATCCTCCATCCCCATTCGCATCCACACAATACGGATTAGATACTATGAAAGAGATACCATCGTGCAGCATTGCAACCCGAACCAGGTTTCAGTTCGGCCTCTGTTTGAGTAGCTCATGACTCCACTCTTAGCAATAAGGTAGCTGTAGCAGGCTCTCTCCTATTTCGACTTCTGTACGTAGACTTTAAAAACATATAACAACCAATGTGTCATCCTAAGCATACTAAACGAGTCTATCAGATATCCTCTGTACACTTAACTTCCGTATACCCAGGATACATACTTTAGTGAATATGGAGAAGCCTCGCCTATCGTTCCTACTTGACGTCACCTTATAGAGGACCAAGCCGTAACGTTTTGCAAGATTCACCCTTGACAAACAGAATGCGAAGACAATATCGAGGATCCGGCTGTCATAGTAATGAAGAAGCTGGCTTCAGCAGTATGAATAAAACTAGAACCCAGACTTGATATTCACCGCACTAACATCATGGCAGTCCGATAGCAATTCTGTCTTCGATCCCGGCTAAATATTCCGGACGCCCCTGGACACCACACTCAAGGATGCCCACCGTTCAATAGACTTGCTTACCGTGGAGCAGATAAGAACGACAACACACAAATAGCCATTTACACCAAAGTTGCACCAATGGAGAACCATATCCCTTTGATCTATCTTCCTCGGATTCATATAGTCGGTTTCCACCGCAACCATATTGAAATTACCTTATCAGACTCGGATATGATTTTTTTTGTAGCAAGCTCAGTTGAATCATCTAGAACACAGTAGGACATAATCAGTACCACGAGCCTACAATAACTCCACAACGAGCTAAGTCACCCGGAAACGTAGCATCCCGGAGAAGCAACAGAACGCCATGCAACAATTGAACGGAGTCAACAACAAGGTAGAGGGAACCATAAGCCCGCATACTGGAGAAAATCCGAACGCAAACCGCAATCGTCATCAACACGCACCCGGCTATCGAGACCATAAATCCATAACCAGAACATATCCAACGCACGCATAACCATCCCAACCTCACGATTGATTAAACCATCCATAGATAGATACCTAAGTAGACATCTCACGAAAATATTCATATTCCACACATCTAACTACCCATCCCTCCCCATCGACGCCATCTAATGCATATACATATCTATCTATCAAGGTATCTTATCTTACGACCGTCTCTTCATGACCCCCTAAAACCCAACAAAGAAGAAAAGGCATCCGCATGCATCTACCACCGAAAAACCACCTCTATTAATATTTCCACGTAGACCTATTCCCCCGTGAATGTTCCCATGTAGATAACCAGGCCCTTTACAACGCCACAGCAGCAGCGCCATAGCTCGCCGTGTTAACGCCGACCATCCTCTTGACACTAAGCCACAGCTCGAAAGCCTCGAGCTTAAGCTCCACGCGCAAGTAGCCCACCCACGCGGCGATGAACCTCAGCGCGTTGCCAGGCCATAACAAGCTTCCGGGGCGTTCACGTGCATCTTCCACTTGCTCGCGGAAGACGGTGCGCGCGCAGTACCTGGCGAGGATCATGAAGCTGCGCATTGGGCCCTGGCGGGTATGCAGGTTTTCGTCGAGGCTGCGAGTGAGGTCGTTTGTTTTGAGGATAAGTAGGATGATGCGGGGGACTTGGCCGAGCATCGTTACGAGATCTGATAGTAGACCTTCTTGTAGAGCGGTACCCATTGATTTCTTTTCCTCGTCGGATCGTGACTTTAGGATGGATGAGCTGACGACGGTGTAGTCGCGGCCGGTGATGGCGCTAGCAAATAGGGGGAACTGCTCGTCGGTGACCCCGGCAACCTCGTGCGCGTATCGCTTCATGGCAGTCATGTCCCCGTCGATAATCGCCAGCCACATTTTGGCATATGAGCGTTGTAGACTTTCGGGAATATCGCGATATAGTCCGTGGTCGTAGATGATAATCTCAAAATTAGCACCGCCCTTTCTTCGGCGAGTCGCCTTTCGGATGGCGAGATTGCCGCCGTGTGGGTCGCAGTGCAAGGATGCGTTCTTCCCGAAGATCATCTCGTTGAAAATTCGAGCAAGCGTGGCTGAAACCTCATCCCGATCAATATGGTTTGAATCCAAATATTCCAGATCGTCTAGACGGTGGCCCGACTCATTCGCCATAACCAAGATGCGCTTCCTTGCCCAAACAACGTCGGGGACCACAAGTGGTAGCTCGGGGATCCGAGAGAAGTATTCCTGAGTACGGGTCGCATTTGCGGCCTCGAGTTGGAAGTCGAGCTCTTGTGGTAATGACACATCCATCTCAGAAGATAACCACTCTAAATCATACTCGGGGAAGAACCTCTTCAAAGTCGAGAAGGTAAACCTGGTTAGGGTGAGATCGAGAGGTGCCCATTGCGCCAAGCCGGGATGCTGAACTTTTACGGCGACTTTTTGACCGGTCTCCTTCACGGTGGCTAAGTGGACTTGGGCGAGGGATGCAGCCCCTATTGGCTTCTCCGAGAACTCCGAGAAGTAATCTTTAAGCTCTTCACCCGTGTCGAAACGGAACATTTCCTCGATGGACTCATATGATGATACCGGACACTGATCTTGGAGGGGTATAAACGTATCAGTCCACTCACGAGGGAGAAGGTAAGTCATTGCGCTCTACCCACGGAGTTAGTAAATATTCAATGGGTTGCGTGGTCTTGATTATAGGATTACCAAGTGCTGTCCCAGCTTGATGAATATGCCTCCATTCTTCTCGAGAACCTTTAGTGTCCTCTCCGCACACCGCTTGTGACATGATTTTAGGATGATATCTTGTGCTATAGGGTCTTCGGTCTCGTCTCGTTTATTCAAGGTTGTTCGGTAACTAAGTAAAGACTTGGTTTAGTTATGATCTCTACCCCTTTTCATATTATCATATAGTTATCCATGGATGTTATACGTACTCGTTGATGCATATTGCCAGTGCTGCAGCCACCCTGCCCGTCCTCTCTGTGGCATCGTATCCATATTTTATGTCATCCGTGAAAGCCAGGACACCAGCTCCGGTTGCCGCAGTTGCAGTAGCGGTTAGCACACCAAGTTTCTTTTTACGAGGCTTTTGTCGTTTCGAATAGCCCGAAGAACCGGTCGCATATTGTCTTGCAAGAGAACGTTGTGTTGTCTTAACACTAGCTATAGGTAGCTGGGTGCGACAATTTACACAGGTCCATGATCGGTTAGTGGCGAGGCGGCCAAGAGAATTGATCGAGAGGCATTTCATGATAACGTAGCTCACGTAGCCTTCTAGTTCTCGTCATTTGAGGCGGTAAACTGATTAAACGGACCAATTACAAAATGTTTTCTATGACCATGAGCAGAACAATAAAGACATGTTGTCCTATTCCCTAGAATCTCCTTGCTGGTGGAGAATTTATTCAATGATTGTTGAATCGTGAATTATGTTGGGATTGTACTTTGTACGAAATGGACTAAGTAATAAAATTTCACAATCTTTTTTTTCTCTATCGATCGGGACATGCAAGTCCCGGTACGCAGAATACCTCGGCGTCATAGAGGCAGGGGCAGGGGTAAGGGAACATTCTATTCTGGATCGTGTGATGCACTGATCAATTGATGGACGGTACAGGGTTTCTGTGGCTGGGTCGAGCTTATCCAAATTTGGGATCGTATACGGGCTAAACGGTATCAGTACACTATTATGCATAAAAGCGAAAACTAATGCAACTATCAGGGTCTCAGCTTCTTTTTGTAGAATGCTTTTCTAGAATGATTGGTTCGAGTCGCGAACTATTACATTATCCATAGAACACGATATTCCCCGCAAACCCCTTAACGCGTTGTTACCCCTCTTACATGCATTGCAAGGTTCGCGTTGCTTTCCTACCCGCGTTTCTCTTTATCGAGCTCGACATAGAAATAGGTGGGCACTGTTCTTCATTGTCTGACTCAATTAAACAATTAAACCATCATTACAAAGAACGACAAATTCGTAAATTTCATATATCACATCATACCATACCATCGTACCATCAACTACCTATTATCCCATCACAATAGACGAGATGTTATCAACGATGCCAGTATTTAATCTCGATTTCTCATCGCCGCATCGGCCGGCGCATTCTTCGCCATTGTCGTCATCACCCATCAGAGCCAGTTCCCCGCCGCCTTTATCACATCGCGACCCGAACACACTTCCTCGCTTTGACACCCAGTCTTCGCCCATACGAGAATCATCTACCAAGTTCAAGTTCGCTCGTAATGTGAAGCCGAACCCGTTAAGACAGAACCGAGAGAATGCGCAAGAGAGCAGACGAAACCTGTTCCTTCGGAATGTACGGAAGCGGGCAGATGATAGACAGTGGGAGAGAAGAGGGGGCGACCAAGAGGTACGAGCGATCCTAATCAGATTAACAAACACATTGTACGACATTAATGCTAACAAGTTTTGTAGACTTTAAAGCTCGAATGGTCGATATTGGACAGGCAACGAAGAGAGCAAAAGAACGCGGATATCGATGGCATCGTATTTGAGGATGAGATCGATGAGATCCTAGATTTTCAGCGCCGGCAACCGGAGGACCCCGATGAAATGATGGTCGACGCAATGGCACAGGAAGAAGAGGCTGAGCTAAATGCGATGCTATCCATGCTTGAGACCCACTCATCTCAACCACGCGCAGAAACAAAACCGTCGACACTTGCCGATGATGACGACTATGATGATCTCTTCATGGACTTCCTATCGCAACAGAGCCAAAATAACCACAACGCAAACCAAGTGTTCGCATCTTCGGGACAGATGGACATGTCGTGAACTTCAAGGGCAACTGGTTACGTTAGTTCCATGGCAGCAAGGAGTTCTCTGGTACCGGTTTTGATTTGGCGTTGCGACTATATTGCGATTAGGGGTCTATGATAGGGTCAAGGGTTAAGGGTGGTAAGATATAAGTTCGTATTGCCTATATTACATGGCAATTTTGGGATTGGGACTTCACACAATCCGGGTGTATAAAAAATGAGGAAATAAGGGATAATCTTCCTCCTTGTATATCATCACTGTGGCGCGCATGACTCATCAGGCGCGTCAAGCACTTCTTTAGCTGAAGGCATATCTCCAACTAGGTCATGAGGCGGCGAGCCTGCTGCTTGCATCTGGTGTCCTAGTTAGTGATATAATAAACCAGTAGTCTCATGGGAGAACCATGAGACGGTCAATTAACTTACTTTTTGCATTCGATCCACGATGTATTCTCGATCTGCTACGTTGGAGTCGGCATATGTTGACTCCTCGAATTTGGAAACCATCTCTGAAACTAGGACTTGCTGGTCTTGGTAGCGCTTCAGGTCATCTTTTGGTAGGGTTTCTTTATTTTTCTCCATCCATGCCGGGAACTTGTCGTTTAGTTCCTTCATCGGTTCATAAAGGATCTCCTTATTAGTGAGTTGCTCCATCATTCCCATTAGCATCTTGGAAAAGTCCTCTTCGTTGCCTCCCTCGCTAGGGAGGTCCTTCATCGCTTTTAACATCTCAGCAATGAAATCATCCTCGGAGCCTTCAGCGGCAGCGGCAGCTGTGGCTTGGTCCCCAGATTCTTGCATCCTTTCCATCGTGCGTCGAATCGTCTCTTGAAATGAGGCGTCTTGGCTCAAATCCTCGGCGCCTTTCTTGGATGGCTGTGACGTCGACTCTGGTGCATTACCTGAACCTTCCGCAGTACCTTCCCCAAGTCCTTTGAATATGTTCTCAAACTGGGCTTGCATGTCCGGCTGGTTTTTATTAGTTCTGATATACTGCTCCTATATACGGTGATAACATAGCCTACCGAGTCATTCAAACCACTCATTAATTCTGCCATGCCAGCCTGAAGTCGTTTCTGAAACTCTTCTTCCGACAAATCCTCAAGATCCTCTAGTGGGTTGTCTGTTTCTAGCGCCGCGGCTGCCGATGCTGCAGCAGGAGCGGCAGAAGCTGGTGCAGGTGCAGATGAATTTGTTGTAGGTCTACCTGGTCCAGATGCTGCGACTGGTTTCTTTGCGTCTAGGTTCACACTGGAAAATTCGTCCAGAAAGTCGTCCAGGTCATCGAGGTCATCTTCATCTGGATCTGGCGCCTCGTCCGGATCCTGTGCTGCTAGATTGGCATTTTTCTCCACATCATTCAAGACATGTGCCGGAGTTGAATCGATATCAGAAGGCGTTGCTTTATCCGCCTCCATTTCGATCTGTTAAGGACTTAGTCCTTTTCTACACAGATTGTGAACCGCGGAATATCGCCAAACCCAACTACTTAGGTACTTGAAATCGGAAGCCCCGCGAACCAGGTGTACAGATTGGCCAAAACAGGTTTAATCGTCAAGCACGCGAACTGTATGAGTTAAACCAGGAATGGCAATAGAATGGCGATTTGAACAATAATATTCGCGAAGAATGGTGGGAGAAAGAAAGTGAGTCAACTAATAGAATAATATAGAACAATGAGTTTAAAAAGGCCGCTAGTAGAGCGATGCGATGCAAGTTGCGATTTGAATTAACGAATATGAACAAGTTGCCGAGGCCCTTTTAAGTGCCTTGAAGCTGTGAGATGCTTGGCAACAACTTGGAATGAGTAGGCAAGTAGATTTTACGTTATAATAACGGTTCTTACTGCAAGAGCGTACTGGAATTAGTGGTTTGACGTACATATGTCTACCTAGTACATAAGGTTTCTAAGGTTCAAGGCTCTAAGGTGATAAGATACTGCTAAATAACCCCACCATATCCGTTTTGGCTGGCTGGAAAATACTGGCAGAAATACTTAGACAGGAAGTCACCGCCTTCCCGTTTTATTATCTTTTTGCCTTATCCGTTGCTCGGACTTAACGTACAGTACCTGCCTGCGTGCCTAGCAGCAATAAAGAGAAAGAGAAACTGCTAAGGGTCTGTTGGAAAAGCGCTGGAACACCGCTGCAAGACGAAGCTTCCGGCTAACATCTATTCACGTTCATGCATTTCTTGCCTTTGGAGCCTCACCTACGAAGGCTTCACATTCTTTCCTTTTCTTCTTTTTCTTGATACACAACTTCAATACAGATCATCCCCTACTAGTAAACCAACTTTTTTCTCAAACTTTCTACCCGTTGTGAGGCCCTGAAGCCGATAAAGTCTATGACCCGCTGGCGAATATCGTAATAGATTCAACGCGAAAGTCATAGTATTAGCTTTTTCATAGAAATTTGCGCGAAGTCTTACCGCATTCCTTCCTTTTGATTCTACTACAAACATAGTAGAAAATCCATCCACCAGAACAAGAACAAGTTACACACGATCATCATCAATCGATTTATCCTCCAACCATGTCTCTGTGTCAATTGCGCCTCGGTGAGGAAAGGTACGTTACGCTCGTTATCGCACGGCTGTTGCGCGAGGCATTTATCATCGACCATTTCCCGTACTCTGTAGCTGACTTTTATGTCACAATAGAAAACAGTGGCGCAAAGATCACCCCTTTGGATTTTGGGCCAGACCGGTTAAAAATGCTCAAGGTGTTTTGGACCTGAAGATTTGGGAGTGTGGTATTCCTGGCAAGGAGAAGACAATCTGGGAAGGCGGTCTGTTCAAGTTAACCATGACGTTCCCTGATGGTAAGTTGTGACTACAATACGAGCTGCTTCAAGAGAGAATGATGCTGACTACCATTTCACAGAGTATCCCACGAAGCCTCCGAAGTGTATGTTTGACTATACCTACCGAGTACGACATGATTTATTGAGTAAATGCTAACTCACACTCCTAGGCAAGTTTACGCCGCCGCTATTCCACCCCAACGTATACCCTTCGGGCACCGTCTGCCTCTCGATCCTGAACGAAGACGAAGGCTGGAAGCCCGCGATCACAGTGAAGCAGATCGCGCTTGGCATCCAGGACCTCTTAGACAATCCCAACCCAGAATCGCCCGCGCAGGCCGAAGCGTACAACCTTTTCAAGCGAGACAAGATCGAGTATGAGAAGCGTGTCAGACGAACGGTCAGGGAAAACCCAGCCTCATAAAGCGTTCTTCGGGTGCTAGGAAGATGGTCTCTTAGGTCTGGGACTATTATACTTGGTGTGTTTTCGGGATTGGAGTTTAGGCTACGGATACCACACATATGGATGGCTGCTTTCTGCATTTGAGCCCTCGGAGTTTGACACAGGCAACTACGCAAGGATGTCAGAGAGGTTTTTAAACATTGCGGCCATGAAGTCCACGGCTTTTTCTTTCACTGGCGAAAATGATCTAGCTTGTGCTTTAGGAAGCCGTGGCACGATTTCAATGCAGATAGATTCCTCCGGGATTTATAGAGTCTATACATTCTCCGTTCCTTGTGACGACTATTCCGATGCTTACCTCTTATTCACTTCACGTGAATATCTAATAGCATGTGTTCAAAGCTAGAACCACTTGTTTAAATATCTAACTAGTAGGTAGAACAGGAACATCTGCTTACCCACTTTAGGTGGAATTGCTATGTATGGTTTAACCTGGCCTATTAAGGATTGATTCGATATCTATATGTATCACATAGGACGATCGAGCCCTATTTTAAGGCCATTCAATGGTACCCGGTTATCTAGATATGACGCAAAGATTACACAGCGCTCTTATGTCCCAAGTACACTTTTTCTCTATTTATTATAATGTTCAATGTTTAATGTTTAATTTCTAAACACATCAAATTCCATATCATACATCCAGAATGTTCAGATTAAAGTTCCGACTTTAGATGTTTCAATACGAGATAGGTTTAACAACAAACATTTCAATCTAGTATCTATTCATATAGTACCTAGATAACGTTATATAATTATAAAGTACATCCATGCATCCCAGAATAGGAATATATGAAATTAGCCTTTAAGTACCTGAATGTTTATCGACTGGTTTGACAATCAATCGGATGTATGTACCAATAGACGGTGGGCAGTTGGTAAGTGACTTAAGATTTCTTTCTTGTCCGAAATCGGCTATCTTCCGACTCGACGGTCTTAGCTAGTAAAAAAAGATTATAGGTGCCGTAAAGCTAGACGCCCCTTGGACGCCCCCTTGCCTACTATCTGACATAACGAACCCAGTTTGGTATCAGAAGGCAAAAATAAGTAATAAACCGTACTAATTGATAGCAATAATAGTTGTGACTCAAAGTCTCCTGTTCCGGTATTGGCTTTTTAGACTCACACTTTGACGCCGCTCCACCTAGCGCTGGTAAACATCTACCCCTTCTACCCACGCTTTTCTAGATCTAGTCGCGTGGCATATCTTCTTTTCCTAACACCATCACACCTTTTTTCTCTCTCTCGTTCCATTTGACGAGTTCATTCATTCCTACTTCGACCCTACCTGCACTACCACACTTCAAGACAAGCAAGATGTGTGGAATATTTGCTTGTCATAGGTAAGTTACCTTTTTTCCCCTGCATGGGAGACCGAAAGTCATGGAGGGGCAATTCGCGAGGGAGAATAAACCCCACCAAAAATAATTATTATCGATTGGTTTTACTTGTGCTGCCATTGGAAGAACACGCCGTATGCTAATAATTGGCTTGCGCCCAGTCACCCCGACGTCCAAAAATTCAAGCCGACGGCTTTGAAATTGGCGAAACAGTATGTATAGTCCATACTCGAGCTTGAGATCTTTAATTGACTCGTTCTGCGCAGAATTCGCCATAGAGGACCGGATTGGAGTGAGTCACGGCATAACGAACTGATTGCAACATTTAGGCGAATACTGATAGTTCCTATGCGTTCTAGGTGGAAGCTGTATCTGCAACAACACAAGTAAGGGCGTCCGTTAGGGTAGAGCCTATTAAGCGTGAGATTTGTCTAATCAATGTGCATTTAGTCCTTTGCCATGAGCGACTAAGCATCGTCGGTGTTGGTACGTAAACATCCTTATCTTAAGTACCGAAGATAGCATCGTGTTCATACTTACGGTATCACAGAGTCTGGCGCACAGCCCCTGACCAATGCGGACGACTCTATCATTCTCGCCGTCAACGGCGAAATCTATAACCATCGGTTGATCCGAAAGAACTTGAAGCACCCCTACCACTTCAAGACCGCCTCAGATTGTGAAGTCATCATTCCCCTGGTAAGGATAGCCTAGGAATTGTGTGTTCGATAAGCGAGGGGCACTCCATCTAACGTGCTTTTAGTATATGGAATATGGACTTGACGCCCCCAAGTATCTGGATGGTATGTTCTCGTTCGTACTGTATGATAAGAAGCTCGACCGAACGATCGCTGCCCGCGACCCTATTGGCATCACCACCTTATACCAAGGATGGTCATCCAAGGAACCTGGTACGACCTACTTTGCCTCCGAGCTGAAGTGTTTGCATACGGTTTGTGATGAGATCCGCGCATTCCCTCCGGGACACATCTACGATACCAAGACCGGCGAGACTATCCGATATTACGAGCCGAGCTGGTGGGAGGAGTCGAAGGTCCCCGAGACTCCCCTAGATCTGAAGTCCGTCCGAGAATCGCTTGAGAAGTCTGTGAGGAAACGGCTTATGGCTGAAGTTCCATATGGTGTACTGTTGTCAGGTGGTCTTGATTCAAGTCTGGTTGCATCCATTGCCCAACGAGAAACTCTACGGTTGAAGGCGGCTGCGTTAGCTGCTGCTAACAGTGCAGACGCTGAGGCGAGTGAAGACCCCGACAAGGGTGAGGGTCTCGTCGGTATCGATGACGACAACAAGCTCTCAACCGTGACGTATCTTCCACAACTCAACTCTTTCTCCATCGGTCTACCTGGCTCTCCCGATAACGAGGCTGCTGTAAAAGTAGCCAAATTCCTCGGCACAAAACATCACGTTATGACCTTCACCATCGAGGATGGCCTCAACGCATTATCCGACGTCATCTACCACCTCGAGACGTACGATGTGACGACGATTCGTGCTTCGACTCCCATGTACTTGCTATCGCGAAAGATCAAGGCTATGGGTGTCAAGATGGTCCTTAGTGGCGAAGGAAGCGATGAGATTCTCGGAGGATACCTATACTTCCACGCTGCCCCGGACAAGAAGGCCTTCCATGAGGAGACGGTTCGTCGGGTCAAGAACTTGCATCTCGCCGACTGCTTGCGAGCCAACAAATCTACTTCAGCATGGGGTCTTGAGGCTCGAGTCCCTTTCCTTGACAAGGAGGTAGGTTACCATAATACCAATTTGATGCTTTTGAGACGTTCCTTACTGATACCGTCTAGTTCCTCGAAGTCTGCATGAACATTGACCCGCAAGAGAAGATGATCACCAAGGAGCGAATCGAGAAGTGGCTGTTGCGAAAAGCATTCGACACATCGGACGACCCCAACGCGCAGCCGTACCTACCAGACGAGATCCTCTGGAGACAGAAGGAGCAATTCTCCGACGGTGTCGGTTATGGCTGGATTGACGCCCTCAAGGACAATGCCGAGATCCACGTTACCGATGAGATGATGAAGAACCCCAAGCCCGAGTGGGGCAGCGACATTCCCGATACTAAGGAGGCGTAAGTTCGATCATTACCCCTCTAAAAAGACCTCGCTAACATTCAAAAAAGTTACTGGTACCGCCTGATGTTTGACGAGCACTTCCCTCCCCACTGCGCTTCGACCGTAATGCGATGGACGCCGACATGGTCGAAACAGACTGATCCCAGCGGAAGGTAAGTTGCCATGATGGTAAACCGTTAATTTAATATTGTAACAGACGCTAATATGCAAAAATGCAGAGCTATCGCAACACACGTCGCCAAATACGACGAAACATCTGCATAATTCAGCATCCTTTGATGTTGGGTAAAAAAGGTGAAACCAAAGAGAAGCATAGAAGTACAGGGTCTGAAATATAATGGACTGAATAGGGCATTGAAGGGTCAATTGCTGAATAAGGCATCGCGTACCATTAAGGGAAACTTTCAGCGATTATGGCGAGATTTGATTGGTCTCTTCCGGTTAGGAGAACAAACTTAGAGCATGGATGTACCTGTAGCTGCAGTGCCGTGTGTTTTCATCTGGGTACCTGCCTCTTTTAGATAGGGACTTGCCATACATACCTAGATAGAGATTTGTTTCGGACAACATCCGTATATTTCTTTCTTGACTGTGACTAGGAGATTCCACTCTTGAATCGGTAGAATGGTAGAATGGATACCATTACATGCATGCATAAGACCGTCTTGAATAGAACCCTGGATGAGTTCAGTTAATCGTTCTATTTTGACTTTTAAACCACTCCTAGTGTAGACAATCCCCACGTGGACAGGGGTTAATCGAAAGGTGAGGTTGTACGAGGAATTACATACTGGCATCCATAGATGTACCTAGACTGCTAGGTTAAAGTTGCCAAGTGCTTCACGTTGGTTGCCCAGTTGTGCCTGCTAGTGTGCTTTAGTTCATCAGGACCAATTAGAGGCTGGGAATGTACGCCGCAGACCCGATCGGGTAGAGGAAAGAATAATTTCGGGTTTGTCGTTTTGTACCATATGTACCAAATCTAGCATCACCCAATCCCATTCAATTCAAATCCACACACAATACCCCAACACAATTACTTTTTTTCCTCATCTGCATCTGCTTGATATTTTTGTCAAAACAACAACCTTCGGTATTGTGAATAATCATAACCATTGATCAAGATGTCTATTCCGGCTTTCGCTGATATCTCCAAGTCAGCAAATGACGTGCGTACACCAACTCTTAATGCTTCTACACATTTGGAGCTACCCCCCCTCCTCGGCTATCAGTTTCCCAAGCCTCAAATAAATTTCCCGCAGCTCGAACTTTTTGCTCCTGTCGCGCAAACGAGAAAGACGAGGCTAACCACGGCAAATATAGTTGCTGAACAAGGACTTCTACCACCTGTCCGCTGGCACCATTGAGGTGAAGAGCAACACTCCGAACAATGTTGCTTTCAAAGTTACTGGCAAGAGTAGCCACGAGAAGGCCACTGGCGGTGCCGTAAGTATCCCCTATTTGATTCGGTTGTCATTATGCTAGCTGCACTAGGAGTCAATTCCTATGCGCAAGCTATGTAGACGACTCTTCTCCCTTAAATAAGTGTGTCGAAGGTTAACGATTGGATACTTTGGACTACAGATCGAGGGCAAATACGCGGATAAGTCACTCGGTAATGATGCCACCACTCCCAATGAACAGACAAACACCACAGTCGCCCGCAAGCGCCGGCCAGCGCAATTCTCACTGTCATTAAGTCGGATAAGGGTGCCAGGCCCAACAGCCTTTCCACTCGAATTCGCTTCACACGTTAATCAACACGGATTGGGTTTGCTAATTCTATACCGACGCGCAGGCCTTACCCTGACTCAGACCTGGAATACTACCAATGCTCTTGACACCAAGGTCGAACTCGCCGATTCCCTCGCCAAGGGTTTGAAGGCCGAGACTATCTTCTCCTTCCTTCCCGCCACCCAGAAGAAGGGTGTCAAGCTCAACCTGACATTCAAGCAATCTGCCTTCCACGGCCGTGCCTTCTTCGACCTCCTCAAGGGCCCCACCGCAAACGTCGACGCCGTTATCGGCCACGAAGGTTTCCTCGCCGGTGCCTCTGCTGGCTACGATGTCCAGAAGGCCGCCGTCACCGGCTACAACGCCGCCGTCGGCTACCTCTCCCCCCAGTACAGCGCCGCCGTTACTGCGACCGACAACCTAAGCGTCTTCGCCGCTAGCTACTACCACAAGGTCAACAGCCAGGTCGAGGCCGGTGCCAAGGCCACCTGGAACTCCAAGAGTGGTAACAATGTTGGTCTCGAGGTTGCCAGCAAGTACCGCCTCGATCCTGTCTCGTTCGCGAAGGTTTGTCCCCTCTGGCGCAATTGGATTGAACAACTTATGAAGACACTAACAAAACGTAAAATAGGCCAAGATCAATGACCGTGGTGTCGCTGCCGTTTCCTACAACGTCCTTCTCCGCCCTGGCGTTACCCTGGGTCTCGGTGCCTCTTTCGACACCCAGAAGCTTGACCAGGCCACCCACAAGGTTAGTATTGCATCGTGAATTATCCTAATAGTAGGGTCGTATTCTAACAGAAAAATAGGTCGGTGCTAGCTTCACTTTCGAAAGCTAGAGGCTTCCATAAATCGGTGGATTGATTGCGCTAGACGAATTCCCGGGACGCGGATGCCCAATACCCTTTCATTATCCATATGTACCCTATAAACACAAGACAGGCAGGATTCGCATTCAGGTGGGTATCTCTTGAATGTAGATTAGACCTCGGACGTTTTATGCCGATTAAAATGGAAATAATGCTCGGGTGGTTCTGAATGCATACGACTCTTGCCTTTTCCCCCTTACTTTTTTTCACAATCGTGACAACTGACCGCTAGTACCTATGTATATCTGACTCCAACACATGCATACCGTAACCGTGAACCGGCCCTCCTCTAGGTCCTATCTCATGCAGGAGCGCTCCACTTCCCCTTCTTCCCCTTCTTATCCTTATCCCCTCCACCACTATCCCAGATCCTACTAAGCGCAAGCGGTATCATAATGCTCATCGCCAGTATCCCCCCCACTACAATAAACATGGCCCCCTCCCCCCGCTCCTCGGACCGCGGGCGTGCATTCAGATCGATCTCGTGCTCGTTGAAATACGTCCGTCGCTGTTGCTGCGTGCGTCGCTTGTCGCTCCACCGCGCGGAGCTGTGCTCGTGCGAGACCCGGTCGAAGTGCGGGACTTCCCCCTCGTAGCCCCGCCCGAACGGCGTTTGGCCCGGTCCCATGCCCCCCGCGCCCGTGCCCGTGCTTTCGTGTCCGGTCCCGGTTTTCGGGGATGATGATTGCGAGGACGAGGTAGAGGTAGAAGAGGGGGACCCCGCGCTCTCGTCCTGCGCAGCCTTCCTCTTCGCACCGTGAGCACCCCAGCCCCCGCTGCGGAAAAAACTCGGCGGTGGGCCCTGGAAGGCGGAGCGGCGTCGGCTTAGGCCCGAGGCGGGACGGCCGCCGGCGGGGTTTGTGCTGCTGTACGAGGGGTGGCGTTGTTGTTGTTGTTGGTGTTGGTGTTGTGCGCGCTTGTGCAGTTGCAGTGTGTCTCGGTCGTAGGTCGCGCGCTTGGCCGGGATCGAGAGGATGCTGTAGGCTTCGCTTATTCGCATGAACCGCCGTGAGGCGTGCGGGTTGCTGGGGTTGTGGTCGGGGTGGTGGGTTTTGGAGAGGGAGTAGAAGGATCTGTGGTTGGGGGTTGGCTTGTTAGTGGGGTTTGTAGCACGGGGACGGGTGGGAGTGTGAGGTTGGGTTTGTGGAGGGGATTGGGGAGGGTGCGACTGACTTCTTGATCTCGGCGGGAGTGGCGCCTGGTTGTAGTTTCAGTGTCTCGTAATGGTTCTTTGAGCTGTCGATTTGCTTATCGCGAAGGTGCGTGGAGCTGTGGAATCCATTTGAGGGACTTGTCGCCGGCGACAGAAGAAAGGGAGCGATGCCGTATAAGAGACATCGGCGCGGACGGGCTGCGGAGACGGAGGGGGTCAAGGGGGATACGGCGTGACGGAGTGGCATGCCTCATCCCGAATCAGAGAGGGGTTTTGGACCTGGAATTGGGTTCTTTGAGCAGATCTTAGCATAGAATAGGATTGCAAGTAGGTGAAAAGGGAATCTAGGTGCTGTATCACCGACATCCGCAGTCGGATGAAATGAGTGACGACATCAATGGAAGGTTTAATGCGCGTGCTCATTTCCGCTTTATCGACGGATCTTATCTGATGTGGCGGTGTCCGCATATGTGGCGTTTTGTATACACTGTAAATCCGAAGTCCCGGGCGAGCTTGGAAGCTGCAGGTACATACATTTACTTCAAAGGTTCATATGTCACGTTGGTACTCTTTCTCTCCCAGATCTCGGAGATCCCCCACCGTTCTACAAATGCCGTACAGTTACATCCGTGCAGGTGCAGTTACACAAATAGGTACCTAGCCGGAATATTGTTTGCTCAGTAATGTGCCGCTCTAAAATGCCGCCCTTCTTTCCTTACCGGCAGTCAGCAATTAAAAATGCAAAGACACGGGGAATTGGTCTATAAATCTTCACGTAAAATTGGGTATTCAATTGGAAGTGGGAAGTTGAAGTAGAAGTAGTTTAAAAATGACTCAAGAAACTACGGGCGTCCAATTGGGGATTAAGACGGACGAACTTGGGGATGGAAACCAACCCGGTGTGACGCCCTCTGCGGAAATACAAGCTGAGAAGAAACCCCAGCCTCCAAACGGAGGTTACATGGCTTGGCTTCAAGTTTCCGCTGCCTTCGTCCTTTATTGGAATACCCTGTAAGCTGACCTCGACTCTCACCCGTTTATCATAACCCACAACTGGGAATACTCATAGTAGCTAGTGGTCTCCTCAATGGCTTCGGTGCTTTTCAGACATACTATGAAGAATCCTTGCTCAGCAATGAGTCGCCATCAGCCATCTCATGGATCGGTTCCGTCCAGATCTTCTTTCTCATGGCTGGCGGTGTCTTCTTCGGTCCTCTGTACGATTTAGGCTATGCGCGCTCGATGTTGGTCGCGGGCACGTTCTTGGTGACGTTTGGCTTTATGATGACTAGCATCAGCGCGAAATATTACCAAATATTCCTGGCCCAGGGACTCTGTGTCGGCATCGGAACCGGCTGTCTATACATCCCCGCCATCACCTTGGTTCCGGCCTATTTCACCACTAGACGAGCCCTAGCAATGGGCATCTCTGGCGTAGGAAGCAGTCTAGGAGCGACCCTCTACCCCCTCATCTTTGAAAGGCTCCAGCCGCAAATAGGATTTGGCTGGACTGTCCGTATTATCGCATTTATTAACCTAGCGATGTGCTCATATGCTACATTCATCGCAAGACCCCGCCTAAAACCTGCCCGGACCAACTCCACTGCAGGTTTAAGCTGGAGCTCTCTCAAGGAGGTTGCCAAGACCGCCGAACTGTCAGACTCGCGCTACATTATCCAATGCGTCGCCATATTCTTCAGCAATGTCGCTTTCTTCGAACCTCTGTACTATCTGCAGAGTTATGCCCAGTCTCATGGGATGGAAGGCCAGGACCTAGCCAACTATCTCCTGGTGATACTTAACGCCGTCGCTATTCCAGGCCGTATTATACCTTCGTATGTTGCTGACAAGTTTGGTGTGTTGAACACCTATATAGGTATCTGCGCTTTTACGGCAGTAAGCGTCTTTTACTGGATTAGCGTGAACAATCGGGCTGGAAATATCGCCTTCTCTGTGCTGTATGGCTTTTTCTCCGGCAGCGTTGTTACCCTAGCGCCAGTGGTATTGGCGAGCATCACCGACGATCTTAGCATCTTAGGCACTCGACTGGGTTTCGTCGCCGTGTTGAAAGGAATTGGGTCCCTGATCGGGCCACCCATTGCTGGCGCCATCTTAGGGGCTACCAATAGCTACCTCGGCGTCCAGCTGTTCGCTGGTTTGGCAATATCGCTCACCACCGTGTTTGCCGGCCAGCTACGGATCATAGTGGCCCGTCATAAGAAGCGGATAGACAATGGAAGGTCCGAGAGCGAAAGTGAGCCGAGTGGCGAGTCGGAAAAGAAAGTTTAGATATAATTAGATGCCTCTATGCACTGCTTTAGAGTGCGTTATCGACGGCGTGTTTAAAGTTAGAACCGGGTTCAAATGGCTACTTTAGGGATCGCCAATGAATACCACGGCAAGTTCTCCGGACGTTTGAATCCTGAACCCAGTCCCCAGGGTGGACCCCAGGGCGGATTCCCGTTGCCGTAGGAGGGATTAATCTTTCTTTTTAAAGCCACTAAGGCGTTCAAAGTTTCCAGTTTGACCGGAATTCGGCCTGTGGGAGACCTGCCGTGTAATTCACATCCTCAGGTAGGTTGCCACCTAGGTACCTAGTAGGTAAATCGGAAGTCTTTAGCCCACAACATGTCCATGGAATGACTTGTTGACTAAGTCGATAGAGCTTAGGGTACGAGGAGATAGCTCTCTTGGACAACGGGATAATTGTCTTCGTTAGAGATCGCTTTCTTGAGACACCGTGGATTCCGTCCACGAACATGCAACGGTACATGAGTTGACCCTAGGACGGAGGACTTTTCCTGTATGTAACCTTATCACTAGGCAATAGGAGCCAGCTCCTGTTGCCTAGTGTCACAATGCACATACAGGATTTGTAGTCCATCTACACTGTTCCTAGGGACAGCATCTACGGTGCATCTCCTAGTACCCTTGGATTTCCCCGCTTTAGTCAATAAAGTCTCTAGCAGACTTTGTCGCTAATCCTTGGGTCGTTTCCCTTCTAGCCGAAAACCGAGCATTTTGTGCAATACCCTTCGCTCGTCCGTGCCAGCACGAATGCGAAGGGGGTTGGGGTCGTTGATCAAGAGTTAGGTCTTGATCATCCGAGTGCGGGATCAGAGTCAGTGGTCTGTGAAGTAGGTATGTTAGTCATTTGACGCATATAATGTTATTCGGAATTAACAAATACAAAGTAAAAATTCTGCAAAATCACTTACCCAGCCACTGGGACTACCTCTTATTCGGTAGTGTACCCATCCCCTTGAGTAGGTAGGTGCAGACTCTACCAGATACAAGATTAGCTTGTATCTCTTTAGGAGGCCTACATCCGCCAACCAAGGGGACGGGCGTGTATCTTGCTAGTATTCGTATTGTAGCCCCTCTCCCTCTGGGTTTGGGAGCTACAACGAGCTCATTGGCCTGATACTTTAGAAGTACAGACGGCAATGGGCTGTTTCGCCGTTCGATATTGAGTGAGGGGGGAGATAACACTCCCGAAACTGACAAGTGATATCTACGTTAGTAATGCATTAAACAAATCGTTCACTCAAATTTTCGAAAGGAAAACTGGAGGTGTGTGAAACTACTTACCGGCACAAAGAACCGCTCATGGATCTTGGCGATGTGGCTTCGCCAAACATTAAGGACGGTCATCCATCACGTTAGATGTGTTGGGGTAACGCTTCCCCTGAGATTCGCGTTGTGCGATCTTCAACGATACGGCAATAAGCTCATCGAAGTCTAGTTCCAAGACACGGACAGTGACTGGATCAGTCCTATCGTGCGAGGAGAATGTCTCGTTTCGAGTCTTGTTAAGCCCCGTTGTAGGTACAGGAGACCTCCTGTAGGTGTTGTTAGCTAATAGGGCCTAGGTTTATTCGAAACCGTCGAGGATGATTGCACGATCATCCTTATTGTCTGAAGGTGAAATTATTAATAAGGGGGAGTCATTTACCTGATAGGGTTATGCCGGCCACAGCACACCCGTCTCCAATGGGTGTGCCGGAGGTGCTCTGCACGAGCAGAGCACGGGGATTTAATGAATCCTTCCAAGGAAGCGAATTTCCTTGGAATGGTAGAAAGGTATTAAAAGGAGTTATTTATAATGATTAATATTGTGACAATGCGTTTATGCAATGTCGAAATAAAAAGATGTAGGATGTTAAGGTAGAATTAGTAAATGGACGGTATGAAAATACGCGTCAAGTTGGATTTGAAAAAAAGATGTTTTGGGAGAAAGGAAACGAGAATAAATAGGATGGGGGACGAGATATAAGTGCCCATGCTCGCCTGTACAATCAGTAACTGCCTGACTTATCTACACGATACTGATCATATGGATGTAGTAGTGTATATAATTAATGATATACATGTAGTGTACGTACCCAGGTACCCAGGTAGGAACATCGAATGTACTGATGATTCTATCACGTACCTCGTACCTCGTACCTCTGCGGTCATTACCTAGGTATTTAAGTATTCATAAATATTTCGCAGCAGTACATCCCAAGGTATATAATTTCAACCATCAGATCAAAAGTTCATAACTCAGTTCATTTATACCCAGATATTATCTGAACTGTTATATTGTCGTCTTACATTATTAATCCGCCTCAGCCAGACCTATCTTCCCATGCCGGGTTTTAAAGGGGGTTGAGTTTCATTTTCGAATCCAAAAGTACCTGCATAGGTATTTTTCCCGCACACAGGTAACTTGGAAGCAACGACTTATCTGAAGTATGTGTAGGGGGTTATAGAATACTACACGGTGGTCATCCTCAATAATGACGTCCAGGAATGTAGTATCGAGTCGCGCGAATCCTTGATTCTAATGTCAAGATTTCCTAGTCCCTGAGAGGCAGCGTCTCCATTGTGTCAAGGTTAATCATAACTACAAAATAGTCAACAGCGGCGCGAGCGTCTCTGCTGGTTAAACCCCCGGCTCGCATACACCACCCACCCCGACCTTATCTCAAGCCTTATGCAAAGAGGTCTCCTTGGTCACCATATAGAAATTCCGTCTTTAATCCTTTCCATGGGATTGTTGCCATTCGTGGACATCATACTCTACGTCCCGTATTATACCACTATGCGGAACGCCTCCTACAACTTGGCCTTTTCTATCGCACACGCTATGGCTAGCCGTGTCTCCATTTGTTTCAGTACGCCAACGATATCCCATGGATTGAGGTACTGTAGACCCATGGTCTTCAGAAAGTGCCTGAGGGACTATATGTTGGGAAGGCCAATCGCTTGAACCTAGTTCAACATCGGGCTGCGACCGTAAAAGCGACTCGTCGTTGTACAGGCCTCTCTTCTTTTGAGGTCTAAGCGAAATCGAGCCAACAGTCGGGGGGAAGTTCTTTTGAGACCTTTCTTCGATGACTGATGGTTTCGAGGACGCAATGGATACCCATTTCTCACCCAGGGTGTGGTAAATGGGACCAAGTGTCGGTACAGTGGCCACAACAAGACCGAGTGAGATCTCTGATAATACGAAGATGGTGCTGTTGAGAAGACAAAATGTATTGTCCGACTCCGGGCATGTTAAATTCCAGATAAGGCGACCTAGATTTACACCTGCGACACTGCAAGATGTCAGTATGTACCTAGTTGACGTTATACTTCCCCAGTAGGCTTCGACGGATGAACTCACCATGTGCCTACTGAGAATGCACTAGTGAGCACCCATTTCTTCTGCTTCGAGAGTTGTAATTGCCAGATGACTGGCAGAGGAAGAAATGTTACCAGAATATCGATGATCATACTGATGACAGCAGAGGATATCTCTGCTGTAAGAATATTGCCGCAATGCCGGTCCAATGTGATGTCCCAACTTGCTTGGATGGGTCTACATAGGACGAGGTCGACCACGATGCATTGTATCTCGTTTACAACGACTAGGATGATGAGGATCATCGAGCCATAGCGGACGACCTTCGCGGAAAATATCTCCCTGTACAGCAAAAGAATTGCAAGGCGGAAGGCAGTAATAGATGTGGACCAGATCCATTGCTGGACGAAAAGCCCCTGAAGTGAATTGGAGATGTTACTACTAATCGGAGGATACTGTGTATAAATATGCAGGAATGGGATGAACAAACCTTGAGCGAGTTCTCAATCTCTTCCAAAGTTAACTCGTTTACATGTATACCATATCCTCCACGGGCAATACCTGGTGTGGTTACCTGTCAGTCCTCAGAGTTCAAATTATTGTGTCGAACAGGTAGCCAATCTAGCACATACCGAATAAAGAAACACAAACGACTTCAATAATCAAACCAAAGTAAGCCAGAAGGATGAGATAATCGTACGTCTTGGGCATTGAGCTTCGAAGGTGGATGGCTAGAAATCGTAGGAGGACTGCTGCCGAGCCAAGCACAAACATGACAGCGGCCATGATCGACCAAACAACCGTAGGGCTGGTAGTCATGTTGCTCCTTGAGATCTGCAAACGTGTGCGAAATAGGGGAAGGGGAAAATCCTGGGCTCTGCTCAATGACTGGAGTTGAAAGCTGTTGGGCCACGTGACGGGTAACAGGAACTCGATATAGGAAACTCTCAGGGTAGGTCATTTGAGAATTTCGTGACGTGACGAGTCTTGAAATGTATTCGGAATTAATAAGATTCTCATTCAGTGAACCGAGAGGTCATTAGAACGACAGCCGGTAATTCTCAATCGGTTAACCCGTTAATTTATTTTCTTTATAAAAACGTTAAATCAATAAATGCCAGAAGCCAATAAACTAATTATAAAATGCAGTTGGGGAACAAGATTCAGCCATATACACCTCCATTTCTGCGGTCAGCGCACTTTCAGCTGTGCGACCAACTGCGCGCCCAATAGGCATTTACTCCAACATATATACCTAGCCATCCAAGTACTGTGACTTGGAGCATACGAGCCTTACTCTGTACCGCTGAGTCTTAAGGATAAAGTAATAATCGAGCACGCCATTCTGCCTGCATGCCTATTCTCAGTAGAGTAAGTTTGGGATCTACCTAAGTGCAGAAGGCCCATGTCACCATTAGCCGGGCGGTTTCGAAATATGATCCAGCATCTTTATTTGCGTGGGCAAAGGAGGGTGCGAGGTTATCGTGATAGGGATGTCTCAGCGCCATCGCACTCCAAACCCCAACACGCGTCTCCCGCGGGCCGCCACCGGCTTCTCTCGTCCATCCCTCGCCTGTTCGCCTGTTCGCCTGTTGGGAGCCATGGAAATAGCGGGCGCTTGTGTGACCGACCCTGGAATTTCCTTCGGCAGTCTACCGACGGCACAGTTCTGATGGTGAAACCCTCATGTCGCAGGAGTGACATTCACATTCCGGTCATATTATCCCGCAGCAATTATTGTCCAATACCACGCGACCTACGATGTAGAAGGGCGGTATAGTTAACATTCACAACCCCCGTTGTAGGTCATCAGTGAGGAGCAATGGATACTTGGGAATAGTTCGGACTTCGTCTCGGGGAAAGCTCTGAGACGTTTATAAGCCTTTGAAGGATTGTACGCTTTTGACACACTCTAGGTGTCGATCGATGTCAAAATCTACTTTCAACTTGAAGACAAATTCTGTCGATAGGAAACTGTACCCCTTTAAATCGTTCTCTAACGATGACAGTGTGTGGTTTGCCCTAAATCACTCCATCCGTTGTAATTGTCTCTCGACATGGTTCCAGATCTCGAGTCTCAACACTCTTCCCTCATGGTTCGGGTCACATTTCACGCCCAAACGTTGTGGCTGTTCACTTTTAGTGATCTTAAAACGATTGTGATCCCAAGCACAATTTTCGGCATCATCAACGCGCTAGCATCATCTTTTTTCGGAATTCCCTCTACTGGGACAGATCCTATCAGGAGACTGCCCCTTATTTTCCTCTGGGTATGGGCACACCTACTGCCCTTTGCTATCAACAACCAGAGGGCACCATTATCTATTATCGAGGACTTAGTCAACAAACCATGGCGACCGATACCCCAGGGCCGAATCTCTCCTAGCCAAGCTAGAGTGTTGATGCTCTGTCTGTACGCCACCACGCCCCTTATCAGCACGTTACTCGCCGGTGGTCTACGACAGAGTGTGGCTCTCATTTTTCTCGGTACCTGGTACAACAACTTCGGCGGTGCTGACAGACACCCCATCATGCGCAACGCCATCAATGCGCTGGGCTATTTATGTTTTGCTTCTGGAGCTATGGAAGTCTCGCTCGCCTCACCGCTGCCAATAAACTTCTCTGGCTCTGGTTCCGGCTCGGGTCTTCTCCAATGGCTAGGCATCATTGCAGGTATAATTATCACGACTGTACATACACAAGACATGTACGACCAGGAAGGAGATGCCTTGCGAGGTCGCCGCACCTTGCCGATTGTCGTTGGCGACGCTTGTGCTCGATATATCACAGCTCTTTCAGTGGCACTCTGGGGGATTTGCTGCCCTACCTTCTGGGGTGCAGCCCCCGGTAGTATGGCTTTCATCGTGAGCTTCGGATTTGCGATCATAGTCGTTATTAGAACATTGATGTGCCGGGACGTCCCGAACGACAAGTTGACATTTTTAGTATGGAATATATGGGTTTCTACCGTATTTATTCTTCCAATTTGTTCCCCGAGTCGTAGGGTATAACTGTGTTTAGTTGTTTTATTTAAAACCGAGTGAAAAAAACATCAGAGATATGTTTGGCCACTGGTAGTGTAGAGTTAACTGATCAATCTATTAGGTACCCTCACGATCCGTCGTGCTGTGCGCAGCCCTGGAACCACACCATTTCCAAACGATGTGAAATCCTGTTTAATAATCTAAATGTGCTGTGCCAGGTGACTATTAGGTATGACCTAATTCTGGTGACGTAGTACCTATTTCCTATAGAGCTCAGCCCATCGGATGTGGGACATAGTCATGCAGGCAGACCCCAGCTATTCTCAGCACTAATGACGGATACGCGCAGAGCCGCAATAATTAAATCTAGTGAATTACTCGGAGTTACGAAGTAGACGGGAGCTTATGAATTCAAACCCCCCACCACCTCTTTCCTAAATAAGAAGGGATGGGATTGCCAAGCTTTTTAAGTAGTCTAGACTACCGCCTTCTTTCGACCCACTCAAATGTGTGTTTTACCAATTATAATTAGCCTACATAAGGCTTTATTAAAAACAGTTCGGTAAGAGTTTTTAGAATAATAAAAAGATAACATAAGAATTTACTAAGAAATTACCTCAAGCGGTTATTGGTTAGAAAGATAAAAAGGTGGAAATTGAGCACTTCTGTTGTTAAATGAACCCTAGATTCCATTGGCTAAAAAGGGCTAAAGTGAAGATAAAATGGATCTGCCGAGCTGATAACACGGCATACATACAGATGAGGCTCTTTGTCTTTTCTGTTCCCGGTTCCCGGGGCTAGCGACCAACAGGACCTCATGCACCTCCACGGGCCAAGCTACTGTGCCGCCCTCTTTCTTAAAGGGGGTGACCTTGCAGTGGGCTAGTAGAGCCGAAAGACGGGAGTATACATATTTCTCGTGGGGGCCGACTTAATCTAGCCACTCTTGAGTCTTTAATGTCTCTAGGTAAACATGAGGTCGTACAGCATGGCATACAAGTAAGCAAGATAACCCGTATGGTATAACCACCCCTCTCCTCGATTTGTGGTAGTTGGCATTCCCCCTCTGTTGCCGTAGTACCTTCCCTGTAAGGCTGGCTGGTTAACTAGGTGCGGCGTCGTACGAATATTACAAGGCTACCCCCCTTAGGGAGGAGTAGCTCGGAGTTTACATATGACAGGTCTCATGTCATATGAATCTATTCCCCGTGGGCAAGCGCGCCTAAGTGAAAAAGAGCCCTCAATATAGAAAGGCCACGATGTAAAATAAAAATCTTGGATAATCCTTGGTTACACATATATACGCCTGAGCTGATTACACCAAAGTTGAATCTTGATAGCACTGGGCACTCATATCAACAGCACCAATCTAAACAAAGACATTTGATTGTTATGTCTTTAATAATAATCTTAAAACAAGCTAGTTAAATAAATTAGAACTTGGGATGATGTAAAAGGAAGGACGCATCTTTGGCATAAATAGGGATACGTAGCCTTGTCCCCTCTTGCTACAGCCTGTAGGGCTTGGCAAGCCTTCTTGTCTGGGAAGAAATAATGATCAACTTATTTACATCCGGTGGGACGTATATCTATCTACCCAGGTAGGTATCTATACATCGCCTTGGCGCGCGCTGGTGCATAGGATGTCTCCTTTAAGAGGGGGCAGAGCTGGAGTTTCGTGTGACAAAGGAACAGCAAGTGTCCAGGAAGGGGCCTTGAACCCATGAGAAGTAAACTCCGAGCACTGAGTGGGAGCGGTTGGTGTAAGGTCACACTGGTTGGTGAGGTCGTACTTGTGACGAGAATGCACCAACCTTCGAATCGACAAAATGAGAACAACTGTTGCGGGTGGCGCGATTCTTACTGATATCAGTATCAGTCGTATCGCGTTCAGACTCTCTGGGAATCGAGCACCCTGCAGATTCTGTTACGTCTCAAGGCGTTCTCGATATTCCCTAAGCAGCTCAATCCAGTTCTTAGGCATGACAGACTAGAGCCTCAATAACAGTCGCCTTGACAGCCTAGAAAATCACAGCTCGACTTTCTGCTGCAATTAATGCCAAACACTTAGTCAAGATGGCACACATCATGCCACAAACTTCCGCCAACGTTATCCTGCCGTTTCTTCTTGGTGTATCTATGCACCACGGTGTATTCATTCACGGAGAATGGCATAATCAGGCTCCATCGATTGTCGTTAGCCACTTTTCATTTCTCTTTGTCTTGCTAGCGTTCAGAATCGTCCGTGGGTCCGGGGCCGTCTTTCAAATTGTAGTCGAGACGGCTCTCTCAACATCCATCTACTTTCTTGGCTTATTCCTTAGTATAGCAATGTATAGGCTGTTCTTTCATCGCCTGAAAGCGTTTCCAGGGTCTCGCCTAGCTAGTCTTTCCAAGCTCTGGCATGTCTGGATGTGCCGAACGTCGAAAGGTCACCGCGTCCTTCAGGCCTGGCAGCAGCAATACGGCAGTATTGTCCGCACAGGTTAGATCAGAGCCTATATCACTGCCTGGATGCATAGACATCTTTCTAATCTAACGCATATTCAGGCCCAAACGAGGTCACCCTTTTTCATCCAGCTGCTTTCGAATTTCTGGACGGCATCAAGAACGAAAACACAAGATCTGACTGGCATGATATACTTCACCCAAAGTCAGGTGCTATTTTCACAAGGGATAAGAATGCCCACAAGGCTCGGAAGAGAGTGTGGGAGTCAGCCCTGGGCTCTGGAGGTAATTGTTCGGTCCTGTCCAAGATGACGAGGCTAACTATTAAGCTTTGATTCATCATTATGAAAGCCTCAAGCGGCATGTCCAAGTACTCGAGAGTATGGTCAGCGAGTATAGTGAGACGCCGGTGGTTGTAAATGACTTGTTGCACTGGTTCGCTTTTGATTCAATGGGTGATTATGGGTTTGGGCAAGACTTCGGCTTGATGAGAGAACGAAAATGGAGTCGCGCTGCTATCAACTTGCACTCTTCTTTGTCTGTCCTCGGATACTTGAGTCCTGCGATCTGGGTCTGTATTCTTGCGTTTTTCTTCATGCCTGGGCTCTGGAAGGTAAAACATTGGTTCCAAATGATCGAGTTTGGTGATAATTGCGTTGAGAAAAGGAAAAAAGTACGTTCAGATCCTTGTCTTTCTCCAGTGCTCTGAGGCAACCCTTTCTGTGCAAAATTAGCAAGATATCCCCATTAACTAATCGTAGCAACTTTCTGGACACGTGGATATAGTCTCAGCCTTCATCCGTGACTATGAAAAGCACAGAGAAGATGAGATCTACAACCCAGACATGACGCTCAGTGGAGAAGCTGCCATCTTGTTGGTCTCTGCAAGGTAGGCATTGGCTCGCATTACTTGATTGAACGTACGTACCTGGAGAGTGAATACAAGTCTAACGCTGCCGTTTATGTCACAGTGAAACGATTGCTCCGACTCTGACCACCCTTCTGTACTTTCTGGCTCGCCATCCAGAACATGCAGCCAAAATACAGAAGGAATTAGAAGACGTCGATACTACGGATCCACAAGCTCTCTCCGTGCTGCCTCACCTTGCTGGGACGATTAATGAGGCAATGAGGCTACTTCCTGCAGTAATGAGCTGCAATCCAGGTTCTAGAGTGTCTCCACCCCAAGGCCTGAACATTGATGGGACATTCATCCCCGGTGGCGTCAAGCTTTGTGCATCGCGATATTCAATTGGTAGACGTGAGTGACTGTCATTTCCAAATCGTATATTTATAAGTCCCCTGGTTCTAATCAAGTGTAGTTGAGTCGGCCTTTGAAGATGCCGAAAGCTTCATCCCAGAAAGATGGTACTCGCGGCCGGAGCTGATTAAAGACAGACGAGCATTTGTACCTTTCGGAGTTGGTAAGTGTACTATTTCATACACACTGTGCAGAATCTGTGCGCTGGCATTGACAATATGAGTAGGTCGCACTAGTTGTGTTGGAAGAAACGTTGCCCTTGCGACGTTGAGGCTCGTAACGGCACGTTTTCTGAGTAAATATCACATAAGGTTTGCCCCTGGTGAAGGCATTTCTGAGGCCGTGGAGAGAGACTTAAAAGATGGGGTCGTGTCGCAGCCAGGCAAACTTGTTCTGGTTTTTAAATCGCGGACTTCCGCCCAAGACTGAAGGGCCTTTGGTAGGACGAGCGGAAATTTCTTAGTGCAGTCAATTTGCTAGAAATTGTTGAATTACAGGGCCTAAGCCCTGTATTTAGTACACTACTGTACTAGGTAAAGGTAGTTGATTAATCCGCTATTAGATAAATTCCATATTTGATTACCTAAAGAATCCAGGGACACTATTAGTGCTGGCTACACTGAAGTTCTCCTAGCACCCCCTAGGGGGTGCTGCGCTTTAATTAACGAAAATAATTTTCTATACGATTTACATATAGGAATACTTACCAAGACTCTTATGTTAATAAAGTACTTAAGATTAAGAAAGAATCTTTCGCAATAGAAAGTATTTTGCTAATACCTGGTCTTTTTGCTAATTAAAGCGCAGCACCCCGTAGGGGTGCTGCGCGAACTTTAGTGTAGCTAGCACTAGAGTACAATACAGTGACCCCTCTTAGCACCCAGCTTCCCTGTATTGCAGCTCACGATAGCACTCGCGCTGTAACTAGCGTATATGGATGACACCTACCTAGTTACAGTGGTTAGTTCCAACACAAATATTTAACGAAATTTTATAAAATTAAAATGGAGATTTTTTTTTGATTCGACAATACATACTATGCGAAGTATTAATGAGCGCTTCGGAGTTATGTGTCAGGATACGATGGGGATCACTGGCTTGATTAAGGAACCTCCGTTCGAGGTAGACGCATTGATGGATTAAAAGTGACTACGATGATACAACTCTACGCAATGTCTGTATATACGACTAACACTCATGGTGGGATACCTCCTAGTTCAGCAAAGCCTCGTCCTATATCTGGAACATATTGCATCTCACAGGACTTTCTTTCCTGTGACGACGTAGACATCATATCTGACATAGCCACCCGCCTCAATCTCCTCGTTTGCTCGTTTCTCGGCTACGTCCAGCTCCTCGTTAGTCATTCCCACACCTTTCGAGGCCAACGCGCGCAACCAAGAGAAGATAGCCGTCATGCCATTCTCTACTGCCTCCTTCCTCGTTTCTGGCAGCCTGTCAGAGCTCACGCAGTCGCTGTCGACCGAATCCAGTCCCGCTGCTCGCATATCCTCTGGTAGAGTACTCCAGCCGCACTCGAAGCGTTCACGCATCTCTGTTTTCCACTTATTGCCTAGCGCAATGAGGGTATCAGTCGGCGAGGATTCCAAGGCTCCTCCCCGAAGAAACGTCGCTGAGATGAAGTTACCCTCTCCCCATTGCAGCCACCCTCCAGGCTTCAGCAGCTTCGTCAGGTTGCGAACAAGGGCTGTCCACTCAGTCGGTAGTATAGCCGCCACAAGTACACGGGCATGCACCAGGTCGTAGACTCCATGGAGCTCTTCTGGAACTGGCTGTTTCATATCTAGAACTTTCAGGTTGATATCCTTGGGGAGCGGTTGCGGGTACATGGACGAAGAGATATCATATCCATCCAGTGTAGCATTGGGGAATGCTCCCGATTCCTGTACGCACTGTAGGAAGTGGCCAGTTCCTGTGCCGATGTCTGCGATGCGAGGACTGGGAGGAAGGGCAGCGGCAATGCGAGGGTGAATGAGGTAGCCGATATTCCTATATAATGAATGAGCGAGCCTGCGTGCTCCGAGACTGTATGCATAGATGTCGAACGAGATCAGTTATATTTACCTAGTCAGGAGGTCAAACTGTCCATTGAGCCTGTGGCATAAAGTCAGCTATTCGATGCAATCCAAGGCTGGGGATAATTGTGACATCTGAATCGTACCTGCGTCCCTCGGCCGCGGATCGAGTGAGTTTGTCTGCGTAAATATCCGGCATGGTCGTGATGCATGTACAGTGTCTTGAAAACAGAGTTGCTTGATTTCTCATGAGCAGGAAACGAGTTAAGAGATAGGTCAAAGAGAGTGATAGAACGATCCTAAGGTAAGGATGTTGGGGGCTTTAAAAGGCTCTGGTGCTTTCAGCTCAGCACAGCACAAATGTGCTGCGTCTTTAACAAAGACGCTACTAGGTACTACTGGCACACTGGTCATGTTGCACAGAATCAAGTGGCGTGGAGGGTGACACAAACTCCACTCTCATACCGACGATGCAGAGAAAGGGATGGTGGTATAGGTACTTACATAGAGGTCGACCAGAATGTGGGCAGTGAGACGCCAACTTGCATAGCGATATATTCACACACACCCCCCCACCCCCCCACCAACATCCACAACATGGCCAGGTGCAGGTGTTGTTGCACCGATGCCTCTTCATCTAACTTATTGAATAGCGGTATGTTATTATAAGAAACGAATATCAGTGTCGAGCGCATTGGCCACCCAGCTCCAACATGTACGGACAAGTTAGGCCAATTCTTTCTACTCTTCTCGTTCAAGCGATTGCATGAGCTCAAGAGTCGCACCCTCAAGTGCGTAGATGCGCCTGTCGACAATTTCCTACCTTTATTTAGCCAGTGCTCCGGTGATGCTTCACAAGACAAGGCCATAAACCACTATTCAAATATATGGCTTCCATGCTGAAATCGACCATAACCATCGAAGATATAGAACATATCCCACCGGCTAAGCTTCCGGAATCGGCGGCCTCAGGTTCCTCGTCAACCCCGGCAGATGGAGAGGAGGGCCAGAAGACTTCAGGCCAGGTCGACGAGGTCAGTTGGGACGGACCTGACGACCCTGAAAATCCAATGAACTGGCCAACCTGGTTCAAAGTGGTCAACGTCGGTCTGATCAGCTGTCTGACTTTCCTTACTCCCTTGGCGTCGTCTATGTTCGCGCCTGGCGTGCCACAGGTCATGAAAGAGTTCAACAATAACGACGATCTAATCGCCGACTTTGTCGTCTCAGTCTATGTTCTCGGCTTTGCACTTGGACCCATGTTCCTCGCGCCTATGTCCGAACTATTTGGTCGTATATGGATATATCACGCTACCAACGTCGGCTTCATCGTCTTCAGTGTCTTGTGCGCCGAGAGCTCCAGCGTGAGCATGCTTACTGCCTGTCGATTCTTCCAGGGCCTTTTCGGTGCCGCGCCGATTACGATCGGTAAGTGCATAGACTCTCGACTCCACCCCGTCTGCTTGACGAAAATGGTAACTAACGATATGTAATCATCAGGTGGGGGGACTATTGCGGACGTTATCACCCAGTAAAAGCGAGGCGCCGCGCTTGGAATCTTCGCCCTGGCTCCAGTGCTTGGGCCTGTCATCGGCCCAGTCGCAGGCGGCTTCCTCGTTGCTGCCAAGGGCTGGCGTTGGGTATTCTGGGTTCTCGCAATAGTCGGCGGTGCGCTGACTCTTCTCTGTCTCACTTTCTTGCGAGAGACGTATGCTGCTGTTATTCTCGAAACAAAGGCAGCTCGTCTCCGAAAACAAACAAACAACAGTAGCATACGTTCCCAGATGGATCGGAACTTGAATGTCAAGCAGCTTTTCTCGCGGGCTATAGTTCGTCCCTGCAGGATTCTCGTCTTCTCACCCATTGTCAGTGCACTATCGCTCTACATGGGCGTAGTTTATGGATACCGTACGTTTCAAAGCTCATTTCAGTCCGTCAATTGTGCAATGAAAGTTTTGCTTCTAGGTACTCGGGTGCCTTCGTGTTAATCGTTTCCTTGGCTGCGCTATGGGCGGTTGCTAATGCAGTCTAAACAGAGTATCTCCTATTCAGCACATTCACCAAGGCCTTCGAGGATCAGTACGGATTCTCTACGTCCATTGTCGGACTGACGTTCCTTGGTCTCGGAGTAGGCAACTTGATTGGCCTTGCGGTCATCAGCAGCCTCCTTGACAAGCATCTCAGAGACGGGTCCAAGGTCACCGAAGCCAATCCCAACGGCAAACGAAAGCCAGAGTACCGCCTCATACCCCTCGGGTGGAGCTCCATTTCACTACCGATTGGGCTTTTCCTCTATGGATGGATGGACAATGCAGTACCAGGTTCACTGGATTGTACCTCTCATCGGCACCGCCATATATGGTTTTGGGCAATTAGCAGTCTTTCTCTGCATCATGTCCTATCTTATCGATGCCTTTGGTGTGTACGCTGCCAGTGCTCTGGCGGCAAATACAGTCGTCAGAAGCATTTTTGGGGCTGTGCTGCCGCTCGCAGGGGCGCGTATGTACAGTGTTCTTGGATACGGATGGGGCAACAGCCTGCTAGGTTTCATTGCACTAGCTTTGATTCCGATTCCTATTCTTCTGAACAGGTACGGAGAGACTCTGCGAAAGCGGTTCGATGCAAGCCGCATCTGAAAACTTAGGCTCGTAGCTAGCATCGTCGGCGATTGTATTAAAAGTTTGAGAGACATATCCTCGTCATGTATTCTTCAGTTTCTAAAACCACGGCGGGTTAATAGAGAACCTTCCCCCATCACTAAGCAACACGGCTCCATTAATGAATGACCCGCTCATCCCGACCAAGAATAAGAAGAACCCAGCCACATCAAGAGGATCGCCAGCTCGTCCCGCCGGCGTGTTGCCGAACCGCATATTTTGCATGACTGGCAGAGGTGCCGTCATCTCACTGTGGTAGTATCCAGGAATGCAGACGTTACTCCTGATATTCCAAGGAGCCAGTATCGTTGATAGCGTTTGTCCCAGATGGACGACTCCGGTTTTGCTCGCGGTGTAGGCAAGCCCGGTTAGGCCCGACCTTTGTATGCCTCCCATGGAAGACATGGTGATAATCTGGCTGGTTCGCCTGTCTCCTGGTTCGACATTGGACTGTGAATGTTCGAGGGACCGTGTGTTGGTATCGGTCGCCTGGAGCTTCTTCACTGGCCAGCCACGTCGAATATTGCCCTTATGGAGAAGATGAAGGAAGGCGGTTGATGTACCAATGATAGCGGCTATGTTGGTGTCTAGGACGTTGAGACTACCTTTATGAGCCTCGAGAAGCCCCTGCTGCAGGGCCTCGATTGTGTCCACGCTCTCTGGGTCGAAGAAAGGATTCGGAATGCTTGCATTGTTGACGAGGACATCGATGTATCCCGACTCCTTCTCGATATGCTGGACGACCGCATTCACAGAGTCAATGGATCTCACATCACATGGAAGGGGAACGACTTTCACTTGGGTCTCGTTGAGTTCCTTGGCAGTATTGGTGATCACCTCAAGACGGCGCCCGAGAATGTACACCCTGGATGCGCCAGCCTGACAAGCTGCTGATGCCATAGCCTTGCCAATTCCTATCATGCGCAAGGGATATTACTAGTGAGCTTTTTGACATATTCATAGGTGAGAGGGGAAGTAAGGAGGTCTCACCACTCCCGCCACCAGTCACAACAATGATCAAGCCATCAGCCGAGAACAAGGCAGCGGGGCTGATTTTCGTACCGCTGTGCTCCATTCTCTACTCAGAGAATTGAAAAATGTACTTATAGCGGCAAAATGTGTATCTATGTTATAATTTATTTAGATGGAGAATGATTTGTAAAAGGTAAAAAGGGTGGAATAGGTAGTTCCGGAGTTCTTGTAAGCAGGGTAGGTACTAATGTACGACGTGGTATTGTGGGGACTACGATACGATACTACATCGTAGTACTCTGTAGTACAAATACTATCAGTATACGAAGTAAGGGAGTGGTGAAGCTTAATATATTGATTTTCAAATAAGAATTGTTTCGGATATAAGAATGATTCCAATAATAAGAACAATCCCTTCTTATGCTAACCATGCAGTTGGTTCAAGGTTGGTATGGGGGTGAGCTTATCTCTCTGTCCCGCGCAGTAGCGCTAAAACGGTATGTCATTTGCGGTATTCTCGAGATGCCTATACTTCGTACAAATGGATGTACCCTAGCATACTACCTCAATTGAACTTATATTATCATGTACTTATACAATTCTCTTACAAGTCCGCACCTACATGTACTAGGTAGATTTTCTCTCGTATCTACCAACTCTCAAAGGGATTGATTTGTTAGACTTGTACTCGATCCGAAAGGCTGGTTCGAAAACGTTGTCCATTTGGTAGTAAGATCCTAACTTGAATGTAGAATGCACCATTTTCCAGACGTCGAAATTTAGTGCAACCAGGTTCATTCAATTACCCTTTTCAAGCGCAATAATAAGATAATAGTAATTATCAAATCTTTGAAGCTAAATTGATTGAAGATGAGGGTCTATGTATACATAATAAGTTACAAGCGCGAGTATAAGGTTGGTGTCAAAATAGAGTACATGACTTACCACTCTATCTGTATGAGGCAATATGTACCTCTCTTTTCGACATTTCTCCGGCCCGTACCCTCAAAAAGACGCACCCAACCAAAATTGGGCATAGAATGACCAAGCCCATGCTGCCATGGTGAGGCGACCCCACTTTAATAACGCATCTACACCCGTGGGTTCGATTCCAGTGGCCTCCGGACCTCCGGTTGATTCCGGCGATCACACAACATCTCCGCTCTATACAATTTGAAAGATACGAATCCTCTTCCTGTTGCTGAGAGCTAGCATTTTCTTATGGACCAACCGTATTGCAGAGAAGACACTACACTCATTCACTCTATCTACGACCGGTTCAAGAAGATTCGCAATAGCAATGTGTATATCATTTAACGAAAACGGCGATTCATTCTAATCAAGCCCAAATGTATCTGGTCGCCTATACCGATGCCCCAAACGTGTCCCAATGCCCCAAGGCTATCCCAATACTCCAAACCGGAAGATGCGATTAGATATTTTGTCCGGCTGGGGCCTGCTCCCAATTGCCCTTGGCGATATTGAGACGATTGTCAACTTCGTCCCGAAAACCGTACCTCTTGGTGTGATGCGCAAGCCGAATCCAGCAGCGGCGCATCAGCTCGTCAGCTTCTCTGACGAGAGGAATTGAGGTCACGGGCTCAAAGATGAAGCCTCCGATGGTGGATAGAACCGCGGTCATCCAGTAGCGCTGACCTGTTATATCGTATATTAGTGACTAGATAATGTGGGGCAAGGGTAAGGCGGGTTGACATACCACGGCCGAGCTTCAGCTTGTACTGAAGCAAGCCTGCAGCTTGGACCTTGAGGATAATATCCTGCAAGGTTGTGCCGTCGTTGACGCGGCGACCAGCATGGCAGATGCTGTCGGTAATGAGCGCCTTCCAGTCGCTCAGGGGCGCGGCGTCGTGCTTGTCGCTGAAAGAACGGACTAGGAAGATCGCGCCGTTCGGTTCCTCGGTGTTGTAAAGCTCAAGAGTGACCATCTTGGTACTCTTAAGTTCGAGGGCGATTTTCCATCCGTTAGGCACCGAGTGTTCGATGTCAGGAGAGGGGGTGGCGTACAGCCAGATACTGTCGACCTTTTGGCCGAAGAACTGAGCCCAATCGTTCTTCGACGCGGTAGGCGACAGCACAAAATTCGCCGAACTGGCGAACTCGTACTGTGAGACGCTTGTTAAGGCGCCATCAACAGAGATGCGACTTATGAATGAGTGCATCGTGAGTGCGGGAAATGAATTATTAGGTTGATACGACAAGTATGTTTAAGAGTTGGGGTTTGTTGTGTCGTATGTTAAAGGCAATGTCTTAATGATTGTGCGTTGTAGTGCAATATTGACTTTCGCAGAAACGTAAATGCCAAGTGGTCTACAACGCGTTTGTAGGGAGAAAGAAGGAAATAATTGAGGTCAGGAAACGATTGTTATATAGAAAAGTATTCTCTATTCTGCCTACCCCTCGTCTACCGCCCGCCTACTATTCTGCCACCTGGGCGACCATATTTTCTGCAGGACAGTATCTTTTGAGGGCAGGTACCGAGTCACCACTTCCTACTTTAGCATTAACACTGTCCATTAAATTGTCTGTTGAGCTTTAAAGGGAATCTTTGGGTCACTTGACACCTGCTTATACTGTTTACCAATTTATTATATCATTTTGGTCGATTTAAGGACTGGAGGAAGACCATTTAAAGACCGCCTTTAACTTGTTTGCTGATTTGTACAGTATATATTGGCCTTATTCTCGTCTGTGTTAACTCAGTCCTGTAAAACATCAACCGAGGCTAGATAATCTTAATGTTATTATCGAAATAAGGTATTGTTAATATACATGTACATCGTGCTGCGCTTTAGGTACTACGTGAGTCGATTGGAACAAATATTCAATTATATATTTATTTTCGTAGTTAATGCCAGGTTTGCTCCTTCATTGGGCACTTAAAAAAAATTTGCACTTCAATCAAGAAACATCATCATTCCATGTTGTGGATATTATGCACAAGTAGTTTGAGTTTCTTGTGGACAATGTGCGCACACAGTGTAAACACATTGTAGGAAACCAAACATCTATTCTAACTATGTCTCTACCTAAACAAAAACGTTACGAAAAATAATGGTAGCTAAACTAAAGGCTTTTATGTCGTGTAAGCATCATTTATATGTTATATAGCTCCCCTTTAGCTGGTATAATACTGTACCAATTCACTACTGGCACAGTGTTTAAAGGAAGATTCACGATAGCGATGTAGACATTATATAAAGTAAAGGGTGATGCCTTCCATCAAGGCTTTTAGGCCCCGACTTCCTGAGTAGCCCAAACGCAAAAAGTACAAAACAATAATAACTGCTGAGAAAGAGCCAAGAAGACGGCGTGTTCTGTCACGAGGCGGAACCAAACGGCTAGGAAACAACGACGTTGTTGCGCGAGGAGCTCCTAACTACTCTCGCTATGGAGAACACGGTATACATACAGGCGAAGCTCTTTGCCTGTCCTGCTCCTAGGACTAGCGACCAACAGGACCCTCACGGGGACTCTACGAGCCGAACTCCGATCCCATAGACCTCTAGCTACCAACCTAGAGGAAGACCGATGTCTGACATGTTCCTTCGATGTCCCCCTCCCCTCCCAACGATATAGCTAGTTAGGGGTAAAGATAAGTCATCTAAGGGAGTTTCCCTAGCCCTTCCAATATCGTCTCTCCGATATGCATCCCCTAACCCATAAGCGACCGGAATCACCGTACAAAGGAGGTATTAGGTAAAGCCATCAATAGGACCAGTCGGTCCCATTTCATTACCTCGGCCTTGGAACCGCAATTATTCCCCCTCTTATTTCGGTTGGGGGCGGTTCCATAGGCCCTCCGCGATGGTATGGTAAGAGGGTTATTGGGCTCATCCTTCTTGCCATATCCACCGACTGCCTTGTTTATCTCCAGCCAACAACGTCGCATAAGCTCGTCCGCTTCTTGCTCCATTATGTTTGTGAGCGTGGCTTCACGAATGAACTTGCCGATTATCGAGTCGACAATACGGCAGTTGATCAGAAGCGACGACCTGTTATATGATATGTTAGTAACTAAATGTGAATATAAAATAAGGGAGAATGGTAAGGTGGGATGACATACCACGGCCGTGCTTCAATTGGTAGGTCAACAAATCAGCAGTCTTCTCTTCCATGATGATATCTCGGAGAGGCACTTTTGCCTCATTCGTCGGCCGGCATGGCAGATGCCGTGTGTCGTGATCTTCTTCTAATCATCGAAGCGTGGCATGTCTTGGTTATCGGTGTACGAGCGAACCATTAAAATGGTACCTTTGGTCGTCTTAGTGTTATAAAGTTCGATGATAATCATCTTGGAGGGTTAGAGTTCCAATGCAATCTTCCAAGGATTGGGGACCGAGGCGCCTGGGTTGGGCGAAGGAAGTGCGTAAAGCCAGATGCTCTCAACAGTCTGACCAAAAATCCCAACCCATCGAGTTGAGCTGTGCGGTGCGGTGCTTGAGAGGACGATGTGTGCGCGCCCTCGGCGAATTCGTAGCGTGCAATGCGCTTGATGATTCCGTCTATAATCTGGCCGGTCTATAGGCGCTACATGTTGAATGATGAATGATGAAAAGTAATTAATGACTTGATGTAACCAAGTCAAATGTGTGTGATGGTTTGCGACAGTGCAGGAAGAGCACAATATGAACGGTTGTGAATGGTCGTTGTTGTATAAATAACACGTCCAGTATTTATGTGAAACTGGTGTTAATTAGAAGATGAAGAATTAGAAATAAGAGTTAGACGGTGGAACATGATATTATATCGAAAATGAGAAGGTGTTGCCTTTTCTGCCTACTGTGCATCACCCGGGTGGTGTAGTTTTCTGCCGTTTGAAATTTTTGGGTGGCAGGTGCCGAGAGTTTCTTAACCTCCCCAGGGCTTTCAAGCTCAAAAACGTATTCCGCCATAATTGTCAGCTGTACGAATTTCGATTCTTGATACAATAATTTTCGTTTATCTGTGATGATTGAGTACTTGGTCGTAACGTAATAGCCTTATTACTTGATTGAATAATAAATACAATTTCATGTTAATCCCTTGCAAATATCACCAGTCTCAATGCCAAAATATAGAAAAGATGATTACTTCGCAATTATTACCGTATAGATAAGTACCTAGTAGTTTAAGTCTCAAATGGACAATGTGCGCACACAGTATAAACACATTGTAGCAAATTAAACGCTTCTTCTTACTACCTAGGTGCCCATGTCTATCCCTAAACGAAAACATTACTAAAAATAATGACAGCGAGAGATGAAAAAGGCTAACATAATTACCTAAGTACGTAGGTAGTAGAAAGTAATAAAATAATTTCAGACCATTCATGTACACAAAAGGGGCATTTAATCCATCCATACGGTGCAAATGCAGGTACCTATGTAACTAAAGGCTAAACAAAACGACCAAGCCGTGCGATTCCAAGACGTTGGATCCATAGATGGTCCAAGCTCCCTGCAGCAGTTACCTAAGCAACCCCCCGGACCCCAAAACCCAGCCCCACCAACAATTGAAATCGAGCTCGCGACGCCATCGCCGCAGCGTTGACGCATGTTAATTCGTATCTGTCGGAGACCTGCATGTAGCAGTAGTGATTGGCAGGAAAGCCCTTAATCTAGGGGAAAATCCGATTGCACCAAGACAATTGATTCGTAGATCGATCGATGAAGACGATGAGATGGTAAGACTAAGGGGAAAAAAAGTAGGTAGCGGCAAGATTTTGGGGGATCCAGGGGGCCGTCGTCATCAGCCCACCGATTATTCTCTTGTTTTTTCTCCCCTGTCCTGCCGAAAAAAGAGGCTGGGCCAGTGATAGTGGGGACGCGCACATACAATTCGCAACCGCCCAGCGGTCCCAACCTCCTATCAATCGGTGAAGTACCAATACGAAGTCCAGTCCCGCTGTCATATATCGAATAAATTTCAATTCAATCGAAACTCCTTTAACCTTTCTTAGTTTCTACTTCCTTTGTTTGTTTATACAATTCTCGCTTCGTCATACTTCATCGTCGGAGATATTGTCTCTACTTTGCTTACTACTTGGTACATACCGCAACCCATCCGCTAGCTTCCGAGTGTACCGCTTCCGCAAATCTTTAGATTAAATGAGCCGCTCCGCCCATCCCACCGCCATGAATAATTCTCCCACCAGACCTCGTCCACGTCAAGCTCAAGCACCACGTGACTACGACGACGGGCAACCAGCAATATATCACAACAGCGCAAAACCTGCGCCTAGTAGTGCGCGTTTTGACAGCCACGACGATTTTTATGACTTTCTAGACAGCAACCGGGGAGGTCCTATGCCCGCTCTGAATAGTCTTGCAGGTCCTTCCAACGCAAACGCCAACGTCAGCGCATCATTGCATACGCAGCCACTACAGATGCCCCAGCAGCAGCAACGCTTCGGACAAAATAGTGGCCCGTCAAACCAGAGCCCATCAACCAGTCGGCCTCCGCTCACTAATTCATTCCCGCCCCAGGCAAGCGGCGCTCCGGATAGGTCGCGACCTCCGTCGTACTCTGGAAGCAGCCGTTCCGAGGAGATGCTCGTGGCAGATCGCACCCGCGACGACGGTCGCATCCAGCGCCAAAATGGGCGTCGCGGACCGCCTGATGGAAAGCCAGTATCAGGTCCACGACCTCGTCCACCCACTAGCAGCTCTGCCGGGTCATCCCCACCCCGTAACTCAACGAGCTACCCAATCAACCCACAGGTTCAACATGCGCAGGCCCAGTCCAAGGCAGCCTCGGCATCGGATCCCAGCCTATCCATCCCAGGCGCAAGCGTAGGCGCATCAATCCAGCGCCTTAAGAGTCCCAGCGTGGCGGACTGCGTGCTACAGCCGCTTGACCAGAAAGTGCGTGAGTACAACGAGTTGATGAACCGCGAGCAAGACGAGATGGACCGTCTAGATGCCGAACTCCGTGCACTGCAAGAGCGTCGTGCGGATGCCGAGACACGCTTCCTCGAAGCCAAGGGCAAGCACGACGATTACAAACAACAATACGTCAATGTCGAGCGTGCTATGCGTGGGGAAGCAGCACTACCACCTCCCACCCCTAGAGAGCAGCCAGCGCCTCTCGCGCGACAACACACGCGACCTATGAGTCTGCAGGATGACGATGACGACGACGATGATGATGACCTGGCGCTGCCCCCGTCGTCGCACCGACGTATCAATTCCCAGCAGTCTTTCGGACGTTCCTCCCAGAAGCTGAGAAGTGGAGGCCGCTTCCGATTTAGCCTGTTTGGAGACAAGCAATGAATGATGGTCTGATGGTTTTTTTTAGTATGAAACGTAACGTCTGGGGGGAAGGTTGGTTTCGTCAGGAGAATAAAAAGCAATGGCCGTATAATAAAGATGGAAAGGCCTAATGACTTACGTTAACGTCTTCTAATTCTTCGGTGTATAAATGACAAGTTAATGGTAATAACGATTAGAGCATGTAGATGGAAGATGGACGGCATGGAAAATGGAGTCAACTTTAATTTGGAATTATTCATCAGTCCCTCTTGGCGATCGACCATTCCTTGTGCTACATTCCGATATATAATCAGACTCGAATCCGACCATGGCAATTTATGAAGCTAAATGGCGTCCCTGGATTATCGACGATGCTAAGTGCGTCAATCTATTATTCGAGCTAAGTCAGCCCAAGCCAGTCATGACTCTTCTTAGCTCGCTAGCTAAAGTCTACACACCCAGAAGCCTCCTTGAAGACTTCCAAGCTCCCTTTAACGTCGTCATGTAATATCGCCGCCCGTTCCATATGATAGCACCCATGTTCCCGTGTGGCCAGCTATCGACATTGATTGTCAGCATACCTACCTAGGTATTTGAGAATGAACTCGTCACCACTCAGCTCCTAATATGCAGACTTTTTCCAGCTGGGAGGACCAGCCGAAGGTCAATGTGACACGGGAATAAAGCAAAAATTCTTCCATGTCCCTTAGAGAGTCGGTACCGAGAGTGGTCAATTCCTCCCATGATTGCTCAATCAAGTCAGGTTCCGAGTCGTCTTTTTGGGGTTCGTTTGCTGCGCTCCCGAAGAGGAGTTGAGTCCAAGCGCCGTCGCGCCATACGAGCTTATTAGCCGCAATCATACCACTTTCATCAACCACCGACCCGATAATACGTGGGTTTAGCGTGAGTTCTCTCTTCAATTCGCAATTCTTGCATATTGCGACGGGCTTATTCGAATATAGTGGCATGCTACAACTAAACACCTCGATTAATTAGCGAAGCGGACGAGAATAAACGTCTTTACCTACCTACCATTCAAGACAGCAGAGCGTTCCTTTACGCCAATGTTCCATCAACTTCATTTCAAGAATGACTACGTTCAACTTCCCGGTGAAATCTACCATAGGCTCGGGATGACGTACGCGATCTTCTACGTCGGCGATAGTAAATAAGGTTCGATCCGGACCATTGATAGCCCGCTCGGTGTCCCATGTACCAGAAGGAAAAGGGATATAGATGCTCTGCTTCTTGGCCATATTCTTCAACCTATTCCTTAGCCAATCGGCATCAGGAAATTCAGGATTGACATCGACCATCGAGCTAAAACCAATCCCAAGCTCCGGGGATGTACCCCTATTCTTGTAGATGGGCTTAGAGATGAGAAGGATTGTCTGGTTGGGGACCCAGCTCTTGGCCGAAGGGACTTTGCCTTGCCAAAGCTTCAGGGTGCAAGTCGCAGTGTCGTCGAATATGCCCACTTCTATCATATCAAGGGTCTGTTGAGTTTTCTTCGACTGCACTGTCCTACGTGGCCCAACGCTTCTCACACACACTAAAATCTTGCCCTCGCCTAAATCATACCCGGTAGAAAGAAACGACTTTAGCGTCATCAACGCAGGGAGATATTCGTACTCCTTTAGATCACACTCTAACGGGTGGCGCAATATGCGATCTCCATCCGAGTCGGGATCATCGTTATGAAAGACAATGTGCGTTGCGCCATTACGGCCGGGATAGAGGGTTGTAGTTGAGGAACAGAATGGTATGCTACTCGATGAAGCCCCTGTTGAGTCGGCGATGAAGGTTGTCCATATCGTGACTCTCTGACCGAGAAGCAGCTGGTAATCCGATATTTTCATATAATACACTCTTACCTTCGACCTCTGGTTATTATCGAAGCGCATTGATATTGCAAATCAACTTACTGCAATAGCCCCTGATCCATCGGTCACAACAAGAAAATGGAAATCTTGTTCACGGAAATTCTCGGCAAAATTTACAACCCTTCCCGATATCTGGTAGTTACGCGGGCCCGTTTCAAGGAGAGAGATTGGGCATGTTTCGTAGTGTCGTGAAGGCTTCCAAGGTCGCGATAGAGGATCAAGCACTGCTTCAACTTCAGAAGATGTGAAGCCATCTCCCGGCATTTGCGATTTCGAAAGCTCATCACTCGGATCTTGAGAACCGGGTGGTAATTCCCTAGAATAAAAGGTCTGAATAGAAGGGAAACTGACATCCATAATGAAGACAACTTTAAGGAAAACTTCAAGCTGGTGTTTAATATTGAGCAGACAGGAATGCATTCAATCCCGTAAGATGAGGGATTATTTCCATCTAACAGACAAATTATGCTGGGAAGTTACACTGTTGCTTAGGTGGATACTTAGGCTCTCAAACTCTATTCTATGACAGAATAAGAGCGCAATTTCCTTTCAAGCCTTCTTACATACATATTTCCAACTATCCTAGAAGAATACTCCTACCTTGTATACGATTCGCAGACGTTATATGACGTGTCATATAGGTAATCAATTGATTGTTGGCTTACCCTAGGTACCTTCTGCACATGTGGTTTCGGACCTTGGAATAAATAGAAGGGACAAGAGTAGTCGTCACGGATGAGCCTTCCTATGAAAGATATACCTCCATTGAAGATAAGTCCATCACACACAGTCTCACACCACCAACAAAAGTATTTTATAGCACCTTCTACGTCGTCGTCTGTTGTAAGTTGAAGCTAACTGCATAAAATATTAGGTGATAATGTGAGGTAACTACTAGGTACCTACCTAGGTAGGTATGTAGGTGCCTACGAGGTAGCAATGAGGTTACGAATCGACATCAGCACCCTCCAAAATATGAAACATTGGCTTTTATATTGAGAGCCAAAAACGCCATTCGGGGATCTACGGATGTAGGATCCCGTCATCTCGGGACCGAGTCGACCGAATCAATCCACTATGGCTTTATGATATGATACGCACCAATTAAATGTAGGATTTTATGGAAAGCAACTAGTCATCCTATGCTTCTCTAGCTAACGGTGGTGGACCGGACTTAAGATTACACATTTCTTCAATTATGTAACGTATTGCTTACTGTTGTCTCGGGTCCGTTAGGTACTCTATATCTATTCCTACCGGTATCTACCTACTAGGTAACTTCAAGAGATCTAGACCTTATCAGTCTCTCTCGGCTCATCATCATCGTGAAGATCCGCGGTTTTAGATCAGAGATGGAAGACTGTCTTGCATCCGTAACTCAACACACGGATACACCGACATGTTGTACTTGTTACTAATCTCACACCTATCATAAAACGTCTTTAAATGCGGAGAATCATTTTAAAATATATTCCTTCAGGTTTGTTCAGTGTTCTGATGTTGGAAGGCTGAGCGTTCGCTTGGTGGGCCTCTATCCTACCACAGATCTGGACCGGGACCGAAACATACATGTTCGTGCCATGGCTATACCACATATGTGGATCACTTTATAGATCGAGTTTTACTACCTTATCGCCATACATATATCATTAACCCATTCGTCCTTTGTTGAGAGATGGTAGGTACCTAGGCAGTCACCTATTTCCCTACCTAAATCACAACCAGACCTCAACAACGTTAGTAGCAATGCGTCTATGTATAGTTGTCACTGTAGCCTCAATGGCTCAGATGGCACTATCAATCTCTTGTCGTGGAAATAGTAGTGGCATTCCTAAACCACTCGAGTTCAGAAAGTTAGAGAGGCAGTACCAAGCCAATATCCGAGCATCTCTAGGTGTCGATGGATGCACAGAAAAAACGATCCGAATTCGGAAATCTTGGTAAGTAAACATCATAGATTCCCTTCAAATTCGTGATGAATTACATGAGCTGGAGCTGAAGTCTAACATGCATATTAGGGATGATATTGACGTCGCAACAAGAAACGATTATGTCCGGGCTGTCAAGTGTTTGGCCGCGAAACCGGCAATGGTCGACAAAGCCCTAGCCCCTGGAGCCGTCAACCGCTTGGATGACTTTACATATATTCATATAAACCAGACAAATAACGTTCATATCTCTGTATGTAATTATCTTCCCTGAGGACTGCAAAATAGTCATGCTAAGACCGGTGGTAGGGCTCATTCCTATCCTGGCACAGGATCTTTGTCTGGCAAATGGAAGAGGCACTACGAAATGAATGTGGATACAGGGGCACAATTCCATATTGGGATCAAGCTCGATTCTCCCAAGACCCCACGAAGTCGAAGGTGTTCGATAATTCTTCCTTCGGTGGTGATGGAGAGTATCTTCCCAATGACCACGGCCCATACACCGTGTTAATTCCAGGGCTTGCAGTCAATACGACTACCTCACGGCCTGCTGGCTCTGGGGGTGGTTGTGTCAAGGATGGCCCCTTCGCCAACTTCCAACTTAGTCTGGGGCCTACGGATAGACCGTTTATCGATCCCAAGAACAAGTATGGCTATGAGCCGAACCCTCGCTGCCTGAAGCGGAATTTTGACTACCCGTCCAGCACGGACTACATGACTTGGGAGAACGCAATCAAGATCGTAGGAGCATCTGATGTTGTAACGTTCTACTGGAACATGGAAAATTACTGGCATTTGAAGTCACACCAGTTTCTTGGTAAGGACGGTCTCGATCTATTTACCTCACCAAACGACCCAATCTTTTATCTACTACACTCTCAGATCGACCGAATCTGGGCTATCTGGCAAGGCCAAAACTTGGATAATAGAACGTTCGCGATCACTGGAAACCGCACCTTCTTCGGTATCCCACTCGACACTGCGCCAAATGTGCCACCTTCAAACGCTACGATCGAGGATATCATGGATTTAGGACACGGATATAGACCCAAGATCAAAGACGGCATGCCTATGACGTACAGTGGAAGATGTTACATGTATGAGTAATTTGGAAATACAGGTCGACAATCGCATTTATAGAAAGACGGTACACCTCGGGGTTTGAATTGGTTCTATTTAACAGGAAACGCATAGATGCATGGAGGATAGAAGGTGCCTACCTACCGTACCGGGAAAGGGGGGGTAGCTGCAACGCGTTGAAATGGGTATTAATCATTATTGACCTGAAAACAGTTCAAGCTGTACCAACAGTTACAGCGCTTAGAAGTACCTTCCCATACAAATTAGGTGGAGAGGTACAAGGTTGTAATGACAACGTTTATAAAGGCTCAAAACCGTTGAAATAGTTGAAGCTATTCCCACCAAGCGTTGAAATAATAGAAGTAGGTAAAGTTTTACAACCATTGCAACCTATTCTTCTTCGTTGAACAACCTTGCAACCGTTATTACTACTATACAGAAACCTTATAACGGTTACTGCAGTTTTAACGAATCCTAGCTATAACGTTTGTGAATAGCTTCAACGTAGTAAAACAGGCTTTAGAGTCGCTATTGCCACAACAGTTACAGCAATGCGTACCTAGCAACCGTACCTACCTAGGTAGTTACCTAGGCACCTGACTACCTACCTACCTACCTACTTCTCCACAGTAAAACTAAGATGTTTACTTTCTACCTAACTATCTAGTACCTAATCTTTTGTTTTTTCCTAAGTAATAAACCTTCCACATACAACACCAACAACACACATCCAATACACATCAAAGTAAGTTCAATTTTATCTAAATGCCTAAGGAGCTACCTACTTTTCTAATAATATATTCCAAGTACCTAAGTAAGTATAACCCCCTCGTATCAAATCAAGCTAATTGAATCAACAAAGTCAACAAAGTCAACAACAGCCTAATTGCATCAAGTAAGTATCTCCAGATCAACACGTCAAAACAAAGCTAATTAAATCAGGTCAGTAATCAATTTCTCCAAGATACCTACCTACCCAAAGAACGATTAGCTAACTTAGGTATTAATCGAAGCCCTTAGGTTCGAACCTTGGATCTAATACCTTAGATTTCGTTCTTAATAATTAGATAATTCTTAATAATAAACTACTTATAATCCAACGATTACAACTGCTTCTCAATGCGTGAAATTTTTTGAAGGCTTGAAATCAATTTTACCCTTTCCGTATATATAACTATTGTATGATTTCAACCGTTGAACATACGGAAAGCGTAAAATTGATTTCAAGCCTTCAAAAAATTTCAGGCGTTGAGGCCTATCTACAACCGTTGCATTTAACCCCCTTTTCCGGTTAGGTAGATACCACGAGATTAGAAATACCTACCTACCACCATTGATAACATAAGAACACATCACTTAGAAATGATGTCTTTCTCGCTGCATTAATACGAATAGAGGACACTACGACTCAATTGATAGTAATTTCTGTATTTGGCTAATAACCATTTTCCCAAAGCGCAATAACATCATAGCCCCTATTCTGGCCCGCCTTTAATTCCCTCACAGAGCTTCAAGGAGGAAGTCATACGTATCGGTTAATTTTCCCACTCTCATAAAGACATGGACCTGGTCCGCCTTATTATTTTTCATCGCAACGAAGGAGGCATGGAGCAGGCTCTGCCAGCTCTTGGGCGACAATACATCCAGTATACGCGTGGTCTCAGTTTTACCACCTTTCCATCGGACGGTATAGGTATTGACGTCATCCGTGTGCGATACATGTCCTAGGGTACCAGCTACACTGATCTTTTGGGCGATCGCAAACGAAAGTGCGACTAGATTGTCGGAAATTCTCTGCTGCCATGATTCGGAAAGGTTGGTTCTGAATTCTACTCGGTCTACAATGAACCATACGCGCATCAATGCGGTCATTGGTAGTTTCTGTAACTTGGCGATTGGAGTGCCCTCTGATATTGGTCCATCACTCTCTGCTAACACTTGTTCTGAGGTATAGAGGACAAGCTCATCAACTTCAAATGTTGGGTGCTCAGGGTTGGTAGAAGAAGTGGCTTGTGGGTTATCCATTTTCGATATGGGTCGATGATAACTTCGGTCAGACAGTTGGAAGAGGTATTGAAGTCTTATGAGGGTAATTCTTTCTGTATAATTGAAATGAGGTTGAGGTCTTGTTTAAATATATGGTTTTGGTTGAGAGCCCGAGCAGTGAGTGATTCATGCAGTATGGAGAACATGTTTGGTTAAAGGTTTATGATCTATTATTTACTTGTCTCTCTACCTACCTCTGTGTTGTCATAACGACTCATTAGACAACTGGAAGTTAAGGCTATGTAGGTTTTTACGTTTATCATAGGCAAGTTACCAACAATCTGTGCAATGTCCGGAATATCAGGAGCAAAAATGTTCGCATTTGAAGGCACGGATCTGTGAAGGCATCTCGTATCTCTGCACAAACACAAGAAGTTGCCCCTTAGAAACCCAGTGTAATATATCTACATTATTGATTTTTATTATAAGAGAAAACATCTTGCTAGAATAGTCATCACCAGTGGAATTAGTAGCAAATATAACATAGATCTCAACATGACCCTGAAACTAGCGTTAATAATCTCCAAGCAAATTATTTAACTAGGTAGGTAAGTGACTACCAGGCACTTAAAGAAAATTTTATCCAGGAGAAAGTTATCTGTGGTTTTCTATCTTTTATCAACACCTTCCTGATACAGGTGTTGCATAGTCGCATTGCATTGACGCCGTAGCTTACAATAGCTTAATTCAACGACGACCACCTCTATGTTTACTAAGTAGGTAGGTACTTACCTATCTACTTAATTTAGTAGACTTTTGGTTGAAATTTGTTAACATTGTTTTTTCTAAATTTTGAATACCCATGGAAACAGGCGGGTAGTAGAACGTGTAATTTGACTTGTAACCTAGGAGGTATGTGAACTGTTAAGAGTTCTCTCGGCTCATAAATGCCTCAACGATGAAATTATTTCCTCTTATGGTTCCAATATGGAAATATCCCTAGCTTCATTTTCAGTTTGCGAAGGATGGATTCTGAAATTGCATCGTGATATGCATGAGATTGATGATTACCTTGCCTACCCCTTAAGCTGGGATATATCAAACTAGTCACCATACTAACCTTAAAGACACTCGCTGTATTCGCTTAATCATTAGCATAACTTCCACTCATTCGCACTGCGACATGCACGTGGTAGATACCTACCTACCTAGGTAGGTAGGTATTATAAAATAACCATCTTAGTTTCTCATCCACATGAAAAATTCACATTCTCATGCACTCCTCCAAAGATAAAGAGCACGTCTATTGAAATCACGTGCACCCATGACTTGGACAGTGTCCTGAGATGATCTCGCTAGTAAGCCCCTGGCGTTTAGGATGAGAATCTTGAATCAGCAACATCAAATGGTGTGGGACTCTGCTTATCGTCTGACGGGAAACCAGTCACTTGGGAAACAATCTGACTCGTTTGTTATATGATTATCCAGGGGTAATGACTTCCATTGGAGGAAACTATTCATGCGTTTGATCCTTTTAGGTACTAAAAACAATTTATTCCCCTCCCCCCTTTCGAATTAGAGCTGAAGCAAACAAGTCAAGGGGAAGAAAGTGACTAGAGTTGCGATGTAACATGACATGGAAGACGAATGACGGGCGACGATGATGGCGAGTCGCGGAATAATTAGGGAGTCAAGGCATGGCCATGTTGATTACCTACTAGGTAGACTTTCGCATAGGTAGGTACCTAGGTATTGATGAAATACAGTAGGCTTTTCTGTTTGCGCCGTTTCTTTTTCAAGTATGGACGTCATGATCTTCATTGGCCAATTGGGACTAATCCTGAACTAGTCTCTAGATGGATGCTGATAACCGGGAACCCGTTCTTGCATCCCAGCCAATCGGCATAAATGAAATTATAAGACGATACTAACGGGCGCTGGATACTTCACTATGAAGCAAATATGTCCTCTTAGCTGTGTAACGCAGTAAGCAGTAAGAACAACGAATATCGAATACCGTATTATTATTGCCTACTTAGGCAGGTATGTAGGATACATACGATACGGTACCGAGGGAGCGGTACGCCGACAATTGAATTCATCTTCCGGTGGTGTCAAGTTCGTTGCGAAGAAAGACTCAGCGAGAGGTTCGGTAATTGACCTATAATAAGCAGATAAAGTGAGACATAAATCGAGACACTTATCTGACTGTCGGGTTCAATTTCTTTGTATGCGCGACTTTTGGGATTTCGACTTCAATTTTCGGTAGCGGAAACAGATGAGATTGTCCAGGTTGCTAAGCTGCTAAGCTGTTAGCCTGAAAATGAACAAAGGAGGACCCTTCAAGCTTATCGAGATCGGAGGGGAAGGGAGGCAAGAAGTATGAAATACGTACGTGAAAAATACGCTAATCCGAACCCGACTCAGCCGAGCCGAGGCAACTGACTTTACCTAAGTGGTATGGTTAACCGTTCCAATCATGGAAACAACCTTGGCGATAATAGCGACTTTGAAAGCTTGAAAGCGTTGGAATGTAACGCGAATCCGGGGAGCCAATCTGGGGTAAAATACTAGGGAGCCGTAGTGAAATATGGTCAAATGTGGAGAAGGACCCTAACCCCCTGTCCTATCCCAAGCGAAACAACGTCATTCAGCGGAAGCCCTGGAGCTAAGAAAGTCTCTTCAGGTATCCATAGTACCCATAGTACCCATTGTACCCCGAGGTTAATCGAGGTTAATAGCTATGGGGAGGATGAATAGCGTTTAATAGCCAAGCTAGCGAGGTGGTTAGCGAGGTAATTGCACCATAGTATTGACTTAGCGAGGGACAACTGGTTGTGCAGGAAGTCGCAGGTTGTCTCCAGCTTAACGAGATTTTTCAATTTCTAATTAGTTGCTAGTAAGATAGACCTAATAGCGGCAAATGAGAAGAATTGTCTGCTGCTAGGTAGAGGTAGCTATACTTTCCAAGCTTTTTAGTCTTTTAGTCTACCGTTTCCTGCCTGCCATCAATTTCCAAGTTCCATTCGCATTCGTTCGCATCCGAATCCGCATCCATTCGTCCTCCTCAATCTCTAACCACTAATAAGCACCACCTAAACTCGCACAACCTAATAATACTATTACTACTACCAAAAATAATAAAAATAATCCATTACCGAGAAACAATAGCGACCATTTTGCAGCAATCAACGACAATGTACCAGCCGAGAAGGGCCAAAGTTGCGGCTTTTCTGGTCTGTTAGCTGTTAGCTGTTAGCTGATTCCTCGTTAGCTGGTTCCTTTCACACTCCTCTCCCGATCGCACATACACGTATACATCTACGCGCATCTTACGCATCTACGGCACCCAAGCACTTGGCACACAAACAGCCTTTGTGCACCGGTTTTCCATTTTCATCTCTCCAGTCGCCTCTCTTTCTCCCACTCGTTTCTCTCGTCCCTCTCGTCCTTCTCGGTTTCGGCCCTAATAAATTCACATTACCTATGGCGGTCGCGGGGTAGGCGGTCTTGTCTGCCTCGTTATTCAGTACATGTACAATAGCTCAGCTCTCTCCTCACTCTCACCGCTCCAACCGAATTTCACTTTTGCCTTTTGCCTCCTCATCGTTATCCTATCTCGTCGATCATTTTCTCCATTCTTCTATGTATTTGACCGACCTCCTATTCGGGCTTGGCTGAAATCCTCACAACTAAAGAGCTGAAACTGAAAACTGAAATTAACATCTTACCTACTCCTATACCGTCGCCGTTTCGACCTCGAGTTAGCTTACGGCCAGCCTCGCCTGCCGTGCTTCTTATATACGCTGCACATCGGTTTACGAGCTAGCGCAGTATAATTTAAGTTCATATTATATCACCTCCGTATAGAATGATAACTTAGGAAGAACCATCGCCGCTTCGTTCGGATATACTAAACGGTTCACCTATACTCAAAACCCGTCTTCTCGTCTCCTCTTAGGAGTCGATACGTACTAATGGCCTTGCATAAGGTCTCTAGTCGTATCGCGACATCACTATATCGAAGATGTCAGCAAGCAGTTCCCCCAACCGCGGTCCTACGATCATTGCTGTAACCTCCTGGACCCTCGCCTTAACCAGCGTCATTGTTGCTGCTAGGTTATTCTGCCGGACTCGTATCGTGCGAAGGGTGACATGGGACGACTACTTCATTATAGTTGCTTGGTGCATCGCTTTTGCTCTTACCTTCTCTATTGGTATGGCTGCTGGTAGGGGACTTGGCCGTCATGATAAAGATATACCTAGCCAGGATTGGGTTACTCTGCGTAACTGCGAATATGCCTTCTCGATTTTATATGTAAGTTGAATTAACTTGATAAATCAGATCCTACGTTAAATCTAACTACCCGGCAGAACCCTGCCTTGATGGCCACCAAGACATCCGTTCTAATCTTCTACCTTCGCCTGTCCAAAAATACACAAAGAGTGATGCGGATAGCTTCATGGGCTGTCCTAACTATTGTTAACCTAGCGGGAGTGGTCCTAACCTTTATAAACCTCTTTCAGTGCCGTCCAGTCGCCGCGGCATATGATACGGTTACGGAGCCGGCGTATTGCATTCCGTTGCTAACCCAATTCCTATGCTCGGCGCCCGTCAATGTTTTGACAGACCTCGCGATATTGGCTTTACCATTACCCGTCCTTACTAGTATGAGGTTACCGCGACGACAGAAAATCATCTTGATCTTTACGTTTGCTTTGGGAATATTCGTCACTGTCGTCGATGTCGTTCGGATCTACTATCTAGAGCAGGCTATTACTATGACCTCTACAGAAATCGAGAGCGAGAAGGGGCCGATCATCGGACATTCACCTGAGTTTGCCTGGAACGCATCACTCTCATTCATGTGGTCGTCTCTCGAAGTTAATGTGGGCATAGTTTGTGCGTGCATTCCGACACTAAAGCCACTCATTCGCCGCATCTTACCCGCCATGCTGGTCGACCCTAATGGAACCCGAGCGTATGAGAAAGGCTCCTCGACGGATGGGAATGTAAGCTCAAATAATGCCCGACCACCCACTGCAGGTATCTTCGCCGATGGCAATATTACACCACCAGCCCCGACGCATTTCGGAGGTAGACAGGAGAGTCAGGTCTCCTCGATCGATTTCATGACTACACCGGACATAGGCTTCAATACTCATTCCCCCGACCCACTTAATAGATCGCCCACTATTTTGACGAGCGCCACTGGAACCTTCTCGATGACGGAGAACTCGGTCTATTTCGGATTCGTAAACATGCGTCGACCCAAGAGCATGATCAGAACCTCAGTTCGCGACTCATTCAAATATTGTACCATAGTCATTATCCTATTTTTGCTATGGGGGTTTTCCTATGGCCTGTTAAATCAGCTCAATAACGCCGTCTCTACCGTTTCGGGCATGTCGACCGCCGAAACTATAGGGCTTTCGTCGATGTACTTCGGAGGAGGATATCTACTCGGCCCGTTGCTCGTTGGAGAATGGATTCTACGACATGACGAACACACTAGGTCTGGAAAGAAAACCAACGGTCCAGATCATATTGGTGGCTATAGGGCAACATTCATAGTGGGACTCTGCTTCTACGGTGTGGGGACGATTATGTTCTGGCCTAGTGCTGTCCTCGCTTCGTTCGCCGGCTTCATGGTCTGCAACTTCGTCGTCGGATTTGGCCTTTCAATTATAGAGACTGGGGCCAATCCGTTTATCGTCTTCTGCGGTCCAATGGATTATGCCGAGATGAGACTCTGTCTAGCCCAGGGAATCCAGGCCGTTGCAACTGTTTTAAGCGGACTTCTAGCTGAGAGAGTCTTCTTTACTAAGCTTGAAACGAATACTTCTACCATTACAAACCCAGGGTCGCTACTGGACGTCCAGTGGACATATTTAGCTATTACACTCCTGTGTGCGGCACTGGCACTTTTCTTCTATTACATGCCATTACCAGAGGTCACCGACACCGAGATGGAGACCTCCACGCGATACCTTCCGGTTGACCCTAAAAAGCGAAGTTTTGGCGGGTTACAACTTCGAACATGGACTCTAGCATTGGCCGTTTTAGCCCAATGGGCCACGGTTGCCGGCCAGGAAAGCATGAGCATCTTTTTTCAGAAAATCATTACGCCGAAACTCGTTGTGCATACAGCCAACGGCCAGTCGATAGAATCGCTACTCTCTCCGATAGGGCTTACTCTTTCCATTCCGGATTACCTTTTAATCTCCCATACTTCTTTTGCTCTCTCGCGTTTTCTGGCGGCATACCTCGCCTTTTTATCTCCAACGCACCCAAAAGTCCCACAACCACGTACCATATTAGGCATTACCACCGGACTTAGTATTCTCTCTGGTATCGCTGTGGTTACCCTCCGTCCAGAGAACCCAAACTTGGTTGTCATTCCGGTAGTCCTTTTTTATTTCTTTGAAGGTCCCTTGTGGCCTCTTATATTTGCCCTCGGACTTCGCGGTCAAGGCCAACGCACCAAACGGGCGGCGGCATATATCACCATGGGTGCTTCTGGGCCGGCGTTCTGGCCATTCGTGATATATGCGGCGATTCAACAAGGCGGTAGTGTTCAAACAGCCTTTGCCGTGGTTCCTGCGCTTTTTGTTCTATCAGGATTCTTTCCCTTCTTCTTGGACATGAAGAAAGATGCCCGAGCCTTAGTTGACACTCGTTTTGGTGCCGAGAACCAATCAAGAATACAAGATCGTGCAAACCGGGACATGGATCTTGACACCATACTTGAAGCGCGGCGTCGAGCATCGATAGCTGGCCTGGCAGCCGATGACGAGAAGGCCGGGTTTTTCAAGAGGCTCTCAATTGCATTGAGCAAAGGTAGCAGCGCACTCCCCGGTCGAAAAGAATCGGACCCGCCTACTTCAGAGCACCGCGAAGCAAGTAGTGGAAGCCCTGGTTGAGACAAAGAAAGCTGTCAATATCCACCTCTTGAATAAAACCCAACCATGCGATCACCAGCTTAGGTTGATACGCTTTCCTCGGAATCGTCGTCGTCAGCGAAGACACGGAGTGAGATGCACCATTAAGAAAATACTTCAGTCTCTCAGGTCCTACAATGATGATATTATCCCTCGCATCCCGGCTTCGATTACCAAAACCTTCAATTCCAATGGGTCACAGATGATTACATAAAGCTCTTGGTTTTTAAATCACTTGAAACCCAGGAATTTCCTTGGAATCAACATGCAAGATAAGCATAACTCGAAGGCTCTGTTATTGAAACGGTAAGAGCGGTCATCGTGAAATCATTCAACTTGATATTGATACTAACGTGATGTTAGCAGACTGCTTTGAAAGTGGGATTGAAATCCGGTTTGATACCCACATATTCTAGCGATTAATTAGATACCCAGGAGGTACGTTTGCAAAACTAGGGGCACTTGGTACCCTAGGTACAATACAACTTGGCCAAACCGCTCAAGTTTAAATTATGGTGGTCGGGCCAGGAGTCGAGTCACTGTTAATGGGGATCTTCGTGTTCTGTTCATAATGAAAATACACGGAATAAACCCTAATTACTGATGTCAGGTCATCGCAGTACGATGGTCGCAATTATTAACCTAACATATAACTTGTTATTTATATATATGGTGTTGAGAATCTGATTCAAAGGTCGTTTCCATATGATACCCATATATAGTTAAATTAATATAAATTTACAACATCAATCTTTGAGTATTTATGACATTCAGTGAATGTGAATGAAAATATAAATCCAAAGTGAAAACCGGAATTCTCGGTGTATTGTTGTACAGTAAACCCCATTAAAAATTACGGGGATCGTGGAACATGGAACATCCTCTTAATCGGATTTCTAATTATCTATGCATGTAACAGTAAGAATCCCATAAAAGGGGCGAACGATCTTGATGGTTAAATTTTCGGAAGGCGAGGAATTTGTATTTAAAAAGAGCTATGCATAAAAGAGATCGGGATTGTACTATTCTAGGTTATTATTGCGAGCTTACCAATCCAATCCAGGTCGATGATGTCTCCTTCCATTTCATCCCGATTCGTATCGTTTGAATCTTTCTTTTTAATCAAGTTATCAATTCTATCTTAGTTCTAGTTCCTTGCAACTTTTTTTATGTTATTAGACTATAGAGGAGGGTAGAAAAGCAACAAGTCCTCATATCTACCCAAGTACCGAGGTATACACCAATAGTCGAATCCGTATTCAGAGACATTATTTGTGTAACGTGAATACCGCGGAACCGGGGGACCGGTATCGCTGAAGTCACGATGACATCCGCTCGAGTCGAATCGTCTGGAGGATCCCCTTTTAAAAATGGTTCGAGAGAGGAGTCCGGCGATTCGAAAGATGCCCCGTCGATAAACGACTCCACCACGGAGGAGACGCCGCTGCTGCGGTCTGGGTCCGGTTCGGACGTCGTGGGGAGCGTCTCGTCTGTCTCGTCTGATCCGTCTGAGGATGGCGATTCTCCGGATTTGGATACCCCGAATCAGAGGGTCAGTCGCGGTCGCGCTGTGGCTATTATCTTGAGTGTTTACCTCTTGATATTTCTGCAAGGTAGGTGCCTGCTACCCGCTGTCTAGCTGGCTGTAGATAGGTGGATATATGTGCTAATGCATCTGCGCAGCAACCAATATGTCGGGCATCACGATGGCGCAGTCGACGATTGCCGCGGACTTGGACTCGTACGAGAACGCGATGTGGTTCACGACGGCGTTCCTCGTGGCCATGTCCTCGTCAACGCCGCTCGTCGGCAAGCTGGCGTCTATCTTCTCGCCCCGAAGCATGGTGCTAGTCGCGTCCTCCTTGTTCGCCGTCGGTTGCTTTGTCACCTCGCAGGCTCGCTCTTTCTCAGTCTTCATCCTCGGTAGGGTGTTGACGGGAATGGGTGGTGGTGCGGCGATGGCCTTGGCTATTGTGCTTATTCTTGAGCTCACGACTAAGAGGGACAGGGGGCTTTATGTTGGGTTGATGTGAGTGGAGACTTCATCGATGGGGAGTTATGTGTAGTGCTGATGCCCTTGTCTAGGAATGCCGGGTTCACCACTGGTGTCTCGTTAGGCGCTGTCGTCTTTGGTGGGCTCATTTCTGTCACTGGCTGGGTATGAATACCTGTTGTCCCCTTATAGCCCTAGAGTATCAACTTATAGTATCATAGAGAGCTCTCTTTTGGGCACAAGTCCCGCTAAGCTTGATCGCCGGGCTCGCGATCTACTTCAGTATCCCGGCTTCTTTCTCCTCGGGCCATCACTCCAAAGAGGGCTCATTGGCCTCGAAATTGAAGCGGATTGATTACCCCGGCGCCTTATTCTTGGTAAGTCAATAGTCCAAAAAGGGAGTCTTCCCCATCTTACTAACAATCGATAGACCAGCACCGTTGTTCTTTTCCTGTTCGGACTATCTAACAACATTCAACCCATTCCACTGTTCATCTCGTTGGTAACGCTCGTCATATTCGTCCTGATCGAGTGCTACGTCGCCGCCGATCCTATCGTTCCCATTTCCGTCATTAAGAACCGCGGCGCCTTACTAATATGCCTTTCGCAACTCGGCTTTATGGCTGCGCGGTGGGCGGTGCTGTTTTATGCCCCTATCGCGGCCCTTGCAGTGCGTGGTTTCGCACCGGCTACGAGCGGTAGTATTCTTATCCCGACGAATCTCGGTTTCGGCTCTGGTGGACTGCTTGTCGGTGTAAGTCATTCCATATCTTCTAATATTGCGCATGTATCGAGTAAGGGGAGCGTGGTTATCTCTAGCAGACTACTAATATCTATCTTAGTGGCTACACATTCGCCGTGCTGGGAGTTTCTGGCTATCTTGCGTTGTATCTTTCACCCTTTTCGCCGCGAGTTTGTTCATGCTGTCTTTAGCATCAACACCTGACGTCCCGATCGCCGTATATATCGTCATAGTGTTCTTCAACGGCCTCTTCACCGGAGCCGCGCTGAACTACACACTAGCCCATCTTCTGCACCTGACCGCGCCTGAGACACACTACATAGCTACCAGCTTGCTGGGCACATTTAGAGGATTTGCCGGCAGCTTCGGTAGTGCTATTGGTGGAGGCATTTTCGCTCGGACTCTGCGCGAGTCGCTAGAAAAAGGGTTCGACGGCATCGATGGCTCGGACCGGGACCATAGCGAGCTTGTCCGGAAGCTAATCGGAAGTCCGGCACTCGTGTTCAATGGTGGACTTGGACCCCGAGAACATGAGGTCGCGGTGCAAGGATATGTCGACGCGATAAGGGTTCTTTTCCAGGCTGCTGTGGTTCTGTCCGTGATTGTCTTGGTTATCCAAGCAGGTACTGGATGGAAGGGACCTGCGGACAAGGTGAAGGATTCGGAGGAGGTTGGGGATGGTGGCGTCCAGAGTGATGGGGCTAGTGGAGACCGGCGGTAATTGGATGTAAGCCTCTTCGCGTATTCAAAATTTGGTGGTGTACTAAAATGTATAAGGCGGTTATAATTATAGAAATTTAGTTCACATAGACTTATTTTAGAAATGGCTGAATAGGTAGTTTGGTGAATTGAAGCTGACGGCTTCAGAGTTTATTTGTAAGGGAAACCCCCTATTCCTGCGTCTTAGATCTATGACGTTCATATGCACCACATACGTAAGAGGCTGATCATGAGAGCATAGGGCACAGGGCACAGTCACGAATACCGGGAGAAAATAAATGGATTCAGATATATATTTGAATATTCTATGTGCATCTAACTTTTAAAACAGATGTTTTTCGGTAGAAACAGTAAACATAGGTAAACAAGTTTTTAAACAATGCGACAAAGGTTTATGGCAACTCAGACAGACATAAAGGGGAAAACTCATCCGGATGTATCATCAACTTTACCGATGCATTCTCTTCGCAATCTCATTATCTCCTTGGGAGCCTCATTGCAATTATTCCTCATCCTCCTCCTCATCATTCACCGGGTGGTCAACGAGCCATTGCACATGCTGAGCGAATCGGTCGTCGCCGATTCTAGCTGCGGCCTCTGGAAGAGGAATATTTTCGTACGCCCACAGGTCCAACAAGTTTTGAGCTTGAAGTCGAGTCACCGGGTACTGGTCTGGTGCACCATCTGGCCCTCCATCTTGTCCAACGGCTCGGAATCCGAACGGTAAGGCTGGCCGGATGTTTTCTATGATCGGTGGAGGGTTGCCGAGTTCGAGAAGTAATCGGAGGAGCACCCCGTCTCTGTCTATAATGGCCGCGTACAATGCCTGAAGAGAGCGTCGGCAGTTGTAGTGGAGCAGCCATCGGATAGTTCGGCCTTGTCTGTCGCGGACGGCGGCGTACAAAAGACGACCAGGGACGTTTCGGAAGCGGCTCCTTCGCGACACGGTGAACAGGACTTGCGTCCATTCCGCGTTTGGCTGCTGGAGATCCGCGAGTTGCAAGAGCAGATCCTCGCCATGCACATTCTGCGGCTCATCGGGTTGAGGCGTAATTAGACCATCGTTTGGATTGTATGCTGTGCGGTAGCCCAACATTTCGAGGGCTGCTCCGAGCACAATTGTTCCGCCCATGATGGACTGCCCAGCGATTCTGGTGATCCGTTCGGCGCAAATAGGCTCGCTCAGTAACGCAAGGTGGCGGATCAAATCAACGTCTTCGGGACCTAGATTATCGCGGGTAGCCACACTCTCCACAACGATCGGAAGCGAGGCTCGTAGGCCCTCTGTATAAATCTCGGTGTCAAACGCGACGATATCATCCACGATTCTTCGGAGGGAGGCATTGACATGCTGGCGGGGAACATCTCGCGCTGTCTCGCCTGGGTTGCCGTATCGTTGTAGAAAGACTGGGTCGAGGTTCATCAAGTTGACCCTGTTGTTGTTCAGGAAGAGGTGTGGCATCATCAGCGCTAGCTGGATACGGTCCCCCCCTGAGAGACGCCCGACTAGTTCGATAAGGTCGTCATTAGATAGGAACGGGATCCGATGGAGACATATTGGAATACGGCGCTGAAAGTCCGAGAGGGCTGCGGATGGCGCCTTGCATGCCTTGCCCACCTCACACGCCTTACCCACCTCACACTCCTTGCCCTGCTGGCATGCCATGCCCTGCTGGCACGCCATACCCTGCTGGCACGGGCACGCCATAACCTGCTGGCACGGGCACGCCATGCCCTGCTGGCACACCATACCCTGCTGGCACGGGCACGCTATACTTTGCTGGCACGGGCACGCCATGCCCTGTTGGCACGCCTTGCCCTGCTGGCACGCCTTGCCCTGCTGGCACGTCATGTCCTGTTGGCACGTCATGACCTGTTGGCACGCGTTACCCTGCTGGCACACCTCAGCCTCCTGCTTACTCGCCTTGCAATCTTGAATCACTTCGACCGCCTTGCACATGGGTCGCGTTATAGTCTTCTTCGACCTCGATTTAATTTCCGGCATCCGTTCTCTCTGCCGACGACGAGCCCGTCGCTTACGGTCCCTAGACTCCGAACTTGCCTCCGAAGGCAAAGGCGGCAGCACGCGACTTGGAGTGCGGGTTCTCTTCCAACGGGTCGTCTCTGATAAAGGCGACGACTTGAAAGCAAAAGTGGAAGTTCTATTCCCGTCGTCCATGACTGTACTGACTGCACTTGGTGAGAACGGCGGCGTTGGTTCGAAAATATAACTCTCCTCGCTGTCCGTAATTGACGAAGGCGGAGCAACTCTAGATCGCCCTTGCTGCCTGGATTCGCGTTGAAGTTGTCGCAGCGTTTCCCACTGCTTGCGGATATTCTCCCGTCGTCGTCTCATCCGAGCTTCTTGTTGACCATACAGCCTGGTCTCCTTCTCGATCTCCTGTGTCAACTGACATACCTCATCTGCCTGATCATCTGCCTGGTCATCTGCCCCATCATCGTCCGGTCCCTCCGGCTCTTCATCGATGGGAGGTAGGCCCACCTTTGAACGTAAGTATCGTGATCTTTCTCGTCTCTCCAATCGCCGCATTATCTTCTGCCGTCTTCTTAGCCCCTCGATATCTTCCTTGGCATTCTTCCCACCGTCACGCTTCCCAGCTCGAGCCCTAGTCGGAGGCGCCATGTTGTCGAGTGGGTTGTCTTGAATATTGAAGATAAGTCGAGAATATGTAGAGTGAAGATAAATCTAACCAATTGCTAAACTAGCAGTTATCCAGCGATTTGCTTCTTGAGAAATGACAGAGGCGATGGTGCATAGGTATTTATATTACTAGCTCTCCCAAGGGTGCTTTTGATTGTTCCTTAATAATAACAGAACATTGTCATGAAGTCTCATACAATTCCATTGTTCTCAAACCCATCTCCCCGTGGCTTTGTATCTGTCCACCATTGATAGGTACCTCCCCATGTCTTCAAAATTCGATGTGCATTGCTTTGTCAGATTATCAAAGGGACCAAAGACCTAGACTCTTTTTCACATTATCGTGACAGTACACTAACCGAGCCTGAATGACAAGTTGGCTACGGTGACTCTATGGGTTTAACCTCAACTCACTAGATTATAAGTTCCTTGATATTTGGATATATGCCACGGAAACTTTTGGAATCGAGCCAATTATCAATTGGACTCGTGTTAACGCCCGACTTTCGTGTTATCTTCCTACGAGGGCGGGCTATAGCTGAATAAACCGAATGTAAGGAGATTTTCACGCGACACGTGCTACTTTATATCTGTGTTTCAACAGGCACCCCTGAAGACCAGCTTGTGTAGGACTAAACGAGAGCTCCTTCTTAGTAGAACTTCTTAGCTATATCTACGTTCTGTAAAAGACCCATCGGCAATTGTAACCTGATATAGCCTTAAAGGAATCGTAGAAGGATTCGTTTATTCTCTTCGGGAATTTTAAGATTGATCCCAACGACATGGCTTCGAAAGCTCACGCCTGCAAGGAATCTGAGCTAATAGTTGGCTGATGTCACGTTGTAGATCGGATGAGTTGAGAGTAAAGTGTCAAAGTGTACACTGTGTCTATTCTAAACGTCTTGAACAGAGTGAGATAATCATCGCGTATCCCTCCCATGTAACACATAAATGCCATTAGTTCTAGAAGGCCATAAGCTATGCGGCGATGCAGCTGAGGGTACCTTACAGAACAGCCCTGTAACAACAGCTGATCTTACCCTTGAACGGGCACCGGGGGGCTAGACCACTAATACGACCAGCCATTTTGGGTAGCTGTCATCCATCTCACAGGCTGAATTATAACGGTTCGTGTCACTATGAGGAAACCTCTTGCGACGGGTAAATTAAATGATCGTCAGTCCGAATGCTTACCTAGGTATGCGGTATGTGGTGCGGCAACATCCATATCCTATCCATGAAACTATCACGTTGCGCACAGGAGAGAAGGGATGATATTTATATAAGCTGGCTTGGCTTCGAATCCTGATATTTCAAGTTCGAGGCAGCTTAAAAACACCATCATCCCAATTTGTCATTACCTACCTAGAACAAACAGAAAGGAACTCTCAAATCTATCAAGATGATGTTCAAGAATTACACTCTCGTCCTCGTTTCAGCCGCTCTCTCTTTCGCGTCAGCTTCAGTCCTACCTAGGGCGGCATGCTGGACTGGCGAGATTCACTACCCATGCAACAACGCCACTACGGGTTGCACTCCGGATGGAATCATGGTACGTTCGATAATAGTCTTCGCTTCTCAACATTAAGACATGACTTACTCATTAACTGGTATCTGGTATAGGTTAAATGCCAAGCTGACAGTGGCGCGATGATCTTCGACTCTATGTGCGGAGGACCGACCGGACAGGGCTCATGTACCTATGACGCAGCATGCAACGCATACTGCGCTTAGAGCAAGAGAGCACTTTATAGAGTGACGTTTTGGGCATCTAAGTGCGCTTTGTGATGCTATACTGATGGCATCTTGGTCGGATTCGGGTTTTAATTCATGTAACTTCTTCATCTTTACTTCTCAGTAATATGGATATAACGATGCCCCTATTTATATCTCGAAAGCCGTAGGTGAATGGGTTAGTGCGATGAAAACGGGATTGTAAATTGATATCAAAGAGATCTATGTAGACCTCAATCACCTACCTAATTATAGATCTCCGGTCATCGTGGGGCTCCTTTAAATCCGGGGTAAATGATTAGCGAGTTGACGTGCTCGCCGTAGTGAAAGACGATTGCTTCTTAAAGGTTCAGAAGGAAAATAAAAGCTTCATTCCCCCACGGATTGCCTAGACCAGATTTTAAATACCCCACACGGTGCGAATCAAGCTGATTACGGAGTTATACCACTACCTGATGTCATTTCGAGACTTCATAATATAGAATATAACCTAACATTATATAGTGGTATTGAAGGTGTCCAACAAATTCACGGCTTCGATGCTAACCCCAATGCTTAATCGGATAAGGGGGTAGGTACAGTATGACGACGAAGAAATATGCAGGCTACAGCGAGTTCGGCGACGTTGGTTCATATGTCGCATATCCCCTACGCCCTCCAACAACATTTTGGAATTCTACAAACTTAAGTCTCGAGAAGTCATGCCGACAACTTGATATCTCGTTCCATATCTACCTACCCAGTACGCAATAGAAATAATGACAAGCCGTACCCCTAACCCCCTTGGCCCACCCGTTGGTGGTAACACGGCTCAACGTCCGTCCCGGGAGACGAGATTAGTTGGTCGACACGTTACACTGGTCGGCGTGTCAAGTGCGCAACATGCAGATCAGCTCTATCCGCATATCTCAGGGCCGGAGAATGCGTATCTCTGGGATTACCTGTTTGACGGACCGTTCGATGACATTGCTGTATTCCGAGCTAATCTCAAAGCTAAGGAGACTAGTCAAGATCCCGTCTTTTACTCGATCCTATTGAATGATCAGGGGAACAACGAGGTCGTCGGTATGACTAGCTACCTGCGAATTGAGCCCGGCCATCGCTGTATCGAAGTTGGCAGCTTATTATTCTTGCCGAAATTACAGCGCACGCCAGCTGCCACCGAAGCCATGGTACAGATTTATGTAACATTAACTCGAGTTCAAGTCGTTACTGATCTATAGTGTAGTATCTGATGGCGAGACACGTGTTTGAGGACTTGGGATATCGGAGATACGAATGGAAGTGCAATGAACTCAATGCCCCAAGTCGGAGAGCGGCTTTGCGTCTTGGGTTTACGTATGATGGTCTCTTCAGAAAACACATGATCGTTAGGGGTCTCAATAGAGATACTACTTGGTTTTCGATGATTGATGACGATTGGCCCGGTATTAAACAAGCTCTGGAAGCTTGGTTAGACCCTTCAAATTTCGATGGTGAGGGCAAGCAGAAGAAAAGGTTAGAAGAGTTCCGGCAATGATAAATAGGAAGAAAGGTATTTTATGTACTAGGTAGATTATTTTTACTTTTTCTTTTTGGTGAGAGGGAAAAGTACCTACCTACATTGTAATTTGTGGCAGATCATTAATGTGGCGCAAACGCAATTAATCAGCTGATCGCAGCTGGCATATAATCATCTACAAACATCAACTTCCTTTTTGAAGTTTTTTTCCTTCCTTCCTTCCTGCCTTGCTTGCTTAACACTCACGAGGAAAAAAAGAAAGGGAAAACAACAAACTTCACCACAAATCTCGTGGTCCCCTCCACTTCCCAAATGTGCATCACCTAGATAACTACAAAAGCCCAAAGCCGGACTTGTTCTTTGATGGCGACTATATAATAGCTATCTGATCGGCAGCGCAACGATAAGGGCCTCGGAAGAAAATGTTGCGCTTCTCGCTTAGAAGGGTCTCGCTGTCAGCAAGTCGCAGTTCGATCAGTTCGATTCGGACCGGCCCGCTTAGGCGCACATTCGGGTCTTACTCTCCGGAGCTGCCTAAGGTTCCGATCCTTAGACCAACGATATGGGCTCTTGCCGCTACGGCTACCATCTATATTGGTTGCGCCACACACAACGTCTATCGAGAGGCCCGGATTGTCAAGCGAAGGGGGGATTACAAGGAAGATGTCATTAAGTCGTACGATGATTTGGAATACGTCAAGAAGCGTGGAGATGGCTTCCGTCGCAATCTGCCCCTTCCGCGGAAGGAGAGGTGGTTTCCGACTGGGCATCTCTCTGCTATACAGAGTGGATACACGGGCGCGGAGATAATGACTATTTACTTCTCAGCCCTCAACGTCAGCCTTTTCGGGGCCAAATTTCTTGCCCCCAGCTCCGTGATGCCGTACCTCTCCCACGTACCAGCGTTCAGCCCTAATTATACGCTCCTAACCTCTATATTTGGCCACAGCGGCCTCTTACACGTTTCGCTTAACACGTTCGTGCTTCTACAGTTCGCTCCTAGAGTCACGAAATCCCATCTATTCCAAGGAAATGGCAACCACTTCACGGCGTTTTACCTTTCGGCCGGTATCCTCTCGTCGCTGGGACACCAGGTCGGGACTATACTACCGACGCGGACGTATCGATTCAACCGTTTCGCGCCGGCGGCGGAATCTAGCGGCGTGATCATGGCTGGTAAGTTACATTTGCAGTAGTCGTCTGTTTACAATCCTCACTAACTTTATACATAGTGATAGGAGCTTGGGCTACGATGAACCTCAATGAGAAGGTGGGCATCATGTTTCTACCGGGATCCTATGCTGTCCAGGATTTGGTGACTTTTATGGTCGCACTTGATACGTTCGGGCTCTTTTTCGGATTGCCGTTTTTGTCCACCGCACATGCTGCGCATCTGAGCGGGTTGGCTTTTGGTTGGGCATACGCGCATTTCGACGGGGAAAAGAAGCTGTGGCGTCCTACCTGCCGGTCCGCCTTTTTATTGATGAAGCAATTAAAAATGATATGACCGTCTAGTCACATAACGAGAAGCTTCGACGAGGTTGACATATTTACTCCTTACAAGGGTACTAGGTAGGTAAAATAACAAATGATGCATAGGAATGGTTTAAGAGGTAAATAGCAAGCGAGCTATGTATATCCATGAGACAATGAACATCTTTAGATACCCTCTTTAGAATTGTAATTTTAGCATTATATTCCGTTGTATTGAAGTGAAAGAGGTAATTCTTTAATGCTGTATTTTGTATAATGGATATCGAATTGTAAGATGAAGATTACTAAAGTGAATATTTGATAAAGCAATCGTTCAATTGGCGGCAGCTGCCCGCACTGAGGTCATTATTTCGTAGTGGGGCATCCCCGGAACGGATAATCCACCTACCGCACAGGCTTGACCAGTCGGGTAGAGGCATTTCTTGATTAGCGAAGCGGCAAAAAAAGTAGGTCGAGGTTTAACGAGAATCCGCCCTCCGCCCTCAATCCCGTCAGTCCGTCCGCGTAGATGCACCCGATCGATTGATATCATCGACCTTCGACGAACCTAGATCGCATCTTCCGAATCCAAAGAACCTCTCCACTCAACCTACAAATTCCTCAACATATCAAACGATCGCGGATATCATCAATTGACCCTCGAAACGATGCTGTCTTCCTCGAGAAGAGCAGCCACCTTGGCTTTGAGAGGTTTGTTCTCCTCTTCCCCGATAGCTTCACCCCTGTATAGATATCTACATATTTACCTACCTGGATGGATATATATATATAGAAATATATGTAAATATGTAAATAATCATGCTAACTCTCATCTCCAGTCAAGCCGACAACCCGTACCCTCGTCCCTTTCCAATCCGTCGCCGCCATCTCGACCACCCCTAAGAAGGATGCCACGTCGGTGACGCCTCACACCTCCACCGGTCTCGCGCACCGCGAGCGCAAAGAAGTACCGCTCCTCAGCGAAGTACCCAAGAAGGGCGTCATGCAATATGCCTTGTACGTCATACTCGCCCCTAGTACCTATCTACACATATAAATATTCATGAATATATATGTATACAAATATTCAACACGCATAATCTAACATACCATCCCCAGGACAACCCTCGACCAAATGGCCAACTGGGCGCGGCAGTCGTCGCTATGGCCAATGACATTCGGGCTCGCCTGCTGCGCCGTCGAGATGATGCACCTATCGACACCACGCTACGACCAAGACAGACTCGGGATCATCTTCCGCGCGTCGCCGCGGCAGTCGGACGTGATGATCGTAGCGGGCACGCTGACGAACAAGATGGCGCCGGCGCTGCGGCAGGTGTACGACCAGATGCCGGAGCCGCGGTGGGTGATCAGCATGGGCAGCTGCGCCAACGGCGGCGGCTACTACCACTACAGCTACAGCGTCGTCCGCGGCTGCGACCGCATCGTCCCCGTCGACGTCTACGTCCCCGGATGCCCGCCTACCAGTGAGGCTCTTATGTACGGTATCTTCCAGCTCCAGCGCAAGATGAGGAACACGAGGATCACGCGGATGTGGTATAGGAGGTAAGACGATGGGGGTGGTGAGGAAAAATGGTAAAGGGAAGGGGAAGGGGTCCGGGGATAGAGAGGGACCGATGTCCCCGGGCGACTCGGCGGTAGATTACGCTTTCTCTCTTTTGTCGGGCATAATGATGTACATAAGATACCGGGGTGCATTTAAACATACGATTCACACAACGCGAGTCTTTGCTGCTTCGTATATCTTGCGAGTAACCGGGATTTGTCCGGCTTGGTTTTGGTGAGGAAGCCATCGGGCACTATTATGGGCCTTGATGAGGCTGATATCTCGATTGTTACTACAGGTGTAACAACTACCTAGCCAAACAACAGATTATTGTCTGTAATTCGTTGATATTGTTCGTCGTACTCAATAATATTATATAGCGGGATATTCATCGTAGGGGCTGTCGGAATATAATTGCCGGGGTATACCCGGTCGATGATATTGCTCAGCCAGCTAGACCTGCGATCTACAACTTGATTTCTGAATTTCTGGATTACACCTCATCATAGCTAGGTGCCTATTCATTCTATTCTTTATTTTCCATTATAAAGAGATTTAAATTTTACGAAAATATTGAAGAATATGAGTAGCGACACCCCCCTACTCGGTGAGTCTACCCCTATCTAGGATGGCGATGATGTAAGAGGCTTGGTCTATAAGCCACCAAACCGGATATCCGTAAAATCTCAAATGAACGAGACGAATATGAAAAGAAGTCGGAGTTATATTGTTCAAAGAAACCGCCCTCACAAGCCAACACGTTAATCAGGTCAAGACGCAAGTGGTCCTCACTACGAAGATGAGGATGAGCACCAGACATTCGTGGAGAGCTGGAAGTCCGGATACCACCGAGTCCAAACGGCAACATCTCGCTTCACCAACTCCCGCACAAAACACTGGATCCTCCTCGTCCTCATCATCCTCGACGTCGCCGGTATCTTAAGCGATATCTTCATCGCCCTTATCACATGCGAGATCGGTGTCGAAAACGACGAATGGGTGGCCCCCACGAGAAATGCCTTGACCACCTTCTCGTTGGTCATGAGTTGCATCTTCCTCGCGGAATTGGCCTTGTCTGTGTTCGCCGATGGCTGGGGGTGAGTGTCTTACGTCGTTCGGTCCGATGCGTTTCCCGGCTGCTTACCCATTACCTACTCACCTGCTTATTTGAATGTTTGCTGATTCTTTAGCAGGTACTTCCGGAGCTGGTTTCACCGATTCGACGCCTTCGTGGTTGTGGCTGGATTTGCCGTCGATATGATCGAGAATAATACGGCGGAGGAGATCGCCTCGTTGATTGTTATCTTGCGATTGTGGCGCTTCGTCAAGATCGTCGATGAGTTCTCCGTCGAAGCCTCTGAGGAGATGGAAGAGATGCGCAAACGCTGCGAGGATCTGGAGTCGCGCAACGCAGCTCTAGAGGCGCAGATTGCGCAACGATAGTATGTTCCTACATAAGGTAGTTTCCGCACAGCGCTCATGGTGTGTCTGGCATACCTTTCGGTCGTCGGTGGTTCAGAAGTAAGGTTATGGCTTGACTCTGGAAACCTTGATGCGATAGAGGTGAGTAAGAAATAACAACGTGGCATATTGAATTTTGTCATCCCATCTCTATTGAACTTTACTAATATAGTAATCGCATAGTACCTTGCTTGACAGAGATTAGCTAAGGGCGCTAGTTAGATGATGTCTTCAATATCGAGATACCCCTTTTTATCGTTTCGCTTGGTGTTCCGCTCACAACTACCTTTTAACAGCTTGCCAAGTATACATCGGATGACAACTTTATCCATGCACAGTATCGAGGTAGAAGCAAACATACTTAGTACCTAAGTAGTGGTGATGACGCTCGACATATTAAGTTCTTCAATCCTATCTTCGGATGGTAGAACTCTACTACCAACCACATGATAGCTTCGTATGTGAAGCAAACTGCTTAATCACCTACCTAGTAAATAATAGGTGGCAAAGGTTTGCCCTGCCCGTCTGAACTTTGGTTCGACCACGAACTTATGCTTACATTTACCTACCGCTGTCACGTCGTCGCAAAAACTCTACTTCACTCTAAAACTCTTAATGTGGCAGACCGTTAAGAAATGGTTAAATATTCACAGATTGATGAGTCTTCATAAAGATCCTTCAAGCCACCAACGGACGGCCATGCATTAGCGAACTATCATCTCTTCTACGCGTCAACATTAGAACTCATTGCCTCCTTCCCAGATTATTTGAGCCCAAGAATGGCTGCTTCTAATTCTACATAGGCTAGTTTTTCCTCTTTTCCCTTCATCATACATATGCTCATATGGCCTTGGTTGAGCACCCGCTCCTTCATTCTTACTAGATAAACATCCTACACTCGTTTTCATACATAACATAAAATATTTTAAACACCATGAAATCTATCATACTTTCAGCAGTCACACTTCTGGCCTCTGTCGCCTTAGTGGATGCTGACACAACGACTGCGACTTCAACCTCTTCGACATCGTCAACTACTACTACAACATCCGCTACGGTAGCAACGACGACCACAGGATGCGCCGCCCAAAATATCGTCGACACTTGTCTCGATACTACTGAGAGCTACGTAAGCCTCTGCGGTACAACAGACTACCAGTGTCTCTGTGACAAGTATGTCGCGATCGTCATGTACGGTGTCCTATACAAATTTCGCGCAACCGATATATACGGAACTGACTCTACCGCGATAGATGCTTCAACAACTGCCCCAACGACCCCCGAGGACCGAGCTACACGCAACAGAGGGATAGTTACTGGTTAGTCACGCTACCTCAGATGAGAGCTCCGCATTACTAACATAACGAACACAGCCAAACCGCCAGCCTCTACGCCACCACCTCCGGAAATCTCACGATGAGCCGGACCATCACTCCCACCTCGGTCCCGGCTGCCACGACGTCCACCAACGTCATCATAAAATCCATGGACGCATCCGGAACCGCGGCAGCCACCGAGAGCGGGAACGACGCACAGGAGCGGATCACCCGCGTCGGGGGCATGCTCGCGGGTGTTGCCGGCATCGTGGCCGTTTTCCTATAGACTGCGGTCTTCGTGGGAGAAATAAGAATAATAAGGAGTAAGGGAGTTTCTAGGCTACCGGTGATTTTACGCGTGGTTGACTTGGGTATCCGTGGATATTCGAGGAGCTGGATAGAGGACTAAGATTCCTAATAAAAACATTGTAGTGTATAGTTTCGATATTTATATATTAATATGCTCGTTACTTTATCTTATAATATGTCCCTTTCACCATCTCCCTCGCAACCCCTTTTCAATCTCCGCAAAAACATCCACCCCCTTCCTCCCCAACGCCGTCCCCACACCCACTACCGCCGCGCCAACATCCCTCATCCGTCTATACCCATCCGCGTCTCCCACACCACCCACCCCAATAATCTGTATATGCCTCGTCTCCGGCGCCTCATCCAGCATCTCCCTTAACGTCCTCACATTCCCCAGCGCCAAAGGATGCAGCGGCGGTCCTGCCATCCCACCGATTCCTGTCCCTGCCAACCTCGCATTAACTCCCCCTCCCCCTTCCCCCTTACTACTCACCTCACCATCAAGAACCAAACACGACCCCAGCGTATTCGTAGCCGTAACAAAACTAACCGGACAAACCCCCTCAACCACCACATCCCTCAACGCCTCCACAAACCCACCAAACTGTCCCGCATGCGTAAACGGCGCCGTCTTAACCCCCCACGGAACCCTCCCCCCTCCCCCATCCTTTACAACCTCCCTCACAGCCCTCAAATACCCCCCCAGCGCCACCGCATCGTACGCCAGCGGCGGAACACCCGGTATATTAGGACAGCTAAGATTAACCTCCATAGCAAGCGGCACCTGCTCCCCCACAACCCCCTGCGTCCTCGCGATCCGGACATAACACTCCGCAACATCCACCGGCGACCCCGTGACCGAGACGATGAACCCTTTCCCCGGCACCCCGGCACCGTTCCCCTTCGCTGCTATCGCTTCGATGAACCCGAGGTACGAGTCTAGCGGGATAGGGCTATATCCCAAATTATTCAAGCTCGCGGTCGCGGTTCCGTCATCCCCGGGAGTTGAGACTTGTCCTGCGGGGATGTTGGTATCGGGGTTGAAGAAGGAGTATTGGTGTTTATCCGGATCATGTGGGAAGCCGGACAGAAGCGCTGTACGGGTGGTTACGGCGCCGGTGGAGGGGCACTCGTATAGGGCTGTTAAGTCCTCGAGCGTTGTTGCCCATGGGTTGGCTGAGTTGACGAGGGGTGGGTTGATGTTGAGAGGTGGTGGGAGCGACATGGTTGCGTTAATGTGTATTTGGTGCTGTTTGATATTTACCCAAGATATTTCAGAATATACGTAATATCTATTAAATTATCTATGAAGGAAATATACAAAAGTATAGGAATATCATGGCTTGAGATGTATGAGTCTACATGCGATAGCGGGGTTCACTCAGCTCGAGATAAGATAAGCATATAATCCAACCCCTATATTCTCCCCTTTACAAATAATAGATCAGCCCATGAAATCACACCAACATATTATAAATACCTGAGTTAGGTAGATGATAAATGATGAATGGTAAATATCAATTGTTATCTTACAGCAAGGCTATGAGTTTCCGGTAAATCTCCCCTAGATAAATAATATTGTGTTGAGCATTTGAGTAAGGCCGCATGAACTCCTTACCTTGTTAATCCGTAACAGCTAGTATCACTTCGCCACGCCTCCTAATTTTAAGAAGATGGCAAGTGTGTGTTAATGTATACCTAGATAGCATTGGTTTCGTAAGAAGCAACGCTACACACGAAAATTCTCTTGCTCTCGGACCCGAATACAGATCCATGAAAAAAGAAAAAGCGGGCTTGAGTAGATCCCAGCAGCCATGTCTCAGCCACCACGACGGCCACCGGTGCTCATCAGAGTAATCTTCTGTTTCTGCTTCTTCTTCTTCTTCCCGCTATTAGTCCCGGGCCCACTACTAGACCCAGCACCGCCCCCGTCGAGATCGAAAGCCTCCATCTGCATTGCTAAATCGGCAGCACCGAGAAATTCGTCATCTTTAAGCCAACCGTCATTAACCTCGCTTTCTGAAACGGGTGCTAGTTCGGGCGAAGCAGGAATAGCGCGTGTCCCCCAAATCGTTTTTGACGTCGAGGGACTTGTGGACATATCCGCAAGTTGGCTGAATCCTGGCCGGGGATTCGGTGGAGTTGTGCCCTCGACAGCACCGAGCGGCTGGAAGTCCTCTGAATTCATTGTCGGTGTAGGATCGAACTTATCTCCGTTAGCCTGGTCGAAATGTCTTCGAGCACTACGGCCGATAGCCGAGGCCTCTAAGCGCTCCGCCTGCAATCTCTCACGTTCTTCCTGTGCCGCCTTGTCCCTGTGTACCTTACGCCGGCGCTCTAAATCGTCCGAAAACGTGTCTAGGATATCCGAAGGTACTATGTCTGTCCAATCGCACTCCAGGAAGCTCACAACGCAACCGTGAGGAATATGTCCTAGATACTTGGCCCGCTTCCTTAATGCGTCATCTACCACATGGCCAGTAGAAATGTGCTCGACACGTGGAAGTAACGTCGAGGGGAAGTTGGAGAAATCGCCAAACTTAGTCTTTAAAATGCGAATGTCTAGTGGTGATAGGTAAAGGTGCGGAGGCGCTGAGTAGAAATGAAACTGCTGCTTGGCTGGCTGCTTTGCCTTTATAGCGCTCGTCGGCAATACTTGCACCTCTTTGTCCAGGGGTTCTCGGATCTTGTCTTTCGCTGTGTTAATAGCCCTGATAGCTCGTTGTGTCCAATCCCCTTCCTCTACCCCAAAATATTTCTCATCATCCAGTGCTTGTTGCCGCAAGTTATCTATCTCCTCGTTGTATTGTTCTACCACATACTCGTTAGTCCCTTTCATAATTCTAGCATAATCCAGGACGTTTGCTGCAAAGTGCCAAGGTATATCCTCGCCCATATTGACGATGTCCGGACCTCCTTCATTTGGTAGAGCCAAGGTAGAGCCCGCATCTCGAACCATCAACCTCAATACGACATCTTCTCCCGGCCTTGGTAAGGAGCACTCCTGGCCAGCATAGAAACGGACCGGTTTGACTTCGGAAAGTCGAAAGGAGTCTTCGCATATAGGACATTTCTTCCATCGCGCCTCCTTTCGCGGGCTCGGCTCATCATCGTTCGTCGAGTTCATGAATCGCAATAGACACGGTAAGCAGAATATGTGGCCACAGCGAGCCATGCGGGGAGCTACAGGATCTTCGAGGCATATAGGACAAGAGGTGGATTGCGATACGGTCGAAGCTATAATCTGGAGTACATCGGACCATTCCAAATACTTATCGGCATCTGCGGCTTGTAAGGAGTAGTCTCCGGTAGGCGAAACTACGAAGCGATAGTTGGCATGGACAAATCTGCGCTTCTGTCAGCATGAGATGACAATGACCCGACATTTGGAATAAACGCACCGTGCCTTATCAATAGAGTGGTAGCCGGAACCAGGTCCCCAGGTAGGATGTCTGCGACTCGATCTAGAGTGGTGGTAATCGTGGTGGTGGCGCATTGGAGAAGAGAAATCTAGTAGATGGGTAATGGAGGTTTGCCCTCGGCGGCTTGAGGCGTTTCGTAAAGCACTCTATTTCAATGGTTCAGCAGGATATTTCCTTAGTCTATTTATTAGGATTATAATCATCTTACGAGCTCGGCCATCGCGTCATCCTCATCCGGTGGTGCGATGTCTCTCAATGGTCTTCTTTGATTCCGGTGCTGCTTCCTCGACGCTTGTCCTTTTCTCGGAATTGAATTTGAAAACGACGGGCTCGACAGACCAGAGCGGCGAGAATTAGACTCGAAGTTAGGAGTAGGAACCGAGATAGGTTGTGAGTTTGTGATGTGAGCTGCTGGAGATGATAGGGACTTCCCTCCCAAATTTGTCGAGCCAGAACTCATTGTGATAACGACTGTCAAAGCCAGCCGTAGTTAGTCGATGAGTCGGATGACAACGGATGAAGCAGAAGGCCAACGTCTAACGACGTCATGAAGCCTTAGCTGTCCCCCAGTATCAATCAAGAAGAGAGAAAAGAAATGAATAGATGCAATAGATATTTAGGCTACCGAGAAGAGTACAAAGATTCGCTCGTCAATGATAAATAATTCGATTGGTTGTCTGATAGTTTGGTAGTCGGCTTTGCAGTTCGAGGGGTCCAGGATGGACGGACCCCGGAGGTTTGAAGAGAGGAAGAAACGGAAGAGTCACACGGCGGGGCGAAAGCTAAGTGGTGATTTGATGTCACTCCAACGTGGAACCACAGCGCTGCCATCTGCTGACAGGTGCAACAAGGATAGGGGGGGGGCCGACCTTTAAATAGAACCAAGTTACCTCGATACATAGGTACATGATATAAGTACTGCTAAACTAACACCACAATGCGCACCTTCCATCATAGCAATTGAGAATTACTAGGTATATTTGCCATACAAATGAGTCATTTCAATGTTCGTTTGAAAATAATGCACTGTCTATCTTATAGTTTAGATAGAATACGCATGCAGTATATACGGCGTGGTGAAATAGTATAGGGCAATTAAATATCAATTATAGGTAATAACCTATTGGCTTAGAACATCAACTCATGTGAAATCTTGGAATTACGAAGGAACAGAATCCAAAGAATTATGTAGTGTAGTCTTAATCACAAGCACGTATGAAAAGGGGCTCCAGGAATATTCATCTATTACTGTAAGTTGCTTTTCCGCAATTTTCACATTACTACGCCGTGGGTCTCTCTGCCTCGGACGATATGCTGGGTTTCCAATGGATGTCCTGTGCCTATACCCTAGCTAGGCATTGCCGCCAGTCCACCACGAACAAACATTCCCTATTGCATTTCGTAATCCTAGCTTTCGCCCTTCTCAAACGACATAGACAGTAGCCCGAAGTGTCGAATAGTAAGAGGCATCAATCATAAAGGTAAGGTGAGGTGAGGTAAACGCAACCTTCCAAGCTCAAACATTGTTCGTGAGGACGTAGCATGAATCACAAGTAAAAAGAAAACAGTGAAACCGTACAACCGTAAAACAACATCAACCACCTAGCATTTACCGTCCAAAGCAGCGTGGGGCCTTTTCTCGCAAATCGACGGCAAGATGGTATTCGTTGGCTGGCGGTTGAGAGATGCCGACTTAACGGAATTATATGTACAACAATATGCCTGACAGCGAATAATACCCTGCCAGCACCTATCGCGGTGAGTCGACGCAAGATGGGGAATCATGAGCTCCAGAAAAGAAAAGAAGAATGTGAAAACAGTACCGAATAAGTACCCAAAGCAGAGGCCAAGCAATTTACACTTATTTGTTAGAAAGCTTGCTTTTCACCTTGCCGAACAGGGCACTGAATCGGTTCTTCTTCTTTTTCTCGACCGATGCGGAACCGTCGGTCGCCTTGGCGCTACTCGAGGTGGTAGCATCCGCAGGGGCAGCTGGCGTAGCTGGCGCGGCGGTCTCGGTGGCTTCGGTAGTCTCGGTTGGCTTAACTTCGACAGGCTTGACTGTTTCTTGAGTGCCGTTAGCTCCGTTGACTCCGTTGGCCCCATTAGTGGCCGTCGATTCCGCAGCTGCGGGAATCTGAATCTCCGAAGATTCGCCAGCAGCGTCCTTCGACTCTGTCGGCTCGCTCTTCAACGGCTCCTCGACGGCTTCCACGGGCTTGACCTCCTTTAGGAGCTCGGTTTCAACAGCCTTCTTGTCCTCGACAGCTTCCGTGTTTGCTGCGGCCTCAGGGGCCTTTCCTGCTTCGACAATAGATTCCTTAACCTCAGCGGGTACCTCGGGCGAGACTTCCTCGCGAGTTTCTTCCTTTGTCGTGGTAGCGATCGCATTCTGTACTGACTCGGGAAGTTGCTCCTTGATCGGTTCGGGCAGGGTGGCGGCAGCTTCAACGACGGACGCTTGTACAGTTGAAGCGGCACCAGTAGCCTTCTCGACAGCAGCATCCTTAGCAGCAAAGGCGCCAGCAACCGCAGCACCACCAACGGCGGTAGCCGCGGCAGCAACAGAGGCAGCGGCCTCTCCAGGACTAACGACCTTCTCCGTCTTCTCAGTACCCTCACCAGCTGTACCTTCAGAAGTGGAGGGTGCTTCCTTCACCTTTTCAAGAAGCTCGTCCTCAACGGCAGCTTTATCCTTCACCTCCTCGGGAACAGCACTGGCTTCGGGCTCCGCATTTGCCTTTTCTTGGCTTTCTTTTACCACCTCGGGAACCTTGGTCTCGATGGGTGCGCTAGCCGCTAGAGCAGCAGTCGTAGATTCCGGCGCAGCAGAGGACAATATAACAGGAACACCACCTAACATGAGACTAAGTAAGCGCTGACACATAGTGCGCGAGGGACTGTGAAGGGCACCAAAGAGACTTACCTGGAAGTGTGTCGCTCTTCTCATAGGACTCAGGGTCCAGCTTGACATTGTCTGTAGGGGCGGCAGCTGCGAGATTTTCAGGGATCTTCTCACCCGGGGCCAGCTTAATCGGATTGACAGCGCCTGCGGTAGCCGGCAGGGGGTTCACGGAAAAATCACCACCCTTTTCGGTCTCGGCGGGGGCGGAGGCGGCAGGTGTTTCGGGGAAAGTTCCAGGCAACTCCTCAGCCTCAGCCTTCTTCTCCAGTGGCACATCAGCGGCCAATGCAGCGGTGGTAGAATCTGGGGCGACGGAGCTCATGATGGCGGTAGTCGCGGGAGCTTCCACAATAATACGTTCCGGGGTCAGGACGTTATTCTCGTTCCCACTTTCGTCCACTTCCTTCGGCACAGTGTGGTCCGTAACCCAATTGCCGTCAACAACAAACTATGACAGAAAAGCGAAGGGTTAGTTCGGTATAAGAATATAGTAGGTAAGACAGGACTAAAACTGTGTCTCGTGGGTATAGTCTAGAAATGGAATTCTAGGACAAGTAAAAAAAAAGAAAGAGAGAAAGTAGGTAGGATGAATAGGTTGGAAATTTGTGGGCTGTGGGTATGGGTATAAGATCGAAGGGTTGCTGAACAATGACAAGTCTACCTAATGCAGGGTGCCGCATGACCCGAAGCACAGCTCAGGGAGCCCAGGGCAACTGGAGCCTCTAGCCTATTTAAATAATAAGAGACCAGCAGTAACTGCATCCAGGGACAAGGTTTCTTAAGGTTTCTTTTAAGAAACGAACGCAAATCAGGACAGGTTAAGCCTACTCCAGTCTGACTGGGCTGGGAGCTAGCTGGGGGGCATGACGGTGTTGGGACGCCACAATGCAGCTCGCCTGCTCATGCACTTGCAAGTCCCCGAATAGTGACGTTCGAATTTGCTCAGATACCTAGACCTAGGTAGGTACCTAGCAGGTCGAGCAATGGCACAAGACCTTTGCAGGGTGAGAATAACAAAGACGATAATGGTTTTAAGGGCTGATCAGGGATAGATGAGGGGGACTTGATGGGGATGAGAATGGGAATTCGTTTGTATCCCCACAATCTCCATAATCCCCATCCCCATAACACCCATAGCACCTCCCATAGCACCCTTAGCCCCTATAACACCTATAACACCCATAACAACCCCTCATAAGGACCTAGGCAGCTAGGGCAGCTAGGTAGGTAGCTGAGACCGAATCTGTGATGGTGCTATGTCACTCCAATACAATTGACCTATCAGAGTGGAAGCCCACACCGCTTCGTTGCATTCGTGATCGACTTGCGTCATACGAAGTTCACGGAGTTATGTTTTGCATCTATGGGACACAAGGCGGGGTCCAACGGCTTTGAAGCTCCCTGTGTCCACCAGTCCATCTGTCCAATACATAACAATCATGTATCGTCATGTATCGTGACAGCTGGTGAATAGGAATTGTGGATGCGCAATACGCAATAAGGGGAATTGAATGTGCAACTCGACAATTGAATGTCTACCTAATACTAGGTAGGCACTGTCGCACATTCGGTATTATCTTATCCGCGAGGTAATGTATGTATGTGGGTGGACATGTAGGAATTCATCATTGCGCATAGCTGCCTGCCTAGGACCTGGGTACGATATTGTAGGAGGCTATGTTATCTTTATCACAAGAGCACCTTGCGCTCTTCCGGGTCCACCTGTTATCAACGGATGGCAGTAGCAGGGGTAAGAGGGATAAGGGAAGAAGAGGAAGATCCGGATAGATTGGACAATTAAAAAAATAAATAAATACTGCGAAAAAGAGCGTATTTAGACGAACCTTATAATAGATCTTTTTAGAAGCATCTTGAAGTGTCACCGTTTTCTCGAAGCGATCGTCGATTTTTTCTAGCTTTTCTGTCTTCTTCCAATCATCGAACGTGCCTGTCACGTAAACTTCGGACGCAGGATGTTCCCTATAACAATAATAGATGAAATATATCAGCTAAAATTCTATACAATTTTGATAATTTGATAGAGGATGGCCAAGTGTGCGATGAACATAAACATGGATGTAATAGGTGATCGCGTGCGGTGCTAGTGAATCTTGACAACGATGTGCATCAGGAATTGACAGATTCCAAGTTCGCAATTTGAGATGCGCGCGCAGAAGCCAAGGTGAGGAAAGGTGAATTGTCGTGTCTAGTAGATACTTACCACTTGAACAAAAAGCTTCCCATCTTCAACGTTGTATTAAATTAAACAATATAGAAAAAAGATAACAGTAGGAGGAGAGATGTGTTAGGAGGATTGACGTTCTATGTCTCGGTCGCTTTGAGGATGAAAAAAAGAGAGAAATCCGTGGCGGGAGCTTCCCAAAGTCTTGTCTGGAAGCCTGCGGCTCTCAGCGCGCTGTAAGGGAGGTACTAAGGACCTAAGGTAAGGCCGGGTAAGCTTATAGGTACCTACATAGGTACCTAGGTAAGCTAATCCAATGAAATAGGTCCGATCTATCGATCTTTAGACCTAGAGGTCCTAGCACCTAGCGGTAAAGCGGTAAGACCAACCCTCAAGACCCCACCCATGCAAGTAGATAACGTCAGGTACCCGATACCTTCACACATGTAATGTTGCGTTATCATCACCTCAACACTGATAGACAATCTCCAACAAATTTCATTATGCACCTAACATTTTGAAATCTGAGTAAGAACTCACTACAAGGTACATTCATAGTACATACATATACCTAATATTTTATGTATCATTTACACCTATTTTATGATTCATTCGAACTGTTCATATATTAATACTCGCTTAAAATAAAAGAACGTCGAATTCAGTCTCCATGTGTCAGATACAAACCTCTCTATTTCCACATCCGGAGCAAATATTAGTCCAATTCCCACCTTTGCGTTACGTCGAAGCTATCCCATGCCACTATCCGTCATGGAACCATCTATTTAATTCGATTTACTCATGTACTGTCCGATCACATGTAAGAACCCGTCATTAGTTATGTCCGAATAAAGCCGAGCCAAGAAACTGTGCAGTAGTCGTGCTGAATTCGTCACAAAGTCACAAAATCACAAAATCAATGAACTCTCAAGTTGTTCCAACTCGCTGTTATATTCCTTGTTATCCATCATGGCAACGCCGCATAACATGCCGAACGTAAGAATACACTCATTACCCGTCGTTAATCATCCTCAACCAATATGGCGCGTAGGCAGTTCCGGAGATAAAGACAGAAAATAAACCCTTTCCCCAATGGTCCGTGGATATTCGAAAATGGAGAGAAATAGGACATGCTCCTCCCCGAACACCCCCAAAGTGCAGGTAGACAAATCCCATGCAAATACCTCTTTTGCTGTAAGCGCGCCCCCCTTTTTTTTGTCTTCCCTTGCAATGCGTTTCTAATGGTACAAGTGTATCTCTGACCTCCCAACCTTCGAGTCTATAGTTAGGTATACATGACACGATCAAGAAGGAATGTAATTAGAGAGACAGTAAAAAAAAATAAGACAGATAAAATGGGATAAATAGGGATAGAGAAGAAATATAAAAAAATCGAAATAATATAAAAATTGTTTGAAAGAAGTGAAAGTGAGAAGTGAAGGTAAGAATCAAAAAGGTGTAAAAAAAACAAGGGAAGAATATAGAAATACAGGAGAAAAGAGAAAATCGAAAAAAGGGGGAGAAATAAAAAATTACAACCGCCACCCGCTCATCGTATATTCCTTCCCCCTTTCTTCCGATTAGAACCACTTGTGATTGCCGCGTTCCTCGAGGTTCTTCAACGTCCTCGTAGCATCGACAAGCAGGCGATTCTTGCTGCCGACAGCTTCGTCCTCGAGCCTTCTTCGAACCATGCCAACGATCGCCATGGTCTCCTTCCGGCCCCGCACGTTCAGCGCTTTCTCCGAGCTTAAGTCGGCCACCATCTTAAGCCACCTCATGGCATCCCGCTCCCCTTTCTCTCCAGAATTAGCATTAGAGTGGTTGTGGTGGTGGTAAGAGGAGGTCAGGTCGGACCCGGTGTTGTTGCCTCTGACCATTGCGCGGTGTCCGAGCGCCCAGCAGATGAGTGCGCATACGTACATCCCCCAATAGTCCGAGATATCCAACATGTGCCAGCTCCCATCCCAGCCCTCCTCTTTCTCGAGATTCGAAATAACAGTTGCGTTTAGTACATTATGGTTGCTGCAGTCGATGAAGGCCAGAAGAGCCCTAGCGGCGAATTTTACAGCGACACCGGCGTGGAGGTTGTTGCACCAGAGTTGGAGACGCCTCTTGTGCTGTTGAAAGACCTGAGAGGACGCCACCTTTTTTGAGAAAAGCCAGGTTTCGCCGCTAACCGCGAGTAGGTCGTGGAGAGGTGTATAATGCAACGCCAAATAAGTGTTCCCAACGGCAGATCCAGGAAATAGTCCAGTGATCCGCTCGGTAGAACTTTCGTCTACTTCTGCCGTGAGATCTAATATGGAAGGGCTGGGTCTCTTAGGTAGCCGAAGCGCTTCCGAAGCTAAAAATACAGTTTGGTCGAGGTATGGCGCATCAGCTACTTGTTCGGCAGTAGTTTCGCCAGATAGGTTGGTAGGTTCCGTGTTCGTTGACCACGACCCGAGCAGGACTTCCCAGGATTCTGATGATTGGGCGGCCCAGAGGTCTTCGGTTGGTCTTATTAGGGGAATAGCGGGTGTCGTCGACATAGGAAAAGGTTTCATTAAATGTTGCTGATAATACACGGATGCGTGGACATCCAAAACAAAACAAGCGGCCAAGAGTCTCCGTCGTGACTCGTTATCAATCCATTCGTTCCATCGGTCATGACGCGTTGAGGTTGAAAATAGTAAATCGTCCGGCATTTGGTGATCGGCCATCTGTGAGGAAGAAGACGTTGAGTATGGATACCATTGGCCAGTAGGAGAAGAAGAAGAAACAATGCTAAAGAGATGATCCTGAAAAGTAGAGTATATGAGATGACCAACAAAAGTAGGGGAAATAGGAGAAGAATGCGAACTTACCCGAGTGTATACTGACTGGAAGGATTCCGACGAGCTTCTCGACGCACTTCGTCCGCGGAACCGCGAGTAGAGCTCGCAAAGGAGAATCGCTTGCATGACTTGGAGGTTCCATTGGGTACACTGCATCTGTTCATTTAGCGCTTATTTTCCACGAGAGGAAGGTCTTCTAGGCCGGGCGGGTTAGACTTACGGTCTTAACCTCCTTCCAGGCGAATTCATGCAATTCATTGCCTCGGATACGATCCTCCTTGCTTTGAAGAAACTGCGTACCGACGGCGGCCATGGCACAGCGCAGGACCTCGTCAGCAGCAGTTTTGGTGCTCTTGCGGTGGACTAATGGGAAGAGAGTGTCGAAACGCTTCCAGTACAGGTCGATGTATCTCGGGATAGCATTCCGGACGTGTGGTGACAGGGTGTTCGCGGTTAGAAAGGTTGTCCCCCCGAGTGGTCCCAGGAGTGAGGATCCTTTCTGACGACCCGTCGAGGCAACGCCGTGTATGGGTGGGGCTGCAAGGGTGACTAAATTTTCAGCCGGTTGAGCGGACAGTGAGATGGTCGGTGGGGTCGGACTACGAACTGAAGAGTAGGGGTTGTATTGTTGCGTGTGGTCGACGAAAGATGCGTCGTCGGAGAAGGATAGCGGCATGCTCATCGTGTGATCAAGCGCTGGTGCCGTCGGGGAGAAAGGTGTCCCGAAGAAAGGTGCCGTGGTGGCGATGTCAAGCCCACCACCAGGGCTATGTATGCTATGAGAGGTCCCAGAGTAGAGGCCGGTACCATGCCAGTCTGATGTTGGCGACTCGTACCCCCGGGGCATATTATTCCTCCTATGGCTAATTTCCGAAGGGGTAGAGTAGTTGCTCTCCGAAGCAGATGACGGCCAAGGAGAGCCGTCGTGGCCAGCGTGGACAAGACCTGGAGGCATACTGTTGTCAGGTATTGTCAAACTAGGTAAATTTTGGGACAAGGCCGCTGTGGTATCCATGTAGATGGGGAATGGAGATGAGGTGCGAGGTGTGAAGCCTATCTCGAAAGGAGTACCTGTGACTGGTGACCCCCCAATACTCGGGGGCGGGTTACTGATAATAGAAGACAGCACATAGCTATGACCTCCAGAAGGGGGATTAGAGGTTTGATAACTCTCACCCCGACCCGAATGCTGGCCACTGCTGTTACCCTGGTTACTCATTGATTGGTATGGAGGCTGGCTAGTTGTGAAGGCCACACTCGACGACATATCGGACGGGTCAGTCATCGCTGATCGGGAGCCAGAGACGCCACCCATCGATGAAGGACCATGGGTCATGTAGCTCATGCCAGGTGGTCCTTCTGCAGATGGTGGCCGGCTGCCATCTTCGCCTGTGCCCCTTGATAACTTATCGTCTTGATCGTTGCTAGCACATCAGTTCAGAAACGTTGTCCTAATCCCTAATATAGCAGCCTACTTACTGCCTTTGAGCGTGACGCGCAAGCAGGTCAGCTCTGTGAAACGCTTTATCGCATCCAGGGAAAGTGCAGGAATGCCTGGGAGTCCCATGACTCAGTTGGTGGCGCCTACAACTCAATGTTTAGTAACGTACGCTGCTATGTTCTTCATAGCCAGGATGCTTCACCTAAGGTGTTCTGCTCTCGTAAATGTCTAGTCGTCGATGTAATCAGCATTGACGACGTCTTGCGTACTAGGTAGATACGGGATGGTTGGTTAGGTTAGGTAATTAGGTAACTTACCTTAGGCGGTTTACATATTTCGCATGTGTGAACTGGTACGCCCTTCTTCGCTCTACTAACACGTCTCGTGATAGGGGTCAGCTTGACGGGCATGCTCCCTTCGCCCGTAGCATTCCCCATTGGCCTCGATGGCATAGACGGCGGCATGCCTCCTCCGGATGACGAACTTTGGGCGTGGCCTCCGTATCCACCAGGATCCATCGACTCGGAACTAGTAGTGCTCCGCCTACTCACAGACGCCGGTCGTGCTGATGATGTCGACGGGGACGACGTGGTTGCTGTAGATTTAGATGAACGTCCTGAAGGACCGCGCCGTCTTGTTGGGGCTGGAGTTAGTCTGTCGTCTTGATCTTTTGACTTCTCATGGCTCGACGTTGCCGCACGGGAAGGATCTTGACTTTTAGATGGCCCGGGTTGGATGGAGCCGTCCTCGTTCTTATCTATCTGGGTGGTGTCCTCTTCGTCCCCCATATCCATTATAAACTCAAGGCTAGTCATGGTGCAGAGAGGCTCAAAATGGAAACACACACAGCCCTGTTAGATTTGGATAAATAAAGAGTATAATGATAGAAATAGTCACAAAGGGTAAGACTGGAGATGGGGAGGGGTGGGATCTGTAAAGAAAGGGCAAGGCTAGAGAGACCTCAGCCTTCTAACTGGTGGTAGTATTCAAGCTGGTTCGAGATGTGTCTGGTGAATAGCATTACCTCCGTCTGCGATGAAACGGGAAATGCCAACAGCGAAGCAAGAGGTAGGCTGAGCTGCATTGCTATATTGAGGTACTCTTAAAGGGCCGAAAAGGCACAAGCAAGCATGATGGAGGACAGATGGGCATGGAGAAGGTAAAGTGAAGTGGTCAACGAGAGTTGTCGGTCATGTCCAGGCAGGCTGGGTGAGAATCCGTCCGCCTGGCCATGCACCTACCTAGGTACGTAGCTGCAAGTACGTCGTAGTGTAAGGCACCCCTGCCATCAGCTGGGCTGCATGGGTATGGACGAGGGCGCGCGCGACATGCAAGGTACTGGTCCTAACGGTAGTGGCTCATTTCGACTATTTACGGGATATCCTCCATGAATAGTACGTATACAGAGTATACGGCAGTACTATGCGCTTGCTGGTTGCATACCATAGATATGAATCGCGCTTAGATTAAACTGGTTTCTGTTTCTGTCATTGCTGTTAAGTAAAGGAATTAAGGAAAATAATCCTAATATGTACTCTTGTCTCCGCTAGAATAGTATCTCGCTTACGGTACATAAGCAATTAGTTTCTAGCAGCATAAAGACTGCTCATTGTGTACGTAGATATGTAGGCACGTATGTGTAGGCTCGAGACATACATACATAAGGCGACGTTCCGTACCGTAACCCGATAGACTGGGCCGCGGCAAGGAGTGCCATAATTAGCAGGAGTCGGGACCCCTGGACGTCAGGGCAAAATCAGAGCGTGGTATCGGTAGTACGATACGCACATGTCCTGCACGCTCCATCGCAGATTTAGACTTAAGAACGCGAGTATCTCTTGGTATCTGTTCCCCGGAAGCCATACTGAGATGATATTGAGATTTGTATTGAGATGTGAGATAGCGCTCTGTGTGGAGAACATTAAACCATTTTTGTGATGGGTTTTGCAGTCGATTATTGCTGTCTCTTTCAATCAAATTCTGTGGATTTGCTTGTGTAGTTTTCCGGGGAACCGTCCTAGCCCATGGTCGGCTCGAGACGATGGATGACCAATGCCTGCTAGAGCAAGAGCGGAGTACCTATACAGGTCCAATTCCAATCTGACAGACTTATGAGCCAAGGGGGCGCAGCTACATAAGCGTAAAGATGTAATGGCAATGCATGAGACGCGGTTCATGAGTAGTACTAGTACTGTATAACACCACACATAAAAAACGGTGTACTTCCAGACTCGCAAACTCGCAGCCGGAGACCACCGCCAGTGTAGTTTTTACGGTTCAGATGGTTTCACGGCAGGCGTTCCCACCATCCACCATCCACCCTACTACCGTAGTATGAATTGCGAAGATTATGATACCAGAACGCAGATCTTCACCGGAGGATCCGGCTCCAGAGAGTCGGTCGCCTTCTGATTCGCATATATGGTCCGCTGCCGTTGAAGGAAACAGCCGGCGCTTCTGCCGCTTATCCAGACTCCAGAGCGCTGCATAGAGCAATTCTGAAACACCACGCCAAAACGATGGTAACTTACCTACCTGCCTATCTACACGGCTGACTCCCTAGTGCTCATTAGCAAAAACTTGAAAAGGCGATATCTCCGGAGTCACGAGACATTGGTATAAGAAAGACAAGAATAACAAGCAATCCCCAAAATAAGCATTGATTATAAATCATAGATGTCGGGGATTTCCAAGATTTCTTAACTTCTTCAAAGCTTCCCCACGGTTTGGCGAATCCATCGGCTTGTTAATGGCACAGGGGGCTCTGTGTTCTGTCCGTTCGGGGCAGATACATACCCCTAGGTATGTACATAGGTACATATTCTGGGGGAGCATGTTTGGGATAATAGACAGACAGTGAACAGCGAACAGTATAATACTGTCGTTTTTGCTTGTTAAGTTCCCTACGTTACAACCTAAGCTTTGCACGGCCCGCTGCCCAGGTGTAAGACTAGGGGTACATGCGGGGCGAATCCTTCAGGCTGGAGTTCTCGTTCTCATTGGTCTGCCTTTTCCAGCTCGACCCGTGGTAGGCCAGGATTATGGATGTACTGGTACCGCAAAAGGGGGCTTGGATGGACTTTGGAAGGGCTAATTGGACAAAATCGTTAGACAACCCACTTTGCCCTACTGCGAAGCGATTCTATTAATAACTGATAGACGTCACTGGCATTAAGGAATTAGAACGGATACTAACACCTGTATCATCGTATCATAAGTGTGGTAGTAAGCCTAGACAGCAGCCCAGAGTAGAATATAGATGGCCCGGACCAATGCAGAACGATGGAGAAAAATCAAATAAACATATTTGAGTAAGCAATCAAAGCTGGCCAAGGCTAGGGATCTACTTCGATATGTTTCATGATCGCGTGTATTCAGATGTGGCGGCTATTTCGATACCAGACGCCATCGGCAGTGATCCGAAGAAGATTTGCGATAAGGCGAATGGGGTCCAAAAAAAGCCACGAGAACTGGTGGTCTCTGCTTGTATGTCAGTAAGTAGGTACTATCGAAAGGGATGGAGATAAACTAAACACCGACCTATTAGCATCGGCATACTAGGTGTCTACCTAGGTGTCGACCTAGATATTTAATGAGTTGGGGTCTAGATGAGTTTCATTCCAGGTACATACACATGATGCCGAGGGATGACCTGCATAGAAGCGTGTGAAGAATGTTTCTCCCGACCTATCTTCACGGTCAATAAGCACGATAGGGCAGGATAAGGCAGGATAGGGCCGGATAGGGCTGGCAGCCATTGGAAGTCAGGAAGGGTACGTAGATTAATAGAGCAGGATTGTACATGTATCGATCAACTAGACACCTCCCTCGGCACGTAATAGTCTTACACAACAGGGTTCCCACGTTTTTTCCTTCTCGACGCATGTCGTAGATACAGTGTTTTGTATGAATCTCTTTCCGGTGGTGTGTTGCAAAGAAAACGCCACTACTATGTAAGACGGTTCTTTCATCGAACCTTCTTCCCCCGGCTTCCACAACATTCAGGTGTGGAATTTGCGGGATCGAACGGCGACATATCTGATGCAAGTGCAAACGGCATGTGGCCATTCTTAGCAACATCAATCAATTAATCAATTGAATAGCAGTTGCCCGCAGCAATTTGTATAACCTCGGTGCCTAGGTGCCTAGGTGCCTAGATACTTGGTAAGTGCCTTAGTTTAGCAATCACGGAATATCGAATCGTTCTTGCCCCACTTGCTATAGATTCTGCACCCAGCCTCCTTTATACATATATTTATAAAGTACCTGCCTTAGGTAGTATATGCCTACATGTAGTATGTATAGATTTGTGTACGTTAAACTTTATATTGTAATGTTTCTAACTTAACCCTATCCAATGTTTCAACTTTTCAACGTCGCAGGGAATAGTAAGTTAAGGTTATGTAACACGAGTTGCCCTACTTCTACCTAGGTAGGTACAGACCTTTTGCTTAGACAGCGGGCGCTTAGGTGTTATTTTTAGGCAGGCTGCGTTGGTGTGTATGGATGTATTGGCGTATATACTAATATACCACCTTCATTACCACACACCTACATTACCACCACATGCACTCACTACATGCACTACATACACCACATACATCATATACACCTAACTACTTTGTACTTACCTTCTACCCTCCTTTACATCGTTCATCATTCATCATCTCAAATCCGGTCGCCAAAATAGCTCCCGTCCAACATGTTTGTGTGAGCCTTCGAATGTCTTGGCTCTGCCGCATTCCGCATCTGGCTCCGAACAGCCACATTTGTGTGAGTGCCCATAACCAAAATGGTTCTTTCTTCCTGCAAGACTTCTAATAGTGTCCCGGCCAGCTCTTCTCTTTTCGGCGACAATCAAGCCAATGATGCCATATAAGGCAGCATGTCTTATTGTATTATGTTCTTATCAGCTGCACAAGCGCGGTGTGCCGTAGAATCCTACATAATCGCGTGGTACTCACTGCCATAACACGAGACATGCATCATCCACCGATATGACTGGTCGGAAAACGTGCCTATTCTTCCACCTCAACGTCATCTCAACACTCAAAACTCTTAAAACTCTCTCTCGACTTTGTCGGTTCCACATTGCCGCGGTATAGCGACACGAGATCTTTCAACTTGAGTGATCTAGAGTTATCTGCATGTCTTCGATCCTCATTCTAATTCGGTACTAAGTAGATGATAATATCTACCTACTAAGTATGTAGGTAGGTACCTATATACCTAGGTATCGCGGCAAATGTGCCAAGCCTGGCGTTGGCTGCCGGCTCACCGCGTTGTACCTTGCATCTGCTTCGTCGACTATATCGAGTTCGACTTAGCCTCGCTCCATGGGAGAGAAGAGAAAGCAATATTTAGACTCTTGCATACTAATCCATCGTATAGCACCCCTACCGGTCCGACAGCCTTGGGATATGTTCATTATGGCGATTACCGGCTGGATCGGAGCTAGATCACGGCTGTGCTTGGCATGTCCCAACGTCCTCTCTGTTTCTAGACGGTATGTGTTTTTGGAAGTATCGCCTAGTATCGCCTCGTAAGAGTTACACTTTCTCGGAAGTTGACTCTATTTCTAGGTCCGAGAAACGGTGAGGTTATTTTGTCGTCCTATCGTTTGGGCTTCTGTGGCAATGATACAGGTTCATATGCATATGGTCGTCCGTCGTCCGATGTCTCTAGTCGGAGAGTGGACCTCATCAATGAATATTCTTAGTTCTCCCTCCACACCGATGCAGTAGTACGGGGATAGAGAAAAGATGGCTTGGAACATGTTGGGGGAGGTGACTCTCGGAACGCCACCCGAATACTCTCGATGGCTTGTAGAGGAAGCCTACATGCCTAGGCAGCGTCGCCCCCTGAGTTTCCAATACTGCGTCCCGCTTCTAAGACCCCATCTTCACACCACAATAACGCATATATTACGTTTCTCTTCTGCATTGGCCTATCGACTTCCAGAGAAGCATGTTCTTATCCTGAAACGGGCGGGTCCTTCTGTACAGTCACTAAGCACCTGGAATAGCTTCGAGGGGAGTTAGGATTTATTAAGCAGGACGAATACATCGTTGTTCGCAATTTCAACATATTCAGTATCTATTAAAGGATATACTATTATAAGTCGCTTTTCTTGGTACTACTGCTAAATAGCATACAAACCTTGCTTAATACCAACATATATCAAATCAATCCGAGCGAGGTATGTCTATTATAAGTCCAAGGTAGTTCACAATCTAGCCTCATCTGTGTTAACGTCGTAGGCATCTGGTTCCTATGTGGAAAGGCTCTCGATTACTGGCATGTCTCTATACCACCTACCTATGCAGGTCAATACTAGTGGCCCCTGGGGAAGCTTATACTGCAAAAGGCATGTATAGAGTAATTCTAGCCACCTACGCATCTAGTATCCAGACATACAACCACCAGTTCGGGGTACACATCTCGAGAAATATGCCCCATCCTGTCGTAAATTGCAACCTTCAATTTACCTATACGTCTGAGGCTTATATTAGTCGGTGTGTGGGGCTACGCTGATGAAAGGGGCAACTTGACACTACTGACTGCCTTACCAACTTTTTACCAATACTCTAAATCCTAGGACTACTCTCCAAGACCGGCCTGGGATCCCAGATACTTGAGTTTCAGCTTCTGATACAGCTATCCTGGGTTATGAGCTGTCTGGCAACAGTCTCTCTATGGATACGCCCAGAGCTACCCCTTGCCTCAGAGCCTGCCATCACCCCTATCCTACAATGTATGAGATCGTCTCGTGGCTTATACTACCACGTCTATCTTCGCTGCTATATACCCCCCACGTAGTTCGGTTAACTGTGATCATCCTATCGCAGCTTCTCTAGTGCTCCTGTGGAATTTAAATCTAATCAGTTGGGTTACATACGGCACAGCATTGCGACGCTTGGTACGACGACGATATTAAACTCATATATGATGGCGATTCCAAACACCTAACATAGTCGCCGAATATACATTCAAGTATTCGTACAAGCACGACTATTGGTAAGGCTACAAGCTTTTCTACACCTCGCCACTCGACAGCGTGATAAGCTTGACGATCGCCTCAACGACTGGCACGATCTTCATATCAGCAAGCATGTGAATTTTAATATACCCTTGACATGACGGTATATCTTTCCTATGTAGTGTAACTCTATAAGGTAGCCCTACATAAACGAGAATGCCTACAGCAAGTAAGAGGCACGTACTGTAAGGTTAGGAAGAGCTATCAGCCATATTGTATAAGCCACTGTTACATTTATTGCACAGGAAAACGAAACAGATGGCCGCGTGGATGTGTCATACGAGATTACTTGCTTTACCGTCCATCGTAAACGATATCGGTGCTCAATATCCCACGCTCACCTTGTCGTCGAGGCTTGGAATATGGCCAAGCTCTACAATATAGAGGATCCAATGGGCTTTGGCTTCATGTACGTAAGATAGTAGAAACCAGGAGGATCATATGATAGGTGGATAGTAGTGAGGGCCTCACTTCCCCGACGCACATAGCAAGAGGATTGAGAGCTTACCTACACCTACATACCTACTACGCAGATACCTATAGGTAGGTAGTTAGGCACTTACATCGCGTCTCAGTACTCTACACTCCCCGTTCATTTGGTATATCTATAAAATATTTAGGACTCGAAACCCTTCATAGATCAGACTGCTGCTATGGCACTCAATGACGAAGTTAGCCATTAAGTTGTTAAAGGGGCAGAGCGCATCATCCACGATCCCCACAGATAGCCCAATCAGCAGCACATAATACCACTACGAAATAAAACTTCAAAGGCAATCTAATTCCCAATTCCAAATCACCCAAGTCCCCCAAAACGCGCATAAATCAGTCATGAACATTCATGTTTGTTATTACGTAGCTCTATCAGATGGGATTGAACACACAAAAGCAGTGGAGTCGTCCAAGTTTTCCGTCTACACCACACCTTTAATTCATGACCTCCGACATCCCCATCCCGGACCCAGCAACGGGGCTCAATTTTGTGCGGTGTCAGGACGATGCAAAATCCATCAACGCCGTTCGTTCCTGTTTAATGATTTTTCTGTATGCCCCGATCCCTAATCATCAACGTCTCGGTTATTTTCGACGTCTCCTTCGTCCTCTGAGCCGAATTGGCTGTCCCCGTCGTACGATCTGACGCCTTTTTCACGGACACGAAGGCGGGCGAATGGCCTATGTAACTAACTAGCCGACGCAACTAGCCGCCCACGGTCATTGTTCTTGTCGTTCTTATCGTCACTTTCTGAATCATCGTCGCTGGCCGGCCGGCTGTCCCGGAGGTTACGTCGATTCTTAGTCATCTATTCATGTTAGTTATGAACATAATCCATGCTAGGGAATTAAGAATCTTACCCAAGATCTTACGCCACCGATTAAGCCGATGGTATACCCAGTGATAAAATCATTAGGAGCTCCAAGTCTCTCCCCTGGTGTAGTGGGTGACCTAGCAGCAGCAGCCACAGTGGCGGCTTCTCGTAGATTGGCATCGCCGTTTGAGCCTGGAGTGGCGGGCATGGAAAATCGGTTTGCCGGTGATGGACTCTGAGGTCTGCTCGCGGGCCAATATTGTCGAAGCTCACGGCTAAGTTCCTGGCCGGTCGTAGTCCAGTTTGCCCTGATGTTATCACGCAAGTCCTGAACATGTCGCTTAATATCTAGCTCGTTCTTCTTGAGCCAGCTCACGTTGAGCTCCTGGCGCGTTGTTCCTCGCTTCAATTGACGCGCAATGTACTTCTCGTAGTCGCGAACAATCCTAAAGTAGCTTAAGTAAGCACTATGATCTATAACATTTAAAATAAACTTAACATCATAGCAACTTACTTTGTAATAATACCCGTTGTGCTGACACCCTCGGTTCGTTGGGTTACCAAAAATTTGCCAGCCTTCTTGATAGGAGCGTAGATATCGTCACCTTCGGCAGCACCGTAAGGGATATCATCATGGGCAACATAATCAATCCGGTGTTTCTCGAGAAACTCGGGCGTCACAATCCAAGGACAGTTCTCAACGACCTCGTCAACCCACTTGCAATGTCTTAGCGTCTCGGCACGTTCGCTGCCCGAGAGGACCGTGAGGCCCTTGCGTTTGTGCGTCTCTTCATCTCCCGTAACACCAACGATCAAGTAGACATCGTCAAATGCTTTCTTGGCCTGTTCGAGTTGACGCATGTGACTGTCAAAAAGTCAGCTTTGTTTTTTTTGAGGGTAACAAACAAGAAACCGCTCTCCCTAAACAATATATACATACCCTAAGTGAAATAAGTCAAAGACACCATCGGCATATACTCTTATGGTGCGACCGGTAGGTGGGGGATTTGTTCTGTATCCGACAGGGTGTACCAGGCGGCCGGTTGGGGGTGGTAGCATAGCAGCTTGCTTCTTCTTTTCCTCATCCTCATGTGCCGGCATTTCCTTAGAACTGGACTTCCTGCTCTTCCTAGCGACCCGGTCTGCAATGTCAATGCTGGCCTCGGTAGTGTCACTGGGTTCACCAGGATCTGCGGTATAGTCGGTGGTTTCTATGGCGGAGGCACGATCGGAATTGGCTCGTTGGCGTTTCGCTGGATTCGAATTACCCGTAGATTCCGACTTGCGGTGTGTAAGCCTTCCAGATTCGGGTGCGGTGGTGTCCCCTTCTTCTCCGGATGCATCTCGGGAAGATGGCTGAAGGAGAGGGTTTTCGTCCATCTTGGAGGTGCTTGAAATTGCTGGGCGTTTGCGCTTGCCAGCGTGAGAGGAATTCGACGGCGACGACATCTTTGTTTCAGTGGAAGGAGGAAGGAGGGAAGTAATGATTGGAACACCAAGACGAAACGAAGTCTAAAGCAGACCAAAATCTTGCCGAGGATGTTGTTAAGAGCTATCAGAAATTGACGCGTTGAGGTTGGAAGTTGGAGCTTAAAGCTTATGTATGTATTAGGAAGGATGACACGCAGGTCCAGTCAAGTTTTAGTCGAGTTAACGAGACTGCAACGATACAGTATACACCATACACCATGGAACACACTATATGCAGCTCCTCTCAGGTAAGTGCGCAGCTTCCCCGTCAAAGGGATCCGGAAAATGGGGTACCCGCCGCAGTAGCGTTAATTGGTTCTTTGACTAAGGAAGTCTTGGGCAAGCGTCATAAGTCTTTAATGCTACTAGCAATTGACTTCCAGTAATTAACTTGCTAGAACCAAGCTAGAATCGTTGACATTGGATATGGGAGTAACGAGTTAACAGGTTGACAAGTGAAGTTGGAGTTGTAATATTATAGAGAGTGATAAGACAGGTCCAATAACTCCCGACAAATTATAGTTAAAGAGATGTAAACGTGTCTAAGTACCCGAAGCTTAGAAAGTGGATTTGTACCTAGTATGATGTTAATGGTAACACAGAAACCACGGTCCTCCGTGAACATCGGTATCTGATATATCGATAAAGAAAAATGAGGACACACTGAAGGGCCACTGAACTTTCTTTTCGATCTACCAGGTACCCCTTGCTCCCGGTTTAAGAAGATCAATCAGGGTTATCACGCTAGTCATAAAAGGGGTTGTAGTAAGAAAGAAATATCTCGAAAAGGTGTCTTTTAAAATTGCACAAATTCGACAATGCTACTTCTAATGCTGTTATTTTCTCGCCAAGTCTCTTATCCATGTAGTTGTCATCAATTATCAAAATTATCAAATTTTGAGAAAAAAAATCAATCAATCATTCGATTCCAGTTTCGGAAGATGTCAGTGGCGTCATGATTCGCCAATTAGCTGAACACGTTTTGATATAGTAGGCCCTCATCGGCACGGGTGTGGCTCGCTTATCCAGCCACCGGCATTAGGTCAAGCCACGTCAACTATTTGACCTAGCTCTTTTTGAGGTAATATTAAGCTATGACAATGTTGAAGGTTCAACTTTATTAACTTTCAGGCATGTGCGACTGATGTTGTATTGAGATTCAATTACAAGAAATTCATTAAATTAATATGTTTAATACATGCCTATAACAGCAGGTAGTCATTTGATAGTAAAGCGTTTGTATTAAACGAGTATAGCCGTAGTTTGTGCTCATTTCGTAGAAATTACCAATCGGAGTAAAGTTGAGGGTGAAGCCATCTCCAATTATCTCATATCTTACCATCACCGAGTATTCCCTTACGATCCTTTTACACATATATTTCATTTAGTTTTACTTGTTTATTCATTCATTGGTATATCAGTCAAGTCATTCTAGCTTAAGTATATGTTCCCATATATTCTCGCCGTCGCATGTTGCCTTAATCCTTGCCTTACATGTCGCCAAACTATATGGCAATCCGAGGTATTCGTCCAAATACAAATCCTGAAGCACGGCCCTGCGAAACCCGCACCCCGCAGTTGGTGCCTCTCAACCAAATTCCACCGGTGTGGGCAGACAAGCGCGAGTGGGTGTGAGGCATTTCTCGATCTTATGATATAGAAGTCGATCCCGGCTTCGAAGCCAAGGCATATATAAATATAAGTATAGATATATTATATGTATATCGAGTTTATTTCATCTTGCGAATGAGGTAAGCGTTCATTTCGCAATCATCAAGAAAGACGAACTGCTCGCTGCTGGCGCGTATGTCTGCCGCACCGGTGCGGGTGCTTCGGGGAGCTCCTGAAGCAGAACGCTTTGGCCTTCTCGGGGGCAGCGGGTCCGAATTTCTGGGATACCTCACAGTATTCCGCGTCGTTGCCAACCCATTCACGGATGTGGTTATGTAGCTCACAGCGCGCGGTCCGACACTTGCGACAGTAGACCTGGCCGCGCGGGGACAGCATCGCGAGGGAGTTTTGCTTGCCCACGCCGCCGCCTGCCACGAACGGTCCCGAGATGAACGCGTTCCGCCACACCCACTCCATGTCGTTTGGTCCTTGCCGTCGCGCCGACAGCGCCACCTTCCCGTGCATCCGCTTGTGAATGGCGTAGAAGTGCGTGCTCGTCAGCCCTAGGCACGTGCTATCGATCGGGTCTAGGAAGTCGAAGACGGCGTAGTGCAGCTCCGGCGGAAGATCCTCTAGCGTGAGCGCTACTCCCGGCTGGTGCGTGAAGGGCACTGGTTCGACGTCAGTCACTGAGTACGACCGTAGCGGACCCGGTAGAATCGGGCGCTTGGTCTGGGCGGGGTTTGTCGCTCGGGGTGATGGGGAGATCGGGTTTGAAGTAGATTCGTGCGGTTGCGACTCGAAATACGAATCTGTCTCCGCCTTTTCTGCCACCGCCCGCGGCGTGCCGACTGGAGTGAGCAGACGGTGTTGTTTCCGCAGAACGGTGGATGCGTTGACCGACGCCGGATAATCAGTCGAGGTGAAAGCACGCCGAGGCACATGAGAAAGGCCCTTTTTGGATCCTGCTTCCTTCACGGATCCCTTCTGTTGCTGCATTGCTACCGCCGATGAGTCCGAGGCTGGACCGAGATCGACTTCGAGGAATCTGTTCGACATCTCCATCATATCAGATGTCCCTGGGGATAACGACTGTCCCAGTGAGGGGGCTCGGAGAATTTCAACCATGTTGAATTCTTGTAAGTAGGTAATTTCAAGTTCAAAATCTGCAAAAGAGATGTTGCTCGGTGATAAGCGCTATTGATGCGCCAAAAGTATTTTGAACTAGGTAGTGATGCAATGTGTAGCTAGTTTGTATTAGAGTCGAGTTACGACGAAACTAATGAGCCTTAGGGTCAAGTGAGCAATAAGACGCTCTTCGGTCTTCGGTTCAGAGTTTGTGGCGGATCGATAGCCCAAATGCTACCAATAATAGGTGGTGACGATAATTTCGACTTAGTCAGAAATGGGTCAAAGCTGGCGCTTAGGTGCGGTGGATCTTATTGCGTGAAGATAATCTTCAGGCGTTCGTGGGGAGAAACTCTTTCGGTAGTCTGTTGGCGAGTCATGACACTAGCCGGAGCCTCGACATCTACGTGGGACGGGGGAGGGTTTATTAAATCCGCCCTCGAGAAGAGAGCGGTCAGGGGTCATCAGCTACGCCCGGCGCAAATACTAGCCACAGTACGCTACGATACGAAGATCACTATTCGGTGGAGCTTGGATCCACTTCTGTTAACTTGGCGAGGCGCCGAAGAAGAGGGTCTGGAGATCTATCGTGACAAATGGGGAGAGGTGGAGTGGTGTGACCCGCAACCCTCGACGCCCCCGACCGGAGAGGCCAGGAGGACACGGGATGACGGAAGAATCCTTTGGCAGACCGGGCTAGGCCAAAGAGATGTTTCTGTTCATAATTGAACAAGGCACTAACCAGTTACGGGAAACGGTTTTTAGAAGACAGGCTGAATCCGGCTCAGACATTTGTGGCAATTCGGCGCATGCCAGAGGAATTTTTCCCATTTTCTTTCAGTTCCGGGATATTTTCACTGGTGACGCCGGACATCCCGGTTAGTTTCTGTGCGATAACGGACCGCGTCTAGCATGTACATTGTAGTAGTTAACTCTATGGAAACTACTGATGTACCCCCATCTTGAAAACTGTTCTCTGTTTCAGAGATACATATCGTTGCTAGGTATAGTATGCATCGTAACACATCAGAGCATTCACCGCTTGCTTGGAGGTTAGGTAGGCTTAAGCCACTGTCTAGGTACATACGTACATCCATGGATGTAGGGACCAGACAAAAACCCCCAAGTTGCAGGACGTGGCCGCGACAAGGGTCCATCCCGCTTACAGCTGACGGCCAAGTTCGACTTCCCCTCAAACACTACTGCAGGTCTCTGCCGTCCGGTTCCTACGGTGGAACAATTATCCACATTGTAATTGTTTGATACGAACATGCAACACTGTTCTGTGTGTATGTAGGCAGTCTACATGGCAACATGGGCAGTCATAGAACGGAATCGAGCGCGCAACTCGGAGACTTGCCCAGCCTGCCGGTACTCGACATAGCAGCGATATGATCGGGAATCGGCATTTGCAGAGCTGTTGCTATGGCTGCGGCCGAGACAAGAAAATCTTTCCAAAACTAATGATTATAAAATCTAATCAAAGACGGGACTAGATTGTTACCAACCAATAGGGTTATGTCAACATCGCCAATGGTTAGCCATGTAAGGGGTGGCTATCAATCTGATCCCTCTCCTGAGTATGTAACTTGATTTTAGATATCCCTCCTTCCAGGACGTTCTGGACTGTACATAGAACTAAAGATGCCTTGGCGCCCATGCGCCCTATCCGCGCATTCAGATCTTCGCGATCGTATCCACAACTATGGGGTCCTGACGTCTCACTACCGATTATGGAGCCATCTACTAGCGAAACTTGTCTTCTGTGGTATGAGGTCACTCAGCTCACTCGCAGACTCGGTCGCTCAAATAGCAGAAGAAACCCTTATTTTCGTCTTAGGGGTCCTGTATGTAACTAGTTTGCTAGTCTTGAAACCTGTTACCAGAATCAGAACATCGAATGGGCAATGTCGGCTCATAAACAAGGCTGACAGACTGATACTCCCCGGAATACCCATCTTGGAAATATCTTGCCGTGAGAAATAATGACCCGATTCCCAATCCCGCGTTAAGCCGGGGAAAATGCTCCGGTCGTGTGTTAATAGATTTCTTCGCTGAGCTCCGACTCGCGAATGGGCTCAATACAAACATAGCCTGTTATCCTTGATTTCTGACGCAATAGCACTTGGCTTCACCATAAACAGTCTAGATTCAATTGACAGTTGGTCCCGCCCGTTGCTCGCCTATGCAGTACGACATCACGTAAGGCTAGTGATACCATTCACATACATTAGTAGGCACATAACTGACGATAAATTGAGATTAGATTAAAGAAGTTGTGTGTTCAGCATACACTTCATTTCACTAGCTACGTGGTAATTCAAGGTATGATTCCACTTTAACTAACAACAGGGCCGACAACGTCGATGGCGATGCGGGGCACCAACCAGGTATGTACTAGACAGATATACTATACTTAATTGAGGTTGAACTTCACCAGGCGAGCAAAGTCAGTTATGGACCTTTTACACAACGAATATATATCATAGACACATGCGATTATAATTATCCCTTTAATTTACCGCGAGTGTACCTATAGGGTTACCTATACTCAAGATAAACTATTCATTATCAATCTATCTGAAGTGATGCTCCAAGTGTCCCATATCTGCTGTAATCAATAGTAATGGTATGTTATATCGTTGGGAATAGGCATGTATAATCCCATACGACAATCTAGATCTACAACTTCTCACTCTAAATGGCCTACACTTATGGACACTAATAGTATAACGGCCAGTAGCATTCCAGCATAGGCATGACCAAGTGATTAAAATTGAGTATAACAGTCTACCTTTTATAGACGAAACTCATGATGAGTTAAATGGTATGGCTTGCAAATTATAATGAACATGCCATATCCATAAGGCATATTACTCCTCGTGTTTATCTGTGAAAATGCCTACCAGAACAACTAGAAAGACATGACTTAACCTGGCTGACAAGTATGAGAGAATGACTATCTAGGGTCGTACGGGTTAGGTATATTCTTCCATATAAGAAGAGGTTTCCATTAGTTTTCTCCATAATACGTTTCTGAAGTGTTTATTTCAACCCCCCCTATCTAAAGAAACGAAGATATATAAAAACACCACTTGGTACTACCTTAAAATAAGAAGCGATATATCCATTATTTTTATATTTATGCCTCGTATATAACGAGAAGTGGAATGTATAATTCTATATTCATCTCCATTAGTACCTTGACCGAAAAAATCTATGCGGATTAAGAGGATAACTCTCATGCTGCTTTTTAGCGAAAAGATAGAATGTACAGAGATTTGAAGTTGGCTAAAGTCGATCAAATATAGTATAAGTATAGATGAGATTGAACAACTTATCAATGTGCTAGGTTTGTGATGATTGATTGGAAGTACAGACTCGGTCAACCGCAACTTGCTGTTTGTACATAGTACCGATGTGTGCGAGAGGTACCTCATCAATGACATAACAAACAAAAGACGCGAAGTACCGAGGATAAAGGGCACCGGCGTCGAGTTCTATATCAACATAGGCAATAAAGATAGATGGTAAATTAAGTAGGCCGTCGCTGCAATTACTATTCCAGTGGTGATACACCGCAGTGCTAGAAACATGGCTTAGCATAACCCAAGGTTTCGAGAAGGCGTCCATCAAATTCACTCCCTCTTCACCGTAGACATACAAGATGGTTATACAAGGGTCCTATCCGTAGATCCAACTGATGGCGAATTCTTATATGCCGACCCAGATGATGCTGATGACGACGTCCATGCCCTTGCCCTCTCCACCGTCATATTTGAAACTCCACATGCCATCTGTCTTCTCATTCCAGAACGCTTGGGTTGCTGAATGCATGCCTCGTCGGCCGACGTGCGGCTTGCCGTCCGTAGCAGTCGCGTTACCGCCGTCGCTCGTGCTGATGAGCGGTCCATCGGCCTTTGCTTCGCTACCGCCTTTGGGCTTGTTCAGGGCAGAAGTCGGGACGAGATGTTGGACGATGGTGCTATTGACCACGAATTTATGAGCCGGGATCTGGGAGCTTGATGGAGTCGATTCTGATATGACGGCTCGGAGGATTGAATTCTGGTGTTGGCATGACACGTTAGCAAGATTGAACGAAGTAGGCACTTAGGCACGTAGAGAATTGAGCGACCTACAATTATAGTACCGTTCCAACCTTCAACCTTCGAATGCTCGTAAAACTCTGCACTACCGATGGCGCTCTGGCAAGCCTATATTTGACCGAAGTTAGCTGAATGAACACCCGTATAGCGATGCCTCCAATAAAAGGCGGCGGGGCGAACCTACGTCCATCGCTATCTGCTTGAGTCTCGTTGTGCTAATTGGCTAATCATTATTCCTGTAAGCTTCAAGACGGAGATCAGGGGTGGCAATTAATTGTGACGTACAGCATTGCTCGGTGCAGACGCCATTTTGGATCGTGGGAACGCGGTTTCGTACGACAAAAATGGTACAAGGACGGAAAGTATAGGCAGAGGTATGTGTCGGATTGGAAGTAGCGGTAGATGTGTATTGTTCCTATATGAACCGTGCCACGATTTGTTGTCAATTGGTCATTAAATGGACGTAAGGTAGGATTATGACAGCCTCGTGAGACTTTCTTTCAGCCTTCTCTCCTGTGACGTTGTAAACAGTAAAATGAATGGAGTTGTAAGATCCTTGCTTCAGCTGACATATGCAGACTGCTAGGTGCTTCGTTAACCAGGTTCTTAGCACGACAAAGTTGCTGTTTCCAAATCGTTTCAAGCCTTCCGCGGGGCAATTGAGCACGTGAAAGGGATCTCTCTCTTTCCTCGTCGGAGGCATTTGTACTAAACTCCGTCCTCTACAACTCCCCGGTCGCTTCCATGGCAACAACCACTGAGAATAATGATATGGCCCACGTGGAAGAGGATTATGTAACTAGCGCCACTGGCTAAACCATCTTTAGATGTTTTTTCACTCTCCACTATCAAGCTCCTTCAACATCCAATTACTCGCCATCATCGTCATAGCTAGTCGTCTTTTTTTCTTCCTTTTTTAGTTTTTCTTTATTATAGTCCGCCTATAGTTGTCTTAGGATTAAAGCTCAATTTCTTCTTATTCTTCGTTGTCTGCTCTTGCCCGCTATCTCTGGCTGATCTGATCCAACTATCTACTCTCGCTGCGATTCGCTGCAATCCAATCACATCAACACCAGGCTCGACAGCTATCAATTGGCTACAAACATTGGAACGCATATCGACTAACCGCTCCGGATTACTGAAACTTAATTCCACAAATCATATCACATCAACCACCTGCTTATCCCCAATTGCCCGATATGTCTAGCCAACCTCTTCTGCAAACGGCTCCAGGTAAACAATCCCTCCCGTTTCAAGAGATCGTCAATTCTGAACGTTACGTGAATTAACATGCTTTGATCAATTACTTTAGGCAAACGAATTGCCCTACCTACCCGAGTCGAGCCCAAGGTCTTCTTCGCCAACGAGCGTACATTCCTATCATGGCTAAACTTCACCGTAATATTGGGTGCCTTGGCCATCGGTATGCTGAACTTCGGTGACCGCCCCGCATTCATCTCGGCTTTCCTGTTTACAGGCGTAGCTATGCTTACCATGATATACGCGCTGTTTACGTATCATTGGCGAGCCAAGTCGATTAGGGTGAGAGGGCAAGCTGGGTTTGACGACCGCTTTGGGCCGTCCGTCCTAGCTATCATCCTTCTGTTGGCTGTTGTGGTCAACTTCGTGTTGCGAATAACTTATTCGAGCGGAGAGGGTGGCAAGAAACACTAAGAGGATATGAAGGATTGGTGTTTACCGAAGTGCTGGGTTCGGGATGAGATCATGCTTTCGAAATCCAATGAGAAGACGAATCCTGAGCGACGACTTGACGTGCTTAAAATAGCATCACCTGCAAAACATAGACGATAGTCTCCGAAATAAAAGAAATTGTATATGATGGGTGGAGGAGACGGAGAATTTGTATATCAGAAAGCATCATGTTCTAGCATCGCATTTGTTCCATACGAAGGGTAGTTTCGGTGGGGTTTATGTTGGACATCACGGAGTCGATTTTTACTTATATGAGCATTGTTACATCGGGTTTTGGGGGGAGTAGTTCGATATTTTTATAGCGCGATATCTCTCGAAGAAAACAAGATCGATCCAGCTTCCCTGTGGTTCCTCATACTGATGCAAGGTGCCTTAATTGGTGTTCGTATTGGTTGCTACATCTCTCGGCGAGAATACTAGCACCACTTAGCTGGCTATGTCGAAGATGTGTTTGTCTGTTCTCCATATCGCTTCTTTAATTCCTCGATAGAGACTCGGCAAAGGAATAAACTTATGACAGGGACTCCTCTCAAGCGGGGCTGGCCTTCAATGGCTCTTTCAAATGGGGTCTTCATGACTTCGAAATCGTCGTTACCGAGCCTTGTCTCCTCAATGATAGTATTACCTTCATCTCTTGGTATTTCTTTGAGCTCCTCCCCAATCGCGACGTACTGAAACCAAACGCACTCATTGCCCGCCTGCTCTCTTAACTCCCGCTTTGCAATTTCGGCTATTGAGACTAACTTGCCCGCGTCGGAAGCTTTGGAGCGTAGGATAGATACAGTCGTCTTTGTCGCAGGGGAAGCAAGATGTTGAAGAATCGCAGTCACCTTTTTCTGGATCTTGGATGATGAGATTATCGAGTGGGTTCGAACGTCGTATTTGGACTCCACGGCTTGTAATATTCTAGCATCCTCGGTCGATGAAGGGTTGGGGCTGTTTTCTGGTCGAGGTCGCTTGTTAGAAAGGATCGGATCTGTGTCAGCTCGCTTCCGCTTTGTAGGCGAGTCGCAACCCCGATTGCTCTTCGAGGAGCTTCCGAAGACGGTCATGATACCGCCAGAAAGGGAGAACCTTTCTTCATTGGAAATTGCCGATAATTGATGAGTCGTGTCGGCGCTTACACAAATCGTTGTGAAGATGTAGTGGGATAAGTATTAGCTATGCGGCTAGGTAGGTAGCACCTTTGGAAATAATTAATTGCGATCTTATCGATAAAGCCCACTACCAACCACAGTTTCCAGGTTTCGATATTCGTGCAACGCAACCTTGAAATGGGATTATGTATGGTTGTATCTATGTACCGTGTATCAAGTACCTATGTATATGCAAGGACTGGGGACATATCCTGGGGTTATCGATAAAACGTCCTTCGCTGTCAACAACAAAACCTTGCAGTTTATTTCGCAGTTCATACACTTTCGAGACATGTCTTATCCGTAATTGGCTGATCACCAAGGAAAAGACCCTGTTCCAAAATGCACGCTGCAGTTGCCTAGGTACATACATACCTAGTACCTAGTCATTGCCAAGAATTAATCAAGATATTATGCATAGGACATCGTAATATTGTGACTGGGGTATCAAGCTAAATTCTGATCTTTCTGAGTCGCTTTGTGACTGAGAAGCTGTCGCAATGTCTTCGCATCGAAACACCACGCACTGTTGCCGCTTATGCGGTAACTTACCTATACCTTCTATTAATACGATTTGAAAATGGCGTATGCACCTAGCCAATTCAACTAATAATTATCTAGATATATATATTTGAAGAAGAAGTACATATGTCATAATGCGTAGTAAGCCCGGTACCATTGTAAAGCCTACACAGCCTATCACTTTTTAAACGTCATCTAAGGTTACATGATCTGTTTATCAAAGCTAGGGGTCTATGCACCTATCATACATATGCCTTTTTGGTCGCATGAAACGAACGAGGGAAACAAATCAAGAAGCCGAGCAATCTTGTTGTATGATAATCCATAGTCTTGCCCATTCGATATAAAAGCTATGCTAATGAGACAATGTATTCCATGTAAATTTACATATATTTGTTAGTTATGTAGAGTCTCTGGGCATTATACCAACAAAGTTTAACTACACAAGATTCATTATGTCTATGGTATCATGAAAACATATTGGAAAGAAATAAAATGCAATTAATAATGCTTGCCAGCCTTGTTATTGTAAAGTCCTCAAGAAACGCTAGCCTTGCCTACTCCGGCACCTTGTGTTTATTGACTAGGTACCTGTGTACTGAAGTTTTGCTGTGGATACTCAATCGTGTCTAAAATTATATTATGCAATAAGTCGGACAATTTGTACGATACTTGGTCTAGCTGGTCTACTTCGCGCTAGTTTCATGGGACAAATACCTAAGTACTTAAGTAGCTAAAAGCAGCCATGTGACACACACCTTATTGAAACCTCTACTACACAGATTGTCACGCTCCTTCTAAAGAATATATCTGCCTGTTCGTTTCCCATTTAAGGGGTATGATTCCAGGTTATCGCCACCACATCCCAAAACTTCTTTACCACCTACTACATATGCGTCGTCCATCCTTTGCTATAGTAAGTGAGTCATAAAAAAGATATCCTAGTCAAATCGTCACATATCAAAATCGATGTGTATGTTATGTACTATTATGTGTGCATAACCCCCTTTATTTTGCAGCACGGGCCACTATAAAGGTCGTGCGTATTTTGTGCACGTAATAGCACCATGACGCTATGTACACTTGTATTGTCGAATATCCCTGCCGCGTAACTTGATTGAGATACCCCCTGCCTTATTTTGTACTTGCCTAGAAATCCTAAGTCCAACCAACCAACCATCGGACTATCGGGCAATCAAATCAAATCATGGTGCTAGAAATTCACGAGGTTTTACGAATTAACCAGTAAATATTCGCAACTCTAGGCATGTAGCCACCCACTCGACATTAGGAAACAGGGACTATCACACACCCGCAACAACACCATCAGGTAACCAGGACACCCCCATTTCCACCTGTAAGTCCTTCCCTTTTGCCCATTTTTTTGCCCTTTGCCTTCTGCATTCTCGCGACCTCTAGATTGAACTACCTAACCTTGCACCTTGCACCTTGCACTCTGCACTTTGCCAGGCCCTGGCAATAGAAAGCTTTACAACCTTACAATCTTACAACCTTTCATTTTCATTTTCCTGGCCTTTTGCGCAATCCACTTGTCGCAACAACCAAGAAGGAAGAGAATCGCAAGCGAATGATAATCGTCTTTCTTCCGATTTTCATTTAATTCATTTCACGCGTTCCTTTGCATCAGTGGTTTTTAATACTTACCTGTTTTCCCCCATCCACATCGGGCGCGCGACTTTTGCCTTACCTCGTTCCCTTTGCCTCTTTTTGTCTCTGGTCTCCGGTCTCTAGTCTAATCTCACCTTGATGATTATCACACGCGCCTTTCTAATACCGCTACTACGTACTATCTGCGGAATCTGTACCTAGTATTTGATACACGTTTCGCACCGCTCATTGTCCTTTTTTCGCAGCCTGCTCTCTTTCCAGCAAGGACATTTTATTATTACCTACCTATTCTTTTTTTTATTTGTTGTCGCCCGGTCGCAACATTCTCTCAAATGAGACGAGCCTATATACATCAATACTAATAAATACGCGCAAGTATCTCGGATCATTTGCACTGCGCTGCATTGCACTGCCTTCCAAGATTGTCACTTTGGCATGGTGTTGCGCATTCCTACTCCTCTACCGCCAACCCTGACTCAGACTTGAGTTTCGTTGGGTTTGACCGTGGCCACATCAGCGCGCGGCCTACTCCTTTTTTCTGCGTTCGACAACCCATCAGAATCCATATCTCGCAATTCGATACGTGCGCCAATCCTTGGTTCTGTCCTTTTGCCTTGGTACTAGTGACTACATTCCTGCTAGTCTAGTTCTAGGACTGTACCTAAGGTGGACTTGGTCCATTCAACAACGGGCAGTAGCCAGGCTAAAAAGGGTGGTCGCATCCGCCGGCTCAGCCGATTCCCGGTTGTACACTACGTACACCATACTTTCTGCCTGCAGCCACAGGGAAGGAATTAAGGGAATTAAGCAACGAACTCTACGTTCATTCGCCGCTACGTCAGCATCGCCTTCCCATTTGGCGTCGCACTTCTAACAATAGTTCCTTCTACCCCTTTACAACTTTAGAACAGCGTTGTAAGCGTACTTTAGGTACTTTGGGTACGTCGGAATTATTAGTCTAGGCCTGATCTGTCAGCGCTCCGACCACATTCATACATCATCAAGCCTCCCCCCAACGCCTCTTCGGCCTGGACCTAGACTTTCATATATTGTTTTCTTCTTGTCGGGTATGCTCATGTTCCGCTTTTGGAGTTCAGATTCCAGGGGAAGTGATAAGACTCTACAAGTTGAACAACCTATGCTTGATTTCGGAAAACCTATTCAACCGTGGGTGTCGTCGGAGTCTTCAGTTATTACTACTACTACAATTTCTTCGCCAACGACTCCGAAGCGGCGCAAGCAGAGCAACGTCGCGATAGCGTCGCAGCCAGCTCCAGCTTCGTCCGCTCGAAAGCGGGCGAGGACAGATGATGATGGTGATGAAGGCGATCGCGCTCAAGCGCTTAAGAAGGTAGCCTTATCGGTAGAGAAGGGTGAAAGGGATGTACCGCAAGCGGTGTCGCGTGAACCCGACATGGATCGTGCTAGAGATATTATCGAGGAACAGTTCAGCCTTGAGATACTACTCAAGCACGACGAGTTACGGTTGATTAATCAAGAACTTGCCAAATGCCAGGTGGCTTTGGAGCAACTACGCAGGTGCCATCTAATACCGTATCCACAGAACGTTCCCACGCCGGAACAAATGGTGAATATCATGAATGGATCAGGCGCAGCCTTACAACCGAAGTTAGGCGAACAGCTGCCTCAGTGGGCACCACCTTTTGGCGTTACTGATGGCCCATATGCGCGGCATTATGCCAAGTGGCTCATACCCGACCCCAAGTTCGACGGTATCCAGCCCGTGACTCCCGCCCACACCGAGGCTTCGCGGTTCAGGACATCGGTGGATGGTAGATCGACAAGGAATAGTTTCACTGAGTCAAGCGCATCTCAAGGTAGAGGACGACCCGTGAGGGGATCTGCGGGTCAAAAGCTCCAGGCCCTATCTAGTGGTTATCCGCCCCCCAAAGACAAGAACAGTCCTTGCATCTTGAAGCGATCCGACGGAAAGACCGTGAAGCTTGTTTGCATAGATTGCCATCGCGAGAATTTCTCAAGTACACAAGGTTTTATCAACCACTGTCGCATAGCGCATAAGAGGGATTTCAAGAGCCACGAGGAAGCTGCGGTACACTGTGGTCACCCCATCGAGGTTGCTGACTCTGGCAGCAGCATCGTAGGAGAAGAAAAGCCGGCCATTCAAAGCGCTCCCCCGTCCGGCCTTGTTCATCCCTTTGTCCGAGAGAATGCCATGTCCGAATCCGAGGCTTGCTTCTCTGTTGTACGTCGTATCCAGGAGTCGATGGAGATGTATCGTCGGGGACAGTTGCCTGGCGTTTCCTCGATCCCAGGTACTACTGAGAGCTCTCAGAGAGCTCCAGTTACCGCTGCACAACAGCCGAACTTCGCTCCTTCAGCTGATTCCCCACACCTTTCCCGCCTACTTCAAAGCAGGGGTTTCAATGGCAACCTAAGCAATCTCGTCAGCGAATCCAAGACTAAGATAGACTTAGACCAATTCTTTTCCCCCGAGGATGAGTCGTCAGATGAAGTTGATATAGGTGGTAATGGCAACGTTCGTGGAACCGGGAACGTGGCCCCGTCTCTTGTGCGAGTTCCCGCGAGGGCAACGATGTCGCCCGCTCTTGCCATCACTCGACCAGCAAGTAGCAAAGGCCACCCGCTTGTGCCATATGCTACACCCGTACCGACTCCTGCCCCACGAGTCACATCAGGCCCCGAACCGGAGATGATCGTAGATGACGACATGTTGGATGTGGATCTGAGTCCTCATACTGCTGTTAGCAACAATGCGCCATCGCTTGTTAGTGACGATGGCGAATATGATGACTCAGAAGCCGATTCCGAGGTCGAGTCCGATGTGAACGATAGTATTGGAGCACAGTCAATCTCGGATGTTGACGAGATCGATATTGACGATGATCACAGCGGTACACGCTCTATTAGACATCACCGTGGTTCTACTGGCGCCGGGCCAGGGACGACAGTACGATTACGTAAGGATGATTCCAAACACGTAACATTTGTTAGCCCTATCAAGGGTAACGGGAACGACCACCAGCGACGAGGAGGTCGAAGATAGGGGCACGGAACTAATAACTAAGTGCTTGATGCAATCTATTCACATGGGGCAGGCGGTTGGCCACCGCGATAGTGAGGAGAGTGCCTTTTTTTTCTTATCGTTGGACTACCGAGTTCTTTGGCGATTACCATTACCCTACACCTTTTATTACGCCATTGCCTTTATTCAGATTTTTACGTTCCGAGATGTGCCCCGAGGATGGGAGACATGTCTCTTCTAGGTTACGAAAGTTGTTTCAATCAGCATCAACATGGAAGCACATTGGCGTCAGGTTGACAGGTCAATTTGAGATTGCTGGTAGAGGCTAGAGGGAGGCACTTGACGTTTTGCTTTTGATATATATATTCTCCAGGTTGCGCAAGCTAGCCGGCAATGATGATGAGGAGGTTCGAAAGGCCCATGGGCTAGCAAGACAGGCAGCCGTTTCTGTATCTATAATTTTCAAACAGCTGTACAAAGAAACTGTCGAAAACGCGAGCTATCGCAGACAAAACACAGAACTTTCCACTGTTGTGAATTTGTCTTGCTTCCTACTTTTTTTTTTATCGATACGTGATATGTGTAATATCTCCCCTGAGATTAAAATAATATTTATCATTTAGCAAGTACTATCACTACCTACCTACTTAGTACCTACATGTACCCTTAAGCCCTCTATTACTGCCTACCTACTATGCTCCGCAATTTGCACGTCAAATCACACAAAGGGAAGTCCCAATGCATAGTGGCTTAGCACTAGCTATGTAGGCGGGATGCAGAAGTGTAGCAGTAGGCAAGAAGGGGAACTGATTGGACGACGAGCAACGAGTAGGCTATTGGGGGCAACACACAGTTACTCCGTATGGCTATGTCGAAGTCCAGCTCCCGCATGGAATCGATCGATAGAGTACCAGCCTACCTACCTACCTACCTAGTACTTACCTGTGTAGGTACCTAAGGTCATATTCGATGGCAATACGCCAGTAATCTTTGTCATACACAACTCTCCCCGCATACTCCCGAGCTACCGTACTTAGGTACCTACCTAGGTAGAGTTGTATATAGTATCCAGGGACAAAGAAATCGGGCGAAGAGTCCTAGAGCTGAAGTCGATATTGCTACCCAAAACCCATCCAGTACCAAGCCACCACTAAAGCCATCTCCTATACCGACTCGCTCGGCAATTAGAAAAATACCTAGATATTTATCTATAGAACAATTCCCATTAGCAGACAAGACGTTAAGTCACACAAGCTTAAGACGCCTAATTGCATCGCGAATTTACTGTTATTATTGCCCCCCTTGATAATACGCCAATACACGATATAATATAACGAATGTTAAACCCGCCCCCGAGTTCCTTTATCTCTTCATTTATCTTCCTAATAATAAGATACATAACCACCCCCCAAAAGATAAAAATAAGGATACGTGCTATTAGTCTTCCCTGAGAAACCCCCGCTAGAAGTCGGTGGGGGGCAGATGAAGGGGGTTCAAAGCAAGCACAAAAAAGGAGATGCAAAATCCTTCCATATTTCAGGTTCTGTTCACGAGGGGAAACACATCATTCGTCGTCGTTCTATATACAGCAACAGCGATGAAGAAACGCCAAAATAGCCTTCTATTCCTGGCCAAAGCCCATCGTCTCTTCGACTGCTGTAGTCAATTTGCCCTGCAAGTGCTCCAATGATTTGTACGGGGGCAAATCTAGACGGTTGAAACTGCATGATTGTTAGCATCTTTCTAGATATCATTGGATCTGTATTCTACCCCAACGCTAGGATATTGATACGTACCAAGTATGAGCCTTTGGCAAATTGCCAACTTCACCCGCCTTTTCGATTGTAAACCTCCTCGGACCATCGCTACCTTGGAGATCCTTGAACCCGTTGACGGGGATTCGCGAGGTACCCGTTGTGAACTGTAGAAGTCTGCTCTTCTGCTCTCCATCCCAGCTTCGTACTGTTTGCCAGAAAAATTGGATGACCTCGTCGCTTTCAGTGTAACCCCGGTAATCCGTATGCTTCTTCCAGTCCTCTACGTCAATATCGGCAATACCGCCAATTAACAATTCCAATTCGCGTTCGTCGAAGACGTTGATTAAGTCCTGGGGGATGAGCTCGTGGAAACCTTCCTTAAAGGCCTGGAATTGCTCTGCGATGCGCTTTTCGATGCGCCACTTCACCATAAGATCTACGTACTCCTTTTTATTCTCGTTGGTAACATCGATGTTGCGTCCGTTAGGGATAAGGTCCTCAACTGTCACAACGCCAAAGCGCTCATCTTCGGTAGAGAATGTTTGCTCCAGTATACCGCCCGAGATATCGTTATCCAGCATCCACTGCAAACTTCGATGGAAATCCGCGTCCACACCCTCCATGTCGGCTAATACCACAGACTTACCCAAAATCATCTTGTAAAGGGCGCCGATGAAAAAGGCGTCGAGGAATCGTCGGTGGAATATAGCAAGACCAACCACACGACCGATGAATTTAAAGTAATTCAAATGCTCGGGGTTGATACCGGAGTGTGGGTTGATCTGGAGTGTATAATTATCGTGCGCGGAATATTCGAAGAGACAGTAAAATGGGTTAAACATTTCGTGCGATAAAAGGAAAAAGAATTCTCTGGAGAGACCACCATAATCCAGACCGTCTTCGCCGTCGAATTTTATCATTAAGCGCTTTTTCAAGTCTGTGGCAGACTGGCGCGAGATCTCCGCGAATGAGTCTTCGAAGATATGTGATCGTCGTACCTTCATGTGACACTGCCCCGAGAGTATCCTCATGGCGGGTTGTGAGCGGAAGTATATCAACTTCCTTCGGAAATCTCGCTTGTACTGTGGTACATTCTGGTCCAGGGAGGAAGGTAATCGGGGGTCGTCCCAAGTCGTTGTCTTAGTATTATGATCCACGAAGTATACACGAGCCGTGTTGGTCAATCGCATTTCCCAACCACTAGGCAGAGGCCCCAACTGAGATACTGGTTGCTGTTGTATCGTTCCGTTGGCATTATTTTGACCGCCATACATTCTAATGTATTGCTGGCGTCGAGGATCGACCCAGGTCGTAGTTCGAGTGTTGTGGTCGACAAAGTAAGGCCGGCCTTCGGGAGTCCATCGTTGCTCCCACCCAGGAGGAAGTTCGCCAGTTCCAGGACTGGTAGCGCCGGTGTGCATCAGGGTTCCTTGGCCAGGACTATTTGGAGAACCACCGGATGGCTGAGGCGGTGACTGCTGTGAGAGCGTGGGGGAATTCGCACCAGTGCGATCTTCCGGTAGAGTTCTGTTCTGATGCCTTTGGCGTTCAACCTGAGTAGCCGCCTCCCTCTCGCCACGATTCTCTGCCGATGTTCCGGTCTGAGTTGGACGATTCCAACTAGTAGTTCGCGTATTATGATCCACATAGTAAGTTCTCCCCAAGTGATCCTCACGCCGCTCCCAGCCAGCAGGTAAACGGCCTTGGGCATCTTCGAAAGGACTCATCTGATTTGCCGGCCGAGCCTGCGCCGCAGTACTGCCATTAATAGAGGGCGCACTTGCGCCGTTCGGCCTGACGGGCAAGGCCATTTGTGCTCCCGGTGCGAGCCCGTTAGGACCCGAAGCCGAGGAAGTTGGCCGTTCCGAAGCGCGATCGGTGCTCGCTGTAGATGTCTGGGGGACTAATGACGGCCGGCTCACGCTTGCAGGCGAAGGTTGCTGTGCAGGACGGGCAGGGGTAGACAAGTTAGTAGACAAATTGATGATCAATTTACCGTGAACAACAAGATTGTCTGTGGACTTCTTAAGGTCCCTCGTGAGCATCTGGTCTAAGAAATAAGTATCCTTGTCAGCTTATACAAAGATGGGGGCAGAGCGGCGGGGAGATGATTGGTCATACCATCAGCACCCTCCGCCAACTCGATAACATCCCCAATGCGAATATTGATAACACCCAAGAAACCCTGATCCTTCTTCTTGAATTTCTTTTGGTCAAATACCTGCACTGCCAAGATGCTATCCTCGGTTGCTCGACTAGATACTAGGTGAGTATGAGGACCAACGATAGTTCGTAGAGGACAAATGCGTACAAGTCGAAATTCTCGTTCCAGTAGGGATTGAGGGTTCGTTTCGAGACGATTGTAGTCTTTGTCTGTTCGCCGTTGATCGTGGCTACGGCGAAAGGATCGGGCAGACCTATACGATTAAAGAAATAGGTTAATGGGGTTGGGTACTAATGATTGGTAAGGATAGTGAGGAACATACGGAACACATCCCGTTTATACAGGCCGTCGGCAGCGATGACTACGACAATAAGGTTAATATATACGTCTCGTTAAGGATAGAGGTAGAAGCGATAGGGAATGACGAGAAGGATGGAGAGTATGTTGGCGATGGAAGATGAATAGGGACTCGAAGACGCACTCGTGACTCGCAAATTTGGTTGGCTGTAGAATAAACTCGATATTAGTTTCAAAACGTCTCAAATATTACAGTGATATTCTTTTAAGCTGAATAAAAAGGTGGACTGGGTATTGTACATTGAATATTCTATGGTACAAAAGAATAATCACAATTAAAAAACAAACTTACGCTGATGGCCCCGGCTCAGAACGACTTGCGGTCATGCTGGACTGGTGGATGCTTCACCGTTGGGAATGAGGTCAAGCGTTTTCACGTCTTTGCTCTCATGACCCTCTCTCTCTCTCTCTCCTCTCCCACCGTGGGCGTCCCGTCCAAAGGAGGGGTTCGTCCGTCTTCGGGTCAAGGTGGATAAGCCGAGTTTAAATAGAAGGATAAGACTCTTAAATTGATAGTTTCCTCTCCCTTCCCTTTACCTTTAATTCTTTTTCTAATTTTGGCCTTATGATATTGACGTTTGATGGCGATGGACACTAACGAGAAGAAAGTTATGAAGTTCAAGTTAGGTAGGGTGTAGCGGTAGTAGTGGGTAGCAGGTAGCAATAGTAGGTTTCTCAATAGTGGTGGCGGTACCTCCGATGTATTAGGTGGATGTATTCAAGGTTGTACCTATTGACATGGATCGCAAAGAAACATCTGGGCGCAACACACACACAAACTGTACCTAGCCCGCTGCCCACTGCCCGCTAAAGTTGACCCAGTCCAATGGCGGTGGCATTTGATTAGTTGAGGCTGTGCATGCGCTAAGAAACAGGAATGATTGATGTACATACTTCTTACGCACGTGCATTTTTGTATGTATAGATAAGACGATACCTATTTTTACATGTTTATCTACGTATTTGTACCGGTATCTGTTAGCACGATGGAGATAGATCGAGTTACTGTACAGGTATCTAGCTCTTGCCTTCTATGCAGGTAGGTAGCATGAGCTTAATCCGTTGTATGATGTACCTATCTCCAAGTATTAGTCAACCCTTCGTTCGGCGCTCTTAAACATTCTCTTCATCCTAATTCATACCGGTATGTTTCACTAACAGAGAAAAGAAGATATGGATCCGTGTATGGATTACTATGTGCTTATTGCCAGGTCACCCAATTTGTAAACAACATGTCGCCTTTCATGTCTAAAATGTGTCAGATCAGACAGCCCCAATAGAATAACGACTGTCAACACTGGACTCGTTTTACGGCGTACCCTTCACTGCCTTCATTCCCCCCTAGCTACCCTAGGTATCCTCTAGGTACAATACTTGCATTCACTCTATTTTGGAAGCTGATGCACTATCTTCTAAGCTCCGAATCTACATATCAGGTAGGTACGTAGTGCTGTCTACGAATCCAATTTCGCAAGACGCGTAGGCGAGCAGGCTGGTAAAACTCCTATCCAGCGGCCTCCCACTACATATGTACCTAGGTAGGTACTAGGTAGGTACAGTACCCTAGCATCTAAGCCTCGCAACCTCCAGGATAATACGCAGTATGACCAGGAGAGAAATGAGAACCCCCGCTCATTGGCTATCTTAGTTCTATAGATCTGGACCGTGCCGTTACCCGTCAGCTCCGATCATTACCCGGTACATAGAGAGGTAAGCTACGCTGTATTATTCCCGAGTCCATTCCTGTAGAAAGCCACAGTCGAGAAATCCAATCGTAAAAATCACAAATCAATATTATGTACCACACCCTCTTGCCCTGGCACCATGTAACTTTGATGACATTGTTGGTGTACATATGGAGATGCTGGCAGATCAAGACAGGACCGGTTAGATAATCGATCGGATCCTCTCTTATTCCTACTCCTTACGTAGATTGGACTTAATATTAAACAGATTAGATTCTCACTTTTATGATGATGATGGCGATGACGACGACGACTGGTAGCCATCGATTTATCTGTCATAAACTAGCAAATAGGCCCATAAGAACAATGCAAACCCCATCCGACCCAGTCACCCTATTTGCGATCGTCCACCTGAAACAAGTCGTATACATATCATAAACAACCCCCAGATTATGTTTCTCGCATTGCCAAAGAATCAAACAAGATCGTAGGCAAAATGCGCAGTTAAATGTGAGCCCATGAGCCAGCCACCAATCACTCCAGGCCAGACGCCGTCAACATTACTTTTGTCTTGGCGTCCTTGATTTGCAACTACCAATGCCTGACGAGTACACAACGAAGATCGAGACGGTAAAACACTCATATGTCAGCCGTCTGGTTACAGTTGTATATCTCGCCTGGCAACGCCCCTCCCGGTCTTGGATAGGTAGGTACGGATAGAGAAGAAAGGGACAGTTATGCCATCTCTTCAAAGTCGGTAATGTAATAAAGCCCTGTATGCGTCCCACATACCCTGTCGAATAATGTTTCCTGTTCTTCAAAAGAAACCAAGGTTATATGCCTTGGTTCCTCGGACTATCAATCATATTTACCCACTAGTACGATCCTCGAACTCCAACAAGGGCCATTGACCGGCGGGTCTCAGAAAAGAGGACATGTCGGGTTACTTCTCAGTAAGGGTTGAAACCACCACCACGTGCTCGTCCCCGGTAGCCGCCACGGTAGAACCCTCCTCGCGGCATGTAACCTCCTCTTCCTCCGAAATACCCACCTCGTGCCGCGCCACCAAATCCTCCACGGCCGCGGCCTCCACGACCACGGCTCAGACCCGGAATGTTGGTCCGCTTCGGGGTGACCTTGATGTTACGTCCCTTGAGGACGCTGTCGTTCAATACCAGGGCCTGAGCTACGAGGCTAGGTTCAGTAAACTCGACGTAGGCATATCTGTGCATCAAAAATGTGAGCCAATGACAACCTGCTAATTTATTTTTGCATGTAATTCGGACTTACCCCTTCGGCTGACCCGTAAATTTGTCGAGTAAGATCGTGACGCGGTTGATAGAGCCGCAGCTCTGGAAATGGGCTTGGATTTCCTCAGGGGAGACAGAGTAATCGACATTTCCGACAAAGATACTTCGACTATCTACGTCGGATCGGTCTTCGGAAACTTCCTGTCCTCGTTCCTCTAAGGCAGCATGCATCTCTCTTAGCTTGGCAGCTTCTTGCTCCATCTCGGCAACGCGTTTCTTCATGGCAGAGATTTCCTCCTGTGCGCGTTGGTAGTTTTTGTTAGCCTATTACTTCCTTTGTAGATCCAGGTTTCCACCAGGCTGCACGTGTAAAAGGGTCGAAAGGGGATACATACTTCATCGTTACCCTCTTCATTGACCATAGGGTCCTCACCAGTAACGTCTCGCTCGTCGTGATTCGTGTCAGACATGTTGGGCTAAAGTCAATTCCCAGATTTTCTTCTAAGATGTCAGTAGGTAGAAAACCATAACGAGCAAGGCAGAAAGACCAACCCCTCGGTGAATTGTAGTTATAATAGAAGAGCTGGGTATCGGGGGATCCAAAGAACTCTTGCACAGAGGGAAATTTATAGCATTTGAATATTGCTACACAAAAGAATGCGCCAGTGTTAAAAGCTGGTTTGTGGAAAATGCGATAGAAGGCGACGCAAATGCCCAGTCTTCAGTTGTAATCAGTTGTAAAGCTCTAAAAGCTGCAGTGGAGCAGACAAGATCCAGAGATCCTTAGGTAATACAGTTCGCGCGCTAACACAACACGCTAAGACGGCCTGGACGGCCAGGTAGCTACGCGGTACGTACCTATTTCATCTTTGCTCCAGTCGTTCCTTCCAAGATTTTTCCTTCACTTGTCTTTGACCTGACGGCGGGTCACATGGTCTGTGCGTTGGTAACAAATAGCATGTTGTAGGGAAACATCTATGTATGAATATGATAGTAGGTTTTAAGAACTGGACTACTTCACACAACATATTCTATCCAATATACCTAGTTGTCGATAAATGTGTTTTGATTCTTTTCAATGCTACTTCTTTTTGAGTCTATAGGCTTAACTATACAGAATTGCTAACTATGGAAGATATATCTTCCTACAAACATACTCAGCAGGTAATGGGTCCTATTCCTTCGAGCACATGGCTCGTCTTGAAATATGCCCCGACATATACTTCATACGTTGGACAAACAAAATAGAAACTTCAGCGATTCATTTATTGTCATAATATCGTAAAATAGTTTGTACAATGTTAGCCAAGAACATCCAGCACAATGTCTAATGCAAACTATTCAAGCTACATAAACGAAAACTGAAATAAGAACTTGATATAAGCTTTTATGACACAAGATAACCACAACATCAAGCTTTCCATACCCAACGTAAGATATACATATAATAGCCATATAGTCTTAGCATACGCTTTGGATTTATAATTAGAATCAACAATCACCTTTAAACAGCCTTTATCGAATAGCCGGTATGGTCACGAGGACAATCAGGTAAAAACAATAAAACTTACATCATCGGACATGACTGACTACGACGGACCAAGCAAATACGACTTTTACCAGAACAATCTCAATGCGCTATGCCGATACACCCGCGAAGGCAAATAAACCCATGATTCAAGAACACTTTCTTCCATGAGAACCGATTACCAACCTAGAGTACAATGATTTCCCATCCATTAATCTATGATGAGAAGCCGTTCCGGAGCGTACAACATATGCAGTAGCAACACAAATACAGATGCGGGTTCTTGCTCAGTCATCACCAGATGCCCCATTCCACCATTCTTATCACACCCTCGATCGCCTAGCAACCATCTCTTTGCTCATCTTCGGCTGCCAGGCTGAGTTTTGCCGTAAACTTGAGTCGTATGTAGTATTCGTCGGTAGACGACAGCTCATGAGGTAAAGGGATAAGGGTGTAAGTACAGCTTTCCCTCCCTTCTATCCTAGCATAAGCTATCGCGTCTAATAGGAGACCGTCGTGTTAGCATGCTTCCCTCAGCAGCTAACATCGACGGAAGCCTTAGAGTTCATAAGCAGGGCCACGATGAGACCGTAGAGACCCAAAACTTCGGCGAAAATGAGAATCAGGATCATGCCGACGAAGAGCCTAGGTTGTTGAGCGGTTCCTCGCACACCCGCATCACCGACGATACCGATAGCGAAACCAGCAGCCAAACCAGCAAGACCCACAGAAAGACCCGCACCCAGTTGAATGAAACCCGTGTACAGGGGAAGCTGTTGGGTCAAACCATCGGAAATCAGGACGGAGACGACGAGACCGTAGATACCAATGATACCAGCCATAATAACGGGAACGATGTCTATACAGGTTAGTATTGTTGAACGAAATATGGCGATGGCGAAGGTGGCGCGTACTCTTCACGATGAGATCAGGTCTCAGGACACCCATAGCCGCAATACCAACACCGGACTTGGCGGTTCCGTAGGAAGCACCTAAGCAGGTGAAGACGATGGCCGCTGTGCAACCCATGGCGCCGAAGAAGGGCTAGTCATTAAAGTTAGCATTATATCCAACGTCGCGTCTATTTCGCATTCTAGGATAACAATGTCGATCTTCGCTGAGACTAAAGGGACGAACTAACCGCGTAGACCGGGCTATAGAGAACAACATTAGCATGGTAATCAAAACATATCAAAAGCCGGAATTGGAATTGCAGAATATTGTTTAAAGCTTTGTTTGATGATGGAAGGAGTTGGCGGGAGAAGGCATCCAATGAACTACGTACCAAGCTTCAGAGTAACCGGACATGATGACGGTGGAAGAAGAGCTTTTCTAGAAAGGGGAGAAGAGAAAATAGAAATAGAAATTTTCTGAATGATAGACTTTCAAAGCGAACTGATGAGAAGGGTAGAATGAATTGGGAATTGAGATGGCAAAGCTCAAGAGTTGTAGTTTTAGTAGTAATGAAAGAGAGCTATGGATGGCTATGGGAATGTATTACGGGGAGAAGTGTTGCTTTCGCGAGGTTGCAGGTGCTGTTACAGTTTGGCCCTTTGATTGGGGAGAACTGAAAGGTTAGATTGATTTTGCAGCTCCGAGTCACCTGGAAAGTGGACCTCATGATTATGTCAGCGGAATCGGCATTACGTGTCGCCGAAAGGGAAATTCCGTCTTGGTAGGGTCTTGGCATCTAAATCCGAATTGAAGCTTTGACATTGTCGAACTTTTTTTTTTTCGTCCTTCTATTCTTCAACGAAAAACACTTCAACCTACCACTTTGCGCAATTCTTCATAGGGCGAGCCACCGCAAGGAACCCTGTGTTATCAAAATGTCTGGACAAGATCAAAACGCTGGTATATTTAGACAATACGCCCAACGAAAACTTTGAATGATTATACTTACTTATTCATAGCTTGGCCTTTGGCCGACCATACCCTTACGCAGGAGATTCTCGACCTCGTGCAACAGGCTGGTCGTAAGTCTACTACTGTCTTCGCCAATCGAAACCCATTTCGCTGATAATTATATCTATAGATGCCCGCCAGCTCAAGAAGGGAGCCAACGAAGTTACCAAGACGTTGAACAGAGGTGTTGCCGAAATTATTGTCCTTGCTGCAGATACCACTCCTCTTGCGATCCTTCTCCACCTACCGCTACTTTGCGAAGATAAGAATGTGATCTACTGCTACGTACCTAGCAAGGTTCGTCTCGTAAAGGCTATCCTAGGAGATCCTTATGCTAATCCAGTTAAACAGATCGCACTCGGCAGAGCTTGCGGTGTATCCCGAGCTGTCATCGCTGCCTCGATCACAACCAACGAGGCCAGCGACCTATCAGGCCAGATTCGCAGTCTGAGAGACAAGATCGAACGTCTCATGATTTAAAGATACCCCAGAGTTAGGAAAGGAATTCAGGGCCCTACAATTAGGAACATGTATTAGGCTACAAGTCCTAGACAGATAGCCTAGAAATGATTATATGCAGATACAGATACTATACTCTGTATTAGATCAGATAGCTTAATATAAGATATAAACTTTTATACCTATTTCGTCTCATACAAGGCACATAAGTAGGTAGGTATTTGATAATTCAAACATGGTAGGCTAAAATATAGGAGTGATAAGTACAAGATGTACCACAGTATTTATGCATACGGATCACATTAGCGCATCTGGTTACCAGCGATGTCGCCCTATCAAGTATGCCCCACCGTGTGACGGCATCAGCAACCCCACCAAAACTCTACTATGTAAGACATCCTTCATTAGGACAACCAAAGAACCTGGGAACTTTCAAAGACTTTAAAAATGACCATATCAAACTTCTCAGAAGTCGACATGATACAAAAAGTTTACAACTCATAGAAAATTCGTTTGTGCTCATTATCTCTTAGTTCAAGCTAATAGAATTCTCTATAATTCTCTATACCTACTTACGAATATCATGATTGAGTTCTTGAGTACTAAGAATGCCTAGTATAGCGCGAAAGCTCTTGATTTGCGCCGCCGTTGACGGCCTCATAATCCAGCCACTTGCAACCAAAGGGCAGCGAGCTCAACAACCCGTTAAAGTCAAATATGGCGATGCTACAATATCCTCGCTTCCTCGCGATCAACCGCTAGAAACACCAAAGCCAAACTCATCCTTTGAGGCTTTTGGTATTGTAGGTTCGTCTTCTCTAGAGCATCTAAACTGTCCTTGTAGACAGATCATACAAGTAGAACTAAATTCCCTCTAACTGTCCCTTTCAATAGGGCTCTTCACTGTTTCCCGCTTAAGCTATCTTATAACTGTTACTGGTCGCCAGCAAGTTGCGCAAATTCGTGGCTTTCCTGTCTACGTCGTGACCGACGTCGCGCTCACCCCTTGTACGAGCCAAGCCGATGCCGAACTAGCCATTGCGAACACGGCGACCAAACTCCGACGCGCATCAGCAGATAAGTTTGTCGACGATAGCGACTCAGAAAGCGAGGTCGAAGGGCCCTCGTTCTCTGGCGGCGACGATACTGAAGATCCGGGTGCCCTAAGCGACCGCGAGACTTCTGAAAATAAAGATGTGTCCGAGGTAGGAGGTGAGAGAAGCAGCATAGCGGAAGACGTCATAAAGCGTCGCGGTAGCTATGGACGCTTTGCGCAGCGCTGGTTCAGTCGCAAAGGCTGGATGATGGACCAAAAGCGCAATATGGGACTCAGCAACCTTGTAACAGATGGACCGGGTAGCCCAACCAACAAACCAAAAAACGGAAGCCCAGAAAGGGAATTGAGCGAGGCAGTAACGCAGGAAGGAGTCGATCCACCATCCACCCCGTCTGTTGGCGAGAGTTTGATGCCCAAGTTACTGCGATTTGCGCATATCTGGCTTGGGACATCCAGAAGCTTTTACTTTTCATATGACGTGGATCTCACAAGAAGTGTTGCTAATCGATCCTCCACAACGGCAACAACAAATCTTCCGCTACATCAACAAGCTGATTCAACCTTCTTTTGGAACCAAAATCTAATGAGGCCCTTCCAAGGCACCGGTAATGACTCAATAATATTACCCCTGATGCAAGGCTTTGTGGGACAAAGAACCTTCGTTGTCGATCGTCATCCACCGCAATCTGATTCCCAGGAAGATTCTATGGAAATGGCTGACATGTCGCCTCCTCCCGAGCGCAATACCGAATTCTTTTCACCAGAAAGAGCATCTGTTGATTTGAGATCATCTGAAAAGAAATTCGTTATTACGGTGATTTCCAGGAGGTCGACAAGACGAGCTGGGTTGCGTTATTTACGGCGTGGCATAGATGACAATGGGCATGCTGCGAATTTCGTTGAGACAGAACAAATACTCTCAACTCCATCATGGGAACCAACGTCTAAGATCTTCTCATTCGTCCAGGTACGGGGTAGCATACCGATTTTCTTTACCCAGTCACCATACTCCCTAAAGCCGATACCGGTACTACAACACTCCTCCGAAGCCAATTATCGAGCGTTCAAGAAACACTTTGAACTACTAGGCAATACATATGGAGCTATGCAACTCGTGAATTTAGTTGAGAAGCACGGTGTTGAGGCTATAGTTGGGAATGAATATGAGAAGATGGTCCAAAGATTTAATGAGCAGAAGGCAGAAGATTCTCAACCCCTCGCTTTTGAATGGTTCGACTTTCACTCCGCCTGTCGCGGGATGAAATTCGAGAATGTGAGCTTGCTTTTGGATACCCTGGGCAAAGAAATAGAAGAGGCCAGCAGCACCGTGGAAAAGGGCGACCAAATAGAACGGAAACAGAAGGGCGTATTGAGGACAAATTGCATGGATTGTCTGGATCGTACCAACGTCTGCCAGAGTTCCTTTGGCAAGTTCATGCTCGATCTGCAGCTAAGGGGGGAGGGTTTCGATATGTCAGCTCAGCTTGACCAGGAGAACTCGTGGTTTAATACACTTTGGGCTGACAACGGAGATGCCATATCCAAACAATGTCAGTCCATACCTATTCCTTATCAAGAAACGACTGATCCCCCGGCGGGAGGGACTCGAATTGCTAACTCGAAATATTCTAGATGCCTCTACTGCTGCGATGAAGGGCGATTATACTAGAACGAAGAAACGAGATTACCGTGGAATGGTGAACGACCTTGGCTTGTCTCTAACACGATTCTACAACGGGTAAGGAATACTGTTCCACTAAATTATTCAATTGCTCACAGCATATGCCAGAATGGTCAACGATTATTTTTCGCAGGCTGCTATCGATTTCTTCCTAGGCAATGTTTCATCCATGGTCTTCGACGAGTTTGAAGCAACTATGATGAGTAAGGACCCTGGAGTTTCGATGTCAAAGATGAGGGAGCAGGCTATCGAGACATCGCAGAAAATAGTCATCGAGGACGATAAAGAGGACTTTATCGGCGGATGGACGTTGTTGAGCCCTAACACATCTGACACTATCAAAACTTCGATGTTTGAAGAAGTAGTGCTTCTTCTCACTGACACAGCGTTGTATTTATGTCGATTCGATTGGAAGCTTGACAAAGTGTCCTCCTTTGAAAGGGTAGATTTGGCACATGTAGTCAGTATTAAGGTCGGCACGTACATAACCTCAGCCATCTCCCCCGCGGAAACCGACGAATCGAGGAACATCGGACTTGTCATTACTTATGAACCAGGTAAATTTGATATCAAGCGAACCAACACACGATCTCTGTCCAGTACGTCGGGACAATCAGACCAAATATCGGGAAAGGATATATTTGGTGAACCGACAAAGGCCCCAGCCGCCGTATCCGGCATCTTGAACCAAGCTATTCTCAACGCCATCGCGGGTAAGCCGCAGTCGCAATCGCACCCGCCGCGGAAGATCGCTCTCAAAGCGCTATATTCTAGGACGGCAGTATCGGAAACGAAGGACGTGAAGAAGATGACGGAGAACGAGCAGATCAACGTTATCGCCACGGAGATCGAAAGGCTGGTCTTCCTCAGCCAACCAATCCCGGGGGATTCGGAGCGGAAGAGCATTGTAGAGAAAGGAGACATCATCTCCCTCGCCGAGGCGAAGAAGAGCACCGGGATTCTAGAGCAGTGGGGTCACAGCATAAAGAAGTTGGTTTGGGCATAGATGAATCTTCATAGCTGCTCATTATGAGGTGTACATAATATGGTGACTTAAGGCCCTGGTAGATACCTATTGAGTTATTTAGTTAGACGGCCGAGAGGTGGTGCGATACAGGTGCATCTGGTAGCGCATATCTTGTAGATCAATAGGATATCGCAGTTCGTCGGAAAGTCGGAACCAGACCGAGTCGTGTGATTGCAGCTTCTCCCACTCGCAACCCTCGGGCGGCAGCTTGTCCGCCTGGAGTAAGGTGTGGTCTAGCAGCCATTGCATCGGGTACTTCTTAGCCTCCTTACCCACAGCTGCCTCTGAATAGCTCCCGGGGCTGTCAACGACTAGGAGTAAGGAACCGGCCGGGATTATAGTACTTAGATTTCGGAGGAACGCCGTGGTTAGTTTGATGCCTCCCGATGTATAGAGCTCGTTCAGCGTGAATAGCATCGTGATGAGTAACGGCGTTTGGCCGAGAAGCTTTGATAGCCTGGCGCTGTCTAGTTGGAGCACGTCTTGCTGTACAAAAGTCGAGCGCAGACGTGTTGCTGGCTCGACTAAGGCGGCATTTGTTGCTTTGACAGCAGCACTTGCATATTTAGATAGAAATGGCGGTGTTGTGAGGCCGATATGAAGCTTTTGTACGACTTCAGCCCATGGTCCAGTATCTAGGAGCGTAAGATCTCCAACGATACTAGAGGCCCGAAGATAGTCCCCGAAAGCTACGATCTCAGCAGCACCACCTCCGATGGCAAGCATTCTCAGCGTATCGCTGGATTTCGATACCCGCTCATCTTCCTCTAAATCGACCGTTGGAGAAAACCGACCCATCTCAACTTCATCCTCAAATGGGACATCGCTATCAGCGACACTAGTGGCGAGTATCAAAGGCCCTAGCTCGTCCCTAATCTGACTCATTACTCTGCTATAACACAACGCGCGACCGGGACTCCATCTCGCCGCGTACACTTCGAGGAACTGCTCGTTGCCAAATGCGGTCTCGAAATCTCGGTTGAATAGCGCTTGCTTTACCTTCTGCAATGTGGTGTCAAACTCATCGTCGCTAAAGATCTCTCTGAACGTGTCATTGAATATGTTTAGTAGCTTCTGCTGCGCTTTGATCTCCTCTGGTGACAGGATCGCTGCTGCCGACTGTTGCTCCGTTGCCCCTGAAGCCGGGCCCTCCGCCGACTTGGAGGCGGATGTCGAGGTTCGAGGCGGCGGCTTGGAGGATTTCGATCCGGAGCTTTTCTTAACCATGACTCTTTATCATGGGAAAAAATAATTTAGGTTTCGTTTAAAGTGTTTCAAAGTCCGTTTCCCCCTTTTGCCCAAATATTTGTTAGGTAAAAAAAAGTTGCCTGCAATTAGACTTTTCGGGTTTTTGCGTTAGAGGAGTTGAAGAGGCCTGTGATCAAATTTTGATGACCTAGAAGAATCATGTTAATTGGTGGATAGCAATAGCACAACCCAATTCTATCGAGTCATTTTTCAAACTCATGTATTTATTCTACCTATTTTTCATCTAATTCACGGGGACAAAAAAATAAAGATTATTTACTATAATATTTCATAAATCTCATAATCATTTAGTCGTAAGGTAAGTTAGTTACCTATAGATTAATTTCGTAATAATTGATGAGCAAATTCAGGACTGTGTAGGTATTAGGTAGGTGCGCACCTAAACCCGGGAATACGGCGAGGTGTCGGTGACTCCTGTAAAATAACGGCTTTTGGGAATTATTCACGACATTGACCGAATGGATAGGTACTATACATATTAACTAATAGTTCCCCTGCGGTGTCGCCGTCGTTACATAAGCATCACATGGCTAAAAGTCAAAAGGCTCTTTAAGTCGAATTGGAGGTTAGAGTAGCCCCGGCTAGGCCGGCTGGTATATAGCTTCAATCAGAGGTGATCGGGCGAGAGATCACGATGCTTCAAGTAGAGTCACGGGAGGAGCAAATATTCCGCCCTTCCGCCTGGCTCGCTATTGGTAGGGGTGAGATGAATAAGAAAGAACCTAAGGCAGGAAACGCTCGAATGATCTTCTTCGACTTGCTCACGTTGCTTGATAAGCTAGCCCTGGACGTTCGTGCGTTCGTGAGTTTAGAGAGTTTAATATAGCGCACCTTTCGGGTTAATTTTATGCGATGACGCTTAGCCCAGAAGGTCGGAGGCTGACAAAAGCTGACATTAGGTACCGATACATGCCTACGACGTACGGACGTACCTACATATGTAGGTGTGTATGTAGGTGAATACCTAATATATCATAGGTCCGATACGGAGCGAGATATAAGGCCGGAGTTATGAGTTGGATGTATATAGAATAGAATGGTCAACGACGTCTTCGGCGATGAAACAAATAAGTAAAATGCTCTAACCAAGATTTGATATTAGTCCCCGGAGGCTCAAATGACCTAATTACATATTGGAAATATTAGTAGCAAATATATTACCAATCTCACAGATAACTGATGAGTCTTTTTCCGGACCTATTAGACGGATAGTAATAAATTTGGCTCGCGCAGGGCTGCAAGGCGATTGAAGCTAGAACTCCCGTTCACCTGAGCAAGGAGGATTTGCCAATAAGTATATGTATTCCGACTAGGCGTGTTCGGGGAGATTTGCCCCTTTTGCTCGCGTAGTAAGAGATATGGTTACACATATGTACCTAGGTAAGGATTCGAATCGTCTAATGTAACTTTCTTGTATACCTTTGGAAGTACATATATTAACAGCTCCCGTTTGAAACAACATCGTGAACGAAGTATCGGATGTTGAAAAGGTGACGTAGGTAACAGATGGGATGCTGTATCACCACATTGACGGCAAACTTCTCAGTGGCAAAATGAATCCAGGGACTTTCAAAATTTCAGAAGAAAAATTGAGACGCGTCGGACAGTAGCGTAACCGACTGTTTGGGGAAGAAATACTGGAGCCGGGCACCTGAACAGGCATTCGTTGTTGAGGGTTTTGATAAGAGTTGAGAGGAAATGATGAAATAATACCGCTCTAGTCAGTATAGTAACAGGTAGTGACCGGTAGTACTTGACTACAGAATCCTAGCTCACCCCAGCTCTTTGGGAAGTGAACCCCCACCCCACCTGCTATGATTGATCGTCTCCGACTAATACTTGCCTCAGCGGACTTTAGTGAGCCATACATGTATCGTATCAGAAAGCCCCGGCCCCTCCAGGTCCCTCTTTCCAAGAAGAAAGGACCCATTCAAGGACGCCTGTTGCCGCTGCCGGCGTTCAGCGACTGCAGAGATCAAAACATTTTAACCATCCGCGATTCTTCCCACACTCTTATTTCCTTCTCTCTCTCAATCAACTTTTCCATTGACTCTCTTTTTAACCTCATTTCCCAAGATATCTTCACAGAAACGCAATCATGGGGTATACAGAGAAAGATTGGCTCGCCATTAACACAATCCGTGTTCTTGCTGTAAGATGACGACTCTCTTTTATTAACCCCGCCCCCGCTCTGCCCCTCCAATCCTCCATCGTGAGCTCATTGAAGCTTTGCTCGCTCTGCCTTTTTTTTTTGCCCTCATTCCGGGTCTCCCCTAAGAATAATTACCTAACAAATACTAACAATTGTCTTCCTCTAGGTCGATGCCACCTTCGCATCCAACTCGGGCCACCCTGGCGCGCCCATGTGAGTAGCAAATATATCTATACATAAAACTATAATGGTTTTTCTTTGAAGGAATAGTTATTGACATTAATCGGTATAGGGGTATGGCACCGGTTGCCCACGTTCTCTTCAACAAATTCATGAAATTCAACCCCAAGAACCCGAAATGGTTAAACCGGGATAGATTTGTGCTTTCGTAAGTCGAAATGCTGCTCTATGTTAACCCAAACCAATTATTGACCTGGGTCTCAGTAATGGGCACGGATGCATGCTCCAATATGCTCTTCTCCACCTTTTTGGATATGCCCTATCCATTGACGACCTTAAGGCATTCCGAGTGAGTCTCCCTTTCAAGTCTAGATGTAACTTGTAAAAAGAACAGAAAGCTTACAGCTGCCATAGTCAGTTGACAGCATCACCCCCGGACATCCCGAGGCTCATGATACACCCGGTATCGAAGTTACTACCGGTCCTCTCGGCCAGGGTATCTCCAACGCTGTCGGTCTTGCTATCGCCCAGGCCCAGACCGCCGCCAACTTCAACAAGGACGGTTTCCCTATCGTCGACAACTACACCTACTGCTTCTTGGGTGATGGCTGCTTGATGGAGGGTATCTCTAGCGAGGCTAGCTCGTTGGCTGGTCACTTGCAACTGGGTAACCTGATTGCTATTTACGATGACAACCAGATCACTATCGATGGTGACACTGCTTGCGCTTTCACTGAGGATGTTGTCAAGCGGTACGAGTCGTACGGCTGGCATGTCGAGATCGTCAGCGATGGCGATCACGACCTCGACAGCATTGAGAAAGCTATCCAGAAGGCCAAGGATGTCAAGGACAAGCCTACTCTAATCAAGCTTAAGACCACCATTGGTTTTGGCTCCTTACAACAAGGTACCCACGGTGTTCACGGTTCCCCCCTGAAGGCCGATGATATCAAGCAGCTCAAGCAGAAGTTTGGCTTTAACCCTGAGCAATCCTTCGCCGTTCCCCAAGAGGTTTACGACCAATACGCCCAGAAGGCAGCTGAGGGTGCCGCTCTTGAACAGGAGTGGAACAAGCTGTTCGCAAGTTATGCAACGCAGTACAAGGCTGAGCACGACGACCTCGTTCGCCGTCTTAGTGGGCAACTTCCGGAAGGCTGGGAGAAGAACCTTCCAGTCTACACTCCCAAGGATGCTGCCGTTGCGTCTCGAAAGCTCTCCGAGATTGTCCTCTCCAAGGTTGAGGGCATCATCCCCGAGCTCATCGGCGGCTCTGCTGATTTGACAGGATCTAACTTGACTCGGTGGAAGGGTGCTACCGACTTCCAACCTCCTTCGACAAAACTTGGTGACTATGCCGGCCGATACATCCGATACGGTGTCCGTGAACATGGTATGGGTGCTATCATGAACGGTATCGCGGCATACGGTACTCTTATCCCCTTCGGTGGTACTTTCCTAAACTTCGTCTCATATGCCGCCGGCGCTGTCCGTCTATCTTCGCTGTCCCAGGTCCGCGTTATCTGGGTTGCTACCCACGACTCCATTGGTCTCGGAGAAGATGGTCCTACCCATCAACCTATCGAAACCCTCGCTCACTTCCGTGCTCTGCCTAACATGATGGTCTGGCGACCGGCCGACGGCAACGAGACTAGCAGTGCCTACTATGTTGCTTTGACTTCTAAACACACCCCTAGCATCCTCGCTTTGTCGCGACAGAACCTACCTCAACTCGAGGGATCGACTATTGAGAAGGCGAACAAGGGTGGTTACGTCCTACACGATGTTGAGGGCGCTGACATCACCCTCGTCTCGACTGGTTCTGAGGTCTGCATTTGCGTTGACGCCGTCAAGTACCTCCAAGAGAAGCACGGCCTCAAGGCACGTGTCGTCTCCATTCCTTGTTTCGAGGTCTTCGACTCGCAATCCAAGGAGTACAGACTTAGCGTTCTCCCCGACGGCATTCCCTCTCTGTCTGTCGAGGTCATGAGCACAATGGGTTGGGAGAGATATACCCATGAGCAATTTGGCCTCAACAGATTCGGTGCTTCTGGTGCCTACAAGGACGTCTACAAGGCAAGTTTTCCAGAGTCCTTTTATGGATCCCACAATTTACTAACAAGTGCAATAGAAGTTCGAGTTCACCCCTGAAGGTGTCGCAAAGAGGGCAGTGGCCACCGTTGAGTTCTGGAAAGACGTTCCCAACATCCGCTCGCCCATCAACCGTGCATTCCAGCAGCTTATTTAAAAATAGAGGAGCGATGAAGAATTTTGGAATGATTATAAGTTAGCTGGCGCAATGAATGAGATGGTTTCCGCGGACATATAGACTTGTGAGCCAAAATAGTTTTGAGACCAGATAGTAACCAATGCAGTGAAATTTTAAACAAAATCGTAAATCTTCAATTGAATATGAATCCTTCATGTCTAAAATGGGTATTGTACTAGCTCTATTTTGAAGCGCGAAGCAAGTCGATTACCTAGCAAGGGCGTAGATATAAGTGTTTCGCCATGCCAACTCCGCGAAACCATGGTCATAGTTCTGTGCCTAAAGCATGACTATGGATATAAAAGCCCCGGAATATAAAGAGCAACCAAACCCCTGGGATCTTGAATTGTAGCGTAGCCCAAATATTACTACCCCTGAACCCAATCCCTTTCCACCACCACCCCACAAGTCCCCAGACTATGCAGGTACCGGGGAGCAAGTACTTCATAGGGAAGCCGTTTTTTTCCGTCTTTAGATTCCGGTGTGGTGGTATGTTCTTACTTTTGACACCTGTATACCTACCTACCTAGGTAGGTAGATACGTATCCCTACACCCACCCATCCTCCCAGCTCAATCCCCAGCATCCCCCGCCGCCCCGGCCCCGGAACCCGAACCTCCACCTCCGCCCTCGTCTTCATCCTCATCGGACTCCACCTGCGCCTCGGCCCACCGCGCCTGTATCTCCCGCCCTACCCGCTCCAGCCGCGCCGCCGCCCGCCGCGCGTCTCGCGCTTCGTCGGCTGACGGCGATATCACTACCCCCACTAGCGTCGGCGGCGCGTTCGCGTCCTCGGCTTCGAGCGCGGGGTCGTCGACGATCACGCTGCTGTTGCTTTGGAGTTGCAGCTGTGCTAGACGTCGCTCGATGGTGTCGGTTGGGCTGGCGGTTGGGGAGAGGGGGGTGCTGGGGGAGGAGGGGGGGATTGGATCGAGGCCGTTTGGAGCGGCGGCGCTGGGGGGTTGAGGGAAGGTGCTCGGGGGAGCGTGGGCTGTGGTTGCGGAGGAGGAGGGCCGGATGTCGGCGCGCAGGAAGGATTGCAGGATTACGGGGCCGGCGTTCGCGTGCTCGACTATGATGCGTTGAGGGGTGCCGAGACCGAGGCGTAGCGCGGATTCGTGCGCGCTGAGGGCGCCGTGGGAGAGCGAGGTTAGGGCTTCGAGTTGGTATTGCGTGCGTGCGGAGGTTATGAGGGGGGTTAGGGCCCGGTCGGAGAGGTGTAGGGATAGGTGCGGGTGTTGGGAGGGGAGGTTGGCCATTTTGGTTTCGGGAAGCTCCCGAGGTCCCTTTCGTGGTCGTCTTGTGATGGCGCTTTTTATAGGTATGTTGTCTCGGCTCTGGGGCCTGGTTCTCCTTTCCCCCCTTACTGCGTGAGTGCGGGTGGGAAACGGAGGGAATCAATCGGATAGTTGGTAAATCGGTTCCTCTTAATAGGGATTTTGGGTGGATGTTTTAGCTAGTTAAATATATGGGAAGTAAGATAAGCTGTAAGTATAGTGCTAGCCTTAGGATCGCTCATATGGGGGAGCTCGAGTGAATGGTGTTTCGTTTGGTGGAATGCGACTTTTGCAATGACCAATATGAGAGAAGCGATCTATGCGCGTCGGTTCATGTCATTGGATGTACAAAGGTACCTCGGAGAAGACGGGTCGGGCGGGACTTAGGGTGCCCCTGCCAGGCGCTCACTTCCGTCTAGGCAGGCTGCTGCTAAGTTCCATTGGGTGATGAACCGTCAAACTAAACTGCAGGTAAGGATCATGCGTAATGACGCACTTGGTTAGAAAGCAGCTTTTCATTGGCTAACCTGGAGTTCTGTACCTAAAATATTGGCAGGTGGCTACCTGAAGCGGAGCTGCTTCGGTACCTGTATGCTACCTAGAATTTAGAAAGCCCCACATGCCGGGTTGCGCACTTGACCAATTCTCAATTCCGCCATCACATCCTTAATACCAAGTAACATCCATCCATAACTCCAGCATCGTCGAGTGCCCGGGTGATCCTTTGTAAAAGGTCATAATCCATATATACAGTCATTCTCTTCTTGGTCCCTCGAATAACGATAGTACGATATCACGGTAACGACATAATAATTATCTTACATCAGACTTATTCCCTACTCGTTCCAAATAGAATAATTCCGACCATGTCTCAGAGGTTCTAGGAGCACCGTGCGGGAAGACAGAGGACGAAGAAGAGGGCTGGTGTCGACTACGGAGCTATGACCAACGATAACGTTACTAGTAGTACAGTCGGCGGTGGAACTTCGAGGTGGTTGCCACGACCCGCTAGGGCTCCGACGAGGACTGTAAGTAAAATCTAATTCTGCTTACTGACTTTTCTTTATCCCTTTGCTTCTTTCTTTTTATTTTCCGCGTATAGACATCTGTAGGAACTCAACTTGTCTCTACTGTCGGGGCGGTCAAGTGTGAAATGTTGCCATTACTGACGCGATGCCCCGACGACGACAGAAGCTACGCAATGGCACTTGGGTTGTACCTGGCACCGGCGAACGTACTCGTCGCCAATTCACCCTTCGATATCCTCACCTCGATGGTCCCAGCGACGATGACAACTTGCGCCCTCTCGCCGAGGGTACCACAATAAAGGACAAGGTTCGGAATGTGTGGCATAATACTAGAGTGTCGGCTAGCAAGCTATGGGCTTGGTCGAATTCCCCCAAGGGACGAGGCACCATCAAGTGCTCTATCGCGTACTTGTTGGCTAGCATGGGAACTTTTTGGCATCCTGCCGCCGCCTTTCTAGGCCCAATGGATGGGAAGCATATCGTCGCCACGATCTCTGTTTACTTCCACCCAGCCAGGTCAGCAGGTTCGCAGATTGAGGCTGTCGCTATAGCTGTCGTCGCTGTGTGTTATGCCATGTTCATTGGAACCTTGTCTATGGCTACCTCGGTCCTCTTCGGTTCTGTGTTAGACATGGTAGAACTCTCGTATGCCTTGGTTCTCATGATCTTTATTGGTGGTGGTTTAGGTTTTGTCGGATGGGTTAAACAGAAATTGAATAATCCTCTGGTGAGCGTTGGTGCCAGTATAGCATCCATCGGTATCATCACCATTGTGACAAAGGAAAACTCGGTTCATACTGGCGTTTTCACGAACCAGAAGATCATCCAGTCGCTCAAGATCTTACTTATGGCTACTACGGTATCGACATTAGTCAACTTACTCATCTGGCCGGTCTCTGCGAGGTTGGCTTTACGCAAATCCATGCAGAATGCGTCTACTTCGCTTGGCGCTATGCTGTCTATGATAGCAAGCGGGTTCTTGAGCGGCGCCGAAGAGGATTTCACCTCGAGCGAATTCACAAAGGCATCGTCTACGTACACTTCAACTTTGACGCAGATGAACAAGAACGCGCGGGAGTCGAAGTACGAGTACTTTTTCTTGGGACAAGAACAGATATATAGACAAGACAGGGCTGTAGTAAAGTCAATGGAGAACCTTGCCCAATCCTTGGGTGGTCTCAGAAGTGCGGCTAACACCCAATTCGAGCTCCTCAGGGAGGTATCTAACGGCTACTTTACCTCCAGCCCAGCCGTTTCCCCTACCACGAATCCCTTCTCCCCGACTTTTACTCGGTCTTTGTCGGCGATGTTAAAAAGCGGCAGTAACAGGGTTGGCTCCCTTGGCGCTATAGATGAGGCACCTGATGAACGAAGCGATCGAGAAGATGAGCCGACGCCTACGCAAGAAATGCCCTTCGCTATGTTATCTCCATCTGGCTCGTCGTTAAAAACACCTTCTGACATCTTCGAATTGTTTATCGCACGTCTTGGGCCCTCTATGAAATCACTTGTTTACACGATGGCTGAAATGCTTAAAGAGCCACCATTTGGTGTTCCAGGCTCGCCGATCACGATTAATGAACAGTTTAAGCAAAGCCTCTCGGATGCAACTAGTCTATATAACCAAGCAAGAGGAAATGCCCTTGAAGAGATTTATAAGACTATCGAGTTAGGCAGGACCAGATCCGAATCGGTCCAAGCGGACTTTGAGGAGGTTGCCGCAGCATGTGGTCACTTTTCATTCAGTTTGCTTAGCTTTGCGGATGAGATGCAGATCTACCTTGATACGCTAGACGACTTGAGAGATGTCGTAGAACAAAACAATCGGTCTTGGAAGTGGATCATGTTTTGGAAGCACTTTAAATTTCCATCCAAGGCGAAGAATGATGATGTAGAGCGGTTGTCTTTGCTCAAACCTGTAAAGCGATTAAGGCAATCTAAGATGCCCAAAGGTATCCCTGATGCGATGAAAAACCGGCGTGGTACTTTCAGTTGGGACACAGCACCCCAAGGCGAGGGTATTTGGGATCATGTTGTTCGAGCTACATCTCGAAGTCTCCTAAAGTTCTTCGGGTTCCTCGCGAGGGACGACAGTAAGTTGTTGTTCGACTATTTTCATCTTTAAGTAATTTCTGCTAATATCTATCGCAGTTCGTTTCGGTCTGAAAGTTGGCATTGGCGCTACTTTGTACGCCATGTTTGCTTTCATCCCTCAAACGCGACCCGTATACGCCCACTGGAGAGGAGAATGGGGGTTGTTGTCTTTCATGATCGTATGCTCAATGACTGTTGGTGCTGCCAACGCTACTGGTATGGCTCGTTTCACTGGTACCATTATGGGTGCTGCCTTCGTTCTGGTCAACTGGTGGATATCTAATGGTAACGCTGTTGCGCTTGCCTTCCTCGGCTGGGCCGTTTCTTTTGGCGCGTTCTACATAATGGTTGATCGCGGTAATGCGGCGTTTGGTCGCTTCATATTACTAAGCTACAACGTCTCTTCATTATACGCGTACTCTCTCACCCAGCAAGTCGACGACGACGATGACGACGAGGGTGGTGTCCATCCCATTATTGGTTCCATCGCTTATCACAGAGTTGTTGCTGTGTCGGTGGGTATCGTCTGGGGTCTAATCATTTGCCGTCTCATCTGGCCTATGCCAGCTCGTCAGAAGTTTAAGGAGGGTTTGGCCGTTTTATATCTTCAAATGGGCCTCGTATGGAAGCGAGGCCCACTCGCGGTGCTTCTCCGTAACGACATAGCCGCGGCAAGTTACATGAAAATAGGTGAACAAGCTGCGATGCAGCGGTATGCAACGCAATTGCAGGCACTTCGTGTGTCCGCGAACAACGAGTACGAGCTTCGCGGGCCGTTCCCCTTCCAGGAATACGGTCGGGTCATGGCGTCAACGCAACGTGCACTGGATGCTTTCCATGCTATGAGCCTGGTAACACAGAAGCATGGGCGACTAAGTGCGGGCGAGAAGGCGCTATTATATTATACAGCAGAAGAGAGGGCACAGCTATGCGCACGTATCTGCCACGTGTTCCAGGTGCTCGCGTCAAGCGTGATGCTCGAGTATCCGCTTACAGACGCTATCCCTAGTGTTATGGTCATTCGGGATAAGCTCCTCGGAAAGATCTTCCGCTTCAGAAAGGAACATAGCCACAACCATCACGCCGAGGGAGTGGAAAACGGAGGAAAGGCCCCGGCGAACGGACACGCAGACACAGATGCAGATGCAAATGCCGAAGCGGATAATGGTAAAGCTAAGGCTCCGAAGTTGGGCGATGTTGTGGTGGAAGAACCGGATTATGCGCTCCTATACGCATACGCCCTGGTTACCGGCCAGCTGGCGAAGGAGCTGACGGTTGTGGAAGAGGAAATCGAGAATTTGTTTGGACGGCTTGATGAGGATGCTCTGCTGTTGCAATAACGGAATGAACTGACTGGGCTGGGCTGAAGTTTCAAAGCTATAAGTTTACGAGAACCATGTCTCGTTTGCACGTTCCAAGGGGTATTGGTATGGTAGGGCTCTCCTATAAAGAGAAGGTTTATATATAAATTATAAAGCATCGATAAACAGGCTCTAGTTTGTCTATTCGGTTTACACATGATTAACATGGGGACTGGCGTGCTTTATTGGCGAATAGGTATACAATATATAAATACATATATACGCATCCTTTGGCTTATTGATATATTTGCTTGATTCTTTAAGACCTTGAGTTACATACATACGTCTATTACAATTCTCTTACCAATGCGCGTCTATCCCCCTTTTCGCTCAACCCCACTTATAGAAAGAATCTATACCCTATACCTTGATGGCCTGTCTGTCTATATTACTTAGTCCCCCGCGAACAGTTTATAGCATAAATCCCAATACAATATAAAGTCAAGTCTAAGTAAGTCCAAATCATCGATTGCAAAAGTGCTCAATATTCGCGCTATATGCCGAGCTCCCACTACTCCCCCCTGAACTCCATAAGATCGAAAGGTCTACAAAAAAACACATTTTTTACCCAAAAAGATGCCGGAACCAGATCAATTCGATTCTCCGTCTCCCCCTTTCTTTCTTTCTTTCTTTCCTTTCCTTTCCTTCTATTCCCCCTTCTTCCTTTTTCGTTCGTATGAGTCTCTTCTTCCGGGCTAGTAGTACATGCAGACTACACGGTCTTTTGTCATCGTCATCTTCACTTCACGATGTTTATCTCAGTTTTGAGGTGGATGCTGGGTGTAGAATTCTTATTCGAACAATCAATCGTCATAGTGGTCTTTGGCGCCGATGACACCTTCACTCTGCTTCCTGCGCCTGCGGCCGACGACTTCCTTCAGCCACTCGCTTAGGGTAAAGCCCCAGTGACAAGCGACGAGCACGCCGCTGAGGATATTGACGACCTTGACGCCGAACGTGAGCAGGCTGTCGCGGCGCTCCTCGACGTGCAGCATGATGGGCTCGATGTCGTACTTGAAGAACAGCCCAGGTACTAACCGCTCGTGGACCTCCTTGCTCTGCTCCGTGACGGCGTATTGGTTCGTGAAGATGGTGCGCTGCGCCGATGCCGCGCCCGATCCTCGTTGTACACTATATACTGTCGGCACCACGGACATGAAGTATTGGAACTTGTAGAAGTGCGCCTCGGCTAAATTGATCGTGCGGTCGAGGGGGTTCACGAGAGATGGGTAGTAGGGACCGTATGAGAGTTCCGAGATGACGTGGGAGAAGTTGAAAGCTATGAGAGAAGACGAGTTAGTATTGTTCTTCCCAATCAAATACACAAGAAAAGAATAAAGGGCCGTACTCACCACCATGATCCAAGTGCTGTCCAGCCTCAGCATATCCATGACCTCTCGCAGTAATATGAAAGTCGCCCTGGACCTTATTCAAATCCAGACTCCCATAAATACGACAACTATCAGCCTCCGCGCCCCAAAGCCTAGGCGTCTTCCCCCAACGAGCCTTCTTGCGTCCCATAGCAACGATATCATGAACATGTTCCTCACCGAATCCCTCGTCATGCCAACCAGCGCCCGTGACAGCGCGACCGTGGCTATCCCTTCCTAGCTTATGCACGCCCTTCGCATCGACCCACTGCCCCCACGAAGTCGCGTCCTCCTGCAGGCGCGAGGCGGCTAAGATGCGGTCGCCGGCGGCGTCCTGCACGTTGACGTGCAGGTCCTTGCACTTCATCTTGACGACGATATCGAGATTGATCTGCATGCTATGGCCGACGCCCTTCTCGACCGCGAACGTATGCGTTTCCTGGCCCTGCCACCAGCGCCCCAGTTCGGACCACAGTAGCACGAGCGACACCAACGACATGGCCACCGTCCACTTCCCTCCTCCCGACGTGCGCGTTACATATTGGGGCTTCGATTTCGCTACGGTGGAGAAACGGGGTCGGTAGTTAGCTTCGCTGACATCCTGCGATTCGACACTCCTCCCTCGCACGAGACGACGGCAGGGAGAGAGGTGATGGGTAGGGAGGTAGGTCGCACTTACGGAAAGCGTCAAAGGCGCGCACGAAGTTCCCCTGTTCCGGCTCATCATCGTAGTGGCTTTTCTCGTTATAGCCGTTCATCGTGACGGCGATCCCCTATCTAGGATCCAGAATCGTGTATGTTAGGTCCCTAAGGGAGTCTCTCGTATGCGATTCCGAACGCGCTGTAGGCTCGCCGAGACGTCTAGCTAGATAAAGCTAGCACGGCATTTGTTTTTCTAATTTGGAATTGGATTGCGGAAGGTGGTGATGGTTGTCGGTGTCGGTATCGTTGTCGTTGGCATTGACCATTGACAAGGTAAAGAAGTGGATGGGATGATTCCAAAGGTTGAAATCGCTCTCGAATCGCACTTTTACCTTTTAGCACCTATCGATATTAGAGGACAACTTGCACCAAAAGGAATTCAGGTACTAGTGTACATCTAATACTAGCAGGCTAGGTATGTAGCCAAGTGGACCCCCGACTCGAGGTGGGGACGGAGACCCTTCCAGTCCTCTCGCGGCTGAATTTGGAGAATATGTACCTAGTATTGATGCACTTGCGCTTACCCGACGAGTGGGGTCGATCGACTCACGTCGTCGTAAGCACTCATGTCTCTATATATGTATGTACCTACTTGTGCATGCAATTACACTACTATACATCTACGATTGTGGTATAATCAAAGATAGCACATTTAAAGACGTGGTAGCACCTAGTGAAAGTACATCATAATTCACACAATTTTTAATGAACACAAGTGAATTGAGCTACCGGACCCTATCCCTATAGCTCCTGCGCATGCCAACAATCTGTTCCTGTTGCCTAACTAATGAGTGGAATGAGATGGGAAGGTGATGTGGCATCTGTAGAGGTCGTCGTGACCTCTACCCGAAAACAAGCAAATCCGTCAGTAATGGGATACTCCTAGGCCCCGGCACCGGAACGGGAAGGAAGAAATAGACAGCACACAGAAATAACGCCATTCGTTCTTTGCCACGAAGTCCACCCTCGAAACTGTCCTACTAAGGTAGTGCTCTTAGCCGAACGCATTGCGAGGCATCTCACTATTGCTTACTTCTTCGATGCTGGCTTGTGGTTTTCTGAGAGGTATTCTTCATCCGATGCATCGAGGATGTCGTACTCCTCATCGGTCATAAAACCCTCGTCAGATTCCGCCCACTCCTCATCTTCATCACAATCCTCAAAGTCTTCCTCTTCCTCCTGCACCGATTGTGCGAGCGTCTCCGTCTCCGTCTCCATTTCTCTCTCTGATCGAGCAATCTCATGCATGCTAGCAGATGGTGATTCATGCTCCAACTTGGGAATGATCATCTGGCTCTTGGCCAAATCAGGAGCAGATGAACTGCTAGCCTCCTCTTGCTTGGGGAGAGGCTGCGCCTCTACGACCTTCGGGAGTGCCTGGACAGTTACATCACACCACAGTTTGTGGCCGAATTTGACACCGTCAGGGGTGGTTAATCGCCAGTAAGAAATCACCTTTCCCTCTCGGTCGGGAGTGCGCATCAAGACGGTGAACGGGAACTCCTGGCCGGGGCTAAGTGCGTTGTAGCAAATAGTCGACTCCGAAGCCGAAACCAGCTCGTGAATACCAGCCGGGTGAGCGGGATCGACAGCTCCCATGTAGTCACCGCCAACAAACTTGACCGAGCACCCAGCTGGCCAAGCATCTGTGCCCTCATTTCGGAGAACCCAGACCTGCTCGAAAGTGTGGTTAGGAGGCAGGATAGTTCCATCAGGAACTCTGTCGTGCTGGAAGACAGCAACTAGGTCAGGCGTAGTTGATTGCTTCTCTACAAGAGTTGCTACCTCTGGGTCTACCACTTCTTCCTTCACTTCTACTTCGGCTTCCTCTTTCTCCTCCGACTTAGGGAGCTGCTGCTCGGTAGGTTGCACATCGACTACGGTCTGCACAGGCGTGGCAGCAATGCTCTCGTGAATGGAGGCATCCGTTGCTGTAGCTCGAGTAGTGCGATCGCCCATCGCGGGCATGCGCTGGCCATTCTCGTGCTCACCAGTGGTGGTGACGCTAACGTGACGCACCGGCGTTTTGAACTTGATCAGAGGATGCGTCTTATTATGCGTGTTGGAAGGGCTAGCCTCGCAGTTGGAGCAGAAATCAGTATCATTGCAGACGGCACACTTATATCGTACGCCAACAATGTACTTGGACGGGCTTCCGCGGGTAGCTGCACATAATGGACCGTCACAGCAGATGCCGAGGTGGGTGGTACGAGATACGGATTGCATGGCCCGGTCAGTCAAGGGCTCGTAGATGGCTACGAAACGATGGTTTGCGTGGATGAAGCCAGCATTCTGGACACATTCCGAGCAGTAGTCCCAATCAGGACAGTCGAGGCACTTGTGTCGAATGCCGCGAACATATTTGTCGCAACCGTCGCAGATGGCGTTGTGAGTGGTATTTCGGCCGGGGGGCAGACGCGAAGACACACTGTGTTCGAAGACTGTACCTTTCACGACAGGGACGAAACCATGCCCGGGGTGGTGACCATGCTTATTCTTGGCAAAGCAATTCTTGCAGAGGTCGTAATCATCGCATGTCGTGCAGTGAAGGAAATCCTCTCCAGGGAAATCCTGAACACAACAGTTGCAGGTCCGATCATTGAAAGACGCATTCCAGGCTGGAGACAAGTGCGCACTTTCGGCGGGCCTAATAGGTAACTTAAGCGAAGGAGCAGTAATCCTACCAGATTGGGGTCGAGGAATCTTAGGGGCGACGTGGGTGCTGCTGTAATTGATCCGGCCATCCTGAATGGTTCGCTTGATAAGCCAGTGTCCATCACCATAACACGTTATGCCCTGGTTGACGCAGTCTTGGCAAAGGTCAAAGTCGCCATCGTCACAGGTAGAACAGTGGAAATGAGCGTCAGGAACAGCTCGGTCACAGCTGTTGCAGAATACGGCGAACGGACGCTTAGGGCAACTGGGAGAAGCCGTGGTTTCTTCCATTCTAGGTTCCTCCACCTTTGCCTCTTCCGGTTGCGCTTCCTTTGCCTCGGTGCTGCGGTAATAACTCTCTGGAGATCCTTGTTCCGCTGTATGTTCTCTCGAGGCAGAGAGTCTCTGCTGAAGCGATTGAAGAAAATGAATAGCTTCGTTTGTGGTAATCTGAGGGGAGAAGTGGCATCGACTGGTATCGTCCGGGCTCGTTTGCGTTCCCTCGCTAGACTCAATGGCACCCAGGGGCTCGGCGGTAACTGCAGGCGCGGGTTTGATTAGGTCGACGAATTCATTGCCCTCTTCGTCTCGTCTAACATGAAGACTGGGCATGTCATGTTTACGCCATAGCTCAACGAAGTCGGGCAGATTCGAGTGGATGTCTGACACAGAAATGGAATCGAGGACTTCGGTGGCAAAATCAACGCGAGTCTCGGCTAAGACGTCACATGCCAGAACTGGTGAAGGTTCCTGGGCGGCAGGCTCAACATGGACAACCTCCTTAGGTTCAATCTCGGGCTCGTCTTCAATAGTGACGGGCTTAGGTGCCTTGACCTCTTCAGGTTCGCGTGCAGGTTCGGCATCCTGCTCAACTTCCGGCTCTAGCACAGCCTCAACCTCAGCCATGGGAACGCATTCGGGCAGTTGAGTGGTAACTCGCAGCTTTAACTTTTGCTTGGCTTTGGCGGCACGGTAAAGTTGCTTGTAGGCAGAGATATTGGTTGGGTGTAGGAGAACAAATGAGCCGGCCGAGTCTGAGTAGCGCTCAAATGCGGCTGTAGTTTCCGCAGGAATATGCAAAGAACTTCGAAGCTATAGATCAGGTGTTAGTGGATGATTAGTTTGGATCGGGATAGAAGGATAAACGATAGACGTGAAGAGGTTAGATAGGAGTAACTAACCTTGCCCTCCAATGTAGATACCACAAGCTCACGAAGAGGGAGCTTGAATCGACGGGTTACGCCATCGAAGTTAACCTTGAGAGTAATCAAGGTCTCCGGGGTCGCGGTTGATGACGAAGCCATCTTGACCGGAAGGCTAATGGGGGAATAGAGCTTGTTAGTTGACCAACTTAAAGTTTCGTCGATTTATTGATGGAAGAAAGGAAGAAGGGATAAAGCAAGCGTCGGGTGTCCGTCAAATAATGACGAGGCAATATACGCCCTGCGAATAACTTTATAGTGGGAGGTGGTGCAAACGGTGGCACCTAGGCAGACGGACAGGGGACGAATTGAATAATACATAAAAGAATGGAAGAGCACTGGGCAGACAAGCAGGGAAGGGTATTACATACATATGTACCCGGAGGCAATCAGATTACTAAGTGTCAGGTGGACAATGTCGCTTATCAGAAGTGGTGTTTGTGGTACTGTACTTCCTAGATTTAGGCGGTCAGCTTCTAGAGCCGTATCGTGGCCTCAATCAAGAGGCGAACAAAGGCGCAGCCGACGAAGAATATAGGTGTAGAAAAGGTGTACAAGAGGTGTTAACAATAAATATTGATAACCCCGAGACGAAGGTAAGATTGTGGTGATGAAAAAAGGATGGAAAGATGGATGGAAGACGACACAGGAAAAAATGAGAAGGTCGTTTGAAGGTTGTAAGGAAATGACGGAATTAATGTGTTTGGTGAGGAGAATAAGAAACCTTAGGGGAAGAAGGTGGTCCGAGGCAGACACCGCCGATCTGGTCAGTGCCAGGTGCTCAGGAGTCAGGAGGGGAAGGTGTTTCGATAATGCCTGTGCTGTCCAGCTATTGCCGTAGGGGGGCCGTTCAGGTGAATAGGTAGGTAGATAGGTAGAGATGTTACCAGGTGCAGGTTTATTAACTTACATGTACGTTAGACGCGTGCAGGAAGTAAAGTTCGATCACTCCGTTAGACAGGTGCTAGTCTAGTGTACGGGCGACGAAGTAAAAAAGAACAGACCGTTAGTATCAATTGTGGGATGCGGAATGTAACTTCACGTCGGTGTATTGATGAAGTTGAGTTGGGAAGTTGGTTAATCAGGAGTTAAAAGACGAAGGACGGATGAGAAGCGGCAATTGGCACCTGCCTAGGTATAATGTATATAGGTGCTGCAGGCAGATAAGTTACTCGCAATCAAGGTAGCAGGGATACGCTAGGTACATATGTACATATGTACGTATATACTTCGTACTTGTTAAGGTAAATAAATGCACACCATTGGCGTATAAGAAGGCGAGGTTAAATGGGTGGATACATGGTCCGAGCTTTCACTAGGTACCTTGTGCTGTTAGTGCTATCAGAGCTGCTAGTCAAAGGCAGTAGCGGGGCAGTGGAGGCGACAAATAAGGCGGGTTAACGAGCAACAAACCCAGCTTCGATGACGGATTGCTTAAAGGGAAAGCGGGGAGGGGACGAGTGAGGCTGTTTCCTGAAATGCGGTACTTGTATACATAGGTGGTTACTTCCAAGCAATTCCCGGGTCTACGCTACAAACAAGCTTGGATCACCTAACTGCCGCATTAAAATGGTCCACGTATGCCTTTACACGGTGCATGTCCTCACATTCGCATACTGTATGAACTTTAGCCGATAATGGTTCAGATAAAACCTATACAAATCTATTTCCTGATATTACTTCTGTAATCGACACTGTATTTCAAGAGATTTATAGAACATAGTACCTACCTAATTATATAAATATTAAATCGGATACATTAAAGGTCTAACTAATGGCTTCAGTTACATTGCATACTACTTACATAGTATAGCTCTCTTTACATGTATCTGTATGATCATCAATGGAATAGACGCCGAGGCAAAGTGAGGATTTGACACTTGTCAGGGGGTCCGGGGGAGGGATTGTAGGTATGATACATTGCTACATTACGACCGCTACGTGCCTGCCTTACGAGGCTCACATTTACACTTTGATACCCTTGAAATCTTCAATATCAACTGATGACGATGACGTACCTAGTCGCGTAGATCTCGGCTTATACCTTTACATACCTAGTAGTTGCGGCGTATCCGACTTTCCTCATATGTGATATGCGATCTCTATCACATACATATCTGACCGAGGTATGCCAGTATCCATGAATGTAGATCGGAATAGGAAACTACCAACTACCCTAATTGGACATCTTCTCTCCGACTATACGGAGCTAAGCCTGGATGCGGCTTCATCCACTTCAAGTCTCCGAATCAATCCTCGGGAGATATATACCACGGACCTGCACGGGGTTAACAGTTCACGGAGCGGAGGAAAGGTAATACGCCAAGTAATCTTCTATTTGCTTTTTACGAACCATAGCCACTACTATCGTCTAGCTTTCACTAGGCACGTCCGAACTATTCATGTCTTGCATCATGCCTAGGAAACCATGACGCGGCTTGTTGTCTAAAAGAACGCCTCTCTAGTATGACTATCCTATGACCACCAGGGTAACAGTCGCACAGTTCATAAATCAATAGCTGTCCAAGGCCGTATTAGGACGCTGGGCTTTATGTGAGAACCATTGCCTATTACACCACCTGCTATCATCGATAGAGTCGCGGCTGACTAGTAATAAGACAAAAGTTGGCAAGCACATCAGCAATGATGCAATTAAATGGTTATTGATAACTTTGAATATCAAAATACGCAAAAATCAAGTCACGGAATATCCAACAAGTCAGATGTAAACTCAGGTTCGTTTGTACTGCTTACTACCTAAGTATGTGCCTACATCATCGGGTTGGATATTCACAAAAGAGTATGAATATGGTTTCCCTGCTTGTCGCTTTGAGACTCATCCTCGAATATACGAACCTCTTCGGCTTTTAGCGATTAACGTCAACTTCCCTTTTCGCCATGTCCGAGACCTTCGTAGGCTCCGATCCGAATCGGCCCGGAGCTTGTCCATCTTCGTCACCCCGGTGAGCTGCCGAGTCTTTAAATCTTCAATGTTGCATTGCAAACATGTAGTTTCAAGTGAAACATATCAAATGGTAACATCCCCAGCAAATGCGTCGAAGTTGCATGCCATGTTTGAAGTAGGTAATACTCTAAACGATCGATTGCTTTACTTGAAATTAATCATGAGCCTTGGCGATCCTGGGAAAGATAGTAGAACGCTTGTTATGGAGGAAAATACATAATGGTTTTCTATTCGTCACTTCACCTATGCCGGCCATATACCTATCAACATGCCATATTACCAAAGGTGGTTGTCTTGGACAGCCGAGGGAATATACCTAGGTACATTTGTTACAAAGGCATTCCCCTTTTGAAGTTTCGCTTCGCAACCTCACTACCTAAACAGGTGATTATCTTCTCCATGTCTTCAACACCTTATACGATTCTCATTCATAACATTGCGTAATATTTATTAACACTTTTCTGTCGCCAATCACTAAAGATTATCTAGTTCTTAAAGAAGCTTGATCCAAGTTGCATTTGACTTTAATACAAGTATTACAGGGGCATGCCTGACGAGAACTTGATGTCCTATCGCTTTAAGACACGGTAGGAGGCAGGTAAGTATTAAAAAACCTATTTGCAGTCTAATGAGCGCAAAGCTCACTTGCAGTATAGGTTAACAATGTTTACTTTGCAACAAGTTTCAGCCAGTTAAAATATTAGACCAATAGAAGAATTTACCGCGATATCCACTGCCAGTTCATGGTTCACGTTCTATTGATTGTTTTCCGTTGGCGTGGCCGTCGTCTCTGGCCAAACTGGACCCAACCAGCAGTAGCCACAACTAAATCTCACCTGAGTTAGTACCTGTCAGCCAACTATGCTTTAAGCAGTTACTCGAGAGTTGAGGTTTTATTTTGTTCCCTATTGTTGTTTATGGCTCCAACTAGTATAAGTATAATATTAGGCGAGTACTTACCTAGGTGGTATGGGTATAAGAAGGACGAAATGAATTGGAAGAGGAACACGTATATGGGAGCACGTCATTCCATCAGTATCTTGATAGTATCAAGACACTATGAACGCACTGCGTAAAATGGGAGCTGCCATAAATAGACGAGTCTGTGTGTTGCCGCTACTCGTAACCATCTCTGCCTTAGTAAATGATACACCTATCGGCTTTAAAGAAGTGTTCGGAAGAATCGCGCTTGCGCTAAACTTGAGCGAACGCTGTTATAGGCCACAACATACGTGCTTCTAAGACCGGCATTGGATCTTGTATGCAGTAAAAAGGGCAAGATCAACGTTGGCGGACCGCGGATTTGCACAAGACTCCATAATGCTTGACACGCCTTACGAGATGGCCCATTGGCTATTCCTTCAATTGGTAGAAATCGACGAGCGTGAGAGGTAAACAGACACCGCGAGCTGGCCCTCCGTCGGTATATGTATCAGGGAGCTGCGATAGAGATTGTACGTAAATTTGAACACTTAACACTAAATACCGAGATAGCTTAACAAATATGACGGTCGATACCACTGTCTACCGTAGTGAGGTATGACAGCAGGTTGGCGATACCGGAGGTCACCATAAGAGAGAACGGTAGAACAGGCCGCTGGTACGCTGGGTAGACGTGCTATACCTAGCTTATTAATGGATTTCCTTTCCGTAGCCGATAACATTTTAACAGCTTGGCAGCACTAAATCTCGATGTTTTTATACATACCTAGGTACGAAACAGACGAGACCAGGTGGCTTCCAAGTGCTAGTTATGAGAGGATGGAGATTTCTCGAAGAATCCACTCTGTCACAGTCCAAGGTGGACAGGGATCATACAGGCAATGATTCATGCCGTCGATACGTGTAAAGACTGGTTGGTCGAGAGTGGTGAGTGCTAGGTAAAGATTGGATTGTGCTGTACATTACAGTTGTACTCGGATGATTTGGACGTGATTCTGCATTACAGAGGGGCCTCGGCGAGTGATGGCGCACGGATGGATGAATACATGATAGGTAGGTATCTATACACATACCTAAGAAAGGTCTCCGTTATGCTGGCCAAAGCTGTTTGTTTACGGAATGAGGACTTTTTTCTCAAAGACCAGAATTCTTGCCCGCGGACTAGTGGTGGCACAGATACGGCGCTGTATAATAGGTACGCCTTTCGGCACATACCTACATACCACTGCAAGGTATGCGTTGCTAGATATTGTACAGTGTACGGTGTGCTGAGTACGTAGGGATTTGAATTATAGACCGATGACCAGATTTGAAGAGTAGATAAAACAAAATACTATACGATGCATGTACGCAAGTATAAAAGAACGCATAGCAGAAATATGAATAAACATGAATTACTTGAATAAATGATCGTAAAACTTAGGTAATGATCAGATTAGAACGAAAGAGTAGAAAAGTTATGACAAATAGTAGTAGGTATTGAGCACTTAAGTATTAAGCGTTCAACGTTGTCATTATTATTGAACAAAATGGCATTAGACATTGGCAGATTGTTCTGACCGAGAAAAACATTAAAAGTGAAAACTCGTTGATAAGAGGTGCAGCTTCGTACTTGTACGTTCGGAGGTCAAGTCGAGCAGAACTTCCAGCGCATCTGACTGCCTAAGAGCAAGTCCAGAGGTCTAGAAGTCTAGACGTCCAGCCCAAAGAACATTGGATCGCAGTTACGCTCATTGGTTCATTTGTCCCGCTCATAGAAAGACAGGGAATTCTCGCACGGACCATAATGACCAACACCGTTGAACGCAGCATCAGAAGGTTTTAATGCCTGGAGGTGCCTTCTCGAAAAACCGATCTGGACTTGACTGTCTGGACTTGTCTCCGCACTGCGGTTTTTGGCTGCAACGCTACATACTTGCTACCTACCTGGTACTTACAACATTGAAGTTACCACTTACCACTGGGCACTTACCACTGATTCACTGGCAACAGCAACCTTAGCTTACATAGTAGGTGCTTACCGTCTGGTACCGCACAGTACTGTACATCCCGTATATCCATACATCCCCATGGAAGATGGATATCCACTAATCCACTAACCTACATACCTAACCTACCTTCAACCTTACACCAAACCGAAGCAGGCCTACCTAATCCTGACCTCGAACTTCCAAATATTAAACCCTTTTGGCTTGGCTTCTACATCTATCCAACAAAAAGCCCTCCTCGTCACTACATCACCTAAAAGAAAAAAAACACCAAAAATATCTCCTCCGCAGTGCCTGTGAATATCTTTCACCGGCCCGGAGGCTTTTCTATAAAAGTTCTTGCTCTAAGATTGTTTTCCTTCCTTGCCGTCTTTTCCTCTTCCCTGTCCCGCTTGTCTAAACCCGGCTCGACGAGAAAAGAGAGAGAGTGTGTGAGAGAGAGAACTTCTATCGTTTTGGGGGAAAGAGAAAAAAAAAGGGATCGATCCTAGGAAAATAGGCATACTGGCTTCTTAATTGATTTCTCTGACCTGCTTTCCTTTCTTTTCTGCACCGCAGGCGGTTATTTCGCCTTTAGGTTTTTATTTCTTAAGGAAGCCCATCGTCCGATATCACGCCCGCCAATCCGAACGACGTATGATATCCATATCCACCAAGACGTCCACGTCTCCCACGTCGTGCCCGAGCACTCGTCAACAGCTCTACTAGGAAGCCTCTCGTTCATCGTCTACCGTCTACCGTCCATCTCCATCGTTCAACCAAACCCCGTCCTCGGCTTCGAAGCCCCGAACCCGCCATTTGCCTGTGATAGCGCACCCTTGAACAGTAATCCGTTTTCAACATGGTAGCCGCAGTCCGACGAAGAAAAATGATCGGCCACCGCCGTCGGGTAGAAGACGAAGGTGAGGATGATGGAGGTCTCGACCAGCTCGATATCGATGACGACTCTTTGACCGATGGGTCTATGGCTTCCGAAGACCCCGATCCAGCCGACGACAGCGATACTAGTAACGTTGATGAGGCCTCACCGACCACACCTGCTGCCCCGAAATTGACTAGTCAGGTAGCCAATGGTAACGGCAATGTGAAAAGAGCACAATCCAAGTCTTCCGGCAGCCCGCCCAGCAAAAATCCTAGGAAGTCCACTCAAAACGCTGTGTCTGACACCGCATTTATGCTGAATAACCTGAGCATCTCGAGCGGAGCTACCCCAGTCCAAGTCTTGAATTTTGACGAATCTACCGAGCCTCCATCCAGATCATCGGCCCCTATAGTGGTCAGCTCCAATTCCGCCACCACAAATACTGAACACCCGCAAGAAGCACTTGTTGATCGACGACGAAAGGAACATGAAGAGTATAGGCGCAAGCGAGACGAGGATCCGTCTTTTGTTCCCAATCGGGGTGCATTCTTCATGCATGATCACAGGCACGCCGGTCCGTCTGCCAACGGCTTTCGTCCTTTCGGTAGGGGCCCCCGAGGGAGAGGCCGTGGCGGCATCGGCGGCCCCTATGCTCCTATCAAGTATGTTACTAAAGACCAGCAACAATGTGTCACCCCTTTTACTAACCTACATAGTCATCAAATGCATAGTCAAGCCGATCCCACGACCAATGGTCCATGGGCCCATGATATGCACGAAGTAGTTGCACAGCCCATACACGTTCGACAACCGCGGCCCTCGTTTACCGATGACGGTCCACCAAACGGCGACGGTTTCATTCCTACCTGTCCACCAAGCTCCACGCCGATCAACCGGACGATGGCAACGGACAAGCACGTTGGGAATGTACAGATCAGGGTCTTTTTCCCAGGAGTCAAGGAGCCCATTGTCTTTTCAGGCATACAAGTACGACAATATACAAAATTGCCAGACCACCGACCACCATTGAGACGAGATAAACCAGTTCGCATCTCCTTGCCCGATTTCCCTCCTCGGTACATTTTCCCAGCTACCGACAGGTCGTTTATATTTATTCCTAGAGCTATGCGTCCGAACCAGAGATTACGGGGAAAGCCAAGGTCTGGCCTCGGGTCTATTGGAGGTTTCTCCAGAAGAACTAGTGTCTTCGGTGGAAGTGTATATGCAGGTAGTGCGTACACTCCAAGCATTGCCCTCAGCCGGCGCTCTTCTATTGCTCCTGATTTAGGTAGGGACTATCTCGTGTCTCCGACTGGTTCTACCATGTCGAGGCCGCCTTTACCTTACGATCCTTCTCGGCCCGTTGTTAGGCTTCCCCCACAAGCTCGAACGGAGCAACAGCTTCCCGCTGTCGACGGTGCACCAGGCGAGGGCCCGGGTGGCGTTGGGCACCCTAATATCAATGACACCACAATGCAAATGCAGCATCCTGTCCAGAAGCCGATCTTCCAAGAGAACCGACCAGTGCCTCTTCCAATGCACCAACCCCGGCCTCAGAAGACGGTCTCGGTAGCCGGCATCGAATCGCCTGAGATGCACCAAAACCCGTCTCAGCCGTACCAGCAAGCGTTCCATCAGCAAGTCCCTGTTCAGGTGTCGACTAGTCTGGGCCAAGAATCGCATGTTCGTCATCCCTCGTATCCGTCTCAGCATTCAACCGGCACGCCTCTCTCTCAAATCCCAGAGCGTGCTATTCATGCTGCACCTTTTCAGCCGAATCAATTTCCTCAGCAGAATTATTACCAGCCGTACCAGATGATGCAACCGCAGCAGGGCTACTACTATCCTTCAGGCCCTTACCCTGGCTCGCTACCCCCATCAGGCGCCGCACCGAACTTCATACAGGGGACTCAACAACAAGGCCAGCCCCAGGGCGAGACTCCTACTAGCCAGCCAAATGGTCAAGGTAATCCCAGTTCTAATTTGGTTGCTCAAGAAGTCAATGGCATGGTCTATTACTACGATGCGTCTCAGCTACCACCTATGGCGACATACCCCTACCCGGCACCTCAGGGTTACCCGATGCCCGGTGGCGTGGTCGGTATGAATGGTATGGTCACCCCGACTCCAGACGGCTATTACTACCCCCCATCAGGGCCCGGCGTTGTCTATTATCCGCAGTAATCTATTTCCATGTGGGCTGTTGACGTTTTGGCTTTAAATCATCTAACTAGAGATGGCGGGATACTCGGGCATGCGCATTCCACGTCAACGAGATTGGGCATATTCGGTATCGTCGTTTAGGGCATCGGTCTGGCTACGAGTCTTGGGGCTCTCCTTTTGCTTCACCCCTTGGATTACCACTGGCAATGTACAAGAATATCCATTATCCTCATTCCTACGGTACTATAGCAATTTTACGAGAGCTTTTCCCACCTGAAACCGGTCTCGGACTTGGTTTTACGGACAGGAGGCGTCTTCTCCCCACTTCATCCGTCTGAACTGGTTTTTCTTTTGATTCGATTCTTCCAGCTATGGCTCTTATTGTGTTTTTTCCTTCTTCTTCCGATGACTTCTGGGAGGGCCCCATACCGCATAGGCGTTCGGCGGAGTTTATGCTTTCCTCTACATTTGCTTTTCTTTCCGCATGATAAGCGAGCTATTGGCCTTCTCGGGAAGACCCAGCAACGAGCACGGTCGGGGTCTTCCTCACACGGAGCAAACTGCAGAGGTTATCAGAAGGGACTAAAGTGGGAGGTAGTTGGGGATTATCACGAACGCATCAGGCCGAGCTGAAAAAGGGGGAGCTTAGTTCACACACACACACCGCATGAGCGAGGACCGAAGACAAGAGAGTGGCTAGGTACCGCGGGTTCAGTCGCGGACGTAGGAAACCTAAATTATTTACCACCCAAAACCCCTTCCCCGATCCTTTTTTCTCTCTGCCGTCTTCCTTCTCTATTGATATGTGACGCTGGTATATACGTAACTGACTTGTCAAGCTATGGTCTGATATATATATGCGTGTTTCTCAATATTATGCTGATTGTCTGGTATGCCGTTCGCAGTGAATTCAAATGCCCGCCCCAAAAAGTAGAATCCTCACCCAATCATCTACTTCGCCTGGTACCAGCTTGGGTGCGTACGTAAAAATATATCTCGTCTAGTAAGCTTAATCATGGATATTTTCAGGTAAGACCTGGGTGGTCATCACGATTCCCAGTTTTTGCAAGTCGTCTTAAATGATATGGTAATGCCAAGTTCGGTGCGAAGCAATTTTCAAGAGGGTCGATAAGAAAGATAGGGGTAAAACTAGGTATAGAAATTCCATTCTATCTAGGTGAGCTAGGGATTGAAGTACAACAGCACCGTTGTTTAGGTTGTTTAGGTAGGCGCAATACAGAGCGAGAGTAGACAATCTTGGGCCAACGAAGTCGCCGCCAACAGAAAAACAAAGCTCAACAACCCGAAGCGAGAGACGATGTTCATAGGAACCTGCTTTACTTTCGGTCTTCAACGGACTTCTACTGTGGGGTCATTGACGACCGCATATCGTTGTAGACGCCGAATGCCCTCCAATTTGCTAAAGCCGACACTTTCCCGCCAGCTAACATGACTTTAGACGATATACTCATCCGTAGCATGGTCGTTCTCCGCCCCATTGTTGCCAGGGCTATCAGGGGGCGGCTCGAGGCTCTGCGTTGGTTGAATCTTTGGCACCAGGCCCAAACGCCTGTTGCCCTGATCCCAGACCTGCGAGGTGATATGTTAGGACAACAAGACATGGAACAAGGAAAGGCAAAAATGATATCAAAAGGGACACAGGCATAGGACTTACGACGTAGACGCTCTTCAAAAATGTGTCACCAAGGATATCGAAAGGCATCATGCCACGACTCTGTACACCTCCGTACCAGTTCTTCTTGTCGTCCGTAAGGGCGAAGGCTAAGTCTTCCTTCTGGATCACGTATTCCTGGTCACCAACAGCTACCTTGAATTCTGGTAGGTCATCTGCTTTCACGGTAGTTGGGAAGATGTATCCTTGATTGAGCCAGTCGTAGGTCGCCCCTGGAATTTGATCGTACAACTTCTCAACTACTTTATCCGACATAAGTGCTAGCGTGGTGCCGGTGTCAGCAATGGCAGTGTTGCCACTCAGTTTGACTTTCTCCCCATTGATGGAGCACGATTCGGATGAGAAGGACCAGAAGCCCTCCTTGTTGTCAACTTGTGTCCATTGAAGATCCTGTCCGGACTTCTTCACAAGATCCTGGTCAATGAAACCAAATGTATAGAACGACTCGGCATCCTTGTCACGCGAGCTATAGAAGGCCGAGGTAAAGAGTTCGGCTTCCTTGGGGATGTCATCCTGTTTAATCATGTTCTCAACAGGAGTAGCTTGTGGGTCAGCTTCACCAGAATCTGTGACCGTGTTGATCTTTCCCCAAGCAAGACCAAGAAGACCATCGCTTGTGCCCTGAGAAAATTGTCGTGATAACTTGGCAGCACACTCGATTGTCTGCTTCTTGATAGCCAATTTCCCCAGAATCAGTGTATCGCTTCCACAATCACCCGAAGCAGTCGAGCCGTCCCCGTACTGGATCTTCCATTTCTTTCCGGTCATCTTCTCGAAAGTCTTGGACTTCTTGGGGTCGAAAGCGTTATGGTCTGAGTGAGCAGTCTTGCCCTCGAGAGTCGATCGAACCTAGTACAAGTATTAGATTAAAAGAATGAGATAAATTTGGAGATTCAACGGACCCATGTGTCAGCGGAACCGGTATCAAAATCGAGTAGTAATTTCTGAACGGGTTCGCCGATTCCAACCTCACAGATATACATGGAGTCGTTTTGCTGATCTTCGGCAGTAACCTCTGCGGTCTGTCCATCATCACCAGGATCATCCTTCTTGACAAGTGTTCGCTCTGTGTGGACAACGCCTCCAAGTGCCGCGTGGAGTTCCTGGGGGAGCAGACCATGCGATCTAACCTTGTCGACATGGAGATATGGGCCAGGTTTAGTAGGGTCAAAACGGTAACGATTCATTGAATGGACATAGGACTTGGTGCCATGACGTTGGTAGTTCTGGTTATGGATGACCTTGATCTTGGTGAGACCTAGGTCTGCCTTGAACTTGCCCTGGGCAGCATACAACATGGTTGCAGTGATCTTAGGGTGGATCGAACGAGTGAGTTTCTATTGGAATTATGACTAACAGCTGGTGACTTGTGCGGAATGGAAACGATAACGATGCCTGATGCTAGATATATCGAGGATAGAGGATAGGGGATAGGGGATAGGGGATATAGAAAATATGTTGGTACACCTAGATATTGGATAATGATGGAGGTTTAGGGAGAAAAGAAAAACATGAGACCGGAGAGAGAGAAATGTAGGACTTTATATGGCTTGCTCTTGCTATCCTAATGGAAAGAGGGCTGAAAATATGAAGAGAAGGAGTTTCAAACTTTCACCATTACAGGGGGGGAGTCATTCCTGCCTTGGCTTGGAGCAGACGCACAAAAAGGGGTTCGGATAGACTCGGATATTGAGACTTCCTGATTCGTGATATCTGCTATGAGCGACTTTGACGAGGAAGGAATATCTTGAGTTACCTATACCTAGTCATAACATGTATATCTAAGCAAGTGACGGTGAAAACATTGAACGTCACGAGAACCTAATTTGATACGGTCTGTTTCGGCTCCTTTGTGGCAAGAGCGGTTTCCTACCTAGGTACCTATGTTTAAAACTGTCAAGGGAAACTGCTCTCATGTATGACAGTAGATCAAGTTCTCTTCAAACTTACACTATGGGATTTCGTATATTATTCTATAATAAAAACTTCTACATACACATTGTATATGTCGATACTGCTTCATTATAGACTTCTTGGAGAACTCTTTGATATCTGCCCGTTATTGGACTCCTCAACTAAGTATCTTGGTGATTTTTGAAGATCGAATTATTTCTAGGCTATTCGGAGTCGGTGTGCTTGTGCTTGTGCTTGAGGTACGTAGAACTTGCCTCTCCGGAATGATGCGTTTTGTCTTGCGCCAACGGGAGGCTGAGAGTCAGATACACAAGAAGACAACGGTAACTGGTAGATCTATAAGTAGCATGTGAAAATGTGATATCTGCATAAGCTGATATTGGTTTTGTCTAGGCGGCCTCAATGACTGTTTCGTTGATGTCTTATTGTAATATAAACCTCTTGTTTTTTGCGTCCTGTTTCTATATGTAGCTATTCAATCTGTATGTCTATGCGAAAACAGCTCATCGGGTCTGCATATGTACAACATAGCTGATTCCTGCGCATGTACCATGTTTTAATAGGACTAGACCATGTCGGCCTTGTGCTTATTGGATCTCTGGACTCGTCTGCTATGTAACCGCCCGATAGACAGACATAAGCATCGATGCTCAGCGTAATCTCACTTTTCCACAAATGAAGCCACGAAGACCGTTACTTATCCAGCATTCTTCACCGTCTACCAGTGAATCAGCAAGGACAGCTTCCTCGGCTACAAGATCCCTGTTTCGGTTAGCACTAATCACTCACACCCCGAAGAAGGGTTATAAATCGATACCTCTCCAGGGCCCATCTTCTAGTAGTTCCGTCGTTCCCACCGCTTCCTTGAACGGTGTCGAACTTCTTTGGAACAGGAGGAGTGACCCATTTCCCGTTTCTCCAGAAATAGGGGGTACTAATGGTGCCCTCCATGATAAACCCATCGTCGTTGACAAGAAGCACCTCCTTATTATCGCCCGGGTTTACTTGAGCTCGCTTCCTTGCATCGTTATACATATCTCTGATGGTAGTTTTATAATGAGTAAATTCGGACTTTGTTGTCATTTTACTATCAAGAAAGATGTCGTAAACGGTATCTTTGATTGGAACTTTGCTTTCCGTAGCTAATGCTGAAGACTCAAAGTCAGAATACTTGCTCGGCAGGTATCCAGGGTGTAAGTTATTCAAGTGTGTCCCCGGGAGCGAGGATGTTTCATAACCTAAGGTTCCATCCCGAGCTAGAGTGATCATTAATCGATGGGGTCCATTGACCAGATCGGCAGCAGCGCTCTGGAGGAATCTTTCGAAGTTTTCTAAACCCTCTTCCCCAGAAATAATGGCTACAGCAGCCACCCAGTCCCAGTGAATAGCTGCTCTTAGCATGCGGTCTCGATGTAAGTCGAGCATATAGAAGGGCGAAGACTTTGAATTCCATCCAATATTCGTAAACCCGAGACTAGGAACTTTCAAGAGTTCCGGGTCATATCGGATGGATGTAAATATACGAAAATCGGCCATTGTCTCTAAACACCCTGGATATGGCCTTGGTTATTATGGTTAGTTATTTACCTAGTACCTAGGTCCTAGGTATTCATCTTTAGTGAATGTCATCTTGAGGTAAGGGTGTAGGTATTGAAGGATATGAGAACTCCAAATATTCGGAACATTGAATGGTGGGGGTTATTCTTATCCTTATCTTCTATCAGATCGGTCAGGGTGGGGATGACAAATGCGGTACGTACACGTACCTGCTATGTACATCCATATTGATGTACATAAACACGATGTACCAGGGTAGCAGGGACTGATGACGAGAGGATGTGGGCCAACAGGGTCTTAAGCTTCGATAGAACAGCGCACATTAATGTGGGACAAGAGGCTAGGATAGAAGAAAAAGTGTACTTGGGTACATAGCTAAGTAAACTTTTTTTTGCGCCGTGCAGACTATTTTCGATGGATTATATCGATTTGATCGATTTTTGGTAAAGCTTCCTGCAACAACATCATCAAGCCCTCAACTCGAAAATCCACTTACGATCTCGCGACCTCGACTCGCCCCCTATTGTCGCATACTACCTTGACCCACGTAATTGTCGATATCATCTCCCTATTATTTCATTATGTCTCGTGCTTCTGCAGCTCCGCCGCCGACGCCTCCATTAGCCCGACCCGTTGCCATCCCGGTCGAATCTTCTATCTGGAGTCGCTTCACCAATTGGGCATCCGAGAACAAAGCACTTGTTTATACTATCGCCGGTGTAGCTGTTGTTGTCACAAGTGCTGGTGTGGTTTATTATCTGAATGACGCTGTTAGTTATCCGCCTTCGACCTCGTATCCCCCGCCGCCTGGTAGCTTACATTTATCTACGAGTAGAAACCCAAAGTCGCAGCGCAACCTAAGCTCAGCAAGAAGGAGAGGAGGAAAAGGAAAGAAGCAGAACGTCAGGCAGAACCCACACAATCACCTACCACTTCGGGTGAACAATCGAAAGCTCCCACCGTAGAGGCCGCCGACGAATTACCAGAGATCAACGAAACCACTGTTGCCACCTTCACTGACGAACAGCGCCGGGACTATGCCTTGCAACTCAAGAACTCCGGCAACAAGGCCTATGGCAGCAAAGATTATAACCGAGCTATTGACCTCTACTCGAAGGCTATTCTTTGCAAGCCAGACTCCATCTTCTATTCCAACAGGGCTGCATGTTACAATGCTTTAAGTGTTTGGGATAAGGTCGTCGAGGACACCACCGCCGCTATCAGCCTCGACCCCACTTACGTAAAGGCATTAAACCGAAGAGCCAATGCCTACGAACATCTATCCCAATTCAGTGAATCGCTCCTCGATTACACTGCTAGCTGCATTATCGACGAGTTCAAGACCGATTCTAGCACCAATGCTGTTGAGCGATTGCTTAAGAAGGTCGCCGAACAGAAGGCTGAGGATATCATCAAGTCCAAAGACCCTAACAAGCTGCCAAGTCCGACCTTTGTTTCCAACTATATCCAGAGTTTCCGCTCGAAATCCCGACCTGAGGGTCTAGAAGATGATGTTGAACTATCGGAATCAACTGGTCTAGGCCAACTGCAAATCGGGCTTAAGGCGATGGAAAAGAAAACCCACGAAGGTTATGAAGAGGCTGCGAACGCATTTGAGAAAGCTCTAGAGTACGATGACTTGGGCGAGCACGAGGCGCTCGCTTATAACTTGAGAGGTACCTTCAGAAACTTGCGTGGGTCGCAAGAACAAGCTCTACGAGACATGGACAAGAGTATCGAGCTCGATCCGACCTACACCCAGAGCTACGTTAAACGGGCAAGCATGCATCTAGAAATGGGTAAGTAATTGAAGCCTGGTGATTCGGAAGAGCCGGAAATCCATTTAAACTGACACGCTGTTGGTAGGCGATCGGAATAGCGCTGCTGCGGACCTAGAGCAAGCTTTGAGCCAGAATGACACTGATCCGGACATTTTCTACCACCGTGCCCAATTGCACTTTATCCATGGCGAATTCCAAGACGCTGCGAAGGATTACCAGAAGTCGATCGATCTCGACCCATCATTCATCTTTTCGCACATCCAACTAGGCGTGACGCAATACAAGATGGGCTCTGTAGCGTCCTCGATGGCAACGTTCCGTCGGTGTGTCAAGAACTTTGACAGCGTCCCTGACGTGTACAATTACTACGGAGAACTACTATTGGATCAATCTAAGTACGAAGAAGCGATCCAGAAGTTCGACACTGCCATGGAGATGGAAAAGCAGACCAAGCCCATGGCGATGAACGTGTTACCCCTAATCAACAAGGCGCTAGCACTCTTCCAACAAACGATGGAATTCAGTGAAGCTGAGAAACTATGCGAGAAGGCGCTGATTAGTAAGGACACGCCCCCAAATATGGATGTGTCGAATTTAAATGCTAATAATTTACAGTCGATCCGGAATGTGACATTGCCGTAGCCACGATGGCGCAACTGCTTCTCCAACAGGGCAAGATCACCGAGGCGCTCCAGTACTTCGAGCGCGCAGCCGAGCTTGCCAGGACGCCCGGGGAGATCGTCAATGCGCTTTCGTACGCAGAAGCCACAAGGACGCAGATCCAAGTCCAAGAAAAATACCCCCAACTTGCTGCCAAGCTTCAAGGAATGGGCGCGGGAGCTGGCGGGATGGGCGCCACATTCGCGGGTGCTCGCTAAAAACTTGGTCCTACACACAACACAGTCATTGATAACTACTTACCTACCTATCTACCTAGGTACTTGACTTTTTCAGACAGGAAAACAGGGCGACTCCACTCATCTCAAGGCGACTGCGCGAGGCTTAATTATTCGGGGTAGGGTATGTTTCGGGTTCGCACGAAAATTGACGAAAGTGGCCGAGGGTCTATAGGTCCGAACGACGATACGATGCGCTGGTAATGATGTCGTCCTATTCACTGTACCTGTACCTAGTATTGTACATAATTAATACCTCCCTCTCGTTGTCGGTTGAAAGCTGGACGCATCGGGGGATGTTGCGGCCGCGCTTTAACGCATTCACGTCATGACTAGTGGACCAGTAAAAAAAGGGGGATGGACGTTTATAGCTATCGTTATGGATACTACACGAGTGGCAGGCTTATGTGTTTAGAGAATACATTTGCAGTATCTTGATAGCTTGACCTATCGTGTCCGCACTCAAGTGACATGTCTTTTACATTTCCGTACAGTATATGTCTCGGGGTTAAAGACGGCATGATACGAGAAGATCATGATTCGTCGACAGTAAAAGAAATGTCAATAGCTAACCTAGGTATTTCTAGTATATGGTGGAAGACTATAAACGAAACACCTCGTAAGCTAAACCATCTGCTCTGGTCCTGTATATGTATATATATTCAATAGGTAAACCTAAGGAGGTAGGTAGGTAACCGTACTTCAAGAGACAGCTCCTCATTAAACCGGATGTCCGAAGAAGAAAAGCAGGAGAAAAAAATGAACATCGAAAATTTCTAACTAAAAAAGTCCTGACGTACATATAAACAAGCCACATCGGAATATCGGAAATAAAGAGCACCAGCGACCATAAAAAAACCAACGAAAAATGTAAGAAACCAATTTAACAAAATATGCCCCGTGCTAAATCTTCATATCGGCTATGCCTAGGTAGCTAGGTACTACTACTAGGTACCTAGATAGGCTTGTGTTTTTCTAAATATGTATTGTACCTAGGTAGGTACCTAGATACCTAAACTTCACTTTACTTGGATCTTAGCGATCCCATCGACCTCGACGCCGTGGCTTGACCGGGAATCTAAATCCGACTCGGCCGTAGACCCGGCCGAGGAGGCGGCGGATCCCGCGGACGAGCTCGTGTTGTATTCGTCGGCGGTGAACACGCTAACTGGTGTCTCTGCGCCCGAGCCGGACCGGGAGACCCTCTTTCCGTTGCTGCGACCCTCCGATTCCCCGGTCTTGTTGATCTTGGTGATGACGTCGGACAGCGTGTCGCCCAGCTGCTCGACGTTGTCGGCGTCGCGGGGGACCAGGTGGCCTAGGCCGTGGTCGTACAGCTGCGCCGTGTCCTGGTTGCACGAGTTGTACAGCGCGACGGAAGAGTACACGAGAGGGTCGTTGGACCCGAATACGTGGAAGGTAGGGATGTTGATCGAGATCCCGTGCTCATCCGCTAGCTTGGCGACGAAGCCGTCACCTTCGGAGACCAGGGGTGGTGAGCCGGCGAAAAATATGGCGAACTATAGGGGTAGACGCGAGCTCGTCAGTTTCTTTGCTCAGGTTTCTAACAACATAATGGATTGGGATGTTTCGAGTAAATGAAAGCAAAGATTTAATTAAGGGGGAAAATACCTTGATACGTCTTGGAACCCCTTTTTCTTCCCATCTCCTATTCTCCTCCGCGCAGATCGACGCAGCCATCATGGCGCCTTCCGAATAGCCTATCAAGCCGTCAATCTCTGGATCCTCATCAATAGTCTTGAATAAGCGGTCCAGCGCCTCGCGGAAGGTCTGCCATCTGAAACCCAAGGGCTCATCGTTTTTGCTGAACAGCCGTAATGTGTCCTCCGGGCTGAGACCACGTGGGATATGCCTGACTCTGCGGATAGCCGCGAAGGCATCGCCCTCAGAAGAGTCGATAAACCGGTATAGCGGCCGCGACCCGAAATAATTCTCCCACCCAAGCGGCGGCTCGACCTCGTGCTCTCCTTGACTGAATGCGAATGTCGCCAAACCCCTATCCTCCATGTGCTTGGAGAAGGGACCAAGCTGGACGCCGAAGTTCTAGGCTCTACCGTCAGCGCCTGTATAGATTCCCTAAGAGGGGTCAGTGACCTACCTTGGCACTCCCGTAGGCGCCGGGTAAGCAGAGGAATCTCATTGTAGGCGAGGGGATCCGAAAGATGTGATTTTCCGTTCTCCTTTAAGCTCTTCTCCTACTTATTATATTGGTTTTATGAGAGAAGTGGAAAAATAAGATGTATTGCAAGCATGAAAAGAAGACAACGTGCCCTCTAGCGACTGTTCTTGTATTAGGTTAGGTTTTCGTGTGCCTTAGGTAAAGCTACTCCCTGCACAAGTCCGGATACCGTACAGCCAGTAGCAGCTATACATCTACACTCGAAGGGGTGTCATAGTCGGTAATTTGCTAAAGCTATAGGCTAGATGATGACTCAGAGATTTACCTTGCGGACCAGCATTCGAGCTAGGGCTATGTTAAGGAAAGTTAACTGAGGTAATCCCTGAAAATTCACATGAAGGGATGGCAACTTGAAGCAATGCCAACTGAGATTGTCATCCCTGAAGGAAATTCCCGTAGAGCGATGGGTATGTGAAGAAACGTTAAACAAGATCATCCCTGAGAGCCCACGATTTAATATCCCTGTTACCCTACACCACTGATAGATAATTGATGTAAGCCGAGTGGAAGGGTGCCTTGGACGACGGAAGAAATCTTGAAAACGTTTTCTCCATGTGTTCGTCTCTGAGAGGTTCCTATCCCAGTACAACAAACCTCGGGGATGCAGCTAGGAGAAGCACGTTGCGGTCTCAACAAACCGGTGTACTGTTCTTGCGATAACGAAGCCGATGACAACTTACATGCCTACCGACCCACGGACTTCCGATACTCTTTACCTACATATCTTGTACGAGCCATTACGTAGCATAGTCACATCAGACTAGGTTTACGATGTACCGCACCGACCGAACCTGAACCTTGCAAATCTGCAATTCTGTATACCGAGACAGTGTCTTGTGAGTGCGCCTTGGCAAATGTAGAGTTAGCCCAGTCACGTACTTAGGGGGGGTTTCCCGGGACGTATTCACTCACTTACTAAGAATTAAGATGACGTGAAGGGAAAATGTGTCGTACCTACCAGCAAGGAACTGGGATAGATGTCAATACGCCTTGTAAAGAGCCGGAAGATAAGTGATTTGCCTTCTGAGGATGTCACTTGTGTCAGGTTGAAGGCAAAAGTGACCTACTGAGTGACGTTAAAGCGTCGGACTTAGTCGCGATATCCATCTCTATTCGTCTCAAGTGAAAAACTTGCCGCCTGTTGGAGTCCCGTGTTTCATTGTCAGTTAAACCCTTGGAGGAAGAGTCTCTGGAGGAGAGTTGCCACGCAAGCTTAACCCAATCAGTAAATATATCGAGTCTTCGAAATGAACGAAGCATACTTGGACCATAATCCAAGTACGTCTTACTCCTTGATATATCATGACTACTGGCGCGTTCGATCCTGGTGATTCTACGATTGTTTTAAGGTTGCCCAGCTATTACTCCTTGGCACCAGTCTTTTAGCACCCTTTCTCACACCTCTCAATATGGAGTCTGAGGCGCCGATGCCCATTGCTATCGTGGGCATGTCGTGCCGCCTGCCGGGCGACGTGTCTTCGCCGGGCGACTTCTGGAAGCTGTTGACTAAGGGCCGAAGCGCGTGGTCTAAGATACCCAAAGGTCGCTTTAATCAGGAGGCCTACAACCACCCCAATCCAGAGAAGAAGGGCACAATCAACTCACAAGGGGGATACTTCGTATCTCAGAACCTGGAAATGTTCGATCCTGGATTCTTTGACATGACGCGCAAGGAGGCCGAGACCATGGGTAAATATTACTCTACGAATCTAAGTTGCGTCACGGAACTAATCCTTTTCAAGATCCTACGCAGAGACTCCTCCTCGAATGCTCGTACGAAGCTCTCGAGAATGCTGGCATTCCTAAGGAGTCTATCTCGGGGCGGAGAGTCGGTGTATTCATCGGTGGCTCCGACAATGAACATAGGATGGGCAATCTTAGAGACCTGGACGACGCGCCCATGTTCGACCCTACCGGTAGCCAAGGGGCGTTCTTGGCAGGACGAATATCGTACTTCTTGAATTTGTGCGGACCTACCGTCACTCTCGATACGGCATGCTCATCTAGTATGTATGCGTTACACATGGCTGTTCAGAGTATACGATCAGGGGAGTCTGAGCAAGCTATTGTCGCGGCTTCTCATCTCATCACACAACCTGATGTCTGGGTATCTATGGCTAAACTAAGGTAAATAAGGCAACATTTCTGTTTCAAGAGATTAGCTGATTAATGATATAGATTGTTTGCCGACTCGGGAAAAACTTACGCATTCGATCACCGCGCCAAGTCCGGATATGCAAGAGGCGAAGGGGCAGGGTGTTTGATCCTTAAGCCGTTACATAAGGCGCTGGAGGATAGAGACTATGTTAGGGCCGTCATTTCTCATACGGGAGTTAGTCATAATGGCAGAACAGTTGGTGCGTATACTCTACCTAGGTGTGCATCTGCTTTGCAAGCAAGAGATTAACATAAAATGCAAAGGCATCGTTGCGCCTAGCTCCGAAGAGCAGGAGTCGTTGTTACGAAACGTGCTTTCGCAAGCCAACATCGATGCCAAGGATATCGGATTTTTTGAGGCTCACGGAACTGGTACTAGAGTTGGAGATCCTATAGAAGCCAAGGCCATATACAAGGCACTAAGCCGGAAGCTAGATGGATGCAAACCGTTAAGTATTGGGTCAGTGAAATCGAATATTGGTCACCTTGAAAACGCAAGCGGCATTATATCGGTCATGAAGGCCGCCCTTATGCTGGAAAAGGGGTTTATTGTACCGAATGCCGACTTCGAGAAAGAAAATCCAGCCATTCCCTTATCCGAATGGAACCTAAAAGTTAGTTCATGAAGATAATACCTTCTCAATGCTATGTAATAATGAGCCGAGGATGGATCGAATACTAACTTTTACCATTAGATCTCTCAAAGGCAGCAGCCAATTCCTCGAGACAAGAAGTATATATGTGTAAATAACTTCGGGTATAGCGGATCGAACGCGCATGCAGTACTTAAGGCACTGCCGGAGGAGAACGAAATCGAGTTTCTGGACGCTAACAAGTTCGAAGGCCATATCAAAATGAAAAGATTATTCGTGATAAGTGGAAACGACGAGGCCGCCGCGAGGAAGAGTATGGAGCAGCTGGGCATTTTCCTCGAGCAGCACGCGGAGCTTTATCAAAGCACTATGCCTCGAAACCTAGCCTGTAAGTTTGAACATCATCCATATTTCCAACACAGGCATACTAATACGTGATTAGACACATTATGCCAACGGCGTTCTCAACTACCGTGGCGTATCGCTTTGGTGGCCGACATGTGTAGCAAATTAGCAATAGCCCTCAACGGCGAAGTAGCACCAAAGCGTGCGCCCTCCAAGCCACCAAAGCTCGCTTTTGTCTTCACCGGACAGGGTGCACAGTGGTATGCCATGGGTAGAGAGTTATTGGGGTCCCACGCCGTATTCGCATCAGCCATCCAGAGAGCCGATAAGCACCTCCTATCCATTGGGGCCGACTTCTCGTTGCTAGAGGAGCTGATGCTGGATGACAAAGATTCGCGTGTTGGCTTGGCCCATATCAGTCAGCCGATCTGTAGTGCTATTCAACTTGGACTGGTAGATCTCCTGGCATCGTGGGGAATCAAACCTTCGGCGGTCATTGGCCATTCTAGCGGGGAAATTGGCGCGGCATACGCAACTGGAGCTCTGACGCTAGAAGCGGCGATGTCTGCAGCGTACTATCGTGGTCAGGTAATTATCGACTTGAAAAAGAATTTTCAAGATGTTCGAGGTTCGATGATGGCGGTAGGTATAGGCGCCGAGGAGTTGCAGCCCTTCTTGAAACAGATACGAGATCCATTTCAAGCAGTAGCAGCTTGTGAAAATTCACCTAGTTCGACAACCGTATCGGGAGACGCCGAAGCTATCGATCAACTTTCCGATATGATGGCGAGCAAAAAGATTTTCAATCGCAAGCTCTTCGTCGATGTTGCCTACCATAGCCCGCATATAAAACTAGTTGCTGAGACATACTATAACATGATCGCAGATGTCGAGTTAAGAAGAGGTGATGACGAGGTCGCGTTCTTCTCTTCTCTTCATTCTCGCAAGATTGCTACCGACGAGCTTGGCCCGCAGTACTGGGTGGACAACCTCACAAATCCAGTACGTTTCACGACCGCATTACAGTTGCTTTGCGAAGAAAGCGAACCCGATATTCTCATAGAGGTCGGCCCACATGCCGCTCTCAAAGGCCCTATTATGCAGACTCTCAAGACTCTCGGGCAGCCAGCTTCTAAAATACCGGCATATATTCCAACCCTTGTACGAAGCCGTGATGCTACTGAGACAACTCTTGAGCTCGCTGGCCAGCTTTTCATTCGCGGGTACGAGGGCATCGATTTCTTTAACATCAACCACAGACGTTCTGAAATAGAGAAGCCCGACATTGTTCCCTTTCTCTACACATATCCGTGGTCGCGCCAGCATTGTTGGTACGAAAGTAGGATCACACGACAGCACCGGCTCAAGCCGTTTGCACGCCATGACCTGATTGGAACGTTGACTGATTGGAGTAGCGACCTGGAGCCGACGTGGCGCAATTTCATCAGGCTAGAAGAACTTCCATGGTTACGTGAATATCGCATCAACGATCAAGCTGTATTCCCAGCATCCGCCTTCATCTCTATGATTGTAGAGGCAGCTAGTCAACGAGCGGCAATTAAGGGGTTTGAAGCGAGTAGCTTTGACCTGCGAGACATCGTTATCCCTGACCAATTATTTCTAGCTGATGATGAACCAGTTGAACTCCTAGTGAATTTTAGGAAGCACGCCGCATCTCAGACAGGATGGGATGAATTCCACATTTCTAGTTTCGAGTCTAAGCGAGGATGGTTGGAGCATTGTCGCGGTTCCGTTGAGATAAAACCCCCGCGAAGGAATAATGCGGTGGTTTCCCGTCCTAAGGAATATTTCAATCCAAAATCGGAGGGGAATGAAATATCAATGCCCGCAGCAGGCTTCTATTTCAACCTCAGTTCTGGTGGTATTAGCTATCCTCATACCTTTTGGAATTTGGTTAGTGTCAAGATGGGCGCGTATGGAGTTAGCGGTCAAGGTGCTCTCCAGGATACGAAGCTTATTATGCCTTTAGCATATGAGTCTTCGTATATAGCCCATCCGGCCACGCTAGAACCCCTTATTCAAGTGTCGCAGGCCAGTCTGGGATTTGACGGAGATGCAGACCCACAGCTACCATCTGCCATCAAACAGGTCCATATCGATGTCAGCGATGACTGGGAGAGGAGCTTTGGGTCCAAATTCATTGTCCAATCCTCAAAAGACACCAAATCCGGGACATTCCTAGCCGAATTGTTCTCGCCAATGGAGAGCGAGTTGTCCACCGTCTCTATGTTAGGATTAGAGCTCACATCGCTCAAGACTGCTGCTCCTGAGCCACCCAAGCCTAGAGAGCTGTGCTATAAGATACAGTGGGAACAAGCTGAAGCACGGCATGCCAATGGTGTGAGCCACGCGCATATCAAGACCCACGGAGAACGTGTTACGGTGGTGACAGAGCGTACTCGAGACGACACACTGGTGGCATCGCTTTGCGCAGTTATCGAGGCACATTCTGGAATCTCTCCCGATATCTCAGGTTTGACCCAAATCAGCAATTTTAACGGCTTTTTTGTCGTCCTCTCGGAGCTTGACCGTCCTGTTCTAGCCTCGGTAAATAAGGCGGAGTTCGAGAAGGTCCAGAATATATTGACACAAGCCGGAGGTATCCTATGGGTGACATGTGGCGCATCTAAATTCTCTATGAATCCAAGTACCAATATGATTTTAGGTCTATTTCGCACGGTACGATCGGAACTTGGAAAGATGGCTATTACGCTAGACCTCGATCCAGATAGCACTCTGGACGTCGAAGGCCAAGCGGCATTGATTGAAGATGCATTTAGGCGAACAGTACTAGCGGATAATCCTGAAGCCGAGGTTGAGTTCGCCGAGCAAGGTGGAGATCTAGTCGTGCCTCGTTTTATCGTTGACGATGATATGAACCTCCGACTTCATCGTGAGCTGGGAAAATCTGAGCCATACCTCCAATCATTTCGCCAGCATGGACGACAGTTGCGAGCTACTGCCCAAGCCGATAGTTCTCTTGACACACTTTACTTTGAAGATGTTTCCTTTAACGAGAACTTGGGTAAAGACCAAGTTGAGATAGAGGTTAAAGCTAGCAGGCTGAGCCAAGACGACATTTCGGCACATCTAGAAATCAATACGTCTAGCGAGCCTGAAAGATCATGTAGCGGCGTTGTCACTCGCGTCGGCCAGGATGTTGTCAATCTTGGCATCGGGGATAGAGTTTGTGTGTTGGGAGGTGGCCGGCTGAGCACACACATCTCTGTAGCAGCTAACGGCGCCGTCAGGATTCCGGAAGGAATGAATTTCGAGGATGCGGCAATGATACCATCGGCATTCGGCACAGCATTTTATGCACTATCACAAGTCATCCGCGTTCGAAAATCGGAACGTGTGCTCATCCAAATAAACGACGCTAAGGGATTGGCAGCAATACAAATTGCACAAGACCTTGGCGCCAATGTGTTTGTTGCAATCCATGGTAGCGATAGAAAGGAGTTCGTTGTGAAGTCATTTGGTGTCAAGTGCAGGAACGCCTTCGACACAACCAGCATCTATTTTAGCCGGGACATACAAGACGCTACTAGAGGAGCTGGGATGGATGTAGTGCTCACCAGCTCATCCGGGTTGTCAGCGGCGGCCGATACCTTGGGTAAGGTTTGGGCAAGTATTGCGCCCTTTGGACGTATCGTCCACATGCAAGGAGCACTCCATGATCACCTTGACGGTTGGAGCGCCAGATCAGACCTTGCCGAAAACATAAGCTTTACGACAATCAATCTGCTGAATCTAGCTACTACCCGCCCGCGGCTTATGAGGGATATCCTCCGGGATGTTGTAGGGTGTTTTTCGAGGGGCACTCTAAAGCCACTAAGGAAGCTGGTGGTATTGCGAATGGGCGAATTGGGCAGGGGCTTGCAAATGATCCAACAAGGCGTTCTGCACCCTATTGTAGTTTCTGCTTGGAGGGGCGACATGGTAATGGTAAGACCAATACTTGTGTTGGAGACCTTCGAATTGCTGTTAGCTAGAAAATTGCTAACATTTCGAGTAGGCATTGCACTATGCATCTAAGCGCTTTCTAAATTGCGAAGGGACTCATATCATCATCGGCGGCACTGGCGGATTAGGACGCAGTATGGCTAGATGGATGGTCGAACACGGTGCTCGACACATCGTACTTTTATCGAGGAGCGGAGGCAATGTCGATAAACTAAAGGAACTCATCAGCGATACTCGGGGCAGAGCCAATATAACTGTCAAGGTATGTGATGTCGCTAACGAAGAAGATGCTTACCGGTTGGTGAGGGAACATGTCGAAACACTTCCACCGATATGCGGTGTAGTCCATGCCGCAATGATGCTTCATGTAAGTCCGATCCCACTCAGTAATAACCTTGATTGGAAATCGTTTACAAGAGAGTCCTAACCATTCATAGGACGGGCTGATAGAAGAAATGAGCCACGAGTCGTATGTTTCGGCAACTCGAGCTAAAGTTAAAGGTACCTGGAACATCCACAATGCGCTCGAGTCTGTCAATGCACGGCTTGACTATTTTGTCCTCTTATCGAGCGTTGCGGGCATTGTTGGCAGTCGTGGTCAAGCCGCGTATGCCGCGGCTAACACTTTTCTTGATGGGTTTGCCTCTTGTAGAGCAGCGCAAGGCCTACCTGGGGTATCCCTTGACCTATCAGTCGTAACTGATGCGGGTTACATTGCTGAGAATGCAGGGCGAAAGGACGAGATCAGTAAGAATTTTGGCGGACAATCAATTTCCGAAGCTGAGGTTTTGGCCCTTTTGGCCGTGGCCACATCCGGCAATTGTGGCGCTCAGTGCCTGACCGGTCTGAAGCTCGTTCCAAACAACACGGGCGCTTTGCCTTACTATGCGGAGGATCCACGGTTCAAGCATCTTAAAGCGGAGGCAGCTGCTTTGATACGAGCTGCGGGCCAAGACTCAGGGCAAGCCGTATCGTATAGAAATGCATTCCGTGCTGCAGCTAGCAACGACGAGGCTCGTCAAGTTGCCATACAGGGCGTGCTACAGAAGCTATCCGAGGTTTTGTCAGTCGCACGCGAGGATGTAGATGCTCAGCGTAACATGGCATCGTATGGTTTAGATTCCTTGACGGCGATTGATGTACGCAATTGGATTACGAGAGAGCTTGGTGCGACTCTTGAGATTCTAGAGTTGTTAACAAGTACGAATGTGACGGATTTGGCCGACTTGATTGTTTCGCGGACGAAGGCATAGTTTTCTGAAAGCTGTTCATTTCCTATTGAATCTCATAGATAGATAGATACTGGGTAGATAGACAATAATGTTCATCATACGATTGAGATGAGCGAAGCGTAAGATAGTTAAGTTTTGCCTTTAAGATTAAAAGTAAGGTAATGAGTGCGAGGTGTGACTATTAGAAGAAGGTTGATGGAGCGAAGAGTGAGTGTGGACGGAGGCACCTGCCAGTGACGGTACTTATCGATTAGGTACATAATCCAGATGAGATTGTCCTAGTACTAGGTACCTCGGCATCAAACTACGATCAAGCTCCGATATAAGACATTTGGTACGAAGTAGGAAGATTCAGTACCTATCTCTGTAATTAGAAAATAAAAATGACAGGAAAAAGGTAAAATGGTATCATTGAGCACTATCTTCTGATGCATTAATTCAGTCAATCCAAATAGCTCCCCCAATCTCCCCCTGAAGCGTCAAAAATGTGACATACAACCTCGCAATACTTTTGTTGCCCGGGAATGAAAGTCAATATAGCTGTAATGACGGATTACATAGATTTTGCGCAGCATATTCCTCAACTACAAATGCAACTCCCACTGTATCCACCAATCCCTGGTAGTCTCCCCCCCTGCTATATGTCTATTATGCGATGTAGAAGCTCCTAGGCCTTGATATCTACCTTGGAATCACCATTAGTGTGACTGGTATGGGTATGGTTGGTACGATAAGTATCGATGCTCATTCGGCTCATCTGGCTTGCCATACTCAAACCTGTACCTTTTCTTGTCCTCAGCGCCTTCTCCCATCGTTTCTTGTCCTTGATGGGAGCGCCGCTACCGTCTAGACCGAGTACCTCCATGAGCTCCGGCATCTCCGCATGATCCCGTGTTGTCCGCATGCGATGACACCATGTTACTCGCTTCTCTTCGACTTTAGGGTCTTCATGTTCGTCTGCTTTGTTCTCTTCACTGGGGAACTCAAGCTTCTTCTCTTCTTCGCTGCGTGGCGTAGTCACGGGTGTATCTATTGTCAGGTTGGCCGGTTCGAAAAGGAACTCTCCTCCTACTTGTCGTTGGTCGCCCATCTTCATTACCAGACCTGTCTTGACTTGCTTTAGGCCCTGGACTACGCCGGTCACGACGGTATGTGCTAAAGATTTCCCCTGGAGATAAGCTGGTCGTGACCCCATTGCCAAGGTACGCACCATTCCAAGTTCGGAATATAGACGACGAGTTGGGTCAGCATAGACTGGAAATGGGCACCCGGTTTCTTGAAGGTACGAATTGATTAACTCGGGAGTGCCACACCCTATGACCGCAATAAAGGTGCTGACCGGCAATTGCAGGAGAGCATCTGGGGTAACAGAGGCTGATAGAGTGCGCAGGTACTCTTGGCAGTTCTATGACATCGGTTAATACGCATGCTTGTTCGAAAACAATCGTCGGTAACTAACCCCACAGAAGAAATGTCGAATGAAGACTATTAGGACTCGACGGGCAGAGTTGTGGCCAGCATAGAGGCTCTTGAAAGTATGTGACTTTCCATCACTGTCGAGAACTGTGTATGTCTCTATTTTGCGTAGCGTCTCGATTGTTGGTAGGTCGTTGGTAGTTTGCACTTCGCCTTGGAAATCCTGGGAATTCACTGGATCGTCTTGAGTTTGCCGTGTCGCCAAGTCGGTATCGCTAGTAGTTGCGGCAGACGTGTCTATGGTCGTAGTAGTAGGCTTGGCATCTTGAATGGGTTTCTCTATTGCATTTAGCCCTTTCGAAATATTCGAAGCAGGTATCGCTGCCATTGCCGGTTGCTTGTTTTTCTCATTAAACGATGACCGTGTGTTCTTTTCATTTGTTATAGGACCTCCCGAAGAAGTAGAGTGTACCGACGAAGCCATCTAGGATATGCTTGCTCTCAACTTTTAGTGGGATGGATACTTGACATGAGATGGCGGGGGTTGGGAAGTAATCCGGATTTACTGCCGAATACGAGGGAAAGGTTGGGTCTGAGTGCTTGCTTTCAATACTATCAACCGTTTTCCAAGGATTTTTTCTATGCTCCAGGCAAAGAATTATAGAGGTGACATGTGCAATTAATTGGCATCCCAAGAAAGAAGATGGAGGAGAAATCAATGCTGAAACTTGGAGAGAGTTAGTGACGGTTGACGTCGCGGGTATACAAGGGAAATCTACGGGTACCGGTATGTAAGCTGGGAAGTGGTACCTAAACCGGGTAGGTACCTATGCTCAATGCCTAAACGCCCAACCCGCACCGCCCGCAGTGCTCAACATGTCGTATCTCGGTACAATGCAGGGATTAAGGAGGCTCTCTGTAGGTACAATAGGATAAGCTATTCTATTTAACTTTCAGGCTCCCCACATCGTTATCTCGGCAGGTACTTATTTATAGGAGTCAACCCTTTCCAAGTCAAAGTGAATGGTAACCGTATATACTTACTACATAGGTAATTTACTAGGTAGGTAATATTATGTTACAGATAACCTTCATGAAGCAAGGTAGAATCTTGCCAAGGTATCGAATCTAATTAAAGAACTATTCATATACTATAAAAGTTAGGTATTCTACTTTAAATATTCGTACTATTATAAAGAGCAACCCGACCACGTGGTTAAGGTTTCAGGGGAGGTTACACCCGCTTTTTAAAGGTTCCTGCAACCCATGGCGTAGCTCCAATGAAATTCCATACTTCTTAACAAGGATAAGAACCTTGAACTCCCTACCGCTGAACTACCTGTGTATATAAAATCTGTATCTGCTAGCTATTACTAGGCATGCAAATAAATGTTTTATTCAATATTGTCGCCTTGTCTGTCAATGGAGCGAGTGTTATTTTCAGGTATGTACCTAAATCGTTTAATACGTAAGTTGATTCTCTTAACATAGGGGCATATAACTTCAGGCGAACGAATGTATATTAATAAGCAACGTCTACTCTGTTATGAATCAAATTGAACGCAGCAAATTTTGAAGGACTTGTGGGAATTCTGAAGCCCTAGCCGAGTCCTCATGAGTGGAGGGCTCGCACTTTACGAATCGAGTGGGACTCGGGATGGCTCCCAATCGCAGAGCATCAGCCATATTGCTTGCTATCGTTCGTGGTGGTTATCTCGGTCTGACACCAAATTCCATAGCAGCTGCCTAACACAACTGCTACAACTCATTCGGTGTCCTGCTACGGTCTTCTCTGTCGTCTTCCACTGCCACCAGACCAAAACCCTAAGCTAGACAACTCATGTCGTAACGTCTGTGAATTGGTCCCGGCGGGACTTGCCGGTTGGCAGCAACTTGAGCTCCGCTACTTCTGTTAAATCAGTTACGCGAACTGCAACTGCAGAAGAGCTGGATGGTTCCAAAGTTTATAGGTCGGCAAGTATTAAAGCACGAGCTGTTCTGATGTGCAGCTCGGGTTCGAATGATTGCGGATCGAGAGTACAGGGCTATAGGGCCTTGGGACTCTTTGACTGCTGGATCTTCTTATTCTTGTCTAAATGTTCGTGCTGTTCACTTGTCCTTGGCAAATCAATCGAGTCCACCGCCAACCTGACTGGCAAAAGCTGTGCTAACCGACTTCTCATCGTCGTCATATCGACGTCGAAATCCATTCGAAAAGGCTGGGTAGGAACTATCCGCAACATGTTGTTTTAAACGGTCGCTCTGGGTGAACGACGTTGGTCGGGTGCGAAGAGCATCCGGAAGCCCAGCTCCGAGACTAGCGCCACCTTGCCCAACACCTTTGCTTCCAATGACACTGGCAGTACCGTCTGTGTATTCAGACGTGGCGACACTCTCACCGGCGATACTCTCTGTCCCTCGGCCCCTACCCTTGCCGCCGGCGCGGCCACCTGAAGCTGGGTTGAAACCCGGAAGCCCCGGCCACTGTTCAGAATTAAAGTTGGAAAACATTTGCGGGAAAGCAGTATTGCCAATCCCAGCCCCGCCAAGAGCCGAGCTATGGATACTGGACGTATCATCGGGGATGTACGAAATCATTGAACTCGACTCAAAGTCTTGGCCTGAATTTTGGCCACCGTTGTACCCGGCTGAGCGACCATTGGTGTAACCGCTAGAGACGTACGAAGCCTGCTGAGGACGCGGGCGGTACGTATTTTTAGGCCGACTGAACTGAAGCAAGGACGTTTGCAGATTGGTCAGAGGTCCTTCCACGAGACATTTGCGCTCTTTGAAGTGTACTAGGAGGTGGTGCCATAGTTCGTGTTTGGATAGGACTTTGGGGTTGCCGATGATAACGAGACCAAACTTTGCACGAGTGAGAGCAACGTTCAACCGGCGCGGGTCAGAAAGGAATCCAATGCCTTGGTTGTCATTGGAACGTACACAGGAAAGAACAATAAAATCCTTTTCACGGCCTTGGAAAGCATCCACAGATGCGACCTCTACTTCCTTGTAAGACTCCTTCTTAAACGTGCCTGTATTCTGCATCGTGGTGACAATGTAGCTGCGCTGGCCTTCATACGGGGTAATAACACCAATATCTGAAGGTCGTACGCCAGCTTTGAAAAAGCGAGTTACAATCTTTTCCACATTGGAAGCCTCAGTCCGGTTGAGGTATGACGTTCCGGATGCAGAAATTTCCTCGTTGCCCAGGTTAGACCAGAACATCATCGGCATTTCGCCGACCGGCCAAGGGAAATCGACATCTTTACGGATTCTGTTCGGTGCCGAGACACCATTCTGGAGAGAACCTTCGTAGAACATGTTTGAGGGAAACTCGGATAGGCAAGGATGCATTCGGTACTGAATGTTCAGTCGAATAGGGGTAAACCCGAGTCGGACGAGGCGTTCAAAGAGTGACTGGTTTAGACCGGCCTTTGCAGCCTTCTTGTTCATAATCACAGGTCCGAGCTGTTTGTGATCACCGACAAGAACAACCTGTTTACATCCCAGAACGAGAGGTATCATGCATTCGGGTTCAGCAGACTGCGTCGATTCGTCGATAAGGACATTTCGAAATTTCATCTTGGCCAAACGCGGGTCTCCAGCACCAACGCAGGTACAGCAGACTACGTCTGCATTGTTCAGAATCTCACGCTCAGCAGCACGAGTCAGCTGCTTGTACCGTTTCTCGTCTTGGCTTGAGAGTTCACCAGCAGTGGTCTTTAGCTGAGAGAGCTTCATCAAGTCGGGGTTGGTATCGAGCATCCGGACTTGCTCATGCAGGGCTAGGAAGCTAACAGAAGACTCAACATCCTCACGAGACTTCGCCGTAAGACGAACGACTTTCAACCCCGTGAGGTTGATACGTTCACAAAGTTGGTCCACCGCAACGTTTGAGGGAGCACACACCAGGACTTGACCATTATTCATCTTTGCTAAATGATAAATGATTGTTGCAGAGGTAACCGTTTTACCAGTCCCTGGAGGCCCCTGGATGAGACTTAGAGGCGTCAATAGAACATTCTTGATAGCGCTAATTTGGCTGTTGTTGAGCTCCGGAAGGCCAGGCACGCTAAACTTCTTAGGTAGGTTGGTCTTCATAGGAGCAACAGCAACTTCATGACCGAGAAGCTTGTGAAAGATATATCCAGAGACACTCATCTCATCCACGGCAAAGGTCTTCATAGCGGCCTGCATGCGATCGTAAGAAGTGGCTTTCCAGACGTAGTCGGCCGAGAAATTATGGGTGCATTCAGTTGGCACGGATTTATCGTTTCCTGTCTTGCGTAATTCCAAGGTTACCTCATCAGATTGACTGTTAGGGATCTTGACCACGTATCCAACGCCCTCCCAAGGAGGCCGAAGTTCACCCTTGTATTTGATTCGCATTTCATCGCCAACGGCCAATTTAACATCCCCAGATTCCAATTTCGGAAATGTAAAACTAGAGAGATGCTTCGTGTTGAGACCTAGGTCCCATCGAACAACCAGGCCGTCTTCGGATTGCGCTTCCTTCAGTTTTTTGTCATAGTCGGACTCCATCTTCACAAGCGGCCCAAATATATTCTGATACTGGTACGGATCCTCGTACTTTAGGAGAACCGGGAGCGGATCATCATCGATGCTGGCTGCCTTCTCCAGGTCAGCAATAGTAGCACTGGCATTCTCCTTCCACATTTCTTCTAATTTAGCGATCATGGGAGGTGTCAAGTGACGAGCACGCAGTTGTTCATTATCGCTCGGTGGTGAAACGAGCCAAGGGAGAAAACTTCGGTCCTCAATCAACGGTTGCCATCTAGAGGTATCCCAGCTCATGTCCTTCGAGGAGGGCGTAGCGGCGCAAGGCTGACGACATAAGAGAACAACGACAGTATCCGATTTAGCGGGGATAAATCCAAGTAAGAAGACGTTCTTCGTTCCGCAGTTATAGCATTCAAGAGTAGTGTCACCGAGGGTCGACTGCGGGTGAAGCTGTACTTCTTTATGCCGGGCTCGAACTAGATGGTTGACAATGTGCGACGAGCTCGCATTGCCTCGGGCACTGCAAAACCACTTGTTGCAAGCAAGACACTTCACGACCGAACCCGGAGAATGGATACCACAGTACCTATAATTGCACATTAGCAATCCGCCTGGATAGCCAACCTTGGAACCTATAGCCAATCAAATTTTGAAGACCTACGCGCAAGCATGTGGAGGGAGCTTTTTCTCTTCCTCCGGGGCCTTAAGGTTTAAACCCTTCATAGCCCCAACAGGGACACTAGCTACACTCTCGGTATCGTCATCATCGAATGTCTCGGTTTCGTTGTCGTCATCGTCATTCCGTCGTCTTGCGCTGCCTAAACCTCCGCGCCCACTGTACTTGCCATAGAGAAGACTCTCATCGGGATCCAGCGTGGATAGGTCATCGTCGCCGGCGTTGATAGCGGCGGCGGAATCGGATACAAGATGATTACCCAGGTGGGTAAAGGCGCCTTCCATAATAGTGCCGTCAGCCGGCTGGGGACAGCCGGGTTTGGGAGGCAGTTACTTTCCACCTGATATATATTAATATGATTTAGATTAGTTTTATTTTGGTTCATATGGATTTATAATTTGACATGATATGAGAAATGGACAGAAAGGTGAAAGATGCGAGGGTTAGGGTGAAGAGGGGGGTTTAACAAAAAGGTCGAGCGATTGGCGAAAGTATTCAAGTATTTGGATTGTGGAAGAAAGAGAATGGAGGGAGTGACGAGTTGAGGGAGAATCGACAGTTGCCGAACTTACCTAAGTCCTTATTTGGTGCAAAGTGATGCGTAAAACCACAGCTTCTATTGTTCCTCGTCGCAGCCTAATTCGGCGCAGTGAGAGGGTTGACGAGTTATTGTTGTAAGGTAAAGAAAGAAGAAGTGGATGTGATCCGATCACATTGTGGAATTCTGAGGTTTAGATTTCTTAGATTGCGATAACTTTCGCGCTTGCATCTTTCAATGTGGCGGCCGGAAATCCAGGCGGGACAGGTGGGTCTTTGACGCTTGGACCAATGATCTCTTATCCTGAGCCGACCTAAACCTGTTTAAGTATCGGGCAAAGTCTGATAAGCCCCGATACCAAATTTTCCAATCGATACCAATGGACAAGCCCCCCCAAAAAAGTTCATTACTGCAACCACTTTCTCTAGGACTTTGACTTTATTACCAACTTAAAGCTTCCCATTACTCAAATCGAGACCGATTTCTTAACCTTCACAGCTTACCTACCTCAAGGCATATAACGTCGGTATACTGTATAGAGTCAATCGCGCAAACCTAGTGTTCACGACATCACAACAGACCTCATATATAGCTAGGCTATACTATCAAACTAGCACGTCGACACGCCGATAAAAATCATGATCGTGTGTTGATCTACCTAGTACTTAGGCCTACTGTACAAAGTTTCTAACATAATGATATTATAGCGCAAGCAAGCTCGACAACGGCGCGACTACCTCTACAGAAGAGCTCTACTGTTACGAGATTCCGAGATAAGTGAGAAGAGAGCAAAGCTCAGAGCATCCTTAGCCACCGGCAGGCCCTTGGATCCATCTATTGCAAACGACAAAGAACTAAGGAAGGACTACCAATTCGATGAATCTCAACTGGACCGAAGCAAAAATGAAGAGCTAGATCTCGATGATGAATATTCCCAGCTCTCTGGAATCGTCGACCCTCGAGTCCTCGTTACTACTTCGAGAGATCCCTCCGCTCGCTTATCAGCATTTGCCAAAGAAATTCGTCTGCTACTCCCAACTGCCATACGACTAAATCGCGGCAACTTAATTCTACCAGACCTCGTTCGATCGGCGCAGTCCAGCGGCCTAAGCGATCTGCTTCTTCTCCATGAACACCGTGGTGTCCCAACGGCTTTAACGTTGTCCCATTTCCCCCATGGTCCAACGATATCATTTTCACTACACAACGTCGTGTTACGCCACGATATCCCCAACAGTATCCGAGGAACCGTTAGCGAGTCGTATCCACATTTGATATTTGATGGTGAGTCGTATCGCATGTGCCTAATTTACCAGTGTTATTAATCTCAAGACGCAGGCTTTACTTCTCGACTTGGTGAAAGGGTTGTCAAAATCTTGAAGCATATATTCCCCCCGCGAGAACCCTTGACGAGCAAAAATAAGCTTGGAAGTCGAGTGGTCACGTTTAAAAACATCGAAGACTCGATCGAAATACGCCATCACGTTTTCGTCCGAACAGGATTTGACAGCGTAGAACTATCCGAAGTCGGGCCTCGAATGACTATGAAGGTTTTTGAGATTCGTAGCGGCACACTGGAGAACAAGGATGGCGATGTCGAATGGCACCTGAACCAATACACAAGAACTAGTCGCAAGAAGGATTACCTTTGAGGTTAATCATCACCTTTCCGTCCACGACCCAAGGCATAAATCCATACTTTACACGCAGCTAGAGAAATACGTGTCGCCATGGGGAATGATGGGTTTCCGTTCGGATCCAAGCGAATCTCCATATGAGCGTATAAATATCCTGCAACACTTGATCGACATAGTAGCCGCTCAGGGTATACACGGATTCCACGATGAGTAGCTCTATTCCGGATGGCCGATCCATGCGCCGGAATTTAGTTGGGGGCTCAACTTTGAATACGCGGCGGTATCCTTACTGCCGTTAATCAGTCCGGTTCCGTAGGGCGCCATCTTATAAGGACGGACGACATTCAAAAGTTTGCATGATATAAAGTCATAGTAAAACTATGGTGATCTACATAGTATAGGCTGTCTTAGGAGAAAACAGCATACAGCCAAAGAAGAATATGTCTACCATACGATTGAGCAATTCAAAGTATGGCTAGAGGTCTAGACAAGCAGGCTGTCTGAGCTTTTACGGGAGCTTATCAGCAGGAGAGCAAAGTGCAAATCAAGTCTCGGACGCAGCTGTCTTAGCAATATGTTGGTAGATTGAGACTGAATCTATAACAAGCAAAGGCATTCTGAAACGCAGTTTTGTTGGTATGGTTTAGGAGTTGTATTAGCAGACATCGTGACAAGACAGCAGTGCAATGAAGTTTTTGTAACTGCTAGACAGCAGATTAAGATTTCATCCATAGCAGGTATTTCGGAATTACCAAGTGACGGATAAGTAACTAGCCATAGCAGTATTGGTAATGAGGTAAGTCTGAGCCCTATGAACACGACAGCGTCTAGTAGGAAATCATTCGAGTCAGCTGTTTTGTAGCTGCCTAGACGGCTAGGTACAGGTAAACTACTACCAATTCATGGGCTGTGACGACATGTGAGCATCTTTTAAGTTCACAGCCCCAGAGGCAAGGAAGCGCTAGGGATTTTCCATTGGCGGGTGAAGCCTTGGTACATCCAGCAGCTAAACTCAGAAGGGTAGCAGGGATGGCAGCTCTCCAGGGCTCTACCTATTTTTGGGGTAGTACAGCCTGTACAGCGTATTGTACAATTACGGTATTACCTGCAGTTCATTCTTGCCACGGTCAGGTAATGTACTTCTTTAGCTCTAATTTCCACGTGCATATGTAGAAAGGCTTCCATCATGGATCTTTAGATTGATAGTGGAGTACATGTATGCAAAGTACTCCATATTATCCTTCAATTTGTTCAATTGATCCTAGCTTTAGGCGAACCTCGCTCTTTGTCCAAGCCACCACTGGTCGTCGTCAATCATCAATCATTCAGTACCCTGAGCAGTCTGAGTTACCCCATTTGCGAAAACCAGATTCGCGGGTTAATCCTTGAATAAGAAAATTCTATTTTGTTTCTTTTAAGATTTTACCCATCGACTTGTTATATCTCGTTTTTGTTCACTTTTTCTTCTTCATCCTTCATTCTCGACGTTCCATTATTTTCTTCCAAATCCATTCCAGATTAAATTAATTGTATTAAAGAATAGCGTCGGAAAGCAGGTCGACTCGGAGAGATTGATAGGCTGTTGGTAGCCTACAAAGCTGCCCAGACGTCACTTCGGTCAGCTAGTATTTGCAATTTACAGGGGCCGTGTGTACCGTAACAAGCAGCTGTAAAAGCTGTAAATTGATTCAGGGTTCAATCCATCACTCCATCACTCTCCAATTCACATTCCCTCCTTTTTACATCATCATAATCATCACCATATCCGACCATTACACCACTTCCCGCCCGTCGCGCCGACCCGAGATCTTAAATCCATTAGGCTTTTTAGATTTCATGAGGGCGACGGCCTAAAAAGCCATCATGTCTTACGGACAATATCAAAACAATCCATACCAGGAAGCCCCCTCAACCGAGCAGGGTTACGGTTATGGCCAGGTAAGCGATAGCAACAGCAATGACAATGGCAATATTAATAGCCTGCGCATATCCATATCCATCTAACAATCATTTAGGATCATGAGATGCAAAGCTATCCTCAACAGCCAGCTTCAGACACGCTCTCGCAACAGGATTTCCTTGGTCGGATTCAATTTCTTCGCAATGAGATCGGCACTCTCACAAACAACGTCCGAGCAATTGCGTCGCTACACCAGCGCGCGTTAGCCGAAGCAGATGGCGGCGCAGCATCCTCGCAACTCGAGCGTATTATCGCCGAAACCCAAACTTTAAACCGCGGCATCCGGGACCAGCTCAAGTTCCTAGCAAATGACGCCAACAAGACTACCGATGCCAGCCGTAACGTGAAGGAGCGCCAGGTCAACACAATTAAATCCGAATTCGAGCGCGAGTTGCGCAGCTACCAGGAAGAGGAGGGTTCGTACCGCCAACGGTATCGCGATCAGATCGCCCGACAGTACCGCATCGTCAACCCCGACGCTACTGAGGACGAAGTTCGCCAAGCAACCGAAGCCGATTGGGGTAATGAAGGTGTTTTCCAGACTGCCGTATGTCTTACATTTCTCTTAATTTTTGCCAGCGAAATTCGCGGAATGAAGTAATGCTAACAGTAACATAAAGCTTCGCACCAACCGTACCGGCCAAGCATCGACAGTTCTCGGAGCCGTGCGCGCTCGCCATAATGAATTGCAACGCATTGAGCATACTCTCACAGAGCTAGCATCTATGTTCCAAGATCTAGCTGTGTTAATAGAGCAGCATGAACCCTACGTGCAGCAAGCAGAGGAAAACGCCGTCAACACTGCCAAGTATATGGACGAAGGAAACACACACGTGAAGAAAGGTATTATCCACGCTCGCAACCGCCGCAAGTGGAAGTGGTGGTGTCTATTCATCACTATCCTTATCATCCTCATCGCCGTCGCTATCGGCGTCGGTGTCGCGGCTAGTAACGGGGCTTTTAAGAAGAGCAACTAGGACAACTCGCACGCGACGTGATCGTTTCGGGGAGGGATGGATGACCAAAATGGGATGTGCTTCCTCCGGGAGACGAAACGACCGGATGGAAAGGAGAAAGAAAAAAACCGACAGATCATACGGGAATGGCTGATCTGGGGAGAATCATATTAATTGCCGACTTTCCGTCCAATATCTATCCATATGGACGTCGGCGAGCCTTCCGGCCTCCGGTTAGCACGGAGGATGGGGGAAGGGTACTTAATGCATCGTTTTCTTATGTACGCATACTTTTTGTGCGGATTCTTTGCCGCTCGGGCGGCGTGTCTATTGGATCTTTTTCTCAGGGTGACGGTCCTGAATTAGACGGGCTGGTATTGTAGATAGGTAGATACGTATGCCCGTATGTTTATTGCTTCTTTTCTCAAACCCTTCCATGTGTTTTCGTAGATTCCTCAGGTATGTTTTTGCCTTCGAATTTCAAGAATTCGAAGCCTAGGCGCACAATAAATCTGATGTACCTAGCGTGAGAAGATTGCCATTATACCGAGTGTTCAAGTTCGATTATCATCAGTTATACTTGGACACAATGGGGGTGTATATTACGAATTTTATATAATAAACTACAACATATAGTGTTTATATATAAAGTTGTCAAGTGTAAGTATCACCTAGAATCTCAACTATAATGAAATACGTCGTCTCATAAAACAGTATCTGTATCAATGAAGAATAGAATATATTTCACAGCGTATGTCTAATACAAGATAATTTTACTCGATACCGGACCCTTATCATGAAATATCCAACATTCAGATATTGAAAGTAATGATGCTAGCCGCCGGAAACCTTTTCTTCGCTATTTGGTTAACTAGGAACGCTCGACGATGCAGTTGCTCGTGTCCTTGCAAGCCACACTTGGAAGATTTGCATTCGGTGCGACCATTGCAAGTAACTTGTCGAACAAGGGAGTCCCCAACCCCGTCACCGGGTCCCATCCTTCAGTAGCATTCCATCCTGCTCCCGGGACATAAGGCGTTGGTAAGCCACTATAGACTGTAACATGTTAGTGACAATGCAAAGATATAACAGTCATAGGTTCAGAATCGGCATATAAATCACGAAAGAACCCGCAAGGATAAGAGTGTAAACATACTATCAGTGCCAGTACATCCCTTGCTACCACCCAGCTTGATGTCAGTGAGACCACCTTTTACGGCATCGCTGTAAAGCCATGGGTTTAAGAAGCCCAGGGGTTTCTCGCCGCTCTTGATACGTGCGTTGTTGAGCAAGCTGATGATAGCAGCGAAGGTTGGTGCCGAAGCCGACGTCCCGCCTACTTTGATGAGCTGCCCTTGAGTGTACACGTTGAAATTTCGTCCTTGAGCTGCGACATCGGGGAATCCACGTCCACTTGGGTTGTACAGTCCTTTGAACGTGTCGCCAATGCTGTCGAGGTACGTAGCCACTTCTGATTTCTGGTAGTCGGGGATTGGGAAAACATCCGAGAAGCCACCAGACGAGAAAGAAACAGCTCGCTCGGGTTCTACACCTATGGTACCGCCCACCGACGTAACATAGGGGCAGGCTGCAGGGAAGATCGGTAGAAGACGCGTAGTGTTCTTGCCATCATTAGTTTGGCACGCACTGCCCGGGCCGGTGCTAAAAAGAGGTTAATTCGTTGATGAACCCGGATCTCAGCGTGTATTGATAAAACTTACTCTCCAGAACTAAAGAGAACTGAGACGCCACGAGCACCCAGTTGGCCAAACATGGTACATACTTTTTCGACGTACGCCTTCGGCACTGACTGTTCATCTTCGCCATATGACGTAGTTAGGGTATGAGGCAGCTCCTCATCAGCCAGATTTAGAAGGTAAGTTAGATACTCGAGATATGGCTCATTGGATCCCTTTACAATCGTTAGCAAGTCAAAGCTTAGTATTCAGAGTTCTACTTGGTAGTTTACTGACAGTTTTTGCGTTAGGTTGGCTAGTAATTATTAGTTTATGGTCAACTCTTGGTGGTGGAGGTTTAGGCTTACTCAAGATCAGGAATTAATGGACCACGACCACCAGTGGAATAATATCGGATCTGGGTATTGAAGCCCAATGATGACGCATATTGAATATCTAGATTAGCTTCGACATCATCGTCGACCGAATCAGTCTGGTTGTTCAGACCACCATTAACCAACACAGTAGTGAAGTTCTGGGAAACGGCATACGGAGCGAATTGGCCAAGGAATGTATCCAATGCGTCATGTTTGGCGTATTCATCCAAGAATCCACTGACACCAAAGATAGTTGGTACGTCTGGATCCGCAGTCGTGTCACCCACGTTATAGAGGGCGCGTAAGCATTCAGGAGTTACGGTAGAATTACAGAAAGTCACGTTGAGATTCTGGCTAGGAATTTCAGCAGCGATTTGAAATTTGTGGGCCACCTCTTGCTGCTCGATAACCTCGTAGACTTGGACAGCTTGCGGTTTCATCTGGCCAAATCTAGTGGTAGGCTGGATCATGGTGATGTGTGGTCTCACTTCGTCGGGAACGGAATAACTGTTTCGAGTTAGAAAATCTCAATGCTTCCCCGTCGATCAGGGATAATTGCATACTGCAAAGTCCGGACTCGCTGGGCATTTGTGCCGGCGTTTTTGTACACTTGAAAATTGGTGTTCAACAAATTGGACGCTCTCAGTACGGTGGTTTTGAAGTTGATCCATTCACCATCATTCTCGATGTCGGACGAGGGGATACCGGCTGTCTGAAGCCATTCTAGCACAGCAGCAGTGGATTCTTCTCGCGGCTTCATCATCTCCTTAACCTCATCACGAGACATGTGCCGTCCGTAAAGAGGATTCTGTGGTGTAGAGATGTCATAGAGAGTTTTCTCAAAGTGACCCAAGTTAGGCTGTTCCAGAGCAATTCGCAACTTGAGTTTTTGGGCTGGATGCGCGTTCTTGACCTTAGACCAACCAGAGGGAACCTTCGGTAAAGACTCAACAACGACATCTTTACCCTCGACGGCAGTTTGGAGTAGCGCAATAGCTGCGCAAAGGAGTGTGTAAGACTTCATCGCGAGCTATGCTGTAAGTCAAAAACAAGGGTGATGCAAGACCGATAAATGATAGAATGACCAACTGCCCCTTCACCAGAAGAGCTGGATATTGTTTGGGGTGAAATAAAGGAATGGAATAGACCTCGAATGAGATCGAGGAGTAAGTATTTTAATAAGTATGAAACATCCCTGTGTAAGATTATGTCAAGGCGAGCGATTCCAGTTAAGAAAACTTGGCTGGCCTAACCAAGAATCTTCATTAAGAATGTTAAGAGGAAACAAGCAGACAAGCAGACAAGTTCGAATTAATTCCCATAACATACATGTATGTACCCAGACAGACCAGGTATGTATGTACTTGAAGTATCTTACTCAGCCAGCTTCCGGCGTGCCTGCCGTCGAATTAAAATTAATATCCATGCTACGGTTTCCCATCACGGACTTGCTTCCTTCCACCTGCCAAAATGGACACCTAGTGACGCCAATCAAGAAAGGGAGAAGCCGATGTTATCGGTATCCTAAACATACTAAACTACCTGGTTAGTCATTGCACCCAATAAACAAACCCGGGGGAACTGTTAGGTAGGATTCGCGGATTTGAAAGCTGTGCTATGCAGGTGAGACCACAGAGCGAAGATCAAATTAGAGGAGGTCGATCATTAACTTGATCAGTGAATCTACATGAGCACGATTCGGAAATACCTGCTCTCTGCAGTCTCAATTAACGGATCAATTGACCAATTGACACTGTACGGACTGTACAGATAGCACTAGGTATACCCATGGCCCCGGGCTGCCAGGGCTACTAGGCTTGTTACCTAGCAGCTAGGGTACGATAACAAGCAACGACTAAACCTCTGGCGAGCTCTATTATTAGCTTATGCCTGCCTTACGTGACATACCTATTCCTAGGCATCTAGATAGGCATTTGCTTGTTTAAACCTCCCTACCGACCTACCTACAAATATTTTTCTACGATATTCAAACAACATATCCATTTTCAACCGACATTACGTGTGGACAGTGGAGGGAACTATAAGAAGGAATAGACAACGCAGCTAATGCTGTCATAGACCCGTTCTTTTCCTTCTCACTCCGAATCCACCAGATTATAATAGTTTCTTCCTTCGTTAGGAAGTTAGATAACTATTACGCTATATTACTAGTTGACCGGCTTGTTTAATCTAGGTACCTATTATTGAAAGCTCCTACCATAAAAGATCAAGCCGACCCATTCTGACCATCGGTAATAGTAATCGTTTGAATTGAATCAAACATAGTGGCAGAAGCTCGCCCGGTGTCTTGGCCGATGAGACATCTTTGTCCGATAGCTCGGTAACCCGAACCACAAAATTTCGCCAAACACTAAAAATCGTCATCAAATGCGTTCGAGGGTAGAATATATCTCATGGGTCCTGGTTCTGACATGGAATGACCGGCTTCCACGCATCCTCCTTCTTGGCGATGGCCAAGCTAAACAAGGTATTTACAGCTTGGTTGCCACTGTTTTGATTCCCAGCTATATAAGCCATAATCATGTTCAACATAGCGATATCTTATGATATGCTATTACTTGAGACGTTTGTTGTATGGAATCATCGTTGGTCATTGGATCGAGCTTGTGCAGGAATCGACTCTCGCAACAGATCCTGCAAGATGGTACCGATGAATGCTACCACCCGATTAACTAACATTGGCCGTTTCAAACATCGCAATTTCTATTGTAGTTCTCATCGAGACATAAATAGGTACCTCCAAAAGAATATTAGAACAAGAAATTCTTCCATTTCTACCATAATCAATTCTCTATTTTCACTATCCCTGCCTCTTACGAAACCCAGATATAAACAGACTTAAAATGATTGCCCTATTGACTATAGCGAACTACAAACCCTCGGGTCTTTCTAGAATTTCATCATCAGACGAAGCTGAAAGGGGGGAAGCAATGGGTCCTACACCACGGGCAAAGCAAAACTACACCAAGGCCATCATTCTCGGCCTGGTGTGCGGGATTGTGGTCGGGGGCGCAATTGGCATAGGCGTTGCTTATGTGACGAGAGGTAGAAAGTCTTAAGCGTTACATACGGCGTTTATATCGAGTCATCTCAGAAGCATCAGGGGATACCATATAAGAATAATCACTCCATCGGGCGACATATGCAAGATTCAAGGCGATTCAAAGACATGTATGCTGTTACACGGATAAAGCATATATCGGGTACTATTCTTGACATCAATCCAGCTAATACATCATGACTAGGTGCATCATAACACACTATAATACTCGCCCCTTTAACGCCCTGTGATTCTAGTATGGAATTCCGGGTATAATTCTGCAAGTTCGGCTTCCCTAGCCGCAATGGTAGTCTCGGAAGTTCTACCCTGGTGCTTAAGTGACCACAATCGCAACCCCGTGATAATAACCATGAGCGCAAACTTCTCTCCTAGCTCGCCGGCCTGCGCACTTCCCCTGAACTCGATCTTAAAGGGGTTCATCACCGACCAGTTACTATTCCAAGCAAAAACAGCGATGATCTCCGGCCCTTCACTTGTGCTTCCCTGTGGTGTCTCATCGGTCACTCTCACCAGTTTAAACCCACACTTCCACGGCGGATCGATTAAATTCCTGTCTTCATCGCCTTTGCTCTTCCGCCACTCAAAAACCTCGCGCCGCATCCCTTGTTTTTGCCTAGTCTCGGCTGAAAATCGAAAGGTCACAGTGCCAAAACTTGTAGCAGCATGCATGATTTCCGTACAACTCTCATCAGAGATGTCGCCTGACGGTCGAGCTAAGGTGATGATGGTATTTAGCGACGAGAGATTTCCGTTCTCGTCGCCAGCAGCAGCGAGCAATGTGTCTTTGTCACTTGGGCCATTATGTAAGATCACACCTGGCTTTCCCGGCCCCTTTCCGCCAAAGCCTGTGTGCACCGACACGGCGAAGAGTCGTTTATTTATGGTACTACCCAGATGAAATATGGTGCTAACCTTCCATTGGTAATGCGCATCCAAAATTGATGGAAATGGTAGATATGGGGAAAGCACGGCGTCTGACAATACATTAGGAGTGTCTCCTTTTTGTACTGCGCTGCTCGGATGAGATTCTTGGGCAACCTCCGAATATGGTGGTGGCGCTAGGCTGTCATCTACCGCTACCTGAGATTTCGAGTCTTCCGGTTTCCCCATCTTGTTAAGTCAGATCTTTCGTAGGTGTTAATATATCGTATAAATATCGGGGTGTTTAGGGGAACATATAACGCCACAACACCAAATATGGACGTCAAGATATCAAGCTACTGTGGTAGATAGAAATAAATCTCAAACCCCACAGAAATATATAAGCATAAGGGAACTTGGCCTTTCAAGGATGTTCGGAATTATCTATTTCCGATTTATTTGGGCAGCGTTGGACATCAGCATAGGTGTTGGCGACTATCAATTTGCTCCCATCATGTTATGTTTACCTATGCTTGCCGTTTCGTATCACTCCGAGATTAAATAGGTCAGAACTTGACGTCAATGCCAAGGAGTAAGCGCGTTGTCCTGATCGTCGTAGGAGTTAAACCAGAGCCGGATTTCTTTAATCGTCCAGGCAGCCAGGCTACCTTACTTCTCTTGAACCCTATATTACTATATATAGAAATGACATGCGGTTAGGAATATCTAGAAAATAGTATGTGATTATTGCTGACCAACTTCGCAGTGAATCGCGGGTATGGATTCACTGGGCGACTCCATAAAAATCATCAACATCTACTCTGAGACTAAAGCTACTAGGTAAGTTTATGGATGTAAAACGTCAACGCCATTCTTTGCGAAAAGTAAGTAAAATCTAGTTGGTATCATGTTGGAAGCTAGCCAAAGAATGACATAGCATGATGTAGGTTCACTTGAAATCATATGAAAGTCGGCCTGTGATGTTGTGGTTCAATGTTATGGTAAATTCATCTAGTGTCGACGAGGTTAATCGATGGACTGCTTCCTTTGACTCTCTACCACACCTTCATATATTCTGAAAGGCTGGTAAAGTCTCTGTCGAGAGTCAAAGGTCGCTTGTAGGCGTCACCGAAGGACGTCTTTCTGAGGGTTTACCTCGAGATATTGACTATTTGATGATCAAGTTCTCGAACAGCCAACTTCGATTGTATCCTCGATCTTGGCTGTCCCCGTTATACACATTTTGATGAATTATATAATGGTTATCTGTGCCGTCTCAGCGATCGGAAGACAGGCTTCTAACCTATTTTCACATAATTTCCTATATAGTCGTTAGCTGAAGAGAACACCAGTTTCTATATAGTAGGCACATACCAGGAAATTGTCCCTGTTTCCCATGACATTTCCCCACCCACCATTCGTTCTCGTTCTTAGTTTTGCTGACAATTTCTATTAAGTCCCCTGCCCTAAAGCTTATATCACCCTCGGCCTGGGCGGAGTAGTCATATAAAGCGGTTACCATCTCGACAGCCGGTGCTCCGCTGAGTCGGGTAGGCTTTGGTTTTGGCGGGGGAGGTTTTGGCTTCCCTGCTGCAATTGCCGCCAATCCTGCCGAGCTAGGACCACTCAAGGGGGGTGACATAGGTGGCTTTAGACCGGCTGCAGATGCGGAGTAGGGTGGAGGAGGGTTCTCTACAACTTCCGGTTGGGATTGTTGGCCGTACTTCGCTGATACTGGGCTCGGTATTGGCGACGGACCGGCAGTGAGAAGAGCTGCAGGTCGCGTACCTGCCTCGATCGCTGGCGGCCGCGTGCCTGCTTCGATTGCCGGTGGCTTGTTCCCGTACTTTGGTGGCGGCTTCTTTTGACCACTGGTCTTAAACCGGACAATACTTAGCGCTTCGGTTTGCTCTTGAATGTCTGCTCTTTTGCTCATGAATGCTTCCTCTACGTCGAGCGTTAAGTCGAAATATCCAATATCGCAATGCTGCATCTTCTCGTGAAGTGTGTAGAAGATGTTCAGCTGCATGTAATAGAAGGACTGGAATAGCGGCTTGATGAATTGTCGCTCAAGGGTGAATAATTTAGGCAGTTCGTCTTTTAGCAGATCGTTGAAGTAGTTGAATTCCTGGGTGGCTTGCTCGACATCACTTTCTGCCTTCCACAAGGCTTTCTCATCTTTGGCACTCTTCTCCTTTTTATCTTGAATTTTCTTGAGTGTCGCATTGTGCCGGTCAAAGTCGAGTTTTTTGTGTTCACGCTTCGTCGCAGTTTTTCTGATAACCTTAAGTACGTCGAGCAGCTCGTTCGCCGGGCGGATGACTCGCGAATCGATCATTTCAAGTTCGGGCTTAAGCGACTCCTGTAAATCCTTGACAACGGCTTCGTACTCCATGCAGGCCCGGATACCGTCGGGATTGCCTTGGATTTCCAAGGAATCTGGGTCAGACATGCGGCCAGATATGGGTTTATAAATTTCAGTCATCGCCTTGCTGAATTCGATCTGGTGGTTGAGCATGCCATTTATGGCGTCGGAGTACTTCATGCTTTCATCGTGGAGGCGCTTGGTCTCGACCTCGAGCTCGTGGAATCGTCGTTCCGCATCGATGAACACAGGATCCTTGCTATGTTCGCCAATATTGAATTTGGCTTTGAATTGTTGCGGCGCCTATGCGTTAGGGAGTTGGTTAGCTGAAAATAGCTTTTCTACATTGGGCGCATTGATACTCACCCGGACGACGCTCTTCTGAAAACCTCGGAAGCTCATCGCTCTACGAGGTTAAGGTATCCTGCCTGGCCAAGGGCTGTCCGGTAAATGTGGAGGGATTGGAGGGGGGTATTATTGATTTGCGTTGACAATATTCTTGGTACGAGAATTAATTAGGTACCTAGGTGATGCTCCGAAAAGCAATGCCGAATACGCCGTATGCCGTATGTGGTGTCGATCGTAGAGTAAACTCGAGTAGGAAACTCCGAAAAGAGGTAGTAGGGTGTGAGGATGATAGACGATGGATGTGTTATAAGGCAAGACTAATAGTAGTAAGACTTGAAGTAATATAGATGTATGTAGTAGTAAACTTGGGAACAAGTGCTACTAGGACCTAGGTCTTCTCCCAGTGACGACGTCGTTCCTTGTGGCAGTGCCTTAGCTCGGGCTTCACGGAGAGTCCGCAATGGTGGTTGTGTGTGGCTTGGACGTTTATCTTACTTGGTACCTTCAACGCTTAAATGGGAACCTGAAAATACCCAGAAGAGGTTACTTGGTAGCTCCTGACTCGTGAACCTCCAGTTTTCCACCCCTATCATGTTACACAGATAGATAGATAAAATATCAGATATCCGAAATTCCACATGATTCCAAGGTTCCTTCTCTGGATGTTAGATATGCTTGCCGTGTTCCGTAATGTGGGAAACTTTCTTTGTGTTAGGTGGGCTGTCACTTTAATCCATGCTAAGCAGCAGGGCCTAAAAAGCTCGCTAACGTCATCAAACTTGAAGGAGGGGCAAGCGTCATTGTGGATCCATATTTATGATTATGTAACAGAATCCATGGATACCTACTACTAGGTACCTATGTACTCAAATACTAGCGCGCGTCATAGTTCATCCGTCCCGATATCCCCGAGCTTCAGCTTTTAGCAACGCCGCCGAACCGACCGAGCTTCGGAGCTTTTTTTTCGCGCCTTTTTGACAATTGCTTTGAAATTCGCCATTCGCCATCCGCCATCCAGCTTAAGACAAGCTCTCCACTAACTCCTCCCTTTCTTCTAAACCTATTAATTTTTCTCCATATTACATTTAATATTTTGTTCACACATCGCAACATTATGGCGAACGTCGCCTCATCAGCCTTGAGACGGGCTTCGCGCCTTGGTCTCAAGCAATCCCTCTCTTCGACCCCTCTACGAGGAATCCCTTCCATATCAAGAGTAGCAGCCGTAACCACAACGCAAGTTTCACGAAGAGGTTATGTATCCGAAACAAAGCGAGACAATGCACAGGTTAATGTCGAGACCGCAATACGGTTAGATAAGAAAGACTTCATGAATGAGAAAGGCGAGCTCATTACAGGACGACCCGGTGCCCCTGCAAATGCCACAATTAGCCCAATGGCCGAAGTTCTCAAGGAAGCAACCGTTTTAGAGGAAGGTCAACGTCCTATATATCTTGATATGCAGGCTACGACACCAGTCGACCCCAGAGTTCTTGATGCTATGTTACCTTTCTTCGTCAACGTCTACGGCAACCCTCATTCGCGAACACACGCATACGGTTGGGAAAGTGAAAAAGCCGTAGAGGAGGCGCGAGAGCATATCGCAAAGCTCATTGGTGCAGATGCTAAGGAAATTATATTCACTAGCGGCGCGACCGAGAGTAACAATATGAGCATCAAAGGTGTCGCGAGATTCTTCGGGCGATCGGGCAAGAAGAAGCATATCGTCACTAGCCAGACGGAGCACAAATGTGTCCTTGACAGCTGCCGACATCTTCAAGATGAAGGCTTCGACGTCACATACCTCCCTGTCCAAACTAATGGCCTCATAAATTTGCAGGAGTTAGAGGCCGCAATCCGACCGGACACTGCCATTGTTAGTATTATGGCCGTTAACAATGAGATCGGTGTTATCCAACCCTTGGAGGAGATTGGCAAAATGTGTCGCCGAAAGAAGGTCTTCTTCCACACCGACGGCGCACAGGCCGTTGGCAAGATTCCTTTGGATGTTAATGCGATGAATATCGACTTGATGTCAATCTCATCGCACAAAATCTATGGTCCCAAGGGTATCGGTGCCTGTTATGTTCGAAGACGGCCGCGAGTCAGATTAGAACCTATCATCAGTGGCGGTGGTCAGGAACGAGGTTTGCGCAGTGGTACCCTTGCCCCACCCCTCGTCGTGGGCTTTGGCGAAGCCTGTCGAATCGCTAAACAAGAGTTGGAAGTAAGTTTATATCTGCATTTTTCTCCTCTAACATTCCCCTAAACAACTGATGAACCGCTTAAACATGCATGGCTTGCTGAATTCCTTGACCGGAATTATTTTGTTGAGACACAGCACACGCGTCTGATTTTCCTCGTACCTACGTACTTGATCGTCGAATATTTTGAGAAGGTTCATGTTGCTAACAAACTTCTGCAGTACGACTCGAAGCGCATCAAATCACTATCTGATCGATTATTAAAAGGACTCTTGGCTTTGGAACATACAAGCCAAAATGGTGACCCTGACAGTTTCTATCCAGGTTGCGTTAACGTTTCCTTTGCGTACGTTGAAGGCGAATCGCTTCTCATGGCCTTGAAGGATATCGCGCTATCATCTGGTAGCGCTTGCACTTCCGCTTCATTAGAGCCAAGCTATGTCTTGAGGGCATTGGGAAACAGTGATGAGAGCGCACACAGCAGTATTAGATTCGGTATTGGCCGATTCACTACGGAGCAAGAAATCGATTACGTTCTCAAGGCTGTTCAGGAACGAGTCACCTTCCTTCGCGAATTAAGTCCTCTATGGGAGCTCGTACAAGAAGGTATCGACTTGAACACGATCGAGTGGAGTCAACATTGATTTATCGCCAACCCTTACCAATCGCTCTCTATCCTCACCCCGTATAAGGCGCAGGGTGTAATGGTTGCCTATGAATGGAGGCCACACTATGGCCGATATGGCCAGTTCCACAATCTCTTTGAACAGGAAACCGAGGCCGATGAAGCTTCGTTTGTACTTTAGGAGTTAGGCTGGTTGGTACGTTGTTTGGCTCGCCGCTCATTGCGAGCATGCATTAGGCAGGAATACGTGGTCTCGGGTCGCTTAGGGTGTGCGGCTATTATGAGAGGACCACCGGATGGAAAATTCATATGAATAAGGATGTGTCTATTGATACCTATGGAATAACGTGCTTTAATGAAACATGAACTCATGAGTAAGTTCTCTGTGTACCTGCATAAGAAATCGTGATAAGGGGGATGTCCTCTATATTTGTTCTTGTACCAATCATGGTTTACTTTGAAGATGTGTCTACATGGAGTCCCTCTCCACTATGTATTAAATAACCCCTCCGACTTGTAGGGCTGAGAGAACGATCTGATCCAAATTGCTGGAGAAGCCTTGGCAAAACCAATAGAAGATTTTACCGACTTGTGTTTCAGAGACGTAATAGATCCATCTAGAAGGTACATCTACATATGTCTATGTACGTCATTATAGAGGTGACAGAAAATACCAACAAACGAATCGGAGCATGAAGGCGCCGAAAATTAGGGACACTCCCATTTCTATGATGAAACCTCTAAAATGTAAAGTGGAAAACTGACGCAATATGTTTATGGTTCTACAAACATATCACATTACTTAGAAAAACTTAAGTGGCTTGAAAGAGTACCTGAATGCTTGTCCCGATGCAAAGAAATGACATCAACGAAGACGACCCGGTGCCACAGTCTATGACGTCGTACTTTCCTAAAAGCGTAATTTTACTCTCCACCTTTGTGCTACAGAGACCAAACACCACACCTACGATGTAAGTACCTAGTTCCTTACACTAGAACTTGGAGATTTACCACCTTCATCATATTTGTTTATCCTGTAGGTAATTGCCTCCCGATTATAATATTTAATTGAGGGCCTATGACTTCTGGCTTAATCTTTTGAATCACCTAAACTCTCTGTTTTCTTAACATTACTAAAGATATTCTATATTAAGTAGACTACAAATATCTATTTAATTTATTTATATCTCTACACCATCAATCAACATGTCAAACGATAACACATCGACTCTTAAGGCAGTCGTCGATTCTGCCACTGGCACAGCTCAGAATGCTTTCGGTAGTATAACTGGCAACACTTCACACCAAGTATGTCCTCCGTCCTATAAGCAATTCACATTGTTCTTCACTTACTAATACGGATATTTCATCAGGTCGAAGGACAAGCCAAGCAGAACAAAGCTGACGCCGAAAACGAAGCCTCCCATGCCACAGCCAAGATTCCGGGCTTCACTGCATCGTCCTCTGGTGCAGTCACGAAGGATGACCCTAATCGAACCTCCGGTGCATATAACCAGACAATAGGTTCAGCTAAAGAGTTCGTTGGTGGATTAACGGGTTCTGAGGTCAGTAATTGGTTCGGGGAATCTATTAACCTATGACGGTTTCCCAATTCTGACTCATATATGCAGTCGTTAAAGGCTACTGGTCGACAACAAAACCAGGAGGGTCAACAGCAGGAGGCAAAAGGTCAAGTTAATGATTATGTCGGTGGTATCTCTGACCGTGTTGCTGGTACGATTGGTGGAGCTTTTGCCGGTATCACTGGTAACAAGTCTGCCGAGTCGGAATATCAAAAGCAGCATGACGCTGGAAAAACAACTCAACGAGGGGCCGAAGAAGATATTGTGAAGAAAGCCGATGCCGAGTCCGCAGCCTCACGCAAGTCTTAGGCACTTCAACGAGCTGCCATGTCGGGAAGTTCCCGACAGGAACTATGTAATCTCCTGAATTGTGGCGGCGATATCATGATACCCACGCGTTATGAGATTAGCTGCGAGATATATTACTAGCGGATTGTGGAGATGGATTGGTACGGCAAAATGCGTTCATATCCGAAATAGAATCAATACCCACCTATGCGCTCACAACGTCTAGATGCTTATGTGACCACAAAAGATCTTGGCAAGGATGTCTGGGGATGGTACTAGGTAATAAATCACGATGATTACCGAGATAATATGTATGTCAGCTATCTGTCAGGCTTGTCAGCAGACGGACGAGTAGAAATTGAAACCAGCATGGTGAATTCGTCAACACCCCCCTGTCGCGGCTCTCTACAGGGGTAACACCTGATTCTGTAGCCCGCCTTATAGGGCAGAACGCAGAATACCATGTAGGTACAGCATTTGTATCCGTTTGTTCTTGGTAGCGCTTCGAACTGTTGCGATTTCGCCGTACGTAAGACTCGGCTCTTCCCTAGATTGTCTTAGGCAGTGGGCTTCTCTGTTGCAAGACCCTGTCATGAGGTGCTTGACGACCGAATAAACAGGTCGGATCAGATATCTGAATGGTTAGAAACATCGCTCATATTCACATGACTCTAGCTATACTGGCATAGCCTGATGCAGATCAGATGAATCATCCAATTTCCCGCGTGAGGCTACTTACGCGATTGATTACCTATTAGGAGCGAGCCATATCACCTACCACGATCGTCGATGGATGAAGCATTGTAGACGATCTTGGAAGGTATAAAGCCAACTTTGATTTATAGTAGGTACCTACTTACCATCTAGATAGGTACCCAGGTATGTAGGTAGTACCTACCTAGTAGTTCCACAAGAATTCGGAGGAGAGGAAAGAAGGGAAAAATTGATCTAGAAAAACATGAGACATAATAGAAAAATATTAATGAAAAGGAAATTATAAAACAGCAGAAATTCCCAATGCGGGCTTCTGAGTGGCGGTTAAACGATGCAGCCACATCCAGTTTGTATCAGGTGAAGGTCTAAAGTCTTGTAAGAGTCTGCGAGAAGTCACCAATCGATTGAGCTTGCAGGTACGTAAAATACATCCATTCCTCGATTACCCGCTATGAGGCATCCCAAATCCGCCTAGGACTTTTTGATATTATTTGGTTTATCATTGCGGAGGTACATCAGGTACATGCTGTATTATGGAAGGATCTAACCTTGAATTGCCAGTGTCCAAGAATTGAACATTCTCTATTGTGGAGCCGCCCTGCCCTAAACCTGATCCGTGCGTGATGTACTTCGTACTACTTTTTGTACTACTTTTCGACATCTGTCGTCTCGGCCCCCAACTTTCGAACCTACCCTGAATCAACCTCAATTCAGCATAGAGCCGCAGACCATACCAGGCTCCAGAGGCTTCAGGGCTGACTACGCCGTGGGAGCAGCCTATTCCCTCATGCACGACAAGCTTAATCATTGCCAATCACTAGCCCCCAACTTACTTCTGCTTTTCCCCCTAATATTTTTAGGGCCCTCAACCTGCCAACCGGGGCGTGGCCCGCGGACAGTCCCATCTTCATCGCAACTATGGCCCCTACTTTTTCTCAAAGATGGGCAGGATGGCCTGGACGGGTAGGATGTGTCGACTCATGGTGTGCCGATATTTCCTCTTGACCATGACAGCATCATGGGTGTATCTTATTATACGCTTGGGAGTGTCACTGTATCTTCGGTGAAGATAAAGCACTTCCAGGGCTATTCTGGCGCTATTCTTGGGCTGTTCCTTTGGGGGGGAAATCTATTATCGTCTAGTACACATTATCATATCATCGCTTGATCTTGCTAAGCCATGTACTATTCGGTTGGTAAGTTTTTATATGCGTGCCCAGTGTCCGGGGCGTCTGGGGCTAGTTTAGCCATGTTTCTCGGTCACGTCCTTGGGCTTGTATAGTATAGGAAACCGCCTTGATCTACGGTGTCGTTGAGAGCATCTAGCGCCTCCCTTCCCATGCGACCTAACGGTGGATGGACAACCTTGGAAACCCGCACTATTCATCGGGAGTCCAGACGTCTGTCCACTCTCCCTTCTAATTCGCTTACGGCACCGTATTATATGCCATTACGAGCCACCATATTCTGTCGAGTTACTGTTATTGGTGGAACACATCTTAAGGCTCACCGAAGGCGTACTCTGCTCACACCCTTACACATGGCCGTTCCTGGGACCATAAACTGCAGCCCAGATAGTGGAGCGTCATGCAGTAACTCGGTATAGGCGTAGGAATTTCTTGTCTCCTGGGTTGTCGTCAAAATGACTCCTAAGACAAGACTGACACCTACTTATTTCTACAATGTGCGGGTCGACATCTATACTCTATCAGGCAGCACTACCCGCTACCTCAATCTCGATGGCCGACGCTGGGCACGAGTGCTGCTAGTGCCCGCGCGGCTCTACTTACAAAGCTCTTTTACAGCACGAGTTCACACAAACCCCTGCCGGAAACACATTTCCATTGTTACTATGAACCGGGACAGATGCGTCGGTGCCACTCAAGAACGCTTTAAGGAATCGGCTTAGATTGCCCATCTCCGCGCGGCATCCCCTTAGGATTCGAGCTCATAATCTACTTGTATCAACGGCCCACTTGTTTAGAAGTCATCCTACGACAGAGTTGTGCCATCTGCTCACTTGCGTTGGCATACGCATAACCTCGTGAACATTGCCTAAAACCTTAAAACCCTTTCTCCGAGATTTCGGCGTCCTCCATCTTGGAAGCCTGAGGAAGTTGACTGTTTGGCTCCTCCTTTCGGCTATCTCCTGCTGGTTTCGAAGGAAAAAAAAGTCGAGTGACACCGGCCGTCCTTTTGGTTGTCTGCCACTCAGAACGCGAGTTTCAGGGGTTGACTCATCAGGGCAGGTCCGGTACTAATAGATTGAGGTATCTCCCTTGTAGTAGCTACCAGTGCGAGATTTTCATACCATACTGGTAGAAAATAATAAACCACTTCCGGACGAGCGTGACCGAAATCTATCATATTCAGTTCGAGATTAAATTATCCATCAACCCACGAACCATCTCGACCATGGGTAGAAGAACATCTACAGCGATGATGCGAATTGCGATCGCGGGTGCTGGGGGCTTTGCCTCTCTTCTAGCTCAGGAGCTCTCCCGTAGCGCCTACGCCATAATCGTTCTTTCGACAAAGGTAATTGAATCAGGGCCATTACTATCAGTTAGAAATAACTAATTGGTTGATAGGAACACCCGGAATTCGAAGCCAGTTACGATTGTCAGGTAGCCGTAGTCGACTACAACATCCTCGAGGACCTTCAGTTCACTCTCGAGGGTGTCGACCTTGTGATATCCACCATCTCCGGCGCAGAACAACTTAACCTCATCGATGCAGCTAGAAGGGCTCGCGTGCGCTGCTTTGTACCTTCCGAATTTGAGGGCGCCATTGGCCGTAGACCACCAACAGGGACTGACCCTTTCGACAATGATTCATCGACTGCTCTAGAGCAGCTTCGACATTGGTCACAATCTAGACAACACTCGATGAAATACACCGTATTCTCTTGCGGTATCTTCTACGAACGGTTCGCCCCTGGCGGTCTTCAAGCATTCAACATGGGCATCACATGCCGGATTCGAAACCAGGGAGACTACATGATAGATGTAGGACAGGGGATTGCCGAAGTCCCGGAAGCCACTCCTCAAGGCCACCCTATATACATTGTAATGACATCAGCAATTGATGTGGCACGGTTTGTCGCGGCGGCGGTCGAGCTTGGTATCGATACTTGGCCAAGAGAGTTCAGAATGCGTGGCACCCGCATGACGACTCGGAGACTTCACGAGATCTGTAGCGAGGTCCGAGGAGGTGAGTGACAAAGACACCATTTATTTGAATACCACCGCTAATTCATTTAAGTCGAATTCGATGTGATCACGAGACCATACGATCAGATCGAGCAGTGGCTTCGCTACTACGAGCAGAGTCGGGACGAGGCTAAATGGTTCTCGATGCAACATCTTCTGCAGACTGCCAACGGCCGCTACACTTTCGGGGACACGAATTTGAACGATGCAGTGGATGTACAACCTACGAACTTTCGTCAGTGGCTATACAACACTTGGGGCCCGGCGTAATAATACCAGTCTTTCCGGTTCAGGTGGGCTTGGATGGCTAACTATCGTGTACGCCACTCGGACAGCCGTCTATGTATTTGTCGACTATTCTGCCTGCGATCGGCATCTTGAACTGGTTGCCCGTTCCACTAGCCTCGGCGACCCTTTTAAGTGATCTAGAATGCATCATGGCGGAGTTGAAGAGAAGCATATAGTTATTACTTATTCTTATTTCCCGATATTTTCTACCTAAATATTCGGCTTGTAAACAATATGCACATCAGCATTTAGTGCTACCTGACTATCGACTGTGAGCCTGCCGGCTAGGCGTAGCAGTCTGATTCAGACGCCCCTCCTTTATACAAGACAAGAAGACTCGGTCGAAGTTCCCGCTGCTTTTTAATTCTAGGTGATATCGTCCCATGTACGTAGGAGATCTTGTGAGACAATCTAACCCAATTCATGGCACGGCATTCTTATTAGCGTCCCACTTCCATACGTGGCTGCAGGTATGGATATGGATATACATGCGTACTGCGCCCCATCCATATACATACCTACCTGCCTACCATACCGCCTCTCTCCCCTACAAAAACCGTAAACAGACTGCTAAATCGTTACCAAACAATCGGGTTCGTAAGGCCAGGGCACTGCTAGCCATTGTCATTGGATATCAAGTTTCCCCTGTCCGTCTACGCTCACTGGGTAGTTATCTGCTGACGAAGACTGCAATGCTTACACAAAGTCCGGGTGGCAAGGAAACGCACGATGATTTGATCCGTAGTCTTCACCTTCACTCGGCAGTCTACCAGAACCCACTCTCAAACGTTCATAAGTTAAGTTGCGATCGGATGCTGCCTTGAGCAACGTCAGACTACCTGATCATATATGCAGTCTCACCTTGGTATATATAAACCTGCACATATAGCATTTGCCTTGCGGGATGGCACCTAGGACGAGGCCGCATGTCAAGAATCGGTCATGATTTTCGTCCCTGCAGCCTTAGCTCTATCGATTCTCGTCCGGTCTTCCCGTTATTGCCTAGGATAAGCCCTAAATAAATTAAAATTCCCTTTCCCCCCAAACGCCCCCATAGGCCATTTTGCGTCTTTCGAATACAACATGGGGCACATATCCTGCCCTATGCTGATGTGCGTTAGCGCCCACCGAGAGATGCAGATAAGCCGCTGTAACACCCTTGAGTCGCGGGTCGTGGTGCCGTACCATGGCAGCATGGCCGCTTGATCTCGAACCCCATTCTATCCAGTGTTTACGTTTATCGCAGAGCCTCAATTTCCTAAATTGAAAGAAGAAAATTTTTTCTACGTCGTTTCCTCCCCCCTTAAAAATTCCTCCGGGTTGAACCGCGGGGTAGCCGGTTGAATGACCCTTCGCAGATTATCACGGGGATGTGGGCTTCGACCCGTCAAGAAGGCGGCGTAGGGTGGTGCGCCCCTCCGCCATTATTTTCAGGCAACCTACAGGACCCCTCACGCTTACACCTCCCTTCCTTCTATTTTTTCCTTTTCCTCTTTCTTTTTCTTCCCTTTAGTCGTCACCGAATTCGTCAACGATCCACAAACAAAACTTCTCCCACTCAATTTCCCATTCCTTGAGTCTCTGCGCCTTGATCCCACTTCCGGTGCTTGCTTCCCTGATGTCTCTACTCCATTCTTCGGCTGTCTGGTCCTCGAATGTCGACCAGCGGATGCTATTCTCGGCGAGGCTACCTAGCCCCGCCAACCCCAGGTTTTCCCAGCCCTGCAAGGCCTGCCAGAAATCGTGCGTCGACCCTGCAGTGTCCTGACCGAGCATGGCAGGGTCGTCGTTGTTCAGGGAACACGCCACACCGCATGCTAAGAGAGCGGGCAAAGGATGGCTCATGACGGAGCCACAGAGACGGAGCACCTCATTAGAGATAGGGCAACTCTCCACTAAAATCTTTTTCTCTTTGACGAGATCGATCAGTAGCGGGTGCTTGTATAGGCTAAATCCGTGGCCAATACGCCTCGTACCCAGGAGCACGGCGTCGTATAAGTTGTGGTCCGTATCGCTGCCGGACCCGAGACACTCCCCGGCGTGAAAGAAGAAAGGGATATTAACAGCCTCTTCAGCGCATTGCTTGCGGAACCAAAAAAGTTCCGGGAGTAGGTCACGCAAAGGCCGCCCGCCATCTTCCTGACCTACTAGATCATAACCAGCAATCAAATGCGGATGCGTGATTTTGGTCATAATGCACTGTTCCATGTTTTGCACAATATCTCGCGTAGGGAGGAATCGTAGTGCAGACCAGATAATGCGTACTCCCCAAAATCCTTCCCCTTCCTCGGTTGCCTGGAACCGAGCAACTTCCTCGTCTATGACGGTCATCATGGCACTGTAGTCATGCTCAACGGTTTCGCTGTCCTGTACGTAGTAGTCCAGCGCCCACGAGAACCTTATTTCGCACCAATTGATACCATCGGCCTTTAACAGACTAATGAGTCGTTGCAAGAATTTGCGGAAGATAGGTTCGTAGTGTATCATAGAGTTGACGACCCGGAAACACTTGTAGAACTTCTGCCATATGTGATCGACACCGTGATGCTGGGAGACAGCATCCGTCCGAGATATGGTGCAACGTCCGTATAGCCACTTTAGGAAGCCGGCTTTACCGCCTTCGGGAAATGCATCGGCAGCCTGTGTCAAGAGAATATGGGTTCCTTCCTTATAATCTTGACTCCATAAACTACCATCCGTGCGCGGTTCTTTAAAGAAGCGGAAATTCAACTTCGCTTCTTCCCTCGCCCCAGCCGTTGTAAGAGGCTGGTCAGCGGACAGATGCATCCCCGGCGTTTCGAAAAGGACATCCAACAAATACTCAAAGTCGACCATAGCATCCATGTGAGCATGTAGAAGCGCGCCTTTGGGCATTTTCCGAACGATACTCCATAACTTAGTACTCTCCATCCTCTCTTTTGATAGAGAAAACATCATGCCCGGATGAACGGTCATTTCAGCCTCCTGAGCAAGCGAGTCCTCGAGCTGCGGTGTCCATACCGTTCTCTTCTCCTCATCACGGATGCGCGCTACGATATCACAGGCGCGTTTGGCAATAGGGGAGAGGCTCTGTTTGAATGATGCGTCTAATGTTTGCGTCATCTATGTTAGTGGGTGAGAAAAAAGGGGGTTGGTTAGGTTTATACAAACCGCTGCGTTTCTTATCCTCTTGCACTATAAGAGCCTCCCGACCTTGTATGTATTTTTGCATAAAAGGGTCGGTCTCCTTAGGGATATCTTGGGAAACCTCCGCCCATTCTTCATCGGTGTAAGATCCAAAGTCCATTTTTCCAGGGATCGTATGTATACCTTGCTACTGCTGTATGTAGATGATAGGGATAGGGATGGGGCAGGTACTAATGTTAGGCAGGCAACAAGAAGATTGGCGGAAATTGCAGGTAAGAGTAGGAAGGGTTCTAGGGTTATAGTCGGTTTATAGTAGGTTTATATACCTGCCCCTCGATGAAGATTACCCAAAAGATAAGTGACAAACTAGTGGGAGTTGGCAATTGCGCAAGTAGTGATTATTCTAAAGTTGGCAAGTTCCAGCTCCGTATGGATTCACCGTCAGGCGCTATCTTTGCCCCGCGATTCCCGCAATCCCCACTAACGGGTTTTAGCGGGCCTTTCTGTGCTACTGGGTACAAACTTTGGAACTCACTGACTCATTCGACTTTCGGCATTCGACCAAGATTTAAGCTTCTTTCATCATCTTCCTTTCAGCTCCTGGTATTCATTCGTATTGTTTTGATCCAATCAAATGCTTATATGCCACCGCATTGTACCAAAAACAGCTGTAGGATGACTGTTTAATCACCAAGTACCGAGACGGACTTTCATCCTTGCCTACCGTATTGATCCCGGCAGTTCCATTGCCGCCGGAGATCGACGGGGTCAAACCCGGTCCGGGATCTATGACATTCAAAGGATCGGGATCCGTCCCGGATGACTTACAGCAATCTCATTGCTCTTATATATGTGCCAGTGGGGTACTTGCTATCTCCGACGTACTTAATTGTTCATAGTACCCCTAAACTCGCGGTATCTATTCATCGGAATAAGCCGTTTTCTGAAGACACAATCTCGAAATGACTCTTCATGGATGAACTTGGATTTGTACCTACCCACCTACTACCCAGTAGGTATGAAATGAGAATTACCTTTGAGGAAATCATTCATTTGTACCTCGACGCTTTTTCGTTTAAGGAGGCATACCTACATATGTCTTCAATTTTTCTGGTCAAACAAAGACAACATCTAGGACAGACATCGGTTAGGGGCTATTCCCAAGTCTCACTCCTGACGAATATACACTAGTAGCTTATCAATCTATTGCTATTGACTCAGATGACATCTTCCGCTTAGGTATATTCATCGGCATATAATCACATCAATCCAGAAGCAGGGGCATACTCTTACAAAGCTATCCGATATGGTTTTTACATGTGTCTGCTTACCCATGGCCGGGGATAACATATTTACTCTTCACAATTCCCTGCTAACTGACCTCAAGTCTCTCGCTTGTAACTGTGCCATCAGACGCGATGAGGCTCGCACTGTCTCAGCTTCGACGCGAGATAGTTAGAAGACCCACCGAACATCCCGGTGAGGTCGACTATACCCTCCTCTACGCGATATTTGAGCCGCAATATTAGCTAATTGGCTAGCTATAGGTGTGGCTTATTGTCCTAAGAGCTAGGGTGACCACTCGCGAGAACTTGCTCTAATGGTCTAGGTGGTAGATCTGGGTTCTGCGTCGGACTCAAGCGAGCCTGCAATGTCCGGACACACATATTGGACGCCACGTAAAAGATCGAGCTGATAAATTCTCCGGTATCTCTTTCGAGAAGAGCCTCGGTTAGGAAAAAGCTCGAAGAGACTTACCTACCTAAAGGGGAGAGCAAGATCCATGTGTAGATGGTCACATACCTCGGACACTCCATGCGACGAGTATGCGAAGTAACTCTAGAGCAGCTACTGGGCATAACTATCCATGTGCTATAGAGCTGCGAGCGAATTTATTACCAACTAGCTGGAATTGGGGGCTGATCGTGGCGTACACCACCTGCATCATCTTAATCTAAGCGTCTATTGTTATTCCAATCAGCCCCCAACCCCCCAATTTCCCGAATTCTCACTGATTAACAGATCTCCTCACCACCAACCATCGTCGGGGCCGCCGTTTGCCACGCGTCTCGTTCCTCCATATCAACGTGAACGGGTCCGGGTCGTTGGGTTGGGTTGATCAATTCCGCGAGAGGCAACGAGGTCGTCTGATAGGCCGTTTGTCATCAAGAATCATTAAACGCTTCCGTCTTCTAGCCAAACCTTCCTAATTTGAATAGCTGTGCCGATGGGGATGAATGATAGCGTTTCAGTTAGAATACTATACAATCCCCTTTTGGTTATACGAGTGTTTGTATGACTTAGGTAGGTAAGTAATTTCATGTTACGGTAGCAGTTGGTAGTATGCGAATGGACATACTTCTGGGATTCAGAAGCTCGGGTGGCTTAACACGTCGCTTCGAAAGCATTATGATACACGCACTCCCCCCTAAACATGTGCGGAGTAAAGAAATTTTCCACTTCCAGCCCCCCCTTTTTTATTAGTTCCCAAGTGGCGCTAGATCTGCAACGCGACATCCTCACGAGCGGCGTGGCTCCCCTTTCTCCAGGCCTCGGTGTGGTCCTTCCGTTCTCTTTCGACCTTCTCGTCTCCGACCTTACCCCAGCCCCCTCCGCCGGGGGTGTTGATGATAATGCGGTCGCCGGGCTTCATAGGAGAGCTATTCTTAGCGCCCAAGTTGATGTAACGCTCTTCATAATCGGCGTCGCTCTGTTGTGGTAGGTGCTCGCCCTGCGCCGCTATATCCTTCTCCGGGTTCGTCTTCTGCACACGGCGGACCCATATGTTAAGTCCGCATTTGGCGTCCTCGCCGCCCGCAAGGCCGTACGGGTGGTATACCCGGCGCTCGCTGAGGATCGATACTTGCATCGGGATGCGGAACTCGATGTCACGAACCACACCGTCGCCTCCGCGGTGCTGGCCGTTGCCGCCCGAGCCCTTGCGGATAGAGAACTGGCGCAGTATCACGGGATACCGACGCTCGAATATCTCGGAGTCCGTAATGCGCGTATTGGTCATATGCGTGTGAACACCACTCGTTCCCTCCCAGTCAGGCCCCGCGCCGCTGCCACCCGCGATAGTCTCGTAGTAGCCGAAACCCTTTACCTCCTTCTGTCCCGAAACGTTACCACCGAAACCGAACGTCAAATTGTTACAGTCTCCCTGGCTGGCCGCGCACGCCTGGAAGGCCTTGAAGATGACATCCGTAACCCGTTGGCTGGTCAGCACGTTGCCGCCAACCACTGCGGCTCCCGTCGAGGGAGATAGGAGTGACTTGGGAGGAATCCTGACAGTGATGGGTTTTAGGCAGCCCTGGTTTAGAGGGATGTCTTCTGAGATGAGGCAGCGTAAACAATATATTATGGCGCTGAATGTGATGGCTTCTGGTGCGTTGATATTGGCATAGACCTGGGGACCAGTACCTTCAAAGTTGAAGTCCGCCTCGCCTTTCTCTGGGTCGATAGTGACGCGTAATTGAATCGGGGATCCGTCGTCCATGTAATCTATCGCAGTTAAGTCTCTCCCCTCAAATCCCTTATAAACCTGCTTCAGTAGCTGTCGGACACAGAGCTCGGCGTTCTTTTGGATGTTCACCATATAGAACTGCACTGTTTCTTCACCGTACTCTTGTATCAGGCCCTCGATGAGGGAGATACCCTTCTGGTTTGCAGAGACCTGGGCCCGGAGATCGTTGAGGTTGTCGGCTAGGCATCGAGTGCCACTGCAACCGGGATATTGTGCCGGCTCAGTGTAGAGAAGCTCTGTGATTCTCTCCTCGTTGAACTTTCCTTCGCTGACAACCTTTTCACTCTCGATCGATGCGCCTTCCTGGAATAGTTCTCTCGAATGCGGTGGCATGCTGCCCGCCGTTATTCCACCGATATCTGCATGGTGGGCACGAGACGCTGCGTAGAACAATATTTTATCTCCCTTCTCGTTAAAGGCGGGCATGATGAGGGTGATATCTGGTAGATGGGTGCCACCGAATGAGGGATGGTTCGACATAATCACGTCTCCCTTTTTCAGCTTGCCTTCCCAAATCTTTGCTTGCGTCTTAACACAGGTCGACATAGACCCTAGATGGACTGGTAAATGGGGAGCGTTCGCCACGAGCCCACCAGTAGAATCGAATATAGCACACGAGAAATCAAGGCGTTCCTTGACATTCGTGCTTACGCTCGTCTTTTGAAGCGCCCTACCCATCTGTTCCGCGATGGCCATGAAACGGTGGCCAAAAATACTCAACATGATGGGGTCTGCTTCTCGTTCAGATGACTCCTTTTTATGTGAGCTGGTAACATTAGCTTGGTCTCCTTCAGTAAATTGGATGTCGATGGTAAGAAACTCACTCATCCTTGCTATCCTTCTCTAGGTCAATAATAACGTGAGTCTCGAGAATCAGCGCCTTTGCCTTTGGAGTTACCACGATAGTCTGTGTGCCGTCTGCTAGCATGGCAGGCCCGTTAATCACATTGCCGATTGATAAATCTTCGAGCTTATAGATGGGTGTTTCCAACCGACCGCCCTCGAAATAGACTTGGGATTTGCCGTGTGTTTTGTCGTCACTGACGGTTTGCCGCTTGACTTCCTTCAACTGTTGATCCACGGTTTTATCTTGGTACCTGAAGCTTCTGCCTATACCGCGAACTCGTACATCATCCACAATTATATCTCTATCATCGAGGGTGAATCCGAATTCGTAGCGGTGGTTGTTGACGAAAGCCTTGTCGAATGCCCAGTCCTGACTATTGTAAGATGCCTTTACCTCTTCCTCGTTAGGCTTGATGATCATGAGAGCTGACTCTGTTCCGCGATATCTCATATTTAGGTACTCCTCGAAAACAATCTCACTGTCCTCAAAACCTTGATCCAGTAGCGTCGAGCGTGACTTTTCTTTAAGCCTTTCCATCTTGGCTTTTAGTCCTTCGATCACATCACTATTTTCTTTCCACACTGCCGAGTCCGGTTCCTGTCTCTCGTCCACGACATCTGCCAAGGCCATGCCGTATGCCGATAAAACTGAAGAATATCTATGTACCAGGATTTGTTTGATGCCCAGAGCCTCTGCAATAGCGACAGCGTGTTGACCGCCAGCACCACCAAATGTCGCCAATCGATGTTTTGAGGAATCGTGTCCCTTTGCTTCGGTGATCGATCGGATCGGCCTCGTCATGGCCTCATTTGCGATCGTCAAGAAACCGTAGGCTACTTCATCCAAGGTCATATTCTTTCCAGTTTCTTTATTGACCTGATCGGTCAGCTCTTGAATGACTTTCTTGCTCGCCTCAAAGTCCAAACCCTCATCCTCATTCTTTCCGAAGATTTTTGGGAAGAATTCCGGCAGTAGACGGCCCAGGAATAAATTCGCATCCGTCACCGCAGCGGGGCCACCTTTTCGGTAACAGGCAGGGCCGGGATGGGCTCCTACTGATTCAGGACCGACGACAAAAAGACCATTCTTGAAAAAGAGTCGACTCCCACCTCCAGCAGCGACGGTGTTGATATCCAGTTGGGGGGATTGTATCGTAACGCCTGCTGTTGTCGTTTCGAAAACGTGCTCGTATCGACCCTCTCCGTATCTAGAAACGTCAGTGCTGGTGCCACCCATGTCAAACCCAATGACCGGAATTCTAGTCTCTTCATCGTAGCTCGTGATAGCATAGCCCACCACACCACCTGCAGGACCAGACAGGATGGCCTTCAATCCGGTGAATTTCTCGACATCCACCAATCCACCATCGCTCTGCATGAACTCGCATCTTGCGCCTTTACCGCCCTCTTGTTGGAGCACATTCCTTGTTCCCAGACCACCGGCAAATCCTTTTTGAAAACCCGCGATATACTTTTTTATTGCTGGTGTCAGGTATGCATCGGCGCAAACACTTGTTGCCCGCGAGACCAGTTTAATCATTGGCATGAGTTCGTGACTGAGTGAGATATGGTCGAAGCCGATTTCCCTCGCAATCCTGCCCACCAATGCTTCATGATCTGGAAATGTGTAACCATGCATTAGACAGACAGCTATACTTCTGATACCTTTATCGAATATGCTCTTCAACTGGTCCCTGATCCTCTTTTCTTCCGGTCGTTGCAAGATGCGCACCGTCTCTCCTGAAAGACCCATCACGAGACTTGCTTTTGCCACGTCCGCTGTTCCAGCCTTTACGTCGGCTTTGGTTAAACTTCGCTCTGGATCCTCAGCGTAATCCTCAAGCGTGACTCTCTCGTCTACCTCGACAACGTCTTCATATAGAACGTCCGGTTTCTTAATAGCGAGGTCGAATATCTTAGGACGGCTCTGATTGCCTATTACGAGACAGTCTCGAAAGCCCTTGGTCACGACCAGCGCCATCTTCTCGCCCTTACGTTCAAGTAAGGCGTTAGTTGCCACCGTAGTTCCCATACGTATGCTGTCTATTTTGGAAGTGTCTAGAGCTTCTCCGCGAGGGATTTCTCGTTCTTCAAAATGGCTCATGATGCGCCGGATGCCTTCCAGCGGTGCATCATCATAATTGGCCGGATCCTCAGACAGGAGCTTGATTACAACATTCTTGCCGTTCAATGTGCCAACGCAGTCCGTAAAGGTGCCGCCACGATCGATCGCGATACGGACTCCGCGGTCCTTATGATCTGTGGAACCCATCTTATCAAAGGTAGACTGAAGAAAGAGAATTATGTGACAGAAGATAAATGATGAATGATGAATAATACACTGATCTGAGAGATCAACACTATTTACATGTATATGATATATGTGGCGTTAGGGTTCAAATGTTATAGGGGTGCATTTTTAAAGTTAACAAGGCTTGATGCTATCATAATAAGTACTAACTTTGAAGGTAAAGATGCATCCATACATGTACGGAGCTCCGAGTCTAATCTGGTGAATTGAAGCTACGCGCGCCGGTGTCGCGGCCGGGATTGATGGAATTGATAGGCATTGATACGAAAATTAATTCTGGAGAAATCGGAATGACTCACCTAACCCCACACACAAAGGCGTACAGATCGGTACATCTTTCTAAGGTTAGCCTAACTGCTTACCCCGCAGTGGATTTATGGTTCTGTACTTGCTGACAATAGGGCAACAAGTCTGACGGGTGGCATCTATGGATGGCGTCTATCCGCTGATGGATGAGAAATTCACTCCGGTTCTGACAGGTCCCTTGCTGTAGGTAATAATAATTACATAAAAACCACAACAAAACAAGTTCGTCAAAGCCCGTTCGGGATATGTTCTTTTGTCGGTAGATTAATTAATAATATCATTTCCTCATGATTAGTTGGTAGTTAGGTATTTTGTTAACTTGGTTGGTAGTTGGCAACCCGTCGATTCCCAAAGCCTCCTTGGAAATATTATATTCCTGTTCCTGTTCTTGTTCCTGTCCTCGCAACTCGTATTATGCTCGTACAACCTGTCGTATGATATTCATACATCTTGAGATGCATCAATCGTCGCGGTAAGGGAGAATACTCTTAATCGTGTAAACATCCCATCATCCGTTTCTGATACCCCTATTCCCCTCTTACTATACGCCTGCTTCGTTGTATAACGCCCATAAGAATCAATCCTAGTGTGTGACAACTCGCACTGCTTGCAACATAATCCCGAAGAAGAGGCCTCTGGAGACCTCTTCGATCTGGAGGCAGTCGAAGATGCGGCCAAGTGCTTCACTTGTAGCCGACTGCCCCATGATCCCCATCAGCGCAGTTGGGACTCCGCTTTGTATAAATAGCCTCCTCGCCTTAACCCTCAACTCCTCCTTTTCTTCAATTGTCATCTCCTTTGGCCAACCTTTGAGCTCTTCTTCTGTAGGCAGAGAATTTTCCCGCAGTTTACGCAAATGCGTAGCGATGCCGGTATCCGACGTGTTTGCCTCAAGAACAGACTCTTGAACTAGGGATTGGATAGACATGAGTGCCGGGTTGCCCGGTCGTAGAAGGAAGGACTTTGCCGCCGTCAAAAGTGTCCTCCGAATGTTCCAGGCTGACGATAGGGTGTAAAGTTCGTTGATCACGGCGAAAAGAAGCTCGACGGCTACACGAGTCTCCTGCTCCGATAGTGGCGCATATTGCTTACTAAGGCGTTTGGCATGTATGCTACTCGGTGTTGGTTTTTCTGGCTGAACTGAGCCGGACGATCGAGTCGGTGGGGTGTTGTATGCAGCAGACATAAACCTTGAATTTCCGTCAACGCTCAGGCGCGTGCTTGAAGGTGAACCGTAGTCATCTGTAATCTCATCCGGCGGAGGTGGTAACTTGATGTTCGTAAAGCTCAGCTCGGACGGAGATCGCAGAGGAGAGCGTAGCGCAGCAGCGCTCGAGGCGCGACTATGTACTCTACTACTAGTTGCACTAATCGAACTACGTTCCCATCGATCGGCCCTTGCTGGGTGAAGACTGTCTTGCTCTACGTCTACTTGGATACTGGGGCGTCGTTCCATAGGGGCTATTTTCCCAGGCTGAACCGAAATCACAGACGATCTCTGGCTATCCATACTGTCTCTAGATTTCCCCGACCCATTCACCGATGAGGTACTATCCATCCTCGGGAGAGATGACATGGACAGCGGACGAGTGCTGGTAGGGCTTTGCGTTTTGATAGCGTCCTTGATCTGATGCTCGTTCAAGGAGGAATTGGTTGACTTCCTCGGCCCAAGACCAATGTTACCGAAAACGCCGGTAACTCCGCCAGCGAAAACCTTTCCGCTATCCAAAGCACCCTTGGGTGCGTTCTGAATAACATCAAGCATGCCCTTCCCCACTGATTCGAAGGAAAACCCTCTATTACCCATTCGCGTTTCTTGGCCTTTGTCAAGGAAACGCTTAAAGGCTTCAGACTCGGCCAGCACCTTCTCAGCACAAGCCGTCCGCATATATCTTTCTATCTCACCGCGCAATGATGTCCTTGTGTGGACTTTCCAACTCGGGAAGGTAGTGAAAGCTTCAAGAAATGCCGTAGAGCCCGAGATCGTTGCAATTCTTCTTAGGCTTTCGTGGAGGCCCTCGAATTGGAGATATGTTTTCATTACCATCCAGCCTGGGTAATGCGAAGTTGCAGGCTCGATCTGAAGTAGATATTCCCAGGAAGGCTTGGATCGAAGTCGGCCCTTGTCATTGCCTGCATCGTCATGAATGGTAACTGTGGCATTATGGAGTGTCAAGGGCGGAGGGTTACGTGATTCGCTGTCTTCGGGGTCTTCTCTCGCTGGTGGAACTATTTGATCAAAACTTGTAAAACGACGATGAGGCTGTCCCCTTTCTCCGTTGGCTGGCGATGAACTATAACCTGGGTTATCTATGGTTGACCTAGGAGAGATAGGAGACCTGAGCAATTCCTCCTTATCACCAGCTTTGCCTAATGTTGACTCTTTAAATCCAACTCCGAAATCCGACTCCGGATCCTTAGGTTTTTCTAAGGAAGGTCTATTCGGCTTCTCGTTGTTCTTTGAGTCAGGCTCTTGGACATTGTTTTCTAGGGAGTTCCTATTCGATGCTCCCTTAACTTTATCAGCTTCGGCGATCATTTCGTTGAGCCTCTTCATCTCTTCCATGGCCCTTTCCATTTCTTCGTCAGCCTTAGACAACTGCTTCTTATGTGTAGACTCTTTGCGACGAGCCCGATCCATTTCGTAGGAGTTACGGTTGCCCCTGGAGAGACCGATGTTCCCAACATTACCGTCAACATCGCCAAAGGCCTTCTGATCCTGGATTGCATCGTCGATAGCTTGCGACAGGTCTGTCTCCCCGGACTCGAGAAGATACACTATCCAAGCATTTATCCATTCTGCTTTAGAACAAGTTTGCAGAGTACCCTCAAGGACGATGGTGGCAAGTATCTCTCTTAAGAAGACTCTAGCAGGATCACAATCATAAGCGGACCTATCTAGGAAGCCGAGTAAATCCTCAGCGACAATCTTGAATTTTCCTGCTTGTTGTCTCTGATTGAGCAGGTTGGATAACGGGGCCTCGGTATTTGAGGCAAGGTAGTTATATATAGCATCCGCCGCAGTCAAATTCGTATCGGAAGGGAGTTCCGAGTAAGCAGATGCCATTTCGGATAAGAAAACGATGATGATAGAACACGAGTGTGTGAGAAAGTCGACGAATGCATCGGCGGGTCGCTTGCGGCTCAATTGGTTAGAGATGGATAGTACGAACTTGACAAATACCTTTCTACAAGAGAGAGGAAAGGACTTGTCTGATGGTATGATCGGACCGTACCACCAGTCCACATAATCACGAATGACTGCGTCGACAAGAGCATTTAGTGCCTGTCGTGTCTCAGGTTGAAAGTCATCGAAAGGCCCGGCTAGGGTTTGCTCGTCTTGCTCGCCATTCTGTTCGGCCTTGGTAACGGATTTCGTGTGTGTAGATTCCAAGATGCGTTCCAAAAAGTCGTAGCCCTTTTCACCCCGGATCGCTCTCGACACTTCAGGATGCTGAGATTCCCATGTCGCGAATAGTATTATGCCAGCGACAGCTCCAATTAATAATAGACCAATCTGTCCGAGGATAAAGTATGTTATAGCAGCAAGTCCAACTGCAATTGCAGCGATGGTTCCAGGGGTTGCTGTGGACAAAAATTGTAATATTTTGGTAACGATATCTTGTTGAGTAGTTGATGACGGTAAAGACGGTAAGGACGACGACGATGTATCGGCGTCTCGCTTCTTCGGATTCGTCGGACGGCTTTGGAGGTTGCCATTAGATCTAATTGTCGCTTCGTTCGAGTCTCGTTTCGTTTCATCTTGTGACACGATAATAGGAGATGCGCCGAGTTGCGCATCGTCAACGGTATTCATCTGGACTCGGTCGGTGGGAATTATTAAGGGCTATTTAGTGGCAGTAGTGGGCGCATCGCATTTACGTGAAATGGTTTAAAGTTGAGGAAGATCAATTAAAGGGAGACGTATACATAGACATAGTAGGTGATCAATCTAGAATGAGGTGGCCTAGTAGTCCGTATTACAGCATAGGAGGGTAACAGGATAGGAGGTAGGAAGTAGGTATACGATGGCTGGATGATAATATCTTGGATTTCAAATTCGAGGACATTCGTGGTCGATAATTTTGGAAACAAGTTCATATTGGACCAGGGGCCTAGCGGGTCTAATCTACCTAGTTTATAGGTACTAGCTACCTGTAGAGATGCTATGAGATAGGCAGTTATACTTGTATCTGTACCATATCCTATCATGTACCTATATCTGTAGGTACCGTGGCATCCCGGCACTCCGTACGACTAACCTGACGTTTCTTGATTGACCTTAATCACGCTAAGCCACAAACAGTCTAAAGTCACTTACCTAGACGCAACCATCAATGATACTATCTGAGGTCATTAATTAGAAGGCGCGTCTCTCAAAGCATTAACGCGACAAGTTGTAACCCCACATTCTTGGTTCCTTCCTCTGAATTAACGCTTCCTTTGTGACCTATCTACTAGATATCTAATCTAGTAACCACCTACCTCCAATTACATTCCTTCCTACCTCATCTTCCGATCTTTAATCTACAAACACCACCCTGATCCTTCACATCTGGTAGGAGAGCCTTGCCACAATCGTCACAATGGGTCGTTTCAAGAATCTCAAGCGATCGCGTCGCGATGACGATGAAGATGAGGATGTAGCAAGCGACGAAGAAATCAAGTCCAGCAAGAAGTCTACCAAGAAGTCTAACAAAAAGGCCAAGACGAGCGGCGATTCCGGCAAAGATGACGAAGGCAATTCTTTTTGGAGTGTACGTTATTGCACCAATCTTACTTTTTTCGTTTGTCACTAACATGACTTCTTTTGAAGCTGGGCGGCACCCGCAGAGTTACAATTAGCGATTTCAAGGGAAAGACCTATATCAACATCCGAGAGTACTACACAGATGCCTCCGGTAGCCTCAAGCCAGGAAAGAAGGTAAGCTACGCAATGCGGGGAAGCGACACTGCCGTCTTCGTTATCTAATTCCTTACCCTAGGGCATCATGATATCTCTCGAACAATACGACAAACTAGTCGAGGCTATCCCCTCCATCAATGCTGAATTGCGAGCGAAGGGACATGAGACACCAGCTCTTTCGAGTGCGCCCGCCGCAGACAAGCCTGAAGAGTCAGCAAAGACTAAGCCGGAGAAGACCAAGCCGGAGAAGGCGGCTAAGTCAAAGAAGAAGGCTAAGGCTAACATCGAGGCCACCAGTGACGAAGATGAAGAGGAAGAGGAGGATGAGGACGAGGATGAGGAAGAGGATGAGGAAACGGATTAGGGATTCGTCCGTCACGGAAACAAGCTTGTTAGGTTCCCTGATATCACCCCTCTTGGGGGTGATTGAAAAGGTGGGCTGAACCTCAATCAATAACAGGCACTCATAAGATGATTGTTTCTAGTTGTACTACTATGTTTTGATGGATTATGTGGCTATGATGGTCATTGACGGACTTTTCTTTTCGGCTAGTTCACTGCAGGATTGTCGGTCATTCCTCTTCGATACCCATTGCTCTCAGTCCCATCTCTGGAGCTACGAATTGACCTACGCAGTTTTCACATGTGTCTTTGCATTAAGTTACGTATGTGTTGTATCCCGATCTCATCTATGGGTGCTTAGCCCGTATGTTTACCTGTTTGCGGAGATGACGTCTCCAATTAGCTCTCGGCACAGCTCAGACTCGCAGAGCAGGTCTATCAGTAAACTTGGAAACTGAACATAAATATCTTTCAATCAGGAAAGCTTCGGTATCCGTGATCTCCCCAGAGGAATGTTCATATAAAGAGCAGTTGCGCCCATGCCAGATATACAGGCGCAGCCCAATATGCCGTTCGCACGATAACCACTAGTAAGTAACATGTTTGGCCAGTCAATATTTTCGTTGCCTTCCACTCAAGTTCCTAATAGGAGAACAAACGCACCGGTGGATACTACTTTAGACTTATGACAAACCGCATTTTGGTGCTCGGCAAACAAATCATCATACAGCATCTTGGAGATACCGACGCTCTTCACAGCCAAAAAAGGCCAAATGTATCATTTCCCTAAAGAGCAAATCACGGCCAAACTGGATACATATGTGTATCTTTCTCAGGTTGGTTTCTATATCAACCCCATGTTTGTTCTCTTTCCAGGATCCATGTGCATACAGTGCTTCCACATCTTCGCAGGGTAATGATAGAAGTAAGAGATACGGGACACTAACTTGCCACCAGAAATTATCAGCTCAGTATCATATCGATTCTAGTAACACAAATGCATCGATTGAGACTTGAGAACATATTAAGTCATTGCTCATCATGGTGTGAACGACTACAGTGAAATGACAAAGAGCTCGCCATGATTTTGCCGGTCTATAAAAATGTCGCAAAGCCGCATGACATTTCTTGGACGCTGTAGAGTTGATAGTTCCCTCGCACGTTCGACGAAGACGAGGAAACCGGCATTTCCTAGTATAATGCATTCCATTGGTCCTCTCCTAATTTATGCTAGCAGCAGCATCATCATCATCGACCTATCTAAGGGTGATGGAAACTTCGTGTCGAGGGACAACACGGCATCCCACACTTACCAACCAGGAGGCACGGAGGCCAGCTTCAGCGGCGCTCTCACTATTGACCCTGACCTGGCCCACGAATATTTCAAGAACGAAGTAGGAATCGACATCGACAAACTACAGCGTCACCCAGATGTCTTCTCCAGCAGTCCCAGAGAGTAGCCGCGCCGATGGCACCCTATTCTGGAATTCGACCGGGCGGAACAGCGTCAACTCCTCGATCGTGGCATACGAACATCTAACGTATCGCGACTATTAAATATTATCTTCATCGACTGGGTTTATTCCCCTATTCTGTGCATATCAGCTCGCCGATTATCTGCTTGCTCTATGACTAACTTCGTTCTCAAAGTCGTATATAACGCCTGGGTGCATTGCCTCTCATAGCCTAGCCTCATGGACGAATATTTCGAGGTAATGGAAGCGTTCCTAGTCTCTTAGACGTGTTCATATCACAACGTAGGTACCCAATTATCTAAGTTGATAAAGATAGAAACTTCAAAGGTACCGTGTCTCCCTTTCTGTCATAGCATATCAACTCGTGGTTACATAGTAATTATCTATCGCAACTTGATGCTACACAGTTACCTGACTCTGAAGTGTGTAACAGACCCATCTACACTGGGTGACAAAGATCGCCATGAGTAGGTAATCACGTATTACCAAGTACTAGGTATCTAGAGGACGAAGCGGTCAGTCGGGTAAAGTGGTGAAAAGCTACTATATCTTGTGTATCATAAGCATACTTGAGTGACAATATACCCTCCTAGACTTAGACGCACTTTGTCCTCCTGTTCGTTCGAGAGTTTGCAAACTTGGGCATAATCTCATCGTATACAAATACGGAGAAGTCGAGTAGGTAGTTAAGGTACCTGTACGAGCCTTTTCTTCTAATGACATAGCGAACACTAAATAGATAGAAATCGAGCGTATAATTTTAGGGATCAAGCCGCCTAGTATGTACCTATATATTTACAGTGATGTCTGCGCCTACCAAAACCACCTACTTACAGAGAAAAAGGCATGAATCAAGAACAGCGGTGACTCGAATCTACTGACAAGGGAAACTTATCAGCTACTAGCTCCCTCGACATCGTCACGGTCTAAGCACTAGCCATGGAGGTTATACATGAGATGCGGGTCGCTGCGTCGTGGTGCCACAAACCGCCTTCACCAGCGTAGAAAAACGTTTCATGTCCATCGCCCGCCCCCAACCGAGGTATCACTAATGCCTATCTTCCTCTATCTTCCCAGTAGCGTCGGGATCGCAAGCTACCGTAGCTAAGGTGGGCAGTTTCTCCCAGACATCACCGCATCATCTTGGCAAGGGAGCTTGATCGTGAGCGGTTTCACGAAGTCGGATTTCCCAGCCCCCGTACGATGGACGCAATGGAATGGGTGGACGTAGCGATGCCCTGTAACAGTTGAGGGAGTAAGTGCTGAGTTACACTGGATTTTGTACGAGTACGGACTAGATGGGTGGTCTCAGCATCTGAGCCGCGGCGTCATGCACGAGAAACCAAAACCAAACCGGTGGTTCATTTGAACCACGATATATATGAACTGGCGATGTGGGATGCGGGGCATAGTTGGGCAATTAGTATGTATTCGAAAGGGCGAGCTGAGTATATGTCTGACAAAGGCAATCCCGTTGCAATGGTAATGTAGTAATCCCCGGGAACGCTGTCACGAAATTTCCGCTCAATTCCTTTACAGCCCAATATGTGATACGATTGGCTGGGACAGTTGTATGTAGCTTAGAATCTAAGTTCGCTGTGTATCAGGCAATAGCTTTTAATTCCATCATCGAGTTCATGACCAATGATACCAGAAGAGACATTTCCAACACACGCCCACAGTAGACACCACATCCTTTTGGTGAATAGAAGAAAATCGGGTCGTCATCATGTCGTAAATAGGAAAAATAATTGTGCTACCAGCCTCACGTTCTCTACGAGACTGATGGATGTGATGAACAAAGTAAAACAAAAAGCAGCCTCGGTCATGAACATTACTCGCCTAGAAGTCGTGATAGGCGGGAATTTTTTGCGTTGCTCGAGTATCTCGTTGTCCTCAGCGTAAAAATAATAAAAAAATTGGTAATCGATGATCATCTCAAGAAAATTAAGGTCCACCATGCGACGCGTCAATTCGTGAAGCATTTACACGGCCTTCTGCGGCAGTTAATAACAATCAAGAATGAAGTCGTAATTTTCGTCATCGTATCTTCTGGTGGATGGGCCCAAACATGCCGATGATGAATCGTCGCAGCGAATACAAATGATTTTGAAGGGAATAATAAGTAAAGGAGTGTGTGTATGTGTATCTCGTAGTCGGCGTCGAACTCTATGGCGCGAAGGTGATTCATCCTGATAGAATCATGTCTCGCACAAGTGCCCAAACACCGAAATTAATGCGTAGAAGAACTCATCAATAGCCTACCGAATAATCGGGTCGACGTTATCGCCGGCGAGACACTGCTGAAGCCGGACGGTTCATGGTGTCGTATCCGGGCGTAGGCATGGGACCATCAATCACCGTTTTCCGACGCTTCAAGTCCATTCCACCGCTGGACGGTCGGGGTAGATCATCCTCGTCGTCGCGGCCTCGCTTCAAGGCACCGGGTCCGCCGTTCATGACTGGCTGGGCGGCGTACCCATTCTGCATCGGAGCGCCCATATCACCCTGAGAGCTATAAACATCTGGCGCCGGCGCACCATTGGTGGGCGCCCGGTCACCACTCATTACATTATAAAGGTTACTGGAAGGGGGCGCACGCGGTGGCGTACTATATCCTGTTTGTTGGGTATAATAGGGTTGTGGTGGTGCAGCGGTCCTAGGCGTTGCACGGCCCGACCCAGCTGGATGATTTGGTGAGCCCGTCATTTCCTGAGGCATATGTTGATGATCACCCGGCAACGCTGTGACGGGTGGTGCATTATAGCTATACGACGTTCTATTGGCGTCGTAGGCTCCGCTATCGTGCGTATATTCGGCCTCATGTTCTGCTTCGTCCTCACCAGAGGGGTGAGACACGCCATCGCTATGTTGCATCATCCCATTTGATGGTTTTACATCCGGAGGCTCACTCGGTCCCGTACCTGTTGGCCGTCCAGATGGAGGTCCCATCTCACTTTTAAGGTAAGAACTTGTTTGGCCATAAATATTTCTGTCTTGTGGACTGCTATTCGATGGGGGATAAGGTGATTGCTGAGGAGCTTGGCCATTATACACAGCGCGAGAGCTGTCGTACGGCTGACCGGCTTGAGAATAGGGCTGCATGCTTTGCAAGGTAGTGCCAGGCGGTGTAGTTGCTGGCGTTGCTGGCATTGAACGTGCTGCATTACTAAGGCCTGTGTCAATAGACATGGGATTAGTACCTTGTCCACCACTCATCCCTTGTTGGCCCCACTGGAAACTTTCAGATGCACCCATGCTTCCCATTACGCTTGACGCGCTCGTAGGCGGCGTTGGGAACGTGTGAGCCCTGTCAAGCGAAGGCCGACCTGTATTGTTATGCGACGGGAGCGAACTTTGAGGACCAGGAAGTCCGATATGATGATGGTGCTGCTGTATCGACGGCAAGACACCAGGAGGTGTAGGACCAGGCCCATTGCGCATCTGGTTTTGCTCTTGTTTTCGGCGTTCGGCCGCAGCCATCACCTGGTTGGTCCGGTTTTGATTTGTGGGGTGATATAATAAAGCCCCAATGTTGTGAACGAAGAGAGGATATAATAACTCGGTGATTTTTTCTTTATTAGCAAAATCCAGAGCTCTTTCGAACGGAATCCTAAGATGATGTTAATTGATCATTGACACACAGTAGCAATCATATTAGAAGCTTACCAAACACCCTTGAGGTGCATTGGCCCAATCTTTACCACATGGCGCACTTTTTCGCTTTTCAAGATTCCATCTCTCCTACCACGTGTCATGCCGGCAACATTAAGGAGCTTCGTTCCGTTTATCATGTGGTTATCTGCCAAAATTGTAAGCTCATTCCTCGGATTTTCACTAGTTCATTTTGCCGAATTCCTACCTTCTCGACGCGCAACACAAATCCCCCGTGCCTCTACTTGGAAGCACAAGCTACCTTCATCTTCCCAAAGAGTAGCAGTGACTCGGGGTTTCATCCCCGGCGGCGCAACTTGGCCTGTCGTGTCAAAACCTTGGTATTGGTTCTGCATGCCCCCTTGAGTCGCCACTCCTGGAAGGGGCAGAACATTCTGAGCACCCATAGAGCCAGAGACTGGGGGCGCGGACTGAGGAGATGTCAACCCATTCGCATAGCCATACTGATACGGAGGAGCAGAGTACTGTGCCGGTCCCGGTTGTAATAGTGTCGGCTGTTGATGGCCGTATTGAGGCAAGGCATTAGATGTTACAGTCTGGGGTTGCGGTGCTGGACCAGCGGACATGTGAGACGGTTGATAGTACATGTCTGGAGGCGCCGGATTCATCGCGGAATAATGGTCGTACCCACCAATTGCCTGGGAAGGGGGCCCAGATATCGCCGTTGTCACTGGTAGACTTGGGGACGGCGTCTTAGGACCGTTTGACGAGGGAGCGGAGGTGAAGGAGGATTGCGAGTCTCCGTTGGAGCTCGCCGAAGATGCAATAGAGCTAACCCGGGGAGACGATGTACTCGAGGAGTATGCCAATGGCGCCTGCGGCAGGGGAAGCGAAGGCAACCTCTCACTTACATACGGCGTGCGCTGGGGAATGTGAGCACCGTAGTATGGTGGTACGTCGGACGTTCCCCGGGTTTGCGGCTGGGAAATCGGCGGTAGATCCAGTTTTACGACGCTCAATGATAAAGCCACGGCGGGCTAGATGGGATGAAGCTCAAATACAAGTCGACTGGACACGACCTATGTTTGAGCAGAGGAGGCCAACACAACGGATTGGGCTCCAAATTTTTTATCCGGATGATAAACGAACCACAACAAGACGAAGTGGCCAGGTCAATTGATTCGTCGGTAAGCCAATTAATGTGAATAAAGATTGATCTGGCGGGTGTCACGGTTGATGGGCGCGTACGAAGAATTCGACGAGTTCTGGTTCTGCACTTGCGGGGAAAAAGACACGGTGGATGTGTTTCCTCGGCAGAACGGTCTTTTCGTACAGCGTGATCGTAACGGGTCGTAAAGCTCTGATGAATTGGTCAATATGAAATTTCTTCCGGTACAGTATCAAAGGATTAAGTCAGATTCGAGAGTAATCTTTCTGAAATGATTGATGTATGGTAGAGAATTTCTGGACTGAAATCGCGGAGTTTCGGAAGTCATAAGCTGGTGCTGGCGTAGTGGAGTGTATGAAAGAGAAGGTGGGAGGGAGGGGGGATAGGATAGCGGGCGGTAAGATGTCGTCGTCGTTGGTCGTTTGGACAGATTGAGGGCTCTCGCACACGAACGGATACACACAACCACAAGCACACATCGAGGTTTATTCTCTTTCCGAACAAGAAATTTTCTGCTTCCTCTCCTCTTTTTCTCTTTTTTTTTCTCTCCTCCCTTTGGGCGAGGCTGTCTCTCAACTCTAATGCAGGAACATCAGGTCCCAGATGCGCAGGGCGTAATGCAAGGCAGGAAAGAAAGTGGAGGTGGGCAGAGTTTGCGCAAGTAGGAATTGGGAATAGGATGAACACATACCTTCTACCTTCTCTCCAAACCTCAATGGCCTTCGCTGCTCGAAAATTAGGGGAGGTCGGTTCAGCACACCAAAAGAGAGAAGAGAAGAAAAGATAGAGAGGGAGAAAGGGAAAAGAAAATCCCAAGGTTTTTTTGTCCTCTCGCAATGGTAGTGGTGGTGAGGAGGCAGGAAGGTAGATAGATAGTGGAGGTACGAAAGTTAAGAGAGGTCAAGGTCAGAAACGATGGAACACAGACTTGCAGACGGGACTAGACGCTAACTAGTAAGGTAGGTGCAAGTTAGCAAGGGTAGCAAGTAGCAAGTAGCAGGGGAGGCAGGGTTAACTAGACGTGGTGCAGGCGGGCAGGGCAAGGCCAGGTTCAGAAAATTGTAGGTTGCTGCTGCTTTTTAGGATGTGGATTGTGGACTGTGAACTACTGTACCATGAACTGTATGTAGACGCTTAGACTGGGTACGAAGAAGGTAGGCGGTAGGGATTAGTAGCAGCGAAAGCCGCTAGCACTAGACGGGTCCGGGTGTGGTGCGCCTGCTGGGGTTTGTTGTTGAGCCGGGGTGTGGAGGGGGGAAGGAAGGATTGAATAGAATAGTGGATAAGGGAACTGGCGACTGGCGAGGTTGGTGGTCGGGGTGTTTTTTTTCCCTCTCTTTTTTGGGTGTTCTGACTTTCAATATTCCTTGCACTTGCAACTTGCAAGCAGCAAGGTCCTGAGAAGGTACGTACCGACCGTACCTACCTGGATGTAGCATGGGGTCTTGCCTTTGGCGGCCTAGGGTTGTACAACTAACACCAGCGCTCTCCTCAGTGTGGCTCCTTTCGGTGGCGTGTACTCATCAGGGTTGTGTGTCTACCGGGATGAGGGGCTAGTCTTGCAAAATCGTAAAATCGTACGCACAGTATAGGTCCATATCCATAAACTGTAAAGAGAACCTAACCTTTCATAGTAGTTATGTAGGTACGTACCTACCTACAACGTACATACACAGAAACTTCCAAGTTCCAAGATTGGAGGGACGATTACCTTTACCTCAAAGGTAGTATCAGCTTATGAGCGTTAGAATATGTTGGTCGAGTCTATCATTATTCATATGTCAGAATTAATATATTGAATAACATAATAGGAAAGAAGTAATACAGTTGTTTAGATTTATTCGTCGAGTACATTATCGAGACTATTATTGAGAGTTTTAGTTGTTGTTTTTTTCCTCTTTTTCATTTCTTCTTTTCAACCCCCGGACCCAAGTTACCGTGCTTGTCCCCTGAATTCAGGAGCGGATAGATAAGATGCACAGCACAGTATGAGCTAAAAATGGCAATCGAATCAAACCAAATAAGGTAAGTAAGATCTCTCTATTATTTCCAAGAAGTTGCCTGTCATCTGTCATCTCCATCGAGAATTGGCCCGTAACCCGTTCAACGTTCTGATCCATAAACGTATGTCTATCATGAAAGACTGAGATACACGATAACATTAAAGGCAAGACCGAATAACCGGGGCACCATTATACGATGGCTAGAGTGTCAAATTGAAGCACTATATGCACAAATGGTGGAGGAGGATATTGGTTATTGGACAATTCCCATCCCGGACTGTATCATGGCCCATGGTGTTATCGAAGCTCTACGCTGTACGCTGTACTATGCGTAGACTTTACTTCCAGCTAGGTTAGTTCAAAGAAGACACAAAAAACCCTACTTCTTGAGCGTAAGGCCACGAACGACCCCACAATATAATCCTCGCAATGCAAGGACACAAAATATACCGAGAAGAGTATAATTTACTCAAGTTGCCAAGAGCCCCATCTTTTCAAGCTAAGATGGATAACAGCCGATGAGAAGAAAAAAAAAAGTTCGACACTTTCAGCATCAAAGTTGAAAGTTAAAAGCTCTAGCTCTAGTTGTCTAAAGTATATCGGGCCGCGTATTTTAGGAACGGGTTTATAAAACTCTCCAACTGGGATAGCAAACGTTACCAAGTCACTATTTTTACATGTAACCTCTTATAGGTACCCGGTATTTGCTTACTTACTAAGGTACAATACCTAGTACCCAGTAAGTACAATACGTGGAGAAATACCTACGTAGGTACCTGTCTAAGGTGCCTATCGTTTTAGTCGGTAAAGAAAAGGCTGGGCTGGAACTTTCTTACTTGACTTTTTCCATCGATTTATTCAGATCGGTAGGAAGGTCTTAACTTTTCAACTTTCAAACACGAGTTCGCTGTTAAATCCATACGATGAACCTGCCGGTAAAGTTATCTTCAGACCTAAATAGCAAAGGTGGAAAGGTCAATGCTTTTCCATACCTAAGGTCTTGGGACAAATCCAGGACAGTGCAAGATGGCGTTACCTACGAGGCGTGTCGACAGACTATATTAGGAGTGGCTCCAACAAAGAGGTCTTTGTATGAAGAAAAGGGTATAGATCGTCGTCCGGATGGGCGCAAAGAGCAACAGAACAACGGTCCTATCTCGTCAAAGACAATTCCCTTCCACACAACCTACCAAGTCCGAGCAATATGTGCTATGGCACGGTGTCACAGAAGTACCCATTTAATATAGGATGTACTCGACCGTCCGAGACGCCGTTGACTTGTGTGGCTGTCATCACGTCGGTACAATTACTTTGCGCGAATACATGCCACAACTACCTACTCACCATATATTCTCATGCCCTGCCACTCATCTTATGTAATTCCGAGTACTACTACTAGGTAAGACGCGGAATCATCCCTTTGTGCTTTTTACTTCCGAGGTCGTCGCAAGAGTCAATTGTTGGTCGTTTAGATCTAGCCCAGCCTTCTCCAGCTTTATAGGGCTTCATACACGGGTCGGTATCATCACTCCCTGAACGTTCGAGGTCTCTGGCCGTCTGGTTTCCGCCTCAATACATACATCCATATCTACCTAGTAGGTACATACGAACAAACATACACTTTTGCCCGAGAAGCGGCCCTTGCAAGACGAGGAGGAGAGGGAGAATGAGAAGTAGCAGAAGTAGAAGGAGAAGGAGAAGAATTGCTCGGCCATTCTCAAAGGTTCGACGGCTGGTCGGCTTGGCGTGACCCTATTCCTTGACCCGGTGCTCCGCATCACCACTTATCTCCGCATCGACATCGGCCTATTTTACGTAGTATGGAGAAGATTCTCTTCACCCCTTATATTAATTAACCATACCTACCTCTTCACTTATACCTGGGTAGTCAGGCTCGGGCAGTGCCTTTAGAATTAAGCCGATTTCGAGGTCGTATAGTTTCATGGTGGCTTTATTGTTGTTGCTACAACTAATCGGTGTGGAGTTGGCGATTGGCGATGATTGCCAGGCTATTCACTATGGCAAGAAGAGGGCGGTTGGGGTTAGTTCAAGCGGCCAATAAAGTGTTAATTTGGAAATAGACCGTTTCCTTTCTCGCCAAAGGCGTGTCTGCAACAAGGTAGACCGGTCATCAAGCCTTCACTCTACGCACGCCCTTCTAACCGGGCTTGTATATAGCACGTTTTTTTCCCTTGGCTTTTCAACCTTCCCCTCTTTTTGTCTTTTAAAGTCGTCTCCTTCGCTGGTCAAGGGCTAAAGGTTTCTTGTTGGTAATCAGCATCCTGGTCATTTCGGTGGACCTGTCAGGGTTGCAACGTCGACTTGGCCAGGACCGACGGATTCAGCCAACAACCCCATCGTCATCCTCGTCCTGGCTCCTCCCTACGGACCGAAGCCAGATCCAGCTGGTGGCTCCGACGAACCTTGAAAAGCTCGAATTCAATTCACTGTACCATGGTGTTGATCACGAACGGTTCGAAGTCCTTAATACTCACGTCACGTTAGTGAAGTGATTGCTACTAGGGAGCACGTCTTATGGCAATGCCAGGCAGCTACTATGTAAGTATTCTCTTTTGCCCGAAGCAG